GGGAGGACTGTAGTCGTGGGAGGACTGTAGTCGTGGGAGGACTGTAGTCGTGGGAGGTGAACTGGCCTAGCGCCACTTAGCGTAACAGACCTTCAAGATCTTTCTCCATGCCGTATACTCTCTCCTCCAAGGCCTTCTTCCGAGCCTCGAGTTCCCTGATCTCAGCTTCTTCAGTCTGGATATCGGTCTCGGTGAAAGCCCTGGCTGGCGCAACTCCAGTGTCAAGGCTTCCACCTTCGACTCCGTCATCTGCAATACCATAGCCGGCTCCGGTGTTGAAACGGCTGAGCTTCGATTGTTGCTGTAGCACCAGTTCTTGATACTCCGTCACCGAGCCGGAAAGTGCTTGGTGCCGCCTCCGAATGGTTGCAATCTTGTCAGTTGCGCCTTCAACATCATACACTTCGCAGAGCTTCTCTGCGCCACGCAAAAGCACTTCCACGTTGACAACACTCTTGCCGCGCGCTGCACTGCCACTGGTCTGTCGAATCTCATAAAGCATGTCTGGTCCCAAGACCCGCGCTACAGCGCTCTGTTTCACGGGTGGACCTGTGGCATAAATGCTCTTCCTTCCATGCGATATTCGATCGGAGCCATACACACTGCCATGGCTATATTCGTTGTTACTCGTCGGACCCTTTGTCACGTTTGGATCCAGCGAGAAGAGTGCCCTCTCGTGTGGCTCGGTGTCGCGTATCAGCGTGGTTATCTCATGGCTGCCGAGTAGAGCATTGGTGAAGATCTTCGGAGCAGGGAACCTACGTTGGTCAGACTCGCGATGTGCGACCTATCAGCAGAACTCACTCTAGTTCCCCAATAGATTTCGCGGACGAAGAGATCTGCTCTAGATGGTCGTCGAGCAGCGGCATATTAGGTAGCAGTTGCGCGGTGAAGGGTCAGTGGGCACATCTGGGGTCTGCGCGGAACAGGATGGCTTCACTCAACACGCCTGCGCTCCACTGTGTAGTTCGAGTGCGTCAATTTTGGTAATCGTAGAAGAGAAGGTAGTGGTTGTTGATGTTGCGGGCGGACGTGACGACGCGATGCGCCTGCCTGCGCTGCGGCCGCAGATCCCCACCCGCAACCTCGCCAAACATCCCAACTTCAAACTGACATCAAGAAACATTCAACTTGTCACTTTCGCCGCCATCAGTTTCCCCGGAGCAAACACAGCTATATTTCGACTCGCCGTCGCCGTCGCACAGACCTCTGCTCGAGTCAATTGACTTCGTACGGCCTATTTGCACTATCGGGTTTCCTTCCCACCCTCAAGCTGTCATTGATTCGAGCTATTCGCCCCATAAGCTGTCCTGAAATATGCCCACGGAGCGTCGCAATACAAGATCAAACAAATCCAACAGCAATTCCGCAGACGATAACTCCAAACCCACGTCATCTGGCTCCAAGAAAGCACAGTCAACCTCCCGGACTACGAGATCGAAGGCAAACTCCAAGTCCGAGCCACCCAAATCAGGCGACATGAGCGGTGACAAGCAGATCAATGGAAAGCCCAACAGCCAGGAGGACGTTGAAATGAACGACTCGTCAGACGCAAAGAAGCCGACAAAGGGCGGCAAAGATGGCGATGACGAGATGACCGTGGTTGTACCTCCTTCGAAGAAGTCCAAGACTGTGGACGCTAGCAACACTGAGAGTGATGAGGAGGAACAGAAAGAAATTCCAATTGATCCCAAGGAAAAGGCCATCAATGGTATGCAGACTTGTCAGCTACTTAGATTTTGCTTATTAACGAATACAGAAATCAAGGGCAACTTCAGCTTGCTCGAACGAGCCGTCTCTCAGTTCGACCCTCGCTTCAGTCTACGAGTGTTGCGATCGATACCATCTGTCCGTGCTCAATTATCCGCAGATGTCATCGCCAAAGTGGTCATGGAAGCGTATCCGACACCTACTCCAACTTCCTTCTCCTTGCTCAGCGCCGTGAAAGAAGATCCGTCCTTCCCCAGAGAACAGGCCGACGAGTGGAGCAAGAAGAAGGACGTGCCCCAGTCCCAGAAGACTGCGCCCAAAGAAGTTCTCCCAGAGATCGATGTTTATCTATCTATTCTAGTGCAGATCCATCTGTACGACCGGAAGGCCATCAATGCTGGCGCACAATTTTCGAGTGCTCTCGTCGAGCACCTGCGGACGCTCAACCGGAGAACTATCGATTCCCTCGCCGCACGCGTTTACTTCTATTATTCTCTCTTCTTCGAGGAAACCGCGCCACTGCCTCCGTCGCCCGTTGCCGCTGTTGTTTCGATTAGGAAGAACCTGCTGGATGCGTTACGGACAGCTACACTGAGGAAGGACCAAGACATCCAAGCTGCGGTTACGACACTCCTGCTGCGAAACTACCTATCTACCTCTCATATCACCCAGGCCGATCTCCTTGTTTCCCACACCAAGTTTCCCGCGACTGCTGCCAACAACCAGATTGCCCGCTATCTGTACTACCTCGGTCGCATCAGGGCAATCCAGCTATCATATACCGAAGCACACGAGCATCTGGTTGGTGCCACTCGCAAGTCGCCCACCTCCTACAAGGCCAGCGGTTTCTACCAGGTATCAACGAAGCTACTGATTGTTGTTGAGCTGCTGATGGGCGATATACCTGATCGAGCTATCTTCCGTCAGCCCAGTCTCGAGCAAGCGCTTCAGCCGTATCTCCAGCTCGTGCAAGCTGTGAGCTCCGGCGATGTCACAGGCTTCCAGAATCTGGTTCAGCGCTACAATTCGGCTTTCAGACAAGACAACACATACACGCTGATCTTGCGCTTGCGGCAAAACGTCATCAAGACTGGCATTCGTATGATGTCTCTTTCCTATGCGCGTATCTCACTACGGGATATGTGCCTGCGCCTCGGCTTAGACAGCGAGGAATCAGCTGAGTACATTGTGGCCAAAGCAATTCGCGACGGGGTCATCGAGGCTAGCCTCGACCACGAGAAGGGCTTCATGAAGAGTAAAGATGTCGGAGATGTCTATGCCACCCGTGAGCCAGGAGATGCCTTCCATGAGCGTATCCAGGCTTGTCTGGCGTTGCACGATGAGAGCGTCAAGGTATGGATTGAATCTTCTCTGCAGGTGAACTTTGCTAATCAACCCAGGCTATGCGCTTTCCCATGAATCAGCACAGACTCGAGCTCAAGAATGCTCAGGAAGCGCGTGAGCGAGAGCGTGAACTCGCGAAAGAGATCGTAGATGGCGAAATGGATGATGACGATGCTCCTGGGGGTGATTTTGAAGGCCTATAGAGGCCACAGTCACACCCTGATATGGTCGTTCGAGCCTTAAAGGACTTCAAGCACTACAGAAATAGGGTTCGAAACAAGGAGCTGACGGGGTCTGAGTGGCCTTCTTGAGACTGTAACCATATCTCACAGCAATGGCCTTTGGTCCAGGGGAAATGAAGGGCTGGCGTCCGGTGGTGTAGGAAGCTTTTATTCTGCCACAGCATCTCAGGGCGGGCATACACCCACGGATTCACAAAGGGTCAGCTGCAAAAGTCAAGGATAGAGTCGCAGCGACGATAGAACGCAGAACTGTACTCAAACAACTCGAATGTGTCTGCTCTGAAATTCAAGCCGTGGCTATTCGTGGGTACTAGCTCGGCTAGCTGGACTTTATAAGTTGGGGTGTTGTTGATTTTCCGCCCGAAATGACATGACCGGAACGCGGCGCGCCCGCACCTCTGCAGTTGCGCCTTGCCCAACTACTGAACACCTGCACAACTTTCACATTGCTTGCCTACTGTCATCATTGTGCGCGGGCAGCCGCGCTGACGACCTCTGCTGATCAGACAATTTATCAACCATACAGGACAATGTCGCGTACACGGTCGCGCTCGCCAGCGCCGATGTCCCGCCCCACCACCCCCCTCCGTCCTTCATCACGCTCTTCCTTCCGTGCTTCCTCTTCCACACAGCCACAGAGCAGGCAGGGTCATCCTCTCGACGTCCTCGAGCCACAATTTGCCGAACTCGCTGATAGTATGGCCGATCTGGAAGCCAACTTTATGCACCTGCAACTCATGCATGAGTCGCTGAGCCGCTTCGGAGAAAGTTTTGCGGGATTCCTGTACGGATTGAACATGAATGCGTTCGTGGTGGACTTTCCTGAGGCGCCGGATCGGGAGGGGATCAAACGATGGGCGCGCGAGCAGCGGCGGAAGGAGGGGTTGGCTGAACAGAGTACATTGGTGACAGGAAAGGGTGACGAGACGACGTTGGGAGCCGGGGATACGAGCTATGCAAGTATGAAGGCCACTCCGAGGCGGAAAAGCGTGGCGCCGCCAACGACGCCAGGGACAACGAGCACGAACACGAGCAGAAGCGGTATTCCAAGTGTGCGGGGTGCAACGGCCGGGCGGGGAGGCCGGGCTGGCGGGAGAGCAGGGAGGACGAGTGGTCTGCCGAGAGGTAGGGGGCGTGGAGTACGATGAGCACAGCGTACCACCAATTTCAGGCGGCACGAAGAGACCACCTGAAATGGAGAGACCGCTCTGCGCGCCTCAAAAGTCGCAGACCACAGGGCACCCGAGATACGGCTATAAAGCACATACGAAAGGCACCTGTTGGGACCTTCGGATGCTCGCGCCGAGGGAAAAGTCCACGACGAAGCCACGACGACTGTAGCCTCTGGTTTCATGAAGACCAGAAGATGATGCAGACGACAGAGAATCTTGACCAAGGCGAGAGAGGCTGAAACAGCACTCAAACTTCGATCTGCAACACAAAGGTCCCTCGCCGCATCTTGCCTGTACGGCGAGCGTCTTCACAATCTCACGACTCCTGATACACCTAATTAGCGTATATGATATCGCCAAGGACAGTGTTCCTGAATGCCCAACTCGACACCGGAAACTCCTCTCCCCAGCAAGTCAAGTTGGATGGAGCCTTGAAATGAACGAATGTTGATGGAAAAGGCCATATTCCACCGTCATCAGGGACTGGACAATTCGAACCCCGTGCGATACTACGGGCCAGGGATTGATTGAGGTGTCTATCGCGTGCTGGAAGGCGATCTGCTGAAGAAGCATTTAGACCTCCTGATCGTGCAACTTTCCACTTAACTGCAGAGATGCGGCTGTAGACTACGTCGAAGGTATCTAGCACATGTACATGGCATCATTAGACGGCCACGAGTCAATGGTTAGTTAGCGGCTCTGCATCGACGCTACCAGGCAATTTTTACTCTCAGTTCACCATCAGAGATCTGCTTCTCGCAAGTCCATGTCCCATAGTCAGACGGAGAGTCATGGCTGTCCATCGTGAATAGCAGGTAGTTTGTGGTGATGCAGTGGGTTGCATCCAGCAGGGCAGGCACGCGTAGATCCGAGATAAGCTTCGCGCTTGCGCTAGGCGACGATCATGCAACGAGAGTTTAAAACGTGGACGTCCTAATTCCTGCTTCTGTGTTCGCCTGGACATTCCCACAACTGTATACAGTACCTACATTATCGTCTGGAGCTCGGTGCTATCTTTGCTTCATCATCATCCCAGGACTGAAGCTTCTTGCTTGGCAATTCAGGCCGTGGAATCGCCCTGGTGGCCACCTCATTGACCCTGAAAGGCCGGAGGAAAATCGGCCTCGGCTCCGTTGCCTCCCATTCCATCACTCTTCGATTTAAACCTCGTTAAGCATCGGGGCGCAATGGCAGTGGCTATAAAGCTTCCTTATTCTGGCTGTGAACACATCGACGACAAAGTCGTGAGCAAGGTCAAGGGTGTCCGCTCCAAAAATAGCGAGCTAGGGCTGGTGGTGTACACGTGCCTTGACTGTCCAGTCAATGGAGGCTTTTCATCCCTCGACAATCACTTCAAAACAACCAGACATGGATTCGCAGTGTCCGCTCGATCGGTTTATTGCGGGCGTTGTAACGACCTAGTCTACGATCCGGATTTCCTCCTCAGCAGCGCCAAGAAGCGGAAGCTAGCTCAGACCTCCGATGAAGATGATTCGTACATGACATCGAATACTTCGACGAGACCGTGTGGTCGTGAAGGCGTACGTGGATTATTCAATCTCGGCGAGACGTGCTACATGAACGCTGTCCTTCAGATGATGGTTCACAACCCATTACTGGCGAGCTACTTCTTGGGTATGGGCCATCCGATTCATCTCTGTCCGATATCCAAGGAGCCAGACAAAAAGAACGAATCGGATTCGGAAGATGACGAAGAGGGGGAGGACAAGGAACAGAAAACATGCGTGGCCTGTGGCATGACCGAGGTCTTTTCCGATGCGACACAGGCCGATCAATCTTTGCCAGCTCATGCCGTGAACCTCCTCTTTGCATCGTGGAAGAATATACCGGTACGTACACTCGCAAGACGTGGCATGCGTTAAGGCACTAATGAAAATAGCACATGTCCGGCAAACAACAGCAAGACGCTCAAGAGTGGTTCATCCTGATCGTGGACAAGCTCCACGAGGCCGTTTCTCAAAACCAGGACTCCAAATTGAGGTGTGATTGCTTCTTCCATAAAGTCTTCTTCGGCCGCTTGAACAGCGAGGTCACCTGCGACAAATGTCATACTACCAGCTCTACCGAAGACGAGTACTCCAGCATCTCGCTGGACTTCAAGAAGCAAGTAAAGAAGAAGAAGAAAGCCCTTCCGGATGTCAAGACCGCTGTTCCAAACATCTACGAATGTCTCCGCAGCTACACAGCAGCGGAATCACTGTCTGCCGAGCAGTACAAATGCAGATCCTGTGATGGACCGCGGTCTGCCAGTAAACGGGTCCGGGTTAGGAAGCTGCCTGCAATACTCTGCGTCCACGTCAAACGATTCGGGATGAAGATTGTGGGCACCACCTTCGTGCAAGAGAAGTACGAGGGCAAGATCGATTTCCCGCTGGTGCTTGACATGGGTCCCTATACCACACAGGCGAAATCGGCAGCTGTCAGTGACCAGTACGTCTACGATTTGGAATGCGTGGTTGTCCATCAAGGTGAGAACGTGCACAACGGCCATTACTTCGCCTTTTGTCGGCAGGACAAGAAGTGGTTTCGATTCGATGACGAGATTGTATCGGCCACGACGACAGAGGATGTCCTGCGACAAGAGGCTTATCTTCTTTTCTACTCGCTTCGCTCGCTTGCGAGCGCTTGAGCGTCATGCGGGCAAGGGAATATGGACACAAGGTGGTGTGCAGGCGTGAACGGTCATAAGATTATGCATATTCCGAGGGAAGAGCAATGAATCTTATGCAGCATGCCTGCAGCGATGAGCGGTAGCCTGTGCATTGGGCACGCAACAATGGCTAGTTGCAGCAGCAAATCAGCAGACCTGGAAACTGTCGGAAGCGTCAGCCCACACCGGCTTGACTGGCTGCAGCTCGCATGAATCGACAGGTTGTGAAGGTCTGTATCGGGCTCTCGGGGCCTTGCGGATGCCGCAAGTGCCGCTACTGCCGCCCCGAAACGGCAGTGGAGTCAGTCATGCAAAGCGGGAAAGTTTCTAGCGACAGCCTTGCAGGTGCCAGCTGCCGATCTCAGACGGGTGGTGGGGGGTGCGGTACCGTGTACGGTACGTCCAGGATGCCCAGGTAGCCTCCCTCGCACGCTCCTGACAGCCCAAGAAACGGCTGATTACACCTGGAATGCGCTGAGCCCGTACCAAGATCTCGGCCTGGTATTGGCAGTGGCACCTGGAACACCTGGGGTTGAGCTGAGGAGCAGCACTTGGCTTCTTACGCGTATCTGGAGAAATTGCTGGACTTATATTTGGCGTGGATGAACGTGTAGCTACATACTATGTCAGGAACTTTTTTTGCGACCGTGGCCGATTATCGGCCGGTGGCAGGGCGTGTTTGGGTTCAGGCAGGTAATAGACAACGCAGCAGCAGCACACGCAGACCAACAGAGTTGTACCAATTGGCTAATAGTTCCGCTGACTCAGGCGCGCATCACGCACAAAGGTCGAGAGAGGTGCCTGAGCTACTGTTGGCTTGAGATTGACATGCAAAAGCCTAGCTACACAGTAGTGTGAGTTCAGTAGTCACGCGGCTCATGCCTAGTCATGACGGCGCTGGGCGCTCTGGTCGATCACAGATTCTTTACGGGATTACGGGGTACTGCGGCTTTTTCGAGCTCACCGAGAATCTTGGCACATGCCGAAACATCCAGTGCCTCCGCCCTGCAATACGGGAGGAGGAAGCAGAGTTCGCCATAACGTTCAATCAGGCAGTTAAGTCGCGATAACGTCAGGGTTTTTTGGACGGGCGTAAAGTTGTCATGATGGACTCATGATACATGTGGCAACTGGAACGTTGATGACAAAGGATCTGACGGTGGCAGAGAGGCGAGTGCTTGAGCTTAGGCTCCTCTTTGGTCCGAGAAATCCGTGAGTGGATACGAGGCTCTCTCCAGCGCATCGCGACTGCAGTCTGCAGATGCAATCCCCTCGCTCTTCAGCCCTCCCGCCGCACGAGTACGAGTACTCGCACTCGCAACTCGCACTCGCGCATGTGCCTTTGCCATGCCTCCCCGTCCGATCATCACCTGATCCCCACTCGCATCAGTGGGTGCCTGTCCATCCCAATCCTATTCTTCGCACACTTAGCGGGCCACCTGGTCAGTGGTTGGCTAAGCCTGCCTCTTGACCTTCTCGGCAGAAGGCCAAAATTTTGGAATGGTGAGGCCTGAATCCACTCGTTTGGTTTCCGGGTAGACGTCTCTGTGGTGCTGATATTCCAGCCTCGCCTGCTGCCATTGCTGTGAGTGGCTGTCTCCCACGCAGCCGCCCATGACGTTAGCGAAGTCAACCCTTGCCGCAACACCGCCTTCGAGCATCTGCGCGTACATGCAACACCGTCGCAAAAATCTTTCCCAAGCTACCTATGTTGGTCCGCCCTATTGACAAGCCCTGACCTTAAAATGTTTCCGGAGCGTGCCGGACAAGACGACTACTATACCCAAAGCCGTAATTGGACCTCCTCCAGCATGATGGCCATGACTCTTTTGTCCCATGCCGATATACTGCTTGCTGAGCATATACTGCCTGCGTTTGATTTTAAATCCGCCAGCTGCCGCTGCCACTGCCATTCTTGTTCCTGCCTAATCACTATTCCCAACTCGTGAACGACTCTCTAATCATTGTCTTCCTCCTCTAATCACCCTCAGCCCGTTTCGGACGCATCACTCACTCTTTCACGAGCCTTTCTTACTTTGTTCTCGTTTTAGCACATAATACCAATTAGGGCATATCGCCAGCCAGCGGGGGACGCGTGACGGCTTCCTCCAATAGGTGGACGGTGCCTGATTCTCACCTCCAGCCACGGCCATCTTCGCCAATCGATCAGATCGTTCGAGGTTCGGCCCGGAATTACCTGGCATTGCTCTGCCACCTGTGTTGGCCTCCACCGATCGCCAGGCTGAATGGTGTTCGTCCAGTGGACCGTAGCAGCTGCGCTGCTTCAACTCGCGTCCACGGTCGGCGCGCATGGCCATGACGAGGGCATGGCAGATATGGATAATGGCGTCGACAATACCGCACAGGACCAACAGGAGGGCGACCCATACTACCTGCCGAGCTATGCCGGCTTGTCAGCACACTCGGGACTGATGATGGCGCATATTGGCCTCATGGTGCTCGCGTGGTTCTTCATCCTGCCAATCGGTAAGTGAGATTAGATGGCCATGCAAGGATCAATTCTGACGGCTGCAGGCATCATGTTCAGCATTGCTCGCTCTCGATACACCCTACCGGTGCAGTTCCTCTTCCTGATTGTCAATGGCGTCGGTGTCGTTCTCGCCACCATTTACAACGCCAATACCCCCGACCTATACGAGAACAACGCGCACCACACCATCGGCTGGATCGCGACGTGGGTCATGACGGCGCAAACTGTCATGAGCTTGCTGTTCTTGTACTCGGGCCGTGTCAAGATGACAGCCTCTTCGTCAGACGAGCGCGTCGCATACCTGCCAGTCTCGGCTGAGAACATGGACCAGTACCATGTGTCGTCACCTTACCGAGATACTCGCTGGTCTGGAGACAGCGGCTCCCCCACTGGGAGATCCTCGACCACGCTCAACAGCTCCCGCGACATTTCACCCACCGATGCTCATCGCCTGTCGAAGGAGGCCGAGAACGAGGATGTCGATGATGAAGAAGGGCTGCCGATGCTGATACCAACGTCAATGTCGACTCGCACCGAGCATTCGTCATCACCATCGCGGTTTCGCATCAGGGCTGTGCATGCTTTTCTGTCCAGGAAGGTCCCTACCTTCTTATCCAAGAAGCTGCTATTCACCGCTCAGGTTGGCTATGAGATTGTCGACAGGACGATCCTGATCCTCGGATGGATTGCAATTGTCACAGGTGGTGTGACGTTGGCTGGCTGGATGGTAGGTGACCCCTGGGTGACACAGCCACTAGACACTAACATCACTGTAGCGTGCGGATAACGTCTTTGGTGGGCTCGCCCATTTTATCAAAGGAGGAATATTCTTCTGGTATGGCTTGTTAACGCTTGGGCGATTTATGGGTTGCTTTTCCGACTTTTCATGGGCGTGGAACAATGCCAAACCTTTAAACGTAGATGATTGGCGCGCCCGTATTCCCTCGGCGGAATTCACCGAGTCATTCGTCATCTGGCTGTATGGTGCAAGCAATGTCTTCCTCGAGCATCTCGCTGGCTGGGGCCAGGAGTGGGTGGCCCAGGACCTCGAGCATGTGTCCATCGCCATTATGTTCTTCGGTGGTGGTTTGGTATGTCGCCCCTCTGCTGTCGCGCCACGGGGCCAGACAAGTGCTAACGTTGTTGCAGCTTGGTATGCTCGTCGAGTCCAAGACCATTCGCCGGTGGTTGAACACACCCGTCGATGTGATACCCATGAGGAAGGAGATGCAAGCAGATGAGGCAGACGCTGTGCGACAAGAACCTCGACAGTATGCACACTCGATGAACCCCGTACCGGCCCTGGTGATTCTCCTGCTCGGCATTATGATGTCTTCGCACCATCAGGACTCGGCGGTATCGACCACGGTGCACGGCCAGTGGGGCACTCTGCTCGCCGGCTTCTCCGTTGCACGTATCGTCACCTACCTTTTCCTCTACTTGGCGCCTCCCACATCGATCTGGCCTGCTCGTCCGCCATCCGAGCTCGTGGCCTCGTTCTGCCTCATCTCCGGTGGTCTCGTTTTCATGGCCAGCACCAGGGACGTCATTCGTTGGATGGAGGACCGCAACCTCATGGCCATGTTCATCTTTACCGTCGTGATGGGCTTCACTGCCTTGCTGATGGCGTGGCAAATGCTCGTCCTAGCACTCAAGGGCTGGGCCGTGCGACGTGAAGCGAAGCTGTCAGGAGCTTCCGTCCGTTGATTTCACTTTATCGTTATCATCAACACCGTCACCACCGCCATGCATTCGACAATGTCTAGCCTTTCGATTTGACGTGTTCGGATGAATCAAATGCGCAGCAACATCCGACCTGCCACCGACCACATGTCGCCACTTGCATTGGCGATTGTATGAAAGCGTTTCCTTGTTTGCTCATGCTGCATCTTCAATTGGATAAGGGCATCATGGTAATGAAGGGGTATGGGGGAAGAAGATGGCCCGTCCTTTGGTTGCTTTCGCTTTCGCTTTCATCACGATACCCTCACCGCGCGCGAAGTCGTACCGGCGTGTACGTACGATATACCCTAAAATGCTCTGCTTTATCCATAGACTCAATCAAATCAGATTAAGACATATCAGTACTTTATGCGCTCTTGAGAGGCGATAGTCTATCTTGTGCCTACGTGATTGTTGATCTGTCAAACAGCGGTCACGCCCACCGATAGGTTGACCTGTTGTGAGGGGCTCCGAGGGACATGAGCGTCCTGGATGGGACTTCAGCCATATGTAAGTAAGTGACAATATCGATCTAGGTACGAGGGAACAGTATACGGAAGAGAAAGGTACCAAGGAGGGCACCCACAGCCCGGATCGAGCGGACGTCGTGGGGTCCAAAACCTCGACTCTGCCTCTCTCCGCAAATAATTTCCAATGCGATTCATTCCCCCCCTGCCGGACTCCTGCACCCTTTCCATATACATCAGCAACGGTCCGGTCTGCAGGTCTTGCTCTTCCTGACTGCGCCATACTGGGCAAAATCCTGTTCATCGCCTTGAGCCTTCGCGAGCAAAAAGGAGCGAGCGCCTTACGCCGAAACAGCCGCGCTCGAAGACGCACGCGACTCGCTGCGTCGCGTTGGTAGCGAGGTGTACATCTTCGCCGAAGGAAGGTGTTGCTCCGACACCAAGAGAAGGATTTCTACAAATTCAAAACAGCGTTTACATCGTTCACACTGAGAGATCTATCCGGCCGCGAGCACCCACTTGCACCCCCGTGTCCGTCTCTCCGGCCACCATGGCCCAACCCGCGACCCTCCCCGGCCCATCCTCGCGCTCACGCTTCCCCATCGCCCTCCCCACCGCGCTCGTCAACCCCTCGCGCCTGCGGTCGTACGTCTTCCGCCTCCCGCTCTTCACCCGCCTCACCGTCTGCATCGTCGTCGGCCTCTACCTGCTCTCCCTGCAGTCCGCCTGGTCCGTCGTGGCATGGGGCAGCCTCAAGCCGTCCGTCATCGGCCTGTTCTCCGGCGGCATGTACCGGCTGAACACGTATGTCTTTGTGCATGCGGGCTTCTGGCACATGCTGCTGAACCTGCTGGCGCTGGTGCCGCTGTTTGAACGGTTCGAGAAGGAGCATGGCACGTTGACGAGTGCGGCGCTGTGGTTGGGCCCGTTGGCTACGTTGCCTGGCGGGCTGTATATTTTGGTGGAGAGGGGTTTGTTGGGGTGGGATGGGGAGGTCGTGGGTGCGAGCGTGTGGGTGTTCCTGCTGCTGGCCAGTGAGGGTGTTAGAAGTGCGAGGGGGAATCCGTACCTAGAGTGAGTTTTGGCGTCCGACTGGGATGTTTGTCGGTGTATGGCTAACCATCGAATCAAGGATTGCGGGTGCGAAAATCCCGACGTGGTCAACGCCGTTGATCCTGACGCTGGTGGTCAGCGTGTTGATAAGTGGGACAAGCCTGCTGGGGCATTTATGTGGGTTGGCTGTTGGGTATCTTTGTAAGTGCTTACCTGTTGCCGGAGACCCCAATTGCACTACTAACGTGTATGCGAAAGGGGGTCTGGGGTATATCAAGTTCCTGGCGCCGCCGGACAAGGCGATACGGTGGATTGAAGGCAAGCTGAATCTACTGGGAAGGGTGCCGCATTATGTCTCTGTCGACCAAAAGACGTACGGCAGATACGGTGTACTACCTACGAGTGCAAACGAGACGCCTCATGCGAATGCTATTGGACTGGGATGGGTGGGCACGAATGGAGGACAGAGGTTAGGGGCTTCATGATGCGGAACTGGAAGTTATGTACCATATATGTAATACTGCACGATGCAGGCGCTTATAGCGTCCTAAAACAATGACACTGGCTGATTCTCTATCTGAATAGTCGTCCATTCAGCTATGTAGTGCTGTCGCTACTGGAGACTGTACATCACATCTTTTGCTGCCTCATTGAGGAACCCCTGATTGCCTTGCACTTGTGGACAATATTGTCATTTGAAATGTGGCATTTGGAGATGCGGCCACTCACTCCCCCACACATGGTGCATGCTGCATCTGAGCCAGACGTATTCACCGGCCTTGCAGTGAAGCTCAGACAGCAGAGCCAGGTCTCAGCATGGGGCTCGTCAGTACGTTGCCTTCTCAACTCGAAGTCGAACCGTTTCCACACTGACAGTTCCGCAGCCGATTACATTTCCCGCATCCGTGGCTCCCCTCGACTCCTGGGCCTGCCACCCTACCTCTCTGCGCTCTGCATGCTGGGTGGCATAATATGGATCCTGCTCCTACCTCAACAGCAGTACTCCCGCCAAACCTACATCTCCGAGAACGCCCTGCTTCCGGGTCAGGTACACACCTACTTCGGCGGCTCAGAACAGAACATTTTCCGCGCGTACAAGCATGAAGTGGCACGCATGATTGTCCAACCATGGCAGACCCTGGAGAACGGCACCAAGATCTACTATCCGCTCAAGGCCACCGACGACGATCGCCGGGCCAAATTCCAAGAGCTGTTCAGAAATGCCGGCCTCAAGACTGCGACGCAGCTATACCTGTACGAGTCGTCCGGCGAGGTGTACAGTGGAGAGAACGTATATGGCGTCTTACACGCCCCTCGGGGTGATGGGACGGAAGCTATCGTCCTGATGGCTGCCATCCGCAACATCAAGGGTGAATTGAATCTCAACGGCGTCACACTTCTGATCTCCCTGGCTCGATACTTCAAGCGCTGGTCGCTCTGGTCCAAAGATATCATTTTCATTATCACTCCGGAGTCTAAGGCTGGACCGCAGGCGTGGGTAGATGCGTACTTCAGCCAGCACGACCCACAGCGGGTTGCAGACCTGCCGCTCAAGTCTGGCGCGCTGCAAGGCGCTGTTGGTATCGACTTCCCGTTCGAGCATCGGTTCGAAAGTTTTTCGGTCGCTTATGATGGTGTCAATGGTCAACTGCCAAACTTGGATCTGTTCAACACCGCCGTCAGCATCGCGAGTGGGCAGATGGGTATCGGCGCCAGCATCCAGGGACAAGAGCAGTGGGCACGAAAGGAGCACTACAGCGAGTGGAAGAACCGAGTGCGTGTCTTGGGCTGCGGCATGGTCAGTCAGGCTGTTGGGCAGTCGACCGGCCCTCACTCGGTTTTCATGCCATATCATATCGACGCTGTCACGTTGACGGCTATCGGTGACGGCTGGCAGGATGAGATGGCCTTTGGTCGGACCATTGAGAGCATCACACGAAGTCTGAACAATCTCCTGGAGAAGCTGCACCAGAGCTTCTTCTTCTATCTGCTCATGCAAAGCAACCGTTTTGTATCCATTGGCACTTACTTACCGAGTGCCATGGCAGTTGCCGCGGCGTATACCGTGATGGCTATCTACTTGTGGGTTCTGAGTGGTTACCACATCGTGGAGAGGGCGCCAGGTGAAGTCAGGCAGCCCGCAAATGGGAAGCTTACCAACGACCGATCTCTTGACAAGACGCCGGCAAACGCGAAAACAGTCGACACCACCGGAAGCCAGCCCCTAACTACGCCGAAAGGGCAGTTCATTCCGATCGAACGCCACCTCACACTACCTATATCGCTACTCACCGCAGTCCACCTCTTCTCCCTCATCCCGCTCTATTCTCTCACACACTGCACCACCGAAACCCTCACGCCAGTTCTTAGTCTCGTGGGCTTTGGATCCCTCCTTGCGCCCGCCGCCATTGCTGGAATGCTCAAAGACCTACCTCTCCACAATGTCACGCTGTCCGCGTTCAGCAAGCCAACGCCGCAGCAATACACCGTGCTGAAGAGTCTCAGCCTGCTGGTGCTCGGTCTCTTTCTGACTGTCCTGGCAACTCTCAACTTCTCGCTTTCGATGTTTCTCGGCCTCGTATCGGCGCCGATAGCTTTTGTCGATCGAACGCCTGGGCAGCCATTGGTCGCCACGCTGCAGTACCTGCTGTTACTGGTATTTTCACCGGTCGCAGTTGCTGGTGCCTTGGCGATGTATGCATCGTTGGCATTGGGCCAGGAGGCAGCTTTAGGTTCGTGGTTGGCCAAGTTTGCCTTTGGCTGGAATGTATGGGGCAGTTGGGGAGTGCCGCTGGGTGTGATGTGTATCTGGTGGCCTGCGTGGATGGTTGCCGCTATTGTGGTGGCAAGCAGCTGGTTTCCTAGCGCGGATGTACCTGTTCAGGCTACTATTGACGGACCAGCGAAGGAGCCGTCGTCGTAAATGACGCCTGAATAGCCGTCGATCGTAGATCCAAATATGATCATGATTTAATGTCTTTTCGTGTAGCCCCCCTCGGCGGCTCAGCCTTGCCCATGAGGCTTTGAATATAAAAGCTAAAACTCACGAGCCCCCACGTTACCCACCTCCCAGTCTCTTGTGTATTTCCGATTTAGTATCCGCTAGACAGCCACCTAGATCAAGGAAGAGAGCCTGTCAGAGCATAAAAGTCAACCTCCCAACACATCATCACAGCCACGCCCAGCCCACCCCTAACCAAGCCTCACCCTCGTCTCAGTCCTCCATCTCCCCCACCATGGCCGACCCCTCACCTCCCACCACAAGCACCGACACCAGCGCCCGGGCAGCGGCCCATCAACCACTCCCTTCAGCCACAACCCCCAAATCCTACACCTACTACCACGCCGGCCCCCTCTTCACCCTAGGCGACCTCAGCACCAACATCGCCCTCTCCACCCTGATCTCCACCTGCTCCTCAGCCTCCCAAAAGTTCACCCCCATCCTCCCCCAAGACCTCGAGGCCCGCGACGCCACCCCGCACTCGATCCGCGACCAGGACCTGCGCGCTCTACTCAGCTGCGACGCCGCGCTGTTCGTGTACGACGGCGCGGAACTCGATGCCGGCACCGTCGTGGAGTACGTGTACGCGAAGGCGGCGGACGTGCCGTGCGTGATTCTCAGGACGGATTTTAGGGGTGGGGGGGATCAGGGGGATGATGTTGGCGGCGGCGGCGATGGGGTAGAAGCAGATGGGAAAGGGAAGGGGAAGGGGGAGACGGATAAGTGGAATTTGATGAGTAGTAATTGGCCGAGGACGAAGGCGGTGCGGGTGGATAGTATGGCGGGGTATAAACATGGGTTGGCGCGGGAGGGTGGGAGTGTGAAGGGGAATGTGAGGGTGGTGGAAGGGATGTTGCGCGAGACGGCCGAGATGGTGGTGAGGGCGATGGAGGAGGTGGTGGCGTTGCCGCCGAGGCTGCCGCGGGAGTTGAGGGCGCATGTGTATGAGTGGTTGGCGCTGATGCCGGGGCTGAGGGATGGGGGAGATGGGGAGAATGTGAGGTGGGCGAGGGGGGTGTTGGAGGGGAAGGTTGAGAAGGGGCTGTTATGAGCTGGCTGGCACGTGAGCGGTTGTGTCCCATTACAGCTTCTATACGCAACGGAAAGACTGTATTCGGAGTCCTTAGTCTCAGTTATCGGAGACATGAGATGGTCTAGATTCTCCTGAAGGCTCCCCCCTTGCCCAGGCTGCAGACTTTGAACCCGATGTCAACGATTTGTGAAGGCACAGAGCAGCCTATTGTGTGTTCGCCGCACAGCTCACCCATCTTGGGAGATTCCCAGCACCCTTCCCTCATCGAAGGCTCACTTTGAATCTAGCAACGCCCTGTCCGCAAGGGTAATTATCTTTCATCTTGGGACAACGCAATCGGCTGAGGAGAAATAATTCAGGCAGTAAAAGTTAACTCCTATATCCGTCAACATGCCCTGATTGGCTGCGCGTCGCGTCGAGTAAACATGACCTTTGCACGCAGTGCTTGCGCTTTTCTCTTTTCTCTTCCCTGTACACTTCGCATCCTCTCGGCGCGATACATCCAACACAGTCAAACAACAACACGATCATGGCGACCACCACCATCGTCGCCTCAAACCCACACCACCGCAAGATCGAGCTCCAGTCCCCCCTCGACCTCACGCACCTCCAGTCCCAACTCTCCACCTGCGCCCGCGCAAAGCTCGACCTACACTTTCCCCCCTCAGCCCTACGCTCCAAGCCCGCAACCCACATCTCCCTCGGGCCCTCAGACCCCGCTTCATCATCAGCGCCCGGCAACGAAGGTGAAGAAGACGACCCCCTCCGCGCACACGTCCAACGCCTCACCGACGCCTTCCTACACCGCACCTGGTCCGGCGCCGCCTCCTCCATCAGTATCAACGGTCTAGACGCACACGCGCTACCGCAATTCGCTGCGACTCCCCCCACCACCACCACCTCCACAATTCCAACAACGGGACCGCAGACCCAACAACCCCCGAACCCAACCAACAATCACCTCCCCCCCACCGAACGCGAAGGCATCGACTTCACCTACTCGCCCTACGACTCGCGCCTGCAGACGCGCCTCGCCGAGCTCTACGGCGAGCTCGAGTCCCTCACGGCGCAAGTGTCGAAACTGCGGCGCCAAGCCCCCGCCAGTGGCGCCGAGGCGTACGAAGCGGCGCTGCGGCGCGAGTTGGCTGAGGATGAGGCTAATCATGAAGCTGAGGTTGCGAGGGCGAGGGATCTGGAGCAGAGCGAGGAGATAATGAAAGGGAGGGTGGGGTTGCGGGAGGGATGGCATGAGGATGTGCGGAGGGCGTATGAGGAGGCGACGGTGGAGTTGGCGCGGTTGAGTGGGATGAAGGTCGAGGGGGTGGGCGAGGCTGGAGGAGGGTTGACGGCGACGGTGGGGAAGGTGCAAAGGGCCGTGGGCGTTGCTGAGGAGTTGGAGTAATGGGATGGATGCAAACGCACGTCAGGCTGAGGATGAAACGTAGGTCTCGGACGGTGTGAAGATCCACAGTGTTGAACGAAGTCATGATGTCTTTCTCTTATTCTCTGCTATTGCTATGGGAGGCTTTGCGCTGACGGTCATATAAACATGGGCTGCTGGCTCCAATATTGATGCTCGAGCGGGCGCGTTTGGTAGTGGCAGCCAACAGATATCGATGCCCACAATGCCATCTCCTGGATGATGCTGCTGCTGCTGCTGCTTTAATCAAGCCAAAATGATCTCTGCGCTCTTGGGTCTATCAATGTTGCTTTGACTTTCTCGGCCACCTCATCCAAGCGACTTCTTAGCATCGGAAAGGCCACTAGGCCTTCGCCTCCTCAGCGGGCTTAGTATCCTCGGCAGCGGGAGCAGCAGCATCAGACTTTTGAGCCCACTTGGGTGGTCTCGCAAACTTGGGATCGTGCCAGGGTCCGTCATCGCTAAACTCGCACCCGCCCTGACACTCGCACGAGCCTCCAAATTGCTTCGGCAGATTCTCAGCTGGGATCTGCTTGAGGAGCTCTTGCTGATAGCCGCTGCCGAGGACATGAATCTTGGCGACCGTCACCGGATCTAGGAACCCCTTGATGAAGTTGAAAGCCGTTGAGAAACCCCAAGGCGTGTTGATGATATACATCTTGCCGAGACGCTCCGGGTAATGATCCTGTGAGATGGCGGAGGTCTGCTTGACATAGCCGTAGACGCTGGAAATCTTGCCGACGCCGACATTCTTCATGTCCATGATGGTGCAGCAGGTCTCCAGTAGCTTACCGGCCTTGCGGGAGCAGGCAGGCAGACGCGGGTCGGCCACCTTCTCGTATTCAACGACCAGGTTCGCCAGCATACGTTCTTGCGAAGTAATCTTGTACATGGCGTTGAGGTCTATTCCGCCGTACTGCTCAATGTACACTGGTCGGCCGTCCTAGTGAAAGTTAGCCGCAAAAGTCGTTGGCCTAACATTGGGCGACTCACCTTGTCGGTCTTGTGGTAGTATTGCGGGTAGATCTTCATGACCTCAGGTTTCTCTTTGTAATCAAAGGTTCGGACAAGCTCGTCCACCCCGGTCTTTTCTCCATCTCCGAACTTCTTGCGCCATTCCTCGTTGTTGACGAACCTGAGACAGATCAGTTGGCGGAGGGGGTAAGCGCAGCCAACGAACTCACATCTGCTTGGCCAGCTCAACGTTGAACTTGCGCGCGCGCAGGAATCGTAGTAGAGTCAGAGTGTCCAGTCTCTCCGTGTAGCCCGCCTGCTCGAGCAGGCTCCGCAACTGGAAGACCTGGGCATCTTGCTCTTGCGTTGTGTGGCCCGGATGACCCGACCCGGACTCAGGCGACGTGGTGGGATAGTCATAATCATCGTACTTAGGGTCGAGTTGCATTTCAGGATTGGCGTTCCCGCCCTCTTTGGAAGTGCGAGACATGGCGGGGGAGTCTGGGGGAGGGGCGCTTCGAAGTCGACGGCAGGGTTTGTGCTTTGGATGTGCTTTGGACGACGTTATCGTTGATGGCTGAGGTTTGAATATCAATATAGAGTCCTAGGGCGACTTTCTGTGAGCGCAAAGCACAAAGGAGAGACGCGGGCAAACAGGGTCGAGGTATGGAGGGTTGCAGGGTCGAGACGAGAACGAATAATTTGGCCCACATGGTCGAGCGCGAGAGAGCCAGATGCCATGACGTTTCCCCCCAGTCTTGGCAGCCAGGGGCGCCTCACCGTGGCCTCTACAAAAATACGCAGAATGTCTGAGAATGCGTGATATTCAACGTTCCACCGGCGATCGCTCCAATGCTAATCCTAGTAGTAGTACAGTGGTATCCATCCAAATCATCTGCTCGTCAAAAGGCCACCTGCCTGGATCGGGTGGTCCTACTTCCACCCCATATTATATTTCTGCAGCTCCCTTCACACCCGGCCAGCACCAGCACACTCCACCAGCACCACGGCGGGAGCTTGCTTGAAAAAGTTGCCAAAGTAAATAGCTGTAGAAGATTGCGGCCACCGTATGCTATTACAAACATCGTATCTGTGGTAGATCTGTTGTTGAGACAAAGGAGAAGGACTGCTGCAGTCATCGTGGCTTCTTGAGTAACTTTTACTGGTCGTAACCGTAGGGATCTGAAAAGTTTGCGTGTCTTTCCAGTGCCTACTTCTTTCGCGCGAATCGCTTGTTGAGAAGAGCCAGTACTTTGGACACGTCAAACTGAACGTACTCGAGGTCGAGGTCTTCTTGACCATCTTTCTGCATCTCGAGCAAGTCGTCGAGCTTCAGATCGAGTTCCAGCAAGCCTCGGGCCCGGCCTGCACCAGTGTTAATAATTGCGCTGTACTTAGCAAAGAAACTTAGCTCACCTTTGTAGTGTAGGCTGATCACGAAAGTACCAGCAAGTGGGCTCCGGAACATGAAGAAGATATTCGATCTTCGGTTCTCCGGAACATTACTCCTGACGATGACTCCGTCCTTCTCCAGTTGGGCGTGGGTGAATTTGTACGGCCCTAGCTCCTTCACCTTGACCTCTTTGCCGCGTTTCGTCCCCTCCGACTGACTTCGGACATTGTGCAGGTAGCTCTTGTAAGTGTCCAGTTGCGACAAGAGATAGGCGTTATGGTCGCGGATCGTTTTGTACACGTCGTCGAGCTTGTTCGTCTCTTCTTGCACCTTTTCCTTGAGAGATCCAAGATGTGCAAGCTCCTGCTCGACTTCATCTCGCAACGCAGCATAATCATCCGCTCTGTCCAATGCTCCCATTTCGAGCAAGGAGTTGAGGAGCTCCATGCAGCGAATGCCTTTCCGGACCATGACGGGATCTTTCATTTGGCCCGCGGCTTTGGCGACGGCTTCAAGTCGGAGCGGCCTTCGCATGATCGACGCATTTTGTGGCAGGCTTCGCATGATTTGCACAAAGGAACTCTTAGCCTCCATGAAGTAGACTTCGTCTTGTGTGATATCAAGTGCCTGGGTGAACTCATCAAACGACGTCTCCCACCTGCTATACAGAGGTAGATTGATGGCCCTGTTCTCTTTCCGAGGCAGCTGTGGAGGGGCCGGCCCAAATTCAGCGAGAATGGTTCCAAGGTGCGAGGAGGGGTCCGTCGCAAGTTCTTTTGCGTGTTTCTCGAGGAGGGCATGTGTGGCATACACTTCGTTCAAGCTGATCTGCAGCTCGATATCACGCTTGGAGAGTGCAACGTAGTTGTCCATCTCGAGGCTCTCGTAGAAATCTTGCACTTCGCAAAGATCAAGTAAGAACTTGTTGACTCGGTCCTTGTTCCTTTGGATGAACGGCTGCAGCCTAGCCATGTATGGCTCTTTGGCATATGTAGGTTTGTTGGCAAGGTTCTGCAACATCTTGGCAATATAGGTCAGCGTCCTTTTCGGCTTCTCTTCGGGCACTCTTTCGATGAGCATATAAGACTTGGGCGTGACGATGGCTGGGTTGATGAATCTTAGGAAGAAAAAACCACCAATGAGGACGCAGATGGCGGAATCTTGAGCGTCGGGGTACTTCCGGCGTGAGAGGTTGCGAATCTGTTTGCAGATCCAGCGAATGCCATATGGAACCTCGTCAAGAGCCTCCATGATGGTCGACAGAAAGCCTTCGGCGATTTCGGTGAGCATCTTCAGACGCGGGGCAATAATGGCTTGCACTTGGGCATTCTCAGCAGCGAACTCAGCAGTAACGGATCGAGGAAGGTCTTCCGGCAAGGATCCACTGTCATCTTCGATCTGCTTGACCATCGTTTCGTATACCTTGAGAGGGTTGATCTCGAGGTCCACGTCAGCCAACTCGGTGAGACTGTTGATTTTCTCGGCCAGCACCTCCTTCAAATAGCCCTGACCAGGACCTCGCCTTGTATAGGTTGTCATCATGCGTGAGACGGGCGTGTTCTGTCTTAGAAGCGAAGAGTATTCGGGTGTGTTCTCGAACTGGTGGGTGAGCACGGACTGGAACATGGTGAGCAGTAAATGCTCCTCGCGGCTTTCGTACTGGTTACCATATATGGTGAACATGACAGTCTGCAAGAGGGAATCGATCTCGGCCATGGTGACGAGTCGACATAGGTGCGCGATGTGCTTGGGCTCCGATTGTAGCATGAAGAACAGATTGCCGTATTTCTGCGTCTTCTCGTCATTGGGAAATGAGCCTTCTTGCAGTTCGGTAGCGTCATCGAGACGGCTGGCAACTTCATTTTGCTCCTCCAGCGCCATGCGGTTTTGAATGAGGAGGGCAATTCTCGAATCTAAATACCGAACGTCTTTCTCAAGGACGAAGTTCTTTTTCGACTGCGTAGAGATCTTGGATTTGAGATCTCTTAGAGTTCTTTGCGCTCTGGCCAGGTCATCACTGATTTCAAGATCCTTGTCTTTCGCGCTCATCGAGACATAGAGGGCGGTCATGCTGACTCTCTTGCTTTGGCGGATGGAGCGAGCGCCATCGTGGCTGGAGTAGGTGTTTGTCCGTGAGACAGGCTCGAAGGATGATGCGGTAGAGGCAGAGCCTCTGGAGGTGGGTTGCAGCATTGTTGCGACCGACATTTCTGTAGTATCTGCGGTATGTTGCTTGGACCGCTTGGACCTGTCTCTAGCACTAGAGACGCGCGTGGGAACCTCAGACCGAAGTGCCGAGTTCATCTACGCATCTGTGGTCCAGGTCGTAGTGACGGGACTTTGTGACGCGGCCGTGTTTCAGAGACGATGGGCTTTGTACATTTGCCTGCGGCCGGCTCTCTTCCGTGCGCCTTGGTGCCAGAGGGGCCAACCTGGGCGGGATTTGATATACAAGGTCCAATGCTGCGACCTGCGCTTGCGATCGAGGACTGAGATCACACGGATGTGTCGAGGCGGAAACCGGTCTATAGGACGGCAGAGATAGCGGTCGAAGATGGCAAGGGCGCGATATGGCTCTGATTGGGTGCGCGTGAGATCCTGACGGGACGCAGATATGCGTTGGCAACTCGGTACCAAAAGCGGACGAGGCGCGTTCGAGAAGTCGTGGAAAGGCTTGGTTGGTCGGCCGGAGTGAGGTCTCGCTGAGGAGGGGCGAAGGACAGGCCGAGGTGTGGTGTAAGAGAGAAATATGAGGGTGAAGTGAGTAAAGACGTCGGACGAATGACAGAGACGGAACGGCCTACTTGAATATTGGGCGGATGTAGGAGGATAGCAGAGGGGCTTTTCTGAGAGGATGGTGTAGGGTGGAGGGTGTAGGGGTGGTGGCTTTTTGGCGTTGGCGTGGGTAGCACCTCTGGCACCTCTGGCACCTCTGGCACTTCTGGCTCCTCCTTGCTGGTGTGGCCGGGTGCAGTGTGCCTGGCCTTGCCGGGGTTAAGGGTCAAGCTTCAGGGCGGGCTGACCACTGGACCGCCGCTGCCGCATTGGCCATCTTGGCCTTGGGTAGGGGTGCGTTATCGCCAGGGGTCACCGCGCAAGCTAAACCGCACTGGTAGAATGACTTTCGCGAGCGTCTCCATCCCCCCAAATTAGCAGAAGCCCGGGACAAAGAAGACTACGTGTTTGTTATCATCGTTATTGCTGCAGCGCATGTACACAGACGCCAGGGTCAGGTGCAGACAAGCAGGCAGACGACGGGCAAGCCGGTGACCCGGGCAGCTGCCAACCCTCCGAGAACGAGAGACATAGCTAACTGAGCTGATCTTGCTGAGTCCCGTTTCAGTATGGAGCAATTTACACATTTTGGTATCGACTGTCATCATTACTCCGTATTCAGCGCGTGACTCGCACACGATCAGCAGCGACGTCGGCTGTGGAATGGTCTCGCTCGGTAGTGTCCTTGTATGGGACATCAATCGCAGTGATGGACGCGATCACCCCTCGGCCAATATCGCTACAAGCACGAGTCTCTTCCGAACATGGATAACCCTGCGACGATGGATCCTGCGCCGCAGTGTCATCATGGGCAATGCATACGCAACATCGCGCCTTGCCCCAGATTCAGCATTTGGCTAGCAAAGTCGAAAGGGGCAATTGCAGAGTCACCCGGTTAGGACAATTCCACGACCACGTTGCTTCCTTCTGCCCAACTCTAAGCAGGCTGAGCGCAGACACTCAGTTACATTTGCGCTGTTCGGCCGAGGTCGATAAGCGAAGACTTCAAACCCCTCGAGCGGTTTAAGCGTTTCAATAGTGTGCCGCTCGCTCCCTGCTGTTTCCCAAACAATTCTGAGGCAATCGGTCTTGGACTGAAACATCGCGACCATCTTACTACGTATTTGCCGATGTTCGTAGGAACGCCAACTTCGCCTGTCAGCTGAGCACGAGGGGCAAGGATTTGCAAGTCCGTCCATTTCACCTAGGTAGGGTTGATCAGGATGCGGGCGAGTATCCTTCTAAACAATACGAGACCCTCGGCATAGCAATCCAATCAGGGAAACAAGCCAGACACCAGTTTGATGGCCATGAGACGCACGCAACACCCCCTTGCTGGCCTTAAGGCAAAGCCTGCTGTGAGCTGCAGGGGCGCCGCCATAGGAATGCTGACTTTGAAGGAAAAACGTGGGCGAGACGCACACCACCGCCAATCCAGGACTTGGTGGCGCCCAGAGTCCCCCCCTCTTCCAGGCTGTCGGGAAGCCTATCCGGGCTGCTTGGCAGGTACCAGGTACCGAGTGGACCAGCAGCAGCGTGACGTGCAGCCACCCTGTCAGCTGTCAGTGCACGCCCACCTGGCACCTGCCGAACATGGAGCAGTGGCGCCTACCCGTACATTCCACCACAGCTCCATGCCAACAACGCAACCATCTGTCAAGATAATAGCCTGGACCCTGTTTCATGGGCCAGGAATGCAAAGAAGTTGGAAAGTTGCAGAGCGTGTGCGATAAGAGTCAACGAAGCAGCGAATCAAGTTTCTGCTGATGGTGGGAAGCGCCGGCGGCGAGGCAGCATTCGAGTAGCACGTTGGTTATCAACATTTCTCAACTGGGGCCCACGCCGTCGCCGTGCGTCCAGCTGCAAGTCCATCGGAAGTACTGCATTTCCGCAACTTGCGTGCTACAAGCACTGGCCATCATAACTCCGTACCTCTGTGCGAAAATACCCTCGGACATTAAACCTCGCCTAGCAGAAGCGAAGTAAAACCCTCACGAGATGTCGGCATTTTCCAATCTACGCCGCATCCCGTCTTGCACCTGGGAAATGCAAGATACAGCATACTTGTCTGGAAACGGCCGCTCCGGTCGACCCGCGAAAATGATAGACATTCTGCCCACCTCGGAACCATGCCCCCCGGAGAAGCACTGATTATCCCGTTGCAGTTTCTCCGAGTACTATATTTAATCCTCCTCTACCACCCGCCGGATACATCATCAAATACTGTGACGAGTGCGGCATGGTGTGTACCTGCTGATCAATCGATAGCGCCCACGCTCAGCAGCCTCCTTCGATGACTTGTCATGTTGTCGTTCTCAAACGTCACAAGGACAGCAAGCACAGACACCTTGACCAGGGGAGGAGGAACTAAAACTCGCACCCCAAGAGCCTATCCAACTCAAAAAGAACCTTACCCTAGGAGGTCTTCAAATCTTAATCCAACCCACCCACACTGCTGTTCTTAGGAATCCAGTCGGCAGGTCCCGAGCTCTGTATGAACCCCGCTCAACCAGGCGGGGCTCAATAGTCTGTTCCGTCAAGCGCATCGATGTACCTCGAGAGCTGAAAAGACACAAGACTTACGAGGTGAACGTAACATGGTGGCTGCCACGCGCAAAGTCAGAGCCACGAATACGATCTCCCGCATTGTCCTTCATCCGCTGTTTAGCTTTTGATGCTCGGTCGTCGGCTGCAGCGGCTGTGGCCGCAGTTTGTTAGGGGCCCGGGGTCAGGTCAGGGTTTGTGCGAACTAACAACTGACTGAATGCTATTCCTGCATGCCAAGCGGAGTTGCTGGCGCAATGCGAGGCAAGCCAGGCATGCCGTGGAGCCTGAGCTAGTTCTCGTTTGAGGTGGAACATGCCGCTGACAACCGTTACGTTTGCTACGTCCAGCAGCAGCGTGAGAGGATGCTGGTTTTCAATGGGAAAAGGCAGATAGATACAGCCGCTCAGATATGTCTTGATTCGGAATGCGTTGGGAAGCAAATGATCAGCCAGCATGTTGCCGTTTTGGCGGCGAAGCTCAGATGGTATGTACTGTAGGTCCAATAGATCTGGCTGAGCACATGGCGCGAAGACTCGGTTCAGAACGTTAGTCACTACTTGTACAAATGGCAGAGAGATCGGCGTAGTCTGGGTGCCGTCCAAGTCTTGCCGTTCGCGATGTCATCGTTATTCCCCAAGTCACCAACGCGTCTCGTTGGCGCCCCTCTTCGCATTACTACAGAGACTACCGTACGGACTAGACGCCCTCTCTCCAAGCATCTTCGAACGCACACTTCTTCGCACCAATCTCGCCCTCCAACAGCCTCACCCCGCGCACGACCGACACACCTCCCGTGCCCACCCCCATAGTCTTGCCCACAATGACGCTCTCACTCACGCCCCTCACGCGGTCCACCTTGCCGCCAATACCCGCCTCGAAGACGTGGTCCGCCGTCTTCTCAAAGCTGGCCAGCTGCAGCACCGAACTGCTCATCTTGGCCAGGCCGAACCGCGTGATGCCGAGCACCTCGCCCTTGTAGGTCATGACGTCCGCCAGGAGGTACATGTGCCGGGGATCGATGCTCAGCGACTTGGTGACCTCCTGGATTTCCAGGATGATCTTGGTGCGCGCCGCTTCGATGCCGAGGACTTGCATCGTTTCCATGACCGAGTTTGTCGACGTGTGGTAAGGATCTACACCCGGTGTTGAGAGGCAGTGCGACAGGCCGTAGCCCGAGACCATGACTTTGTGCATCTGAATCGCTCGTCCTCCATCGGCTGGTGGTGCCACGGTTGGGGCGGGCGCGGTAATGGCAGGTGCATCGTCCTCGACTTTGATCGTAGGCTCGCTGCTGGTCTCGTTATCAATAGAGGCCGCCGCCGTCTTTTTACCCCGGCCTCGACCCGTCTTCTTACCGAGCTCGGGAGACGAAGGGGGCTCGACCTTTATTTTGGCTTCTTCGGCGGCAGCAGCAGCTTTTTGGGCTGCTCTAGCTTCAAGGACAGCTGCTTGCTCGGCGCGCTTGGCTTTGATTTGATCCGACATGGGGTCGTCCTCGGACATAACCACTGCCCTAGTAGCCGTTTCATGGCCTGCAATCCGAATGGTAGGCAGGAACCGCCGGAGCATCTGCAGCTGCAGCAGATTCTCTGACTGCGCCATTTCTTCGATCTTCGCGGCCTGACCTCTCTTGCCAGACTTGATGGTGCCATGGAGCTCGATTTTGATCTCGTCGCTGCCTCGTGTGAGCACCCTGACCTTGCCGCCTTTGAAGCGCTTATGGTCCATAATCGCTTTGCACACGTCTGAGATCGTGAGCTCAAGGCCTAGCTCAGAAATCGTATCAAGACTGATCTTGAGGTACAGACATGAATCTCGACCAAGGGAGTGGGATAGCTGGATCCATGACATTATGTCCTCGAGGTAGAGTGCCTCGATTCGACCTTTGACAATACGGGCAAGTCCTTCGGGAATTGACAGGTCTTTGCGTCGCTCCAGACGACATGTGATGACGGGCGTGGAGATGACCTTGGAGGCGTTGATGATTTCTTTGATACGTGGAACACCGGCTGTCAGAGACATACCAGCAACACCAGCGAAATGAAAAGTCTTCAAGGTCATCTGAGTACCGGGTTCTCCAATGGATTGAGCTCCCACAGCGCCAACGGCGTGCCCCGGCTCAACCCTCGCCCTCTCGTATTTCTCGAGGCAGGCGTTAACGAATGATTCGAGGGTGCGCTGTGACATCTTCGCTGTAAGTTCAAAACGGTCACGGACTGCTGGTACGGAGGCTAGCATGCGCACAGCCTCGGACGCGGCCGATGAAGCGATCTTCTGCTTCTTGTTTGTAGCCTTTGGGCTTGACAAGGTCCTGGCGGCAGCTCTACGGCCTCCGCGCCGGGACGACTGAGCAGGTGAGGTTTCTGGAGCATCGTCTTGTGCAGCCTCTCGCTTTCGCTTGGATGCACTGTTAGATGATGTCGACGGTAGTGACAGATGACCCTTCTCCACGCGGGCAGCGTCGAAAGCCCTGCATTTTGCAAGTACAAAGTCATGAATGGTCTGCAGAAACGCCCGGGGCGATTCATACTGATCAGTCAGTGTGTCGTTCGGCGTATCATACGGCAGGATACTGCCATCGTAATTGACTCGTTGCAAGGCAGCGCGTCTTGGCTTGAGGATATCTTCCATGATTTTCATGATCTTCTCGCTGTCTAGGCCAGAGTCTTGGGCATCAAAAGTCGTTGCTTCGATATGGGTATAGGTGCGGTCAAAGTCGACAGGCTTCGCACTGGCTTCCATGTCGACCGGGTCCAACTCATCGTCACCAAAGCGGAATTGTACCACATCTGATGTCGAGCTTCGGACCGTTCGATCGTACTGTGTCGACAAATCTTCCAAGGACTTCATGAGCCGTCTGGACATGTATCCAGTTTCGGCAGTCTTGACTGCAGTATCAACAAGACCAACTCTGCCACCGACAGCGTGAAAAAGAAATTCGTACGGTAGTAGCCCAGAGAAGAAGCTGTTGCTGACGAAGCCTTTCGATGGTGGCGAGCGCTCATGCTTGACGAAGTGAGGGAGGGTACGATCCTGAAAGCCATCTTGAACACGCTTGCCTTCGATATCTTGCTGACCGAGCAGCGCGGCCATCTGAGCCACGTTGACGTTTGAGCCCTTTGAACCCGACAGTGCCATGACCATTGGTGAGTTGTGCTTGCTGAGTTGAGAAGTCAGAACTCCTGCCACATCTGTTCTGACCGTGGATAGAACTCGGATTTGCTCCGCTTCGAGGGTGGCAGCATCGTCCATTCCCGCTCTGCGCTTCAACTTGCCCGCCTTGGAGTCAATGACAAACTGCGTGCACTGCTTGAAAATGGCATCGATCTTGTCATCCTTCATTTTAGCGAGCATTTTTGGAGGCGTCACATCGCTGATACCAACGGAAAACCCCTGGTTTCCAAGCCATCGAGCGCACAGCTTCGACAGTCTGGTCATGCATTTCGCAGCAGCGTCAGGGCCGAAGTCGCGATAAAGAATGTAGAACAGTGAGTTTTTCTTGCCCGATCCCACTGTAGCTTTGTCCATTCGACCGCACATAACTTCAGAATTTCTGATGCACAGATAGCTATCATCTTGTAGATCGCGATGCAGACCTTCATGATAGGCCTTGTGATCTCGGCACGAAGCATCAAGGTTGACAGCAATGTGGGATTTCTTGTTGGGCTTGATGAGCACACTGAAGACCTGTTTACCAGTCCACAAAGCTTCTGGCTTCATGATCGCGGGGAGTGGGAGGTCGAAAGGCGTGTCCGGTTCTAGCATGCCGCAAACGATAGTGACAAAGGTCTTGCGGTCGTAGAATGTATCGAGGCTACTCAACAGATAGGACGCCGTTATGAAGTCCTGAATCGCGGAGATGATTGGCTCGCCGTTCTTTGGTGTTACAATGTTGTGCTTGACACCCATCAACTGAACAGCTTCTGTGCGCGCTTCTTCTGTCTGTGGCACGTGGAGGTTCATTTCATCTCCATCAAAGTCGGCGTTATAGGGATTGCACACGCACTCATTGAGCCGGAAGGTGCGATGAGGTCTCACTCGGACAAAGTGACTGAGAATACTCAGCTTGTGCAAAGAGGGCTGTCGATTGAAAAGCACGACATCTCCGTCCTCCAGATGCCGTTCAACGGTGTCGCCGTCTTGCAGACCAGTTGCCATCTGTTCCCGGTTGCCGAATCGCAAATTGTGCTTGATACCTGTGGACTTTTTGAAGATGTAATTGGCACCTGGCCATGTCTTCGCTCCGTTCCTCACGCGTTGACGAAGCTTCTTGATGTTGTAGCGATTAACGACTTCCGGGTAGGTCATGTTTTTTGCCACAAGCACGGGCACCGCGACCTCGTCTATATTGAGGTTGGGATCTGGAGAGATGACAGTACGGCCTGAGAAGTCAACACGCTTTCCTGATAGGTTGCCACGGAATCGACCCTGTTTTCCCTTAAGTCGCTGGACAAGACCTCTAATCTGCTTAGCGAACTCTGCCTTCGCAAGCCCGGGCACGTCGCTGTTGATGTACATGGCTAACTGCAAGCCGAGGTAGTCCCAGTGCTCCATGAGCGATTGAACGGGTGCACCCTTCTTCAAAGCATCGCGAAGCGCATTGTTAGCAGCAATGATATCACCCAACTTAGCTGTTAGGTCGTCTTCTGTGCTTGCGCCTTCTTGGCCGACCGAGGGGCGAATGGCGACTGGAGGTGCCGGTACTTGCAGCCACAAGAAGGATTCGGGTCTTGTTTTTCTCAGACCTAAGAGTTCGCAATCTGCTTGTGAGATACGACGGAATAGCTTGACGGTCCTTAGGGCATTCAGATCGTCCATTGCCTTCTTAAAGTGCTTGTCCAGATCACCATTCGATTGCTTGGCGAAGTCGAATGAGGCATCATAGGCCTGCTTCTCGGGTGGAATGTTCAGCAATTTGTCCTTTCTTGTCGAGGAATTGAAGGTCTTGAACTTGTCATGGGTAATCTTCAGCGAGGCAGAGCCTGCTTTGCGGACTAAGCCGTTGATAGCTCCGCACTCGAAACAAATTTTGGCCTTCTTGCACTGGTCAGCGATTCGGCGAACAATGTTACTGATCTTGAGATCGTCGCCCTGCGCTCGACGAATGCTGCCCAGAAATCTTCTGCGGTCGGTTTCGGATAGGAGAATGCATGAGCAGTCCTAGAATAAGTCAGTGCGTGGTCGACCAGAATCCTTCGCTGCTGCGTGCCTTGCATATGCTCTGTAAAATCTGTATCACTTTCTTGAAGTATCCCACGTGGAAGACTGGTAACACCAGCTTGATATTGCCGAAGTGACCATTACAGTGTTGCAACTTCAGCCCACACGTTCTGCACTCGTCACGCTTTCCCGACACACCCATGCGCATGTCAAGAGGTCCATATTCGGCGTAGGCTCGACCTTTGTCGAGATCAAAGATTCTGCGATCGGCGAGTTCGACGTACGACTGGTTGACGATGTCCTGATCAGAACTGCGGATTATCAGTCACCAGTTTTTTGGTTGTGTTAAATCGCTTACAAGACACCGAACTGCAACTCTTTGAGGACTTTTGGCGCATCCTCTGCAACCTGCTGCTTGCCACCAGGGACATATACGTTGATCTCGGTCGCTGCCATGGCGCAGGTCACCGAAGATGCGGCGCGGGCAGCGGGGTAGTCGCAAAACCTTTCAATTGTCGCGACATGAAGGCTAGAACACTTTGCGAGAAATCTAGCATCGGGCTATCGGGTCATTATCATGTGAGTCATTCAATAAGTTTGCGTGAAGAGTGAGCGCAAGTTGTGCGAGTTCAAAAGTGGGCGACCATGCAGACCGCGGGCAGATCCCCAAAAATTTGGTGTTCGCGAGGCTCCGCTATAAACTCTAGTTGCCCGCCCCGCCCTCCGCTGCCTTATCCGCCCCGAAAGCCACCCGCCCATCGCCGCACTTCGTCGCATATCGGCCTATTCTATAGGGCATGTAGCTCCCAGCGTAGGTCTGACAGTGACGGTGCCGACTTTTGGCTTTGTCCGTCAATCAATCCGTCGATCATGTCTCCAAACCGCCAATGCCAACACCCGATGCCAACGCCAACGCCAACGCTTTCGTAATGCTTTGCCCAGAATGCTCAGTCTGCAAGACGATAGCTGACCATGGTATCGACTTTGTGGTTGGCCGTGCTGAAGCTCCGGAGTTGGACCTTTTCTCCATCCTTGATCTCCTTTGCATCGCTATCACCCCATTCGATCGGCACGTCTGAGTCGGCGTCCGCATACACCAATACGTTGAAGGTACAATTTCCGTCAAGAACTGGGAGGAAGGTCACTGAGGCAGTGATTTGTCTGAATATCGCTTGAATCTCCTCTTGGATCTGCGATTCAGTTTTCTCGGGTTCGGTGTCCTTCAACGCCTCTTCTGGAGCCGCGTTCTCCTTGTCCGCTGTCCGTCTCGATGACTTCGACTTTGCATGCTTGTCGAAGACTTGCACATCGAACTGCCATCGCTCTATATGCTCGCCTGTCTCTTTGCTCGTGATGACCACAACCAACTTCGAAATTTTGCCGTGCCGCATCCATTTATTTAACTGCGACATGATCTTCTTGATGTATGCTTTGACTTGGTCATCGGACGATACCAGCATGTTGAGGCCATATTTCTTGACCGCTGAGAAGTCTTCGGCTGGATACACGCCTCGCTGGAAGAGGATGGTGTTGATCGAATACTCGAACTGCACGCGTTAACATTGTTTCAGCATAGGGAGGACGTCCACTTACGAATTCCGCAACAGTCTTTGCTGAACCTTGCAGGGCAACTTTGTGCACCTGTGACTTTTCTCTTTTGTCTGCAGCCATACTTGTATCCTTTTGATTGATCAGAAGCCGTGAGCGCAGGTGCGGAGGAGTACGCAATGGGGTCAGGGTCCAGGGAAGACGACAAGCCGGAACTTTTGGTGGTTGCGCCGGGCAACGCGACTTCCTGGGCCCGGAGTTAAGGAGATAGCCGACTTTCTTTCAAAAAAGGTCACGTCGACGACACCCCATCGCCAGTACCAGGACATGATTACCACCGATGCGATCATGGCTGCAGTCCTTTGTCTGGAGGACTACGGCCTCTCGCGTCCCCTCACGCACATTTCAACTTGCCGGTAAAACGCTCCGATGCGCTCAACCTTTCTCCTCAACAGCCCGAACCTCGAAGTACATTGCTCCTTCAGAACTCGAGCAGCGCATCGCAGCGATTCCCGTTGAGCGCTACCGCAACTTCTGCATCGTCGCCCACGTTGATCATGGCAAGAGCACGCTTAGTGATCGGCTCCTCGAGCACACAGGTACCATCGAACCGGGGTCCAACAAACAAGTCCTAGACAAGCTGGATGTGGAGCGCGAAAGAGGTATCACTGTCAAAGCTCAGACATGCTCGATGCTGTACAAATACAAGGGCGAAGACTATCTTCTGCATCTCGTCGACACGCCAGGTCATGTGGACTTCCGCGCCGAAGTCTCTCGAAGTTATGTCAGTTGTGGAGGCGCCATCCTCCTCGTAGACGCCAGTCAGGGCGTCCAAGCACAGACTGTCGCCAATTTCTACCTCGCTTTTGCTCAGGGCCTGGAGTTGTTACCAATAATCAATAAGGTCGACCTGCCCCACGCCGATCCGCCACGTGCGTTGGAGCAGATGAGGGATATGTTCGAGCTTGATACAGACAATGCGGTGCTCGTCTCGGCGAAGACAGGCCTCAACATCGAGGCTGTGTTGCCAACGGTTATCGAGAAGATTCCGGCTCCGATCGGTGATAATCACAAACCACTCCGCCTCTTCCTCGTGGACTCCTGGTATTCATCGTTCAAGGGAGTCATTCTTCTTGTGCGCATCTTCGACGGCCAGGTCAAAGCTGGCGACCAACTCGTCTCCTTCGCTACAGGCAACAAATACATAGTCGGCGAAGTCGGCATCATGTACCCTGATCAAACGCCTCAGAAGGTTCTTCGCGCCGGCCAAGTTGGCTACATATATTTTAATCCCTCGATGAGGAAATCGTCTGAAGCCAAAGTCGGTGACACTTACACGCGGGTCGGTCAAGAAAAGCAAGTCACACCTCTGCCAGGCTTTGAGGAACCTCAACCCATGGTCTTTGTTGCCGCTTTCCCGGTTGACCAGGGTGAATTTGAGCATTTCGAAGACTCGATAACCCAACTCCTACTGAACGACCGTAGCGTCACCATTCAAAAGGAGTCGTCGCAAGCCCTTGGCGCCGGCTTCCGCCTCGGTTTCCTGGGCACCCTACACTGCAGTGTATTCGAAGACCGCCTCCGCCAAGAGCACGGTGCTTCTATCATCATCACGCCTCCTACTGTTCCCTTCCAACTCAAATACCGAGACGGCAAGACGCGTATCATCACCAACCCCGCTGAATTTCCTGATGATGATGTTGCGCGCAAAGATGTTGTAGAGCTCCTCGAGCCATACGTCCTGGCTACTCTCACTTTCCCGGACGAATATCTCGGCAAAGTTATTGAGCTGTGCGAGTCCAACCGCGGCGAGCAGAAGGCCCTGGAATATTTCACCTCGGCGCAAGTAATCCTTAAATACAACTTGCCTCTCGCACAGCTGGTGGATGACTTTTTCGGCAAGCTCAAATCATCCACAAAGGGGTACGCCACCCTCGACTACGAAGAAGCTGGCTACAAACCCTCACATATCGTCAAGCTTCAGCTTCTTGTCAACAAGGAGCCTGTTGACGCTGTCTCGCGCATCATGCACCACTCTCAGGTGCGACATACAGGCAAACAGTGGGTGGAGAAGTTCAAGGAACACGTGGACCGACAGATGTTTGAAGTCGTGATCCAGGCAGCTGTGGGACGGCAGATTGTGGCACGAGAGTCGTTGAAGCCCTTCAGGAAAGATGTGTTGCAGAAGTTGCACGCCAGTGACATTACGAGAAGACGGAAGTTGCTCGAAAAGCAGAAGGAGGGAAGACGGAAGCTGAAGGCTGTCGGCAATGTGGTTATTGAGCATAAAGCATTTCAGGCTTTCCTGGCCAAGTAGACGGGGGTGGCTAACGATGTACCGAAGGTATGTTTCTAGATATGTAAGATATGAACAGATCGTGCCGAATAGAGCTGTCCACGATTGACTGATGTTGATGCTAAGGTTGTTACTGATTCATCGCCAGGGCCTAGGCGTAGGTTGCGGTCCGCAGCGCCGCGGATGACCCCAGCGGCGATCTACCGCTGATCGGAATACGAAGAGCTCCTGAAATCCCTGGGTCCTCCGAGATGTCTGAACGTAGATATTGCCATATTGCCCTTGCTCATGGGCGGAGCGGCATGTGTCGTCGATTACAAATGCAACACCTGTTCACTTGATGTCGCTCGACCAGGGTGATCCGTTGAAGCCTCCTCTTGGCCAACGAGACTCCTGCACTTTGGTACTCCGTACAAAGGCGTGGCTCAACAGGTTCCTTGGTACTTTAGCGAAAGTAACATGACACGGCACACAGTCGATCGTGCTGACCTGGCAAGTGTCCCGGGATTGTGCAGCGATGGGCTGCATGAAACCTTCAAGGACTATCCCGCCATTGGATGCGTCCTTTCAATGCGATTGCACGCACATTATGCTCCAGTAAGAGTGAAAGAAGCACGCTTTACGCGTGGTCACCGCTCAAGTACGCATTACCAGGAACCCGACAAGTGATCTTGATCATCGTCAACAGACAGATATATCGATCTCACTCGCTGCATGCGGGGCAGGATCATGCACCACACGCATCCGTCAAAGAACTAGCGGAACAAGCGATCAGCAGGCCAAGAGCTCAACAGGACATCGATGCAGCGGAGTCAGTTACAGCTACCTTCCGCTTAGCGAGTTGCTGAGCTTTGCCAGAGCGAATTGCAAGCGAGGACCGGTACTTCTCTCAAAGCCCGCGATGGTCCTGCCGTGGGCGACTCGTACTTCGATTGTGATGGATCGCAGTCATCGCGGGCAGCACGTCCTTGGTTCCTTCGAGCTCTCGGGCAGAAGCTTCCACTTTTACTCTGCTTCATCATCCCGCTCTCATGCACCTGGTGCGTATCTATCGTGGCTGAGTAGACACAGCGTCTACACCGAACCGCTTCACATCGTCACATCCTAAGACAGCAGACATGATCGTCGGAGAGAAGGCGGCCACTGGCAGTCGTGAGGCAGTCGAGACATCACACGTGCGACCAAATACCACAACCCGTGTGCGAGTATGTACATCCAGCACTGACTTTGTGAAAATGATGACTGACAGCCAGCACAGAAAGTCTTCTCCCATGCACAAATGTTCTTCTTCGCTTTGACCTTCATGAACAGCTGGGAGGCTATGGGAAGTAAGACGCATATCTACCCGGTGGCTCCGCTCTAGAATGCTGACAGTCTCGTAGCAAACATTGGAGTAATCTTCTACAACGGCGGTCCTCGAGCCATGGTATGGGGCTTCTTCATCATCATTCCCGGTACACTCTGCCAGGTCGCCTCGATATCCGAGATGGCATCAGTGCAACCCATAGCTGGGGCCCAGTACGTGTGGACACACTACTATGCACCTGAACGACTCCGCCGACCTATTACCTGGGTGCAAGGATGGGTTACCTGGTTCTCCTGGATCGCTATCACTGCTGGAACCGCCAATGTCATTGGCAACATCATCACAACCCTGGTGACCGTCCAATATCCCGATTACGTGTCAAGATCCTGGCACGTCCTCCTTATCATGTATGGATTCCTCCTTGTCCTTGGATTGCTGAATCAATTCGCTTTCTGGGTTATCCCATGGGTGGAAATGGCTGCTGGACTGATGCACATCATTCTCTTCATCGTTTTCGTTGCGGTGTTCGCCTCCCTCGGACAACGAAACACAGCAGACTTTGTTTTCTTCGAAAAGGCGAATCTATCAGGCTGGGAGAACGATTTTGTCTCGTTCAACCTAGGCATCATCCTCATCACTTGGGGCTTTGTTGGTAAAAGGCACACCTGCGCAACGCTCCCCTATCTTCAGCTAACCTCCGTGACACAGGCTTTGACGGCGCCATCCACATGTCCGAAGAAGTCCGCCGGGCTCGCCATGCCGTTCCCCGGGCTATGTTTCTGAGCATCTGCCTCAACAGCGGCCTCGCATTCGCCATGACCATCGTCTACCTCTTCTTCCTCGGCCCCGTCGACGACGTCCTAAACGCATACTACGGCCTCGTTCCCATCGTCATCAACGCCACCGGCTCCGTCCGCGCCGGGTCCGCAATGATTGGCTGCTTTATGATCACAGTCATCGCCGTCTTCCTTGGCTGCATCGCATCCACTTCCCGCCTGACCTGGGCGTGGTCTCGCGACGGTGCCCTGCCCCAATGGTTCGGCTACGTCGACAGCAGATACCGCGTGCCTGTCCGATCTCTCTGGCTGTCCATCTTCATCGTGGCAGTGCTACTGCTCCTCAACCTCGCCAGCGCAGTTGCCATCGGTGTCGTCATCTCCCTCGGTACCTTCGGCCTCTTCCAGTCGTACTTCATCGCCATCGGCTGCATGATCTACGCTCGATCTCAGGGGCGTGTTGAGGATGCCGGCTGGTCGCTCGGGCGTTGGGGATGGCCTGTCAATGTGGCGGCAATGGTCTATACCGCGTGGGTCGGGACCTTCACTGTATTTCCCAACTATCTGCCCATTACCAGTGATTACATGAATTATGCTCTGCCCATCAACGTGGGCGTCTGGATATTTGCGGCAGTCACCTGGTTCGCTTGGGCGAGGAAGAACTGGACGGGGTTGAACATGGAGGTTTTTGAGGCTGTGCTCGCAGATGCAGATCGCGCAACGAAAGACTGAGCGGGCTGAGAAATACAGAACTTTGTGATCTCTGCTTTTCTTTCTAAACCAAGAAATATGATACAGAGCTCCTGCTCGTTTGTCATTCCTCTACTTGCTTTTTAGAAATATCGAAGTCTTTATCGGTAGAAAGAGACTGCGGCGCCAAAGCTCGTGTATATCTAATGCTGACCAAGTTCGTTTGCTAAGGTATCGTGCATCGCAACGACCTTGTCCCCAGATTCGTGCATTCAACCTCACCAGCTCATGGGGGGTCTTGGTAGTCCACTATGTTTAGCATACCAACATTAGGCAGATCCGCCTATGGATCTCAATTAATTGTAATCTCGACCGGCTCAATTGCGAGGCCTTCCCGCCAGCGGTACCGAACCATCTCAATAATCCCCTCGAAGTCTTCGTCATCATGCTTGACCATGACAGTTTCCATGGCCGGCTCGATCTGAATACGTGCAGTCAGGTTTCGATCATCGGCGCTCGATTCGAGCGCGCGGGCTGCCGCAGATTGCTTCCATACATCGGCTGAGCTGCGGCACACCGCTAGACGCTTGACTCGCCTGTAGACGCCAATGAAGTGGATCTCGACAGCACCAAGATCAAACTCGGTAGTTGGAGCAGCTGCTGAAGGTGGTTGCTGCCCGGGTGCTGCGGTGGAAGGTATAGGTGGACGAACAAGAGCATCACCATCGCTCAGAGTAGGGACCTTGCTGTCCTCTGGTTCCGCTGTGAGATCTATTACCATCCTAGACTGATCTTTAGATATTGGCCCTGGCGCATAGACCGCCTGAGTGCCTCTTTGAACTGGATTTGTGGCTGTGTCTAAAGGTGGTTGTGTTATGGCACGAGGGGACATTGTCTCGCCATGCTCGCAATCTCGGTGAGTATTCGTGACGACATTGAGTGTAATGTCTGTGATCGTGCTGTCAATTGAGTTGTTGTCATGATCATGGTCATGGCCATCCTCAAGATCGGATTCGGTATCTTGAATCCATTCATACTCTTCTTCCCCAGCAGGAGCAGGTGTTAAGACTGAAGATCAGAATGTTTACCTGGGCTATAATCGACACGCCTTCGTTTGCGTAGTGAGCGCCTTAGTGTCCCACCAATGAACGTATTTTGTGCAGTAGCAGCAGCAGATCCATGACCTTCTCCTAGTGCGGTGATTAGGTGGAGGCTTGGTAAAGATCTGTGCGTGTAGAACTTACCTCTGTGACTAGACGGAAGGCGGAGCGTCACGATCAGACTTAGTTTAGGAGGGTGAGCTCTAGTGGCGTCTAGGTTGTTGCTCAAGAACTGTATGACTTCTCCAGCCACTTGCGTACAGCCCCTTTTCGGGCCCTCTCACAAAACGAATATATCCGCTTTTCGTCGTAAGGGCCGACCGATAATGGCAAGTCCAGGCTGTCCTTGTACTCTGGCTAACAATACGCGGCGCACGCCTTTGTGCTGAGGGTCCAGTAATTTGATGTCAAAGGCAGAGAAAGGATACATTCTGACGCTCACTGGCTCGATTGAGTTCTTGGACTTCCACCGCCCATGACGGCCATAGCGTTCGACAAACTTCGCGAGCGCATCCTGTCGGAAAGATAGCTGCTGAAGAAGTTGTTCATTGTCGCTGACAGCTTGAATCTGCTGGACTAGGTCCACTGGTGGCTTCTCGGGTAGCGGCGAATCCTGAGTTTGGTTCTGCATGCAGCCGTCAGCCAATTTCATACCGCGACCATTGTTACATACCCGCATGCTGACCTGCTGGATTTCTGGGTTGTGGAATTTGACCTGGGCGAGTCTATGCGAACGTCGTCCTCCTTGCTCATGTGGGGGAGTAAGCTAGTACAACGTACTATACGAGTCTTACAGTAAAGAGGCCGGGAAATTGGTCAGAGTGTAAGACTGTACAGGATCTGGTGCGATATAAGTAGTCAATAGACCGTAGATTCGGACAGGCATTATTCACTTAAAACACAGAACCCATGCGCTATTGAGATGAGTCTCAAATGTGGGAGACAGCAAAATTCATCAGAGCAGTGAACTTATCTGCAGATGAGACTGTGAGTTTCGTGCTATTCCTGATGACGGACACATTGAATGTTATCGACGAAGACTAGTAGCAGGATACTTTGGCTCAAAATGACTCAGCCATATCTAGTGGGATAGACAAATACGCAGCTAGGTGTAACATTCGTCAGTGATCTGATTCCTCGAAGTTGAATAGCGGTTGCATCTAAGAACCCACGTTCAGCGTTACACCAGTTTACCTCGAGAGTTGATTTGGACCAGCATTCTAACGCACTGACGCGTTATATGTTGGGCAGACCCCGTGCTGCCGATGTGTTTCATATCATTGCTGCCTCAAATTCGCCTTGCGAAGCTACTTGTGCAATCTCGCCATTCGAAGCATGCCCGACATCATGAAAACATCGATCCTTGAATCGAGTCTCTGACACTGAGCGCCCCACCACTTACTTATGATCTTGGACCACTTTCACGAATGGTCTCCCCACGATTAGTTGACGTTGCTATGCTCTTGATCGCGTGCTTGAAGCACTATTGAACTTGCTCACTTGAATGATACAGTTCTCTGCATCACCTCGCCAGGCGCGATCGTGCATGACGATTTCGACCATTTCCCTGAAGTCCTGCTCGTCTGCGACCACTTGTCGATGCTTTGAGGCATCGGTGAGGGTCATCGAACAACTGAGAATAGGAACAGGATCGTCTTCACTGATGACCCCTCCGACAACTGCATTGATGAAGAGACTCTGATAAGTAGGACACTTTAGAGCGTCTCGGATGCGGACTGCGTCGCCAAAGTTACTTTTGAAGTGGAACAGTGTGTGCGTGGCTCGCTCTGTGAAGGTGGCATCGAGCACAGTTGATGTCCAAAGGCCGCCTGTTGATTGTGGGGCCAAATTGAGGGTCGAATCACTCTTTAGTGAGGTCGTACAACCACCACGAGAGAGTGTCAATGGATTGACGTTTGCAGACCCGGTTGCAATTGCAGATCGGTATCCAATAGTCTGGCCGATACCGTGCTGGCCGCTTTCTCCTGAAGATAAGGTTACGTGAGAGATTGGGGAGCTGCCAGCGTCGTCAATCTGTATCAGCTTTCTGACGACGATGGCCTGGGTTGAGGGATCGTCATTTACGCCTCCCCATGCTCTGAACTCATTGCTGTAAGGTTTGGTGCGAGCAAGCGCGACGGGCTCATGCAAAGGAACCCCACTAGCGACAATGAGGCGCTCGGAGCCCTTCTTTTCATCTTTTCTCATCCACTCGAGAGCGAAGGCGTCGATGTGGAGTCGTTGACCAGTCTGAGCGTGGAAGTACACAGCTTCTTTGGTGGCCTTCTTTGTGACTTTGTCGATAATCTTGAAGATTCTTTGGACTTGAACGCAGTAGATCTGTCGTACGATCAGTACTCAAGGCGTAATAGAAAGGGGTCGTCTATTGCTCTCTTTCGTTGACCCTCATCACAGTGAACTGACCTCGTTGGGGATCGCCGTGCATTTATTGGCCGTTTGATAGCCACGGATCAGATGGGCAATGTTGGGAGGAAGGCTGGCGGGTAGGGCAGGTCCTTGGCGGTAGAATTCAGATTGGTTTGCAGTGTCGGAGTCAATCTTGCGCTTCTTGGCTCGAGGCTTCTGCACAGCGGGCTCCGGAAAAGAGGCATCGTCAGCATCATCATCGTCGTCGTCGATGACAATGGTGTCGTAGAGGAACGCGATAGCCTTGGGCTGCTTAAGCTCCTGAGAGCTCGGCTGCGAAGAAAAGTCAGGTGACGCATAGGGATCCGAAGCAATTTCGTTGACGAGATACGGAGGCGTGGCAGGACCAGAAGTACCTGGACTCGGCAAGGAACTCAGGGGTGCAACGCTCGAGTTGGTCTCCATCTTGATGATATGTTGGACCATAGGCGTTTGTTGGTGAGGGAGTCGCGATGTGAACATTACATCAGGTTAAGGTGTAGGCGAGGTGGAGGGTAGGTCTGGCAGGAGGAAATTCAGCCGGTGGCAAGTAGGATGAGGTCGACACCCCCCCGAGAAGCATGTGAATGGGGGTGCGAACAAAATTGAAGGCAGTTGGTAAATCATGAGACTGCTGGAAGCTGCAGCGAGTTACAAGTGAGGCACGAGTAAGAACGACTTACCTGCTCTGGTCTTGGCAAATGAATCATTAGCCTCCATGCAATATGTAGCCAGATTCCGCTATCTCAAAGTCCAAAGCAAGATGCATTTCGCAAGCCGATGATGTGAGGACAGAAAATTGCATGGGAATGTGCAGAAAGTTCTTTGGGAATTGCAAGGAGAAACAGATTGACGGAGTCAGGGAGAGGTCGACGGGGAATTCGGGAGGGAACTGACCTCCGCCTGTAGCGAAGCTTGCGATATAGCCGTGAGTCGGGTGGGGGTAATAAGATGTGGTTCGCCAAACTTCAGTGAGAATTGTTCCTCATTTTCCTTGGATATGCCGCCTGTCTTCTAACCATATGTACACTCGTTCTGCAGGGTTTCCGTGCGCAGATCTTTTTTTGCCGTTTTCATTGTGTTTCGTGGTTTATGAGAAGCCAGCCTCACGCGCTCTCTGGTCCTCCAACTTGGCATAGAATTGATCGCGAGCCCGGACGCGAGGGAGGTGATATCCATACCACCAAAGATAGCCGAAGGTGGTACCTAGTGGCCTCAAGCTTAGCAAATACAATGGATCCGGAAGCGAACAGCCATACCTAGGCCGCCAGCAATTGCTAGATCAAGGACCAGGCCCCGACGGAGCATCTATCGAGGTTGTTAGCTCCTTCTCTGCTGCGACCGGGGATGCGTACTCCAGTGATCGGTTTGACCGGCATGGTCGCGGCGAGTGAAGTCCTCGAGGGTCGTAGAGCTGTCTCGATGCAGCTGAAGTCTCCCAGTCGGTAGTCGGGAACTATGAGGTAGTGGTGTGAGGAGGTAGAGGTATAAGAGGGGAGCTCTGACTTGAATCTGAGGTCGGAAAGCGCAGCCTTGGCGCTCTGGCAGCTGAGCTAAACCGCAAACTGCCAAAGATCATGCCACCCATCGACACTTCAGTACTTCACTGCGCCTTCCAAGCAACAATGGCAGATGCGGCTGTGAGAGAGCCGTCGCCAAAGAGGCCGGTTGATGCGCCTGATGATGGCCATAAAGCAAAGCGACCGCGGCGGCCTTACCATCATCAGCACCGCTTTCTCCCACTGGATCAGCCTATCGAGTCGCGAGAGCCCGCGTTCGTAGACCCCGAGACAGCCGAAAAATTGCTTTTCAATGCTATCAAGACGATCATTGAGGAAGAGGGACTGAAAAGAGAGATATACGATCCTGTCATTGAGGCATTGGCATTAACAGCCTTCCACGATGCGATTCAAGAATGTATAACTACATTACACCATGCGTGGGCTTTGCACTGACATATCCAGACATCCTCAAGTTCTGCTCAAAAGTCCGACGATCGATGACAGCTGCCCGACGCAATGCGCCTATAGCTACAGACTTCGAGAGCGCTATCTATGCACTGGACGTTCCGCGACTCGATGATCAACTGAAAGCGTATCGGACGCAACCAGAAATCAATCCTCGCCTCCTTCCCACACCTCCGCCAGACGACCCGTTTCACAACCATGTCGATATGCCAGCAGCTCTGCTAGGACCAGATCTTGGTGGCCAGACCGCCTTAACGAAGTTCCACCCCAACCCGTCCTTTCTCCCACCACTGCCTTCGGCGCATACATACAAAGACACTGCAGTTTTTGCCATTCGCGAGACCGACTCAAGACGAATCCGAGAGTTGGCCACCGAGGAAGGTAAACTTGGCGAGCAAGCCCTTCGCAGACTGGCTGGCGCAGTCAAGCTCGATGCAACACACCCGGTTGACCCTGACACGCACAGGCAGGCGGTATCGAGCCAGGTGGGCAAGCGACAGAAGAAGACCCAGCCAAAGGCCACTGAAGCGGAGTTATTTGAAGACACAATGCGCGACCTGCTGAAGGCGGAATCGGACGGCTTCGAGCTAGGCCCAATCGTGACTTCAGAAAAGTCGTATCGCATGCCGGACGAGGGCCTGGCGCAGAAACGGCTGCGCGCTGATGATAAAAGCAATACGGCCGAGACTGCGACTGACAAGGCAAAGGGAAAGGAGAAGGCATATGACACCCTCCCCCCTCCACTTACTACCTCAAAGGCGCGCGACCGGTACGCTGATGTCGATGTAATGGAGCTGTGATCTTGCTTTTTACTTTGCGGCATAGCGAGGGCGTTGTGGCTTTGGAACATATTATGATACCCGGAGGCTCATGTTCACTTCTTGGACCAGAACCATTTTCCTTCCTGATCGGCACGATCGCGTGTGCTTGTAGTTTCGGTGGTCCCGACGTCTTCTTCGAGCACTCTCTTCGGCTTCCATGCATATTGGCCTTCCCATGCCGTAGTCTCAACGTGAAACATCTCGTCGCCTTTGCCACACCTGTGTCCGTTAGCAAGCTAGACCAACTATGCAAGCGCAATCTCACCGTCTGAACAGCCGCACAAAAGGATGGCACTCAATACCAGCTTTCTTACGGTTCGGGTTTGCAAGCTCCTGATCGCGCAACTGCTTGCCGGTCGTGCAGCTGTACTGCACGAGCTCGTACAACTCGCAATCCTTTTTCAGATCAAAGTCCTTCGGTAGCTTCCTGCTCTTCTCCTTGAAATTCTTCGTGACAAAATGCACGCGCTGCTCGAGTTCGCTAACGGGGAACTGGTGTTCGGGTGGTGCCATTTTAATGCGGGCTGCAGACGTTTCTTGCTCCGGCTGCCGCCCTTGATCCTTCCTTTTCCCCCTGGCCTCAGAGATTCGCGTCACAAGCCGTTAGGGAGCTAACATGGCAGCAGAATGTCCGTCGAGCAGTTCGGCGCAAGCTTGCTCGGTGAAGTGCGAGAAGAGAGTCTAGATGAGGTGAGTGGCTAGGGAAATATTCCGCCCCGAAAACCCCTAGGTATCCACAGCCTTGTTGAGACGACCCATGGATGAGGAAGAGTACATGATTAATGTCTAGCAGCTTCTGAGGGATCTCGCAACGACTCTAGACCCTCGTCCGAAAGACATTCTTGGCTTGAGGGAGGTAGATCGGCTCCTCGAGCTCTTTCGCTACCACCGACCTGGAACACCCACCCGTCGGCCAGGATGGACAACAGCAGAAGAGGCAGGGGAAGGCTCCATCTCCGGTGATGTCGATGCCGGCGACCCTGCCGCAGAGCCACTGAAGGCCCGGCCACCCATCATTGAGATCTCGAGCACCCTCTCAGCAGCCGGCAAGACGAGCTTCCTCTACCTTTTGACGGCACATGCCCTCCTCCCCGTTCTCTACGGTGGCCTAGAATCCACTGCTCTCTGGCTTGATACCGATGGCCGCTTCTCGGCTCTCCGCCTCTCCCACATCATGTCCCATCTCCTCAGCGCGTCCCCATCCCAGCCATCTTCCTCCACCATCCACTCCACGATTGACTCCTCCCTCCGCCAACTCCACATCCTCACGCCCACAACATCCTCTCAGCTCCTCGCCAGCCTCGAATCCCTCCCCTCAGCCCTCCTATCCCTCGCTTCCTCCCGCCCATTCCGCCTCTTGATCCTCGACTCCGCCACCGCCTTCGCCCACCAAGACCGCTTCGACGCCGACATCGCCCGCCTGGAAGCCGGCGCAGAGTACTACAACGCCTCCCGCCCCCGCACCCCATCACGCACCGCCCAGATCATCTCCGCCCTATGCACCATTCAGCAACAGTTCAGGTGCACCCTCATCTTCACCACAACGCCGCAACACCCCGGGTTCAATACCCGCCCCCTCACGACTCCCGCCACCACCAGCAGCGGCTCCGCAACAGGAGGCCAGCGTCCCCAGCACCAGCACCAGCACCAGCACCAGCCCCAACGGCCCGACGAGCCCGTGCCCATCTCGCCCTGGAACGCCCTCGCGACCCTAACGCTGAAAGTGGAGCGCACGGCCGTTACGCAGTTCGCGCCGAGCGCCGGCCTGACCGAGTGTCTGCGCGACCGGGAGAAGCGGCAGGAGGCGGTGGGCGCGGGCAAGTTTGTGGTGCGTCTGGATTGGGAGGGAGCGGAGCGGTGGCCGCCGGGGGTTAGGGAGGTGGTGCTGGGAGGGGGAGGGGTTGAGGGGGGCCGGGGGAGGATTGAGATGAGGATTCATGGGGAGGGGGTGGATGTTGGTTAATGAGAGGGAGTTAATGCGCCAAGTTTGCTGTCGCGAGAGTGGGAATGAGGGCAGTGGTTGAGTGGTGGTGGTGTTGTAGTAGTAGTTGTTCTGTCATTGCGCGGATCTGTGACTTGATCTCAGCGTGTTTATCGGGTTCCATTACATGTCGTTCTGCTTTTCAATCTATTGCAGGCTCTTTCCCTCTATAGAGATCTAAGAGAATCCTTCCTAACCTCACTTCTTTCTATCTCAAGATCAACTCACCGCATGATGGCCCTCAATCAAATCCTTGGCCGCCACCTTCTGACACTCCTGGAAATAGCTGACCTGGCGCGCCACCTCCTCAAGCCGGCCCAGCACCTCCAAGTTCCCCCTCCCAAAACCATAGATCACGTAAGGGATGCCGACCTCCTCACAAAACTCACGCACGTAGCTCTGCGCTTTCCGCAAGTTGTGCCTGGGCAGACGCGGAAACAGGTGGTGCACAGCCTGGAACTGCAGGCCGCCATGCACAAAGTCCAGCCAGGCGGGGCAGTCGACGTCCATGGTGGTGCGGAGCATGCGCTGCGCGAAGCTTTCGGCGACGCCGACGTCCACGGTGCTCATGGCGAAGTGGCTGAGGGTGATTTGCACGTGCAGCGGGGACGAGAAGACGTGCGAGGTCATGACGAAGGCGAAGCGCGACAGGTGCGTCGGGATGGAGGCGCAGACGAGGTAGCCGAACCAGTACCAGAAGACGGCGATGCCGACGAGTTCGAGGTACCAGTGCCACCAGGCGGGGCCTTTGCGTGGGGGCTGCTTGCTGAAGAGGTAAATGTAGGATTGCACGTAGAGGTTGAAGTGGGCGAGGGCCAGGATGGGGTAGTAGGTCCAATGCTGCACGCTCAGCAGGACCTGGGCGAGTTTGTCGAAGGCGAGCACGCGCCCGTGATAAGTCGAGTACAGAGACTGGAAGAATTTGGTGCTCACGGCGAAGAAGGGCATGTGCTGGATGTCCTGGTCGTGCTCAGGCATGTTGGTGACGATGTGGTGCACGTTGTGGCTGCGCTTCCACCAGCCGATGGACAGACCGCCACAGAAGTTGGCGATGAAAATGCCGATGCTGGTGTCGAGGTGGAAGTTGTGCGTAATGCCCATATGACCAGCGTCGTGGGCAGTGAAGACAAGTTGGTGCCAGAAAAGGCCAAGGAAAATGCCCGCTATGGCGTACTGCTGGATATGCAAGCACGCGAAGCAGGAGGTGATGAGGAACAGGTATCGCGTTATCTCCCAGGCGTACGCAGTGTAGTTGCAGTTGTACAGCCCGGCAGCACGGAGGCGGACTTCGAGTGCGCGGTATTTGGAGATAACCGCGTCTTGCGCGGTGGCGTTGAGCGCGGGGTAGTTGAGCAGTGAATTGGATGGATTGTTGCAGACAAAGTAGTGATTCTTGGGTGTGGCATTCTGTTCCGCCGCCTCCGGTAGGTCGTCGTCTGAAGCCAAAGAAGATATAGAGCTCGTCTCAGTATGGTTGCGGTGGCGGAGACCGTCCGTAGGCTCGAAGATTGGCGAAGGAGCTGTGCTACTGCACGAACTAGAATCCTCCTGTTCCTGTAGCTCTCCCCCTCCTTTCCCAATAGATTCTGTGAATACGCCGCCCTGTATAGGAGGAGTGAAGTTCTGCCATCGGCCCTCTATCCTGCCGATCACGTATTTCTGCATCTGCCCCAGTGTCTCTCGCGAGTGTAGGGCTCGAATCTCGTCTGTACCGTCCCTACCAACCATGTGCAGAATGGCTAAGTTACCGCCTGGATGGTACGGGAGCCATGCATCTGCCTTGATCACCTGTCCATCCAGAATTATAATCTTGCGGCCCTGGGCAATCAACCCCTCGATTTCGCGGCGGGACCATACTCGGTCCTTGGGAGAGGTTCGAGAAGCCATGTTGGCGGCAGGAAGTGCTTGAGCTGCTGCGCTGTGTGGTCTCAAGGACTAATAATCCATCTCTCACGGAGAATGAGCAGAAGTTATCCACGAGGGGTACTTGTACCTGTTCAGGGTCCCTGGGAGCGAACATCGCATGTGCAGGCGGCGGAGCGAAGCCAGATGTGGTTGTGCCAGCCAATCAGAAGCCGCCCTCCTCACCTACTTTTTCTCGCTTGGGATTCTCCGCCGCCAGCACGGGATGGTCTCTACTTGACGAGTACTCCGTCACCCTCTGTGTGAAAGCGGACCAGATGGATCATCGAGGGGTATTAGTTGCAGTGTTGACTTTGGGACCAGGGTTAGAAAGAGCGGATTTGGGCATGGGAGTTCTGAATTATTGTACAACCTGGGTCTGGAAAGTGGTAGTTTAGGCGATTGTAGTTGTCGTGCAAGAAAAGCAACAATTAAGAAAGGACGCTGAGTTGCGATTTTCGATAAAACCGTCGCGTTGTGAGGCTAGACGTCTGGTTCACTCGTAATACAAATATGTACTCGTTACCTTCCACCCTTCCCGCCCCTTTGTGGCCAGATTTGTCAGATGCTTTTCCACAGCGCACCGAACGAACATCGCAGCTTCTCGCAGAACCTCTGCGGTTCTGGAGGCAGTTTCGCTCCTTGCGGCTTGCGGAGCCGTAGAGTTATGAGCCATGCTCACTGTCCACTCCTCATCTTCCTCAGCCGCTTGTGTTCCCGCCGAGATCTGCAGCGGAGCAAGCAAAGCCCGACCAAGAACCCGAGTCCCGATAGGCTAGCCGCGACCAGGATGATGATGGACAGTGTCTTGATGGTACTGGCGTACGGGCCGGTCGGAGACAAGTTGATGGACTAGATCTCGTCTTCTTGAAGAATAGTTGTGTTTGTTGCTGCTGGAGGAGACTCTTGGGCTGAGGTCATGTTGGCGACTGATGGACTGGTGGAATGCAAGCCGGAGTCGTTGTGCGCATCAACAGCGGTGGAGGCGTTCGGATAGGCGGTAGTGGTTGGCTGGGTAGTCATATTGGGAGTCATTTGACTCGGTGGTGATTGGTCAAGGCTGGAGTGATATGATCGTAATTACCATGTTGCTCGTGGTGAGGTCTGCTCGAGCTAGAGCAAGACCTGTGTAAGTGACCAGAAATCCGTCAGTGGGCACTTGCTTCATGAAGTCGCATTTTCGCGGTGGCAGGAGCAACAGTCACAGTGTAAGCGTGCTTGTATCGCGGCCCGTGTGACTCCAGGTCCCCTAGTTGATCGAACCGCTGCACCAAGCGGGCCACGACATATCCAGCAGTGGTGAGTGCGTACTGCTGGCCCAGGCATATTCTCGGGCCGCCGTTGAAAGGCACGAACTCCCATCCTGCTTTCCGGTCAATCCACCGCTCCGGAACGAACTCCTCAGCGTCCTCGCCGAACAGGTCTTTGCGTCGCTGGATGTTGTGGACACTGTTGAGAAGCGATTAGTAGGCTTCAGGGGACCAGGAGATGGGGGACGGGTCTTAAGGCTACCCAAGGCAGAGCAGTGCTGGGAGCTGGCATTATAGCAGGCTGTGCCTGATGTGCTCTCTCTCTCTGTCTTTGCGGCGCGACTCACCTGTAGGAGACTTCTTGGCCCTTCTTCACAAAAACCGGCGATTTGCCATCCGGCCCTCCCCCGACGGGAAGCGTTGTATCTCTGACGGCGCAGCGACCGTTGGCAGGAACTGAGGGGTGAAGCCGTAAGCCCTCGTTCAGCACGTATTGCAGGTAGCTGCAAGCTTTCAGTTCGGCAAAGTCCATGTTCTTGGGGTGTTCATAGGTTCCAAAATCGTTGACGACAGCCTGGCGCAGTTTCTGGTAGATTGCTGGGTTCTCTGCCAGTCTATAGAATATCGCTCCTAGCAAGCCGGCTGTTGTATCTCGGCCGGCAAGAAGAATGTGAAGCAACTGGTTTCGCATCTCAACTGGATCCCTAGTAGCCTGGGCCAACTCTTCGGCGAACACGTAGCGCCCCTTTTTGTGTCCTCCTTCAAGTTCTTTCTCCTGGCCGGCAGAGGACTTGGTAGAGTCAAGGGCCTTGCGCACGAAGTAATCTGCAAATCTGTGAACCTCTTTGATGGATCTTAGGAACTCTGGTGGGTTGTACATCCAATGGAGGTCGTTGATCCGGAATTTCGTGGCAACGTACGCCATCCCGGTATCAAAAGCTGTACTGAAGTTGATGGTGTTGAGCGACTGGTGGTCGCCGCGTGTTAGCTCGTGCTCATAGCCTGGAAGAGCCAGCAACTGGGAGTCGACACTCTCTCCGAACAAGAACTCGGTGGCTCCGTCCAAGGAGAGACGGAAGAACATTGGGGCAAGGTCGATTTGTTGCGTCCATCCGGAAGAATCGACTTGGAAGTGTCGCATGAAATGTTGAAGATGACGCTCGAGGGAATCGAGATCAGCAATATTTGCTCTTGCAAATTGAGGCCGAAGCAGGGCGCGTGAATGCTCCCATCGCTCGCCGTTGTCGCTGAACTGCGGATGTTGAAAACCGTGCGTCAGTAGCGGTAGTACCAGAAGCGAAGACGCGCCTTAATGACAAGGTGAAGGACCTACAATGCCATATCCAAACATCTGATAGAAGCAGCCTTGACGAACACTCCCAAACTCAAAGTCCTTGAATTGTGTGGCGAGAATGGCCTGGACGTTCTTGGGTTCGAGGGTGTTGATAACTGTTGCTCCTGCAAAAGCCTGAAGCCAAGTATGAGTGCGAGGGCTCATTTCTTTGGCAACATCCTCAAAGAGGTTGACCAGGTCGTTTGTTCTGTCTGCTTTGATGATCTCCCACACGAAGTCGAACCCCCCTGGCCACTTGGAACGCCGGCGAATGGGAGGCTGGCAACCCCATTCCGCCGCGAGTCGCGCGTGACGTCGACGAGTGAGATACGAGGATAAGACCAGGTAGACGGCAGTGACCGCTGCTAGAAGCGCAATGATGGGATACATGATCGGTGTGGACAGTAAGTAAACAGGTGTGAGGGGCTGGTAGATTTCTTGTTATAGCTAGACGAGCTGCCCGTGAGACATGATCGAGCTGGTGGCCTGTTTTGACCGGGGTGACATAGAAACTCGTTTAAGAAGACCAATCCGTGACTTCACCCGCAGTGAAGCCAGCACGAACCACTGATGCAGACTAACACAGTGGATCTCGGCCAGGGTATGTTGCCGAGAATGGCTGATCGAGCTAGGAAGGACCTTCGTTTAGTGTACATCCACGAGGTCAGCAGGATTGTAAGAGGCCCATAGTAGTTCCCGCCATGAATAAGACACCGGGGATCTCGGGGGAGTGACCTGGAGGGGTAGGTCTAGCTCAACCGCGGCATGAAATGTTAAAAGAAGGCAACCCGATTGGCTCGCCATCACCAGTTTGCCCTTTGATGCACTGCGGGCAAACAGTTGCGAGCGAGAGGTGACGACTTGGAGGCCAGCTGGTGAACACGCGTACTTGGAATTCTTGTAGGTGTTCGAGGACCGAGCTTGGCTGTCACCAACTAGCAAGGAACGCCACTTTCTACATTAGGTAGTCATTTTGCTCGGTGATAAAACGATTAAGCATCAGGCCGGCAACAACTATCGCCTGCATAGACTACTGAAGGGCCGTTTGAGAGTGTGGGGTTGCAAGAGCGGAGCATTTCCTGACCGCCTGCGCAAACGATTACATGGTGTGTGGGTATCTGAACTGATCAAGGTCGGATGAACTTCGTCTATGTTACATGGCCGGGCACTCCAGTCGCTGCTGTCCTTTGCCAGGAGACTTTGCCAGGGAAATATTATTAGAACACGTCAGAACGAGCCTGGTTGGCTGTCTAGGCCTCGATGAACTTCTTCATGTCTGCAGAATCAATTAGCAAACTCGAGCATTGGAACCGGGCAGGCAAGACTTACTGCTTAGCCAGTCAACATATTCGCGCTGCTCTTTGGCTTCAATGAGGATGGGCAGGATCTGCGCCAGCTCCTCGTTGACACCGCGCTCCTCGAGGTACTGCTCAAACATGACCTGGAGATCACCGTCAAGGTTGTTGAAAGGTGGGCCAGCATAAGGTGTAGTGTTATCATCGCCCGCGGGCTCGGCTGGGAGATACTGAATCTCGTGGGTCTGAACGGCGCCGTCTTGAACGGCAGCTCGAATCTCGATCTTCTGGTTGCCAGGCTTAGTGACCGTGATGTCGATGTTGATGGGGTACGAAGGGGTCGCGTCGCCATCCGCAAATTCACCGTCGCGGTCTGCAGGTGCGACTTGATCTTCGGAGACGACATCGACGGGGCGTCCGCTGGCGCCCGACTGGTTGATGGTGCGCTTGGGTTGCTCGAAACCCTCGTCTGCGAGCGCGGCATCGTCGTCCATGTCTTGGTCCCATTCGTCTTCAGCCATGTCTGTCATGTCGGTGATCGACATCTCAACTTTGATTCTGCCACATGTCAGCCGCCAGTACAGTTGCAAGTCCGTCGCACTAGTACGTACGTCTCATTGTCGCCAAATGATCTCTGCAGCGTGATCTCGTGAGTGCCGGGATGATCAATCACTTCCCACACGCCACTTGATCGGAACTTCTCCAGCTCTGGATTGGCGTTGGCCGGGTCAGTGCTGTCAACCTCAAGAGCGCGCTCGCTCTCCAGTTTAGTAGCCAGGAGTTGATCACCTTCATCAAAATTAGTTGCTGATACAAGAGGCTTGTTCCTAAGAGCCTTACCGTCGCCTGCAGGTTCTCTTTTTGCTATCGACGTAGAGAATGCGGGATATGATGACTTCTTGAAGGCTTGTAGCGATGGGCGCAGGTAACTCTTCGAGACGGCAGAATAGCATCTGGACGACAAGGGCCGGAACGGTGCCCTGGGCGCAATGCGACCCAGCATACGAAGGGATTGCATGGCTGCGTATGTGTTCAGAATCTTGGAAAGTCAATTAGAAGCAGAAGATGGAGGTCGCTGATGGGTATGCAAGTTGGAAAGTTGACGAAAGCGTTGGCCAGATGAAGAGACTCGCATCGCAGCCATATTTTTTGACCACCTAGGGAGTACTCCGATTGGCTACGGGCGCCCCACAACTGGCCTGCAAATACCTACGTACCTCGCTACCAGCTGATGTAGCACTTCAGTTGGGTAATGAGACAGTCAATGGGATCAATCAGGGCTCATGCAGCCTGTCAGATTGAAGAATTGTTGTTGACCCTTGGCTGGCATATGGGTACGCTGGTGGTGGCGCATCATAAAAACCAGGCTCCGCCTCTCGTGGTCTGTCGTACGCACTTTCTATACCACAGCAACCCTCTCCTTCGCTACCTGTCGCATATGCCATCGTCTCGAATATCTGCTCCCGGACCTTCTGAAGTCTCTTCCTCCCGTCTGACAGGTTTGGAGAAGCATACGACATCTGTTGAGTGAGATCACTGCGACCCTGCTGCGCTGCCAACTGGTTCTGTCGAAGGCCTGCTTCGGCATGCTGAACCCAAAGGGGCGCTTTCTTGGACGTTGTGATGGAACGCATAATATGCAATACATTATCAAACAGAACATCACTCATGAGTGACGCTTGTGCAATAGCGATGGTCCTTGCTTGCTCCAGCACTCGATCCAACTCTGCCGTGGCCATCTCCGCCTGACTCAGTAGTCAGTCCGATTGAGCGTTGTCAGCAACTCTGCATTGCGAGATGCAGCCTGCTGTATCTGATCCTCGACCAAAGCCATGTTTCAAGTACACGTCATGAAGTTGTTGAGAGTGCCGATAAGGGGGATGCCGATTTAATGACCATTTGATAGGCAAAATGCTAAGAAGCTCGCTTGAGTTGCCATACAAATACCAATGAACAATGGCCGGAGGGCTTCCAACTGAGGCAATTTTGAACACTCCAGTTCGGGGCACTGTTTTGTGAATGTTCCATATTCAGTCCGATGTGCGACTTGACGTCACTGAGAAGAGGGAAATCGGGAACAGTACTTGTCAGGCGGAGTTTGGAGCGCGGATGCGAAGTATTTGGCCTCCGTCCTACTGCTCTCCGGCGCGGGGCGTGGCAATTGGCGCCTGATTGCATGGCCCTCTGAGAAGCATCTTGCGAGCTGCAGGGTTGCAACGTTGCGAGGGCCATCCGCTAGGTACCGCAGTCGTGACATGGATCCGTAGTGATCCATATCGAATGTGAGCTCATAGCACAAGCAATTCTTGCGTTCCATCTCGAAGCGCTGTTCTTCTTGAGCAGGCGGCAGCTGCTGCGACAACGGTTCTTGTGACCTTTCGTTAGGACATGCCCTTCGGAGGAAACTTCGATGTTTGAACACCGCCGCCGTTGGTGATACGAATGAAGCTGAGCGTATTCAAGCCCGCCCAATCGCCGCTCCACTTTTCAAGCTTGTCGCGTCCTTCCTGGTCGCGAAGGTCAGGAATCCAGAAGCCGGCCTTATATTCCTTTTCCTCCGTGTCTTTACGGTCGTTGATGCGTTCCTCAACCTTGCTGGGAGGACGGCCTGGGCGGCGCTCTGCTTTAGCCTCTGCAAGCTCTTCGTCTTCGCGACCAATGAAAGTCTGCGTCAAAACGTGCAGCTCTTCCTCAGTTAGTGGTCCGGTGCTGCCTTCTAGAGCAGATCTGTACCATGCGACGCGATCGACGTAAACTTGATTCGTGCGAGTGGCGGCATCGAATATTCTGGCAAGCTTGTCTTCTCTGGCACCCGCTCTCCGCAACCTCTGGGCATCTCTGCTGTTCTGATGTAGGGCAGTGGGCTTCCCACCTCTTTTCTTGCTGATGTGCTTCTGCACTTTGCCTAAGGAGCGCGGCATGTTGAACTTACAGTCCTGTCGACTCAGTTACTCCTGTATGGGTCTGTCTGATCAGTAGTCCACTGGGCAACTTTTTTTCTCTGATACCGGCAAAGAGAGGACTTGGCTTGGCGCAGTGTTGATTGGCCTCCTCTGGGGGTGGAGTCTCACTGAGCGCGTTGAGCAGGTAGGCGCGTCGACCCTGTCGACCATGTGCATTAGGCACCTCTTCACACACACAGCGGAACATCTACCTAGCTCCCAATTTCACCGACTTCTTCCTCCTATGCGCGTGTCACGCTCAGTCGCCCATTCGCCTTCACTACAATACCTACATTCGGGCATGGCTAGCAGGCGGTGAGAGGACAAATTGATCCGCTGAGGACCCAGGCATCATGGGCATCTCGGGTGCGCAAAACCCTCAAATCGTCACTCTTGCGTGTACTGACAAGTACAGGCCTTCTTCCTCTCTTGAAGTCCATTCAGAAGCCATGCACTCTCAAGAAGTTCGCAGGCCAGACCATCGGTGTCGACGCATATGGCTGGCTCCATCGCGGCACCGTGGCTTGTGCTATTGAACTAGTCCAGGACAAACCTACAACCAAATATGTCGATTTCGCAGTGGGACGAGTACGCATGCTTCTGGACTTCGGAATCACACCATACTTGGTCTTTGATGGTGACAGCTTACCCAGCAAAGCCGATACCAATGCCCAGAGACGCAAGAGGAGGGAAGAGAGCAAGGCGGCTGGTCTAGAGCTGCTGCGTGCTGGCAAGACAGCTCAGGCCCACCAAGAATTGCAGAAGGCTGCTGCAGTCACGCCCTACATGGCGAAGCTGTTGATCGAGCAGTTGAAGCAGTTGGGAGTCCAGTATCTTGTGGCACCGTACGAAGCAGATGCACAGCTAGTCTATCTTGAGCAGAAGGGTATCATTAACGGCATTCTATCCGAGGACTCTGACATGCTTGTCTATGGCGCCAAACGCCTCATCACCAAGCTCAATCAATACGCGGAATGTGTCGAGATTGAACGGATCAATTTTGCCCTCTGCAAAGAGATCAGTCTGACAGGTTGGACCGATGCCATGTTTCGTCGGATGGCCATTCTCAGTGGCTGCGATTACCTTCCAAGCATTGAGAAAATGGGTCTCAAGACGGCGTATCGCTTTGTGCGTAAGTACAAGGACGCTGAAAAGGTCATCCGAATGGTGCAATTCGAGGGCAAGCTGTCCGTACCTGCCGATTATATTGCGAGCTTTCAGAACGCCGAGCTCACTTTCATACATCATCGTGTCTTTTGTCCGGAACGCCGTCAGATGGTTTTCATGGAAGACTTGCAACGTGGTATGAAAGAGGAAGATATGCCTTACCTGGGCAAGTTCGTGGACCCAGACACCGCCGTCGGTGTAGCATGTGGAGACCTCGATCCGAAGACGAAGCAGCCATTCCGAATCACACAGACCCCTAGACCCGCGCTGCGAGACCATCGACGACAGACTGTAGCAACATCACGCGAGCTCAAGCCCAACAAGTCCCTTGACTCGTTTTTGATCTCGCGGCAGCCATTGGCGGAACTGGATCCGAACAGCCTGACGCCGTCTCCTTCACAGCAGCGACTCTTGGAGCGGCATCGGAACGCTTCATGGGAGCCTCGTATAGTGTCTTCTGCGCCACAGCTCAGAACGTCAACGAGCATGACAACAGCATCATCAACACGCACTGACCGCAACGCATTCCTTTCACGGGCATCTGCAATATCTTCTTTCCAGGCTCCTAAAAGACAAAGACTGTGCTCAGATGCCCAAGACCCGTCCCCAACCAAAGAAGTCAAACGAAGTCCCTTCTTTGCTACTCCAGCTCCGCAGCAGAGCCCATCCGCTCAGAAGCAGGCTCGTATCAAAAAGTCTCGTCGAGCCGCATTCGATGTTTGGTCGGACGACTCGGTGGATGACATCCTGCTTGGCCTACCTGATGTTCAGCAGGCAGCGAGCCCACAGAAGAAAGTTGCTGAAGTTCCAGATATAGAGTGTGTGAAGCCACAAGAAGACGGCGACGATGAGGGACAGAGCTTAATTCCACAATCTTCACCCGCCGTGGGCTCAGCAGCTTTGCCAGACGATGTTGAACATGAGCCTGGAACTCCTTGCCTAGGGGCTCGCTCTCCACGCTCTGGGGCAGAAGTGGCAGACGCGGAAGTTGCGCCGTTCGAAGACGTTCTGGAGTCGCATGTTCGAATGCAGAAGGAGCTGAAGACCTTTGCTTATCAGTCTCCATCTAAGCGGGACGCAGCCCTAAGGACGCTGCCGCCTCCGAAAAGAGCCAGCGCGTCTGAAAAGACAGTCGGCGCACAATCGCCTGAGCAACAACTCTCTGCTCTAGCAACCCTGCCTGCTGCCGGATTCGTCAACGACTTGTGTTCTAAGCTTGGCCCAGCATCGAATTCACGAGATCAGCCTGACAAGTCAACTACGATCGTCGTCCACAGCCCGAAAGCCCGTCCAGACTGCGCCGCGGAGACGGGGCTGAATGACGTGTCAACCGAAACCATCATCCGGTATCCGGAGCTGCCATCAGGCACAGCCGACCTTCCACCACTCAGAGGCAGTGAGGATGCCATGATCCCTAATAGCGAGGATGAGGGTTCCGAACTTGGGGACGTGACACCGACACTCGACTTGAGCTCTTTTACCTTCGTTCCAACATAGACTCATTTATTTTACCAGTGTGCCTCGGGAAGTATCTTGAAGCGATAGAGGAGCTGCGCGCGAAATTCTTGGGAGAGAGACATTGGCGATTCACAGTGCAGGCAGCAAGCGCTTGGGATAACGCCGCAGCGGCGCGCAATGTGAAGCGACAACAGGGTAGCCCTGCCTTATGCATAACGAGTAACGATTCTGACAGTTGTCTCATAGCGATAATCGATTAATTGATTTCCCACTGACAAGGCTGGGCGAGCTGCTGGCGCTGGGTTCTAGAATAACCGGTGCCTTGGACTTTCCCAGTTAGGAAAGATGTTGACGGCCATGACGCAACCTCGGCGGCCGACGCGGCAACCGCGACTTCCAGCGCATCTAAATGCCAAGGCCCAGCCTCCAGACTTCCCCGTCGCTAACAGAATTATTGTCTCCCAGCCTGCATACCAACCACCGATTTAACATTGAATGGCATTGGATATTGCACAAATTGTGGTTTCAGGAGCGGTCAAGGGTCCCACGCAGTCATCTAAGTCAAGCTACGCCTCTCCTCTCTCTTCTTCTTCCCATACTCACCATCTTACTGCTAAAGTTACCCAAACTAACGACTTGATCAAAAGCTCAACTTTGTAGCATCTCGAAAACGTCAAATTCCTCTTGCGAATTCTGACGTGCGGTACGGCCCATCGGACTATCCACATTCCTCGCCGGCTGCTATCTCCCGCGAGTGCCCAAAGCACCCTACGAACATTCCATCGGAACCCTGACTGCATCCTCACGTGCTGAGCGACCCTCGAACCGACCGTCCCCTGGACGGGCTTCCCGGAAAAATAAGAGCGGCGAGAGGACCGTTGGCTGAAGAGAAATGGCAGCCGTCAGGTTCCAGACAGGATGGCGGCGATTCGTCCCGGCGGTCGGCTATCACCATGTGCTGATGATCCTTATCGCAATCGCCATCATCCTTCTCTCATTACTGTTAGCCGGCTGCTCGTCGACATCTGTACTCATACCCGACATTTACCTCATCTCTCTCTACTACCAACAGTACCCGCCCGTTTTCTCGCCGGTACAGGTCGACCCAGGTGTCACGACAGCTATTGCCAACATCGTTGGAAATGCCGATCTTAATGTCCGCGTGGGCTACTTCGGTATCTGCATACAAGCTGGTGGTGGAGGATGGATGTGCAATCAGAATGCCACGGCGCTAGCTGATCTTGTCAGCGTCAACACCGATCCTCTCAACCTGATCTGGGTAGCCAGCACGTTCAAGGACGCCATCGTGTTTCCGTACCTGCTCATCATCGCCATCGTGCTGGCATTTCTCACCTTCATCCTCCTCATGACCTTCCCGGGCTGGCACACCACCACAAGCTCCGACGGTTCAGAGCATGAAGTCAAGCCATTCCCCTCAAGAGCCGTGTCACAAGTCGCTCTCGCCACTATCTTCATCGCATCAGTGTTCGTATTGGTGTCAGTGATGTGGCAGCACACAGCGGCTGTGGCGGCAAGTACAATCGCCCAGGATCTAGGAAACGGAAGTGTGAAATCTGGAGTCGGAACCGCCGCAATGGTGCTGGGTTGGTTCGGTTTTGGACTATTGGTGGTGGTCACGCTAGGATTGCTGGTCATGATATTAAGTATCCAATTATTGGACCGACTAACGGATGAGGTATGATCTTTTTCCGCCCCTGCTGTCGACCATGCGAATGCTAACAATTCGGCAGGAATGATTCAAATAGACTATGGAACATGATTCTGACTTGCGACTGAGTTTGACTTGCTTAAGAGAAGCATGCTTGCATCAATGCCTGGAGATATCACTCGGCTTGGCGATGGAATAGAAAATTGACCGGCAATATCACCACGGATTTGAGCAATGGATGACCGGCTAATGCATATGAGGATGGTCAAGGGGCGTTCCCTGTATATGTAGATACCCTCCACTATCCCGGAGATGAAATGAAAAATGACTTCCATGGACCATGACATACCTGGTCTGCCCAAGTGTTCTTCACCTCGTACTTGTAGTATCACCCGTCCTCGCTCTTGGCAAGGGAGGCTCCTTGTCCGAGCTTGATGAGGGGATCTGGTCCTTATAGCCTGCCCAACGACGGCTATGTATATACAGATAACGAGTCCGATCAGGGTTCACTACAGTGCTCCGTCTCGCAAATCCAAGCCCAATCCTGGCAAATGAAGACCTAGTTTGCCAATGTGCGCATTGAAAACAGAATCCAATTATATATGAATGAGTAGTAAGCGAAACCGGGCTGGAGCGATCCTCAGCAAGGTGCCAATTGCCAGTCAGAGTTGACAATTGGAAAAGGGCCGGGCCTTCCCTGGCGTTCTAGTCACGAGATTCCCGAGAGAAGGGGCGGATATTTGTACTACAGAAACAGAGAACTTTTTTCGATTCGTACGAAGGGCGATGACATCGCTCTATCTCTGCACGAAGCTACAGTCAAGTCTTCCCTCTCAGCCTTCACCACGAGTTCGTCACTCTTTACGCCTACACGGCTCCTCCTCGCGTTGGACTCTTCTCATCCCGGCGTCACTTCACCAACTTCACGCTCAGCGCCGCCCCACCTGTCTTGGACACATACATTCCTCCGAACAACTCCAAATCCGCGATACGCTCTCTGCGCATCCAGCCCTGCAGCAACTCGCCCAACTTCAAAAACTCCTCGCCCCAGCCCATGCCGCGCACGCCCAGCAAATCGGCCGCGAAACCGCGCGCCGCGAAGCCCGTGCCGGCGCCGTACCGGTGCAGCACGCTGCACTGGTACGTGTTCAGGGCGGAGGCGCCGTCGTCGCCGCTCGCGACCAGGAAGCGCACGGGCGAGTACGCCGCGGGCAGCATTGTCAAGATCAACGTCTGCAGGGAAGGCAGGCAGTACAGCGTCAGCGAAGCCAGCTGCATGTAGGCGCGGATGGAGCGGGCGCCACCAAAGGCGACGATATCGGTGGTGAGCTCGACGTGTGCGAGGTGGGTCCAGGAGAGGGACAGGTCGGAGGCGCCGAGGGGCTTGGGCAGCATGATGGCGATGAGGTCGTCCGCGGCGCTGAAGGTGTAGGTGTAGCGGGCGGCAAAGAGGGGGAGGAACTCGGCGCGGATGTGTTTGCTCGTGAGGAGGAGGGAGCACGTGCCGAGGAAGGTTAGGGCCTGTTCTTGTAGGTCGGAGGCCTGGGTGGAGGGGGTGAGGAGGAAGACGTTGGCCGCAGCGGGCACGGGGTCGGTCGCTGGGATGGTCGTCTTGGTGTGCGCGCTTGGCGCGAGGAGGGAGAGGTAAATGAGCTCGCGGATCTCGGCCGGCATGCTCATGAGGAGGGAGACTTGGTTTGGTTCGTAGAGTACTAGCTCACGCGAGGAAGACAGGACGAGCCCGATTGGCTCGGGAACCGCGCGAGGACGGAGGCTGGTTGGCCATGGGACGGTGTACTTTGTCGATTCGTCCTTGTCGTCGTCGTCGTCTTCTCCACTGGTGCTGGTCACTGCAGCTGGGTTGGCGGAGGCAGGCACAAGCGCAGTGGTGGCTGTCTGAGATGTACTTTCGTTTTCGAACAAGTCGTTGTGTGAGAGGTCAAGAATGAAGTCGGCGATGTGAATTGGTAGGCCGCATGCTCGCTTCATCTTGTTGGTGTACTCAAATTCTTGGTCGCTGCTGGACTCAAGTTGGTCGTTTGACCCCCTGCCAATGGTCGTGGGAGTCGCTGGCTCTAGTGGGATGCTCGAGTATGTGCTGCCGGCGTTGGTGTGGGCCAGAAGCGCACCGGAGAAGAGTCTGTCGATGCCCGAAGGCGTACGTCTGGTGGGACGAGACGAGCGGAATGGCAGCATCGTGGTTTTGGAAGAGGAAATGACTGTGGGTGCAGCGTGGTGGTGGTAAAAACCAAGGAAGAAGTCGCTGCAGTGGTCGCTGGCGCTGTAAGAAATGTCAAAAGAAGGTGGTCTCGTCGTCGACGTCGTCGATAGTAAGGTCGTGAGGTCGAGGAAACAAGTCGAAATAGGTGCCAGGTGGCCATTGAGAAAGTTGAGGCCTGCAGAGGGCCCAATGTCTACTAGTCAGCAGGCAGAACTCTATCCTAGCCATACGTGGCTAGGACCTCTGTCGGATTTTACTGCACTAGAGCGTCAAGAAAGACGACGCAGTGGCAGATGCACAAAGAGGGCGTGATTCAACAAGTGCGGCGTATCGAAATGGTGAGAATGATGGCAGTCGGCAGAAAAGAGAATGCCTACCTTTTTCACACGTTCTAGAAATACACAAATGGCCGTGACTAACATGCTTGGCAGATTTGCAGCAACCACGTGAGCCATGGTGAGTATTCACTTGATTCTTGCCTTCAGAGTGGGACCAGCCAATTCACAAGCCAGCATTCAATCTGGGGCTGGCTTCCGATGTCGGACAGAATGGCATGCTCCTGGACGCAGCGGTCGGCTCCAGTCAGATATGACTTCGAAGAGGGCGCCCTTCTTCGAAAGGTGATCTCGAACATTGTCTGCCGATCGATACTGGGAGGGTTCCTGAGGCACTTAGGCATAGGCCGGCTGGAGCGGGCCTTACACGAGGGCGCACTTCGAGAGCTGGCTCATCATGAAAGCCCGCTGCGACTTCTGTCGCGTTGCCAGCAGTCGAGTTCAACCGGTCCGTATCAGTTCGATCGATGTAGAGAGAACAAGTCGAGGTAGATGGCCTCCATCCGTCTGAAGTGAGGTGAGTTTATGCCTCGATACCAGGCTTGGCACGGGGGTTCAGCCTCGAGCTGGGCGGGGTGGGCCCCCTCACTTTCCACCTCCAAAATCTTTGACTCTGTTCGGTTCTTCGGCCAAAGGTTTACGACCGCTAGGAGAGGCTCATCGACCTTGATCATTGCGTCCATTGGTCAGTCGAGAAGAGTACCAGGTATTGGGCCGGGCTAGACCAGATCACAACAGATCAGATCAGTTCTCGACTGCGGGTTGGTGGGGTTCTCGTTCCAAAGGCGTCAATTTTTGTGTCCATTCAAGTTTGAGCCGACAACACCAAACAACACAAAGCCTTGAAGTCGCAAGCTTGTTGGCAGTGGCAGTTGTATCGAAGACGAGTGGTAGGAAGGTAAGACGAATCTTCAGATCGGATTGAGAGATCGCAATCGTCACTCATTTATATTCACCTCCACGCCGGACCTTTATCCTCATCAGGAAACTGCCCACGCCGTCACTGCCCTACTAGATATCTCACTTGAGCTGCACCAATTATCGCAACTACCTAAGCAACTATGTCGCGCCTCTTCGACGGCCTGGAGCTTCCAGCTTCAGCAGACTTTCATGTTCATCTCCGACAGGGGACGATGATGGAGACCGTCACGCCCACAATCGCATCAGGTGGTGTCGACACAGTCTATGTCATGGTGAGCTTCATTCCGCAAGTCACCACTCTTCCCGACTGACATCCCGCAGCCAAATCTCATTCCACCTATCGACACCGTCGACAAAGCCTTGACCTACAAGCAAAAACTTCAGTCTCTCGCTCCAGACGTGTATTTCCTCATGTCTCTCTACCTCTGCAACGCCATCACCCCAGACGTGATCCGCGAAGCCGCCCGTGCCGGCATCCGCGGCGTCAAATCCTACCCCGCCGGCGTGACCACCAACTCGGCCTCCGGCGTCGTCGACTACGAGTCCTTCTACCCCGTCTTCGCCGCCATGGAAGAGCACGGCCTCATCCTCAACCTGCACGGCGAATCGCCGCCCGCGCCCGACATCACGGTCCTCAACGCCGAAGAGACCTTCCTGCCCACCCTCACGGATCTCCATAGGCGGTTCCCAAAGCTGCAGATCATCCTCGAGCACTGCACGACGGCAAAGGCAGTCGAAGCCGTCAAGGCCTGTGGGGCGAACGTGGCCGGCACCATCACCGCGCACCACCTGAGCCTGATCGTGGACGACTGGGCCGGCGATCCGATCAACTTCTGCAAGCCGGTGGCGAAGCTGCCGGCCGACCGCGTGGCGCTGCTCAGGGCGGCCGTGAGCCGGTCGCCCAAGTTCTTCCTCGGTACGGACAGTGCGCCGCATCCGTTGAGGAGCAAGAAGGGCGGCGTGGGTAATGAATGCGGGAAGTGCGCGGCCGGGGTGTTTACGCAGCCATATGCGACGCAGATTGTGTTGGAGGCCTTGGATGAGGCGGTGGCGAAGGGACTGTTGTCAAAAGACGATGTGGGAGAGGAGGTGCTAAGAGGGTTCTTGGGTGAGGCGGGGAGGAAGTTTTATGGAGTCGAGGCGAGTAAGAGGAAGATCAAGGTCACGGCTGGAAAGGAGACAGTGGTGGAGCGCTTGAGCTTGAATGAAGCGGGAAAGGAGGTTGATGTGGTGGTGCCGTTCCGACGGGGTACGTCGGTATACTCATTGGCTTGGTTGTGAAAGAAAGCTATTTAGGGTTCGGCTTCTTGCCTAGAAAAGGGCGTAACATATCATGCATGAGGATGCCGGCAGCGACGCTGACGTTCAAGCTGTCAACCGCGCCGTGCTTCCCAAAGATGTTTTGGATGCTGACCGTGCTGTTCGCCATCCTGGCTATGCGAGGTCGCAGGCCTTCGCCCTCGTTGCCCAGCATCAAGACCATGGGTTTCTCTTTTAGACTTTCTTCAGCAGAGTCGTGCTCCGGTATGACGACTCGGTTGTTGACCAAGGGCGTGTCTTCCGGTGCAATGGCGGCAAGAAAATGCCATCCATTCTCCTTGGACGTCTTGATGAAACTCGTCTCGTCTTTGATCCGCAAGATGGGTACGATCTCCGCAGCGCCCGCGGAGGCCTTGACCGTGACAGCGGATAGTGGCGCGGTGCCGTGGTCGAGCAGGACCACCGCATTGACACCGAAGTAATAAGCGCTCCGGAGGATTGCTCCGAGGTTGCCGAGATCGGTGATACGATCTAGGAACAGCAGAACCGGATATCTGTGCTGTCTTCCTCTTGGGCGGATGCTAGCCGTGGTCGAGGCAATCTGAAAGCCAGCCGCCAGCGTGGCATCATCAAGTGCAGCGGGACCCAGCTTGACCGATACAGGTTCACCGAGGTCCTGACATTCTTGAAGATGAACAGCAGGCAGTGTCGGAACGGGCGAGGCTTCGAGGATAAAGCCATTGTGAGGGTGATTCTCTGCCACTCGATCGAAGAGGTGCCGCCATTGTGGCCCCGAGACTTTCACTACCTCGACACCTGCTGCTTCTGCGCGCTTCTGCGTTGCTCTTCCTCCCATAGAGTCTTTGTTGTCATCGATTCCATGGATATAGAGCTTGTAGAGTTGGCGGCGTCCCGCTTTGATCGCCGCGTTTACGGCAAATGTGCCGTAGATGAACTCTGAAGCTGCGGTGGTGTATGGGAGAGCATGCGGAACTCGCTCGGTCGAGCCACCGGTCTTCACTCCATTGTACCTTCCAGACTGGGCTCGATTCTCCGACTGTGTCCTAGTATAGCCGTCGCTTGGTCTTCCCTCTCGGGCTATTCCGACCTGCTTTCCATCAAGGGTTCGCTGGCCTTTTCGGAGGCCACGTTCGATTGCCCCGGTAAGTGAGATGTGCCGGATCGAAGGCGATAGGGAGAGGGTTCTGCTGTTGCGAACAGGAATCAGTGCATTACACAGTGTTGACAGCATCAGAGGGGGTGGTGTTGCATAAGTATGAGTGACAAATTTTTGGGGACGATGCGCATGTGCAACAAGAAACGCGCTCGCGTGCTAATTGGCTGGCGCGGGACCGCGTCTCACTCCAACATATTGGATGCTTCACCTCTCCGCCGCATATCCGTCGTTACGCTTAGTATTCTCGAGAGACATGGAAGTCTCTTTACCTTCAGGGTCTGGGTGTCGTTCAGACTGCAGCTCGCGATTCTAGATGCTTTCACGAGTGCCCGGGCACAGCATCGTGCCATGGCCGTGTCCCGTTGCACTTCGCTTCCCCACATAAACCTCCCACAACTCCCTATTCAGCCCTGAACCATGGACGACGCTCCGGACCTGGCGGCCTGGACTGCGAAGCCTCCAACTCAACAGTCATCCCTGGAACAACGCGATCCTGTGCAAGCCTCCGAATCAGACTCCTCCAACCGCCGACAGAGTCCTGCTCCCTCCAACAGTTCGAGCGATGCGGAGGATATCACATATGTTGGAAGCCCTACGCAGACGTTTCGAAGTGCTCGTGAAGCCGGTGGCTTCGAGAACGATTTGGGAGAGGCTGTCCTGCAACTCCAGCATAATTTCTATATCGACGTTCCACCCATGCCTGAAGAAGAGAAGGAAGAGTATGAATACCTACCAGGCCATTTCATGGCGAAGGAGATCATATCTGAGGCCAAAGGAGGTCGCTACGTTGTAAGATTAATAAGTGGTGAGAAGCAGCTTGTAAGTGATCTTTCCACTCGAGATCCTCTGGCCGATTGCAATGCGGTTTTCCGTGGTAGACCCCTCTGCTTCACCGACGCTCAAGTGACCTTCACTCGATCAACGCAAACTCCGCTTTCCCTTTGTAGTTTCTGTTTGGCCGGATCGCACACTTCTACAAAGGTCCCCGCTTGCTCACTCCGAAGTCACGTTTGCTAATCTTTGTCGTACTTGCGATCTAGGCTACGATAAGAGAGTTGCATGCTCTGCAGTACGGCCAAGCTGTACTCCGAGCCTACAAACAAAAATCAATCATCATGGAAGGGCGCGGAAGACGTACTCGCGGCTGCGAAAAGCCTGTCCATGCCGGGATGGTCGACTCTAGCCAGATCGCTGCTTCTGACTCCGAGGAAGTCGGTTTCCGCAGTGTCCGCGCTACTCGCCGCAAACTCAGAAGAGATCTTGAAGATCCTGATGTGGACATGACGGACGAAATTCAAGATTCAAGTGAGGGTGAAGAAGGAGATCCCGAAGAAGAGTCCTCCGAGGGGGAAACTCTCGGTCGTCGATCAAGCCGTCTTAAAGGTACGCAGAAGATAAACTACATCCAGACTCAGCTCGATGTCGATCTCGATGATTCCGATCAGCCTCGCCGAAGAGGTGGCCGTCTGCGACCAACTCGAGGCCGCGGGGGGCGCACCGGGCGTGGTGCAAGACGAATCTCGGGCGAATCACCAGAACCTGCTGTCGGTACCAGACGCTCTGCGCGAAACAGAATCGGCCCCGTGCGTTCCATGCGCGAGCGTCAAGAAGACGAGATCTCAAGTCACTCCGAGAACGACGCCGGACCTAAGGTTGTAGGTACCAAAGAAGTCTTCCTTCGTCTCGATGATCATGATCCTTTCCGGAAGCGACATCGTCAGGACTGTGATATCTGTGAAATGAAGGGCGACAATACAGGCAAAGGCACTCTGGTCTTCTGTCAAGGCTGTACTTCTTCCTACCACAAGTCATGTCTTGGGTATCGGGGCACCAGAGACCATCTTGTTACCAAGATCGGCGAAGATAACTTTGTTCTTCAGTGTCGTCGCTGTATCGGCATTGCGCATGAGAAGGACCCGATCGCACCACATCTAGGCCACTGCGAAACCTGTCACGAAGCAGGTCCCGACTCCCTGCCATTCCGGAACCGACTTACCACAACACAAGAGCAAGCGCAGCGCGAGGAGAATGGCGGCAAAGATCCTATCACAATCGTCGACGCTGACCATATCAACAATCCTGCCAATGTCCTGTTCCGCTGCTGGCAATGTCAGCGTGCCTGGCACATGCACCACCTACCTGACCGCAAGACAGTCACTTCCACCATTGAGGACGAGGAAGAGGATAAAGAGCTCTCTGAAGCCGAACTGGGCGAGAAGCGCTACCAGCTATACCACCGAGGCTGGCGTTGCAAGGACTGCATCGAGAACAAGAACACCATCGATGCACTCGTTGCCTGGCGCCCTATTGACCTGGAAACATACATTCCCGGCTATCATCCTGACATGGTTCAGGATTCCCAGAAGGAGTACCTCGTGAAGTGGAAAGCTCAATCTTACCTCAGAGTCACTTGGATGCCCGGCAGTTGGGTCTGGGGTACCGCTGCCAAGGTGATGCGTGCTGCGTTCAACAAAAAGCCGGACAATGCTGTCCCTCGAATGACCACCAAGGACGCTGTGCCAGAAGAATATCTCCGGGTTGACATTGTGTTTGACGTCCGCTATTCTAGTGTTGTCCGTAACAGCACAAAAGAAATCGACCTTGCTCGAGTCCGAGAAGTCGATAGCGCCCTGATGAAGTACAAGGGCCTCGGCTACGAGGACGTTATATGGGAAGAACCTCCCAGCATCCAGGATTCGGAGCGGTGGGTCGACTTTCAGAGCGCCTACACCGACTATGTTTTGAAGCTTCACACCTCAATTCCAGTCAGAACAACCCTCAATCGTCACCTTGCAACCATTCGCCAGCAAGACTTCGAAAAGTTTGTGCGCAAGGAGCAACCCTCAAATATGACTGGTGGCGAGATCATGAAGTACCAGCTTGACGGTCTCAACTGGCTCTACTACCAATGGTTCCAAAACCAGAATGCTATTCTTGCGGACGAGATGGGGTTGGGAAAGACTATCCAACTCATTGCTTTCTTTGCTACGCTCGTCCAGGAACACAAATGCTGGCCATTCTTGGTTGTGGTCCCGAATTCAACTTGTCCAAACTGGCGCCGAGAGATCAAGAAATGGGTCCCATCTCTTCGAGTTGTCACTTACTACGGAAGCTCGCATGCGCGAAAGATCACTCATGACTATGAGCTATTTCCTCAGCTGGGTGGTGACAAGCCCAAGCGACGTCCCGGAGATCCAAAAGACATCAAAGCTCATATTGTGCTTGCTTCGTATGAATCCATCACGGAGGAGAAGACTCGAAACAGCTTGAAGAGCGTGCCTTGGCAGGGCTTAGTCGTCGATGAAGGCCAGCGATTGAAAAACGACAAGAACCAAGTTTACGATGTCCTTTCAAAGAACTTCAAGTTCCCTTTCAAAGTCCTTTTGACAGGCACTCCACTTCAGAACAACGTTCGGGAGCTGTTCAATCTCCTTCAGTTCCTTGACAAATCAATCAACGCTGCAGACATGGAGGCCAAGTATGCTGAGCTTACCGAAGCTAATGTGCCCGAACTTCACGACAAGCTGCGCAAGTACTTTCTTCGACGGACCAAAGCGCAGGTATTGACGTTCCTTCCACCCATGGCTCAGATCATCGTCCCCGTGACCATGACACCACTTCAGAAGAAAGTGTACAAGTCGATCCTGGCCAAGAATCCTACTTTGATGAAATCGATCTTCAGCAGGGATGCGACAAATAGCACCAAAGAACGGATGTCACTCAACAATATCCTTATGCAGCTGCGGAAGACCCTCTGTCATCCGTTTGTCTATAGCCGTGAGATTGAAGAGCGGAGCTACGACCCCAAGATAGCTCATAGTCACCTGGTCGAGGCCTCTGCAAAGCTCAAACTGCTATCCGTCATGCTCCCGAAGCTTAAGGATCGAGGCCATCGCGTCTTACTTTTTAGTCAATTCTTGGACAATCTCGACATCATGGAAGATTTCTTGGATGGACTGGGCCTTATGCATCGCCGTCTTGACGGGAGCACCAGCTCACTAGAGAAGCAGAAGAAGATTGACGAATTCAATGCGCCGGACTCGCCATACTTTGCGTTCCTCTTGTCGACACGTGCTGGTGGTGTCGGCATCAATCTCGCCACAGCTGATACTGTGATTATCCTTGATCCGGATTTCAACCCGCATCAAGATATCCAGGCCTTGTCTCGCGCCCACCGCATTGGCCAGAAGCAGAAAGTGCTAGTCTTTCAGCTCACTACCAAATGCAGCGCCGAAGAAAAGATCGTGCAGATTGGCAAGAAGAAGATGGCACTTGACCATGTCTTGATTGAGCGTATGGAACAGGACGACGATGCTGGCATGGACCTCGAGTCGATCCTTCGTCACGGAGCAGAAGCTCTCTTTGATGATGATGATGAAGGAAACGCAGACGACGAAGTTGTTTACGATGAAGCCTCGATCGATCGCTTGTTGGATCGGACGCAGATGGAGAACACGAAGCTCAACGAGGATCAGTCGGCCGAGTCTCAATTCAGCTACGCTCGAGTCTGGGCTAACAAGAAGGGCGCTTTTGAGGAGAGGCTCAATGGAGACACAACTGGGAACAACACACCCAACCCCGGCATTTGGGACAAGATTCTGAAGGAGCGGGAGCGTGCGTACGAGGAGGAGATGGCACGCAAGGCCGAGGCGTTTGGAAGAGGCAAGCGGAAGAGACAGGCGAGTACATTAGCTAGCAACTGTTGCATCGTCACTGACTGGCTTCAGAATGTCGACTATGGTGCGGACGGTGCTGATGGGGAGCTCATCTCGCCTGATAAGCGCAAGACGCGCACAGGGAGCGATGCTGAATTCGAGGGCAAAGATACGGAGCAGGAGGACACAGAAGGCACAGAGGCGGAGTCCGACCTTGACAGTAGGCGACCGACAGTGAAAGGTAAGACCTCTCGCGCCCGAGCGAAGGCACAGTAATACTTACCCGCACTTTAGCACGGCCATTTCAGAGGGTCAAAGTTCCCACTGGACATGCACCTTATTTCGGCACTGGCGGCCCAGGCAACTACAATGCCATGAGTTCATTGCCGCCAGCTCACCACTGCTCTGCTTGTGATGAAGAGCACCCGATGGGATGGTGTCGCCTCAAGATTGCCGGAGTCGAGCATTGCGGATTGTGTGGAATTGCGCACCTTGGACACAGTCGCACATGCCCTCATCTCAACGATGAAACTCAGGTCGGACGTCTATTGCAAACCCTCAAAGAGTCTCCAGAACCGCGTGAGCATGTGGAAGCAGCAACCAAGTATTTGCGCATGATTCGGGGTGACCTGGTCCAGCGCAAGCGCAGGAAGATGGAGCAGGACCAGAACCGATTGATGCAGCAGGTGGCAGAGCAACGTCTGGGGGAGCAGCAGCCTCGTCCTGGGCTCCCTGATCCAGCTGCGGTGCACCAGACTAACGGCTATCATCACGCTCCAAATGGCATGTTGGATGGGCTCAGAGCAGTAGGGGAGAGTGTGAGAGCCGTGAGTGTGGCGTTACAGGGCAACTTACCGTGATACACTAAGCATTGCATGTAGAAGCTTAGCATTGGAAACAGGGGATGGATGAGGCACGAAACGCAGCAGAGCAGATAGGCAGGAAGTCCACAGACAGTATCAGAATCACGACGAGTTTCAGATCAGAGGATTGTCTTGCATCCGGGCGAAGATCTGTCATCATGGATCCTCTTTCGTTCTTGAAACGAATTTGGAAGCCCCATCCATACTTTGTACCTGAACAGGGAGACCTGATGATGGCGCATGGGCGCCCGGACCGCGACAAACCAAGCGTTGCATCATCGCAATTTCAGCGGCTCTTGAGAGTCCACAAATAGGCGTACCCAAGGCATTTTCTGGTAAACAACTGAGTTTGGGACAAGAAGATCAAGACCTGGGCTGGTATGTGTGCGGATGGACACACTGATGGACATTACGCTAGGACATTATTTGGCGGAGCGTGCAGCAATGACTTGGAGATCTGAAGGCGATCGAAGATGGCGAAGGGGGGGCAAAAAAAGATGCTGCGGGCTCGCACTACCAAGTTTCCAGGCAGGTCAAGAACGTCACGACCGCCCCCGTCCAGCATCCGCCAAGCGCCGGAGAGGCACTCGCTAGGCACTGATACTGACGCCGCCATCAAAACAAGAGGAGGAACACTTGTCCTTGGTAAGTAATTATAGCATTGTGGTCAGTGGTACCACTGGAACTCGCACTTGTGGTTTCTGCGATTTTAATTTCCAGATCCCACACTCCGCCGGAAGCTGACAGCTGCTGCGCCTCAACGCTGGCACACACCCATAGCGGTGCACGCGCGTTTGCAGTTCTTGTCGGCTGGACGATGGGCCTTGACCCCAGCGTTTCCCCTGACGAGACTGCTACGCCGGAAGAGGCTTAGCAGCCCCGACATTTCATTCTTGGAGACACTTCAGCCAGTCACCAGGGCAGCTGGGGCACTGATGACTCCACTTGGGTCAATGTTTGTCAGTCTTGTCTCGCCCTCGACTCTTGCACCCGGCCCCCCCTTGCCAGCCAACCTGCAATCCTTTCGCTCCCACTTCCACCGCTAATCGTCATTCGCCCAATCCACTCCGTTGCGTCTCGCGCCAACTGTTGGAACTGCCTTGTCCCAGCTTCCAGCCTCCGTTGCAACGACGTTTCCTCCTTTCCACACCACCCAACTTAACCCACACTCGCTACCCTCTCTGCCGTTGCTTCAAGGGTCATCATCGACTCTTTGGCGACGCGACCTCCAAACCTTGCCACCTTCGCTATCTACCTCCCCTAATCCACCGTCCACTCGCTGCGACCTTCTCGAATATCCCTTGGAGCAATCACGCTCACGCTTGATGAATCGACGATAAAACGAGCACGACGTCTATCACTACTGCCTGGTCGACGATAACCTCACTCGTGCTTCGATAGCACCGCACCACCGACCATCTGCCCACCATGCGCTTCTCCTTCGCATCCCTTGCCGGGCTAGCCGCCTTGTGCCTACCATCCGCCTTCGCCGAAGATATGATCGTATCATCCTCCCTCAACTCGTGTTCATCCGGCTCCAATTTCACGGCTACGCTGTTCAACGTTGCCTACACTCCCAAGAATAATTCTGTATCGGTCCAGCTGTCAGGTGTCTCGTCGCTGAACGGAAATGTCACCGCCAATATTCAGCTCATCGCCTACGGCTTTACTGCCCTCAATCAGACCATCAACCCTTGCGACATGGGTCTGATGGGTTTCTGCCCTCTGCAGTCCGGCCAGATCCCTCCCATTGACACAAACTTCGGTGTTGGCTCTGACATCAAGAACCAAGTTCCTGGTATCGCCTTCACTGTGCCTGACTTGGATGGTGTCGTTCGTATCTACGTCAAGGATCGGGACACTGGCGCTGAGATTGCCTGCATGGAGGCGGATATTTCCAACACTAAATCTGTTTATCATCCCGCCGTCGGATGGACTACTGCTATCATTGCCGGCCTGGGTTTGATTGCATCAGGCGTCACATCTGGACTGGGCCACACCAACACTGCTGCCCACGTTGCCGCTAATGCTGTGTCTCTGTTTGGTCTCTTCCAGGCGCAGGCAATTGTTGGTCTGACGGCTGTTCACATGCCTCCGATTGTGCAGTCGTGGACTCAGAATTTCGCCTGGTCAATGGGTATCATCCGCGTCGGCTTCCTTCAGACACTAGCCACTTGGTACCAACGTGCGACTGGTGGCACCCCTAGCACTTATCTCTCTACCCTCAGCACCTACTCTGTTCAAGTGCAAAAGCGTGGTCTGTTCATGCGCAGCCTGGACTACCTCAGCAAGCGCAGCGTCAATCTAATGAACCATGCTGCAACCCACTCCATCCGCGCTCTGTCTAAGCGCCAGCAATCCGACGACGACAGGCCAGAAGACCACATTGGTGAAGTCAAGGTCGTTCGCGGTATCGAACGTGTCGGCTTCCGTGCCAAGATTGAGCAGACCAACATCTTCATGACTGGTGTCATCTTCTTCATCTTCATCCTTATGTTGGTGGCCGTTCTCGTTGCTCTCGCCAAGGTCGTCCTTGATGTGCTCGCCAAGCGTAACGCGATCAAGGCCGACCGCTTCTCCGAATTCCGTGCTGGCTGGAAGGTCGTCATCAAGGGTATCCTTTTCCGTCTGGTAAGTCTCAGCACCATGTTTGCTGCGAGCTCCGCTAACCACCATAGGTCCTTCTCGGTTACGTGCAGATGTCCATTCTCTGCTTGTGGGAGTTTGTCGCCCGCGACTCGGCCGCTGAGATCGTCCTGGCTCTAGTCATCTTCCTGTCCATGTCTGGTGCTCTTGCCTGGGCATCGTACAAGGTCATCTCGCTTGCCCGCAAGTCCGTCGCTATGCACAAGAACCCCGCGTACATCCTCTACTCTGACCCACAGTGTCTTAACAAGTGGGGCTTCCTGTACGTCCAGTACAAGGCGACAGCTTACTACTTCGTCGTTGCGCTCTTGGGCTACATCCTCTTCAAGGCTGTATTCATCGCATTCGCGCAATCTGCACCTGTTGCACAGGCCGTCGGGCTCCTCATCATTGAAGCCGTTGCTCTGATCGCCATATGTGTGATCAAGCCGTTCATGGACAAGAAGACTAACATCTTCAACATCTGTATCGCCGTGGTCAACTTCCTCAACGCCATCTTTTTGCTCATCTTCTCCGATGCCTTTGGGCAACCACCCATGGTCTCTGGCGTCATGGGCGTCATCTTCGCCTTCTACAACATGATCTTCGCCTTTGTGCTACTGATCATGGTCCTCGTTTCCTCGATTTACGCCATCACTTCCAAAAACCCCGAGACTCGCTACCAGCCAATGCGTGATGATCGTGGCAGCTTCATCAAATCCCAGCAACAGCTGACGACTGAGTTGGACGCCTTGGGGGCCACTGCTCGTGGAACTGGCAAGGAGCCGTACGGCCAAGCTAAGAACCTGGAAGATTCCGAGTCCATGTCTACCGACTCGCTGCAGAAACCTGTCAACGACATGAACGAGAAGAACGCATATGGCCATGCTCATGAGCAATATTATCCAGCCGATAATGGCCAACGTGGCCCGGATGTCTATGCTCAGCGGCAGATGAATGCTCAGGGCTACAACAACGGTGGCGGCTACGGATATGGTGGACCTCGACCAGGAACTGCCCCTCAAAACCAGTCTTATGACCGTAGCATCAGCCCGCCTGACAGCTACGGCCCTCCTCGTTCCGCTCATGGCGGATACACCAACCCGAATCAATTCCGTCAGAACAACAACTCCAGCCCATGGCAGCGCGGAGCAGGCTACGATTAGCTACACTCGGGCCCCCAGGACCATGAAAACACCTCTTTAGGAGTCGAAGATCGAAGCCAAAAGATGGGTAGCGGCTACTGGGACCGCGATTGGTGGCGCAACGAATATGCTGCTCAGCATAACGGGCACGATCCTCCCCCAGGCTATGGCTACGGTGGACCGCCTCCAAATCGCGGGTAATCGCATCCAGAAGAGAGAATGTGCATATCACGAGACCACGACTACAATATCAACTTGGAATGGACGAATCGAGGATGCATTGCATTGCATATCAAAGGATGAGTCGGTGAACTCTTTTCTCTTATCACTGTATGGGACGGGAGTGGACAGGCGGATCGCACAGTAAAGGCATCTCCAGATCTCTGGAGTGGGAGTTCAGTGTACGTCTACAGATGTGAAATCTCGGAACATGGATCAGAGGACAGAATGGCTGGACGGGAGAGAAAGACATGGCCATGTGTATACAGCTGGCATACGTCTCAATAAAGATGGTCACGCAACAGGTCGAAAGTAGGATAGACAGAGAACCTCAGCATTGCTGAATCATGATATTCCTTCTGCCAGTTCAAGTATCCGTGAGGTTGGAGTGTGGTATTCATTTCCCACTGAGGCACGCAGGGAGGAGTCGCGTTATCGATAACGGCTGCATTCTGCGCTCGCAGCATGAAATGCATCATCAGCTGTCTACGCTCATGTTGTTGATTCTCCTCAGGACCTGACATCAACCTCTTCTGTCAGCCGCGATGAAGCCCTCACCTATTCGATTCCTCGTCTCGCGACACCTGTGTGTCTGCCGATCTCATCTCCCAGCGACCGCCGCCCGCGTGCAACCTTTCCTCCGCCTCAGTCTTGCTCGCCGCAATGCAAGCTACAGCGCACCCGCATCACCAGCCTACTGCAGTGGCGAGGAGCTGAAGCGCCGCCATCAGTCCAAGCCGGCCGACGATGGCGACCCGAAGTTCGAGCGCGCGCAGACCATGAAGCGCATGCGTTACAGCGCGTTCGGCATTGCCTTCTGTGCCGTGGCTATGTATGGAGCTATTCAGGCCTATGATCTGCCCATTGCAACCGGCACCAGCAAGAGTAGCAGCAGCAGTGGTGGTTCCGTAACGCACAATGATGGGCCCGCACCTCCGAGCCCCGACAACGTCATGCAGCAAGCCGAGCTGGTTCCCACAGGCACGACATCCGTGCCTTTCTTCCCACGCACCATCGAGCTCTCCTCGCCCGCCGCCACATCCACCTCTCAGACAACACCCCAGCCCTCCCTCCCAGCCGGCACGGTCAGGCCAAACGACGACCCCGCCACGGGCAGCACCGAATACCAGCTCCTCGGCCTCGGCATCCGCACCGTGAGCTTCCTCTCCATCCAAGTCTACGTGGTCGGCCTCTACATCGCGACGCCCGACATCGCCAAGCTACAGGAGCGGCTGATCCGCACCATCGACCCCGTGGCCACAACCCTGGTCCCCGGCGAGAAGGACCAACTGCGCTCCCTCCTGCTCGACCCCACGCGCAGCGAAGAGGTCTGGAACACGCTGCTGCGCGAGGCCGGCATCCGCACCGCCCTGCGCATCGTGCCCACGCGCAACACCGACTTCATGCACATGCGCGACGGCTTCGTGCGCGGCATCACCGCCCGCGCCTCATCCCCGCTCATCGCTCAAGATTCCCAGTTCGACCCCAACGGCACCTTCGGCAAGAGCCTCAATGACTTCAAATCCGTCTTTGGCGGCGCCTCGCGCAAGAAACTGCCGTTTGGGCACACGCTGCTGCTGGAGCGGGATGTCCAGGGAGGGTTGCGCGTCGTCTGTGAGGATTCGAAGCACGACAACGCGAGGGAGGTCATGGGCGCCGTGGCGGATGAGCGGGTGGCGAGGTTGCTGTGGCTGTGCTATCTGGGTGGGAAGAACGTGTCGAGTGAGGAGGCGCGCAGGAGTGTCGTCGAGGGGTGTGTCGAGTGGACGGGAAGGCCGGTGGGGACGGTGGCTACGCAGGTCGTTTAGGTTGGTGTGCAGGTAGGTGGTGGAGAGCCGGAACAGGGGAGGGGGGAGTGCAACAGATTTGATGATAAGACGGTCAGCTCAGGTCAGTCTTGGGATTCGTGAGTCGAGAGTTGGGAATCATGCGAGGACATGTGTATACCCGGCAGATATCCCCACTCACCACTCATGCATGTATGGAAGCGGTTCATGGGCATCGGCAACGGCAACTGGGCTGGCTAGCAGACAAGCAGGCAGGCGGGCGAACGGGCGGGCGAGGAAAAAAGCGAAGCGACGTTGTGGGTTATGTGTACCTCTTATGTATCCGTGTACATCTATTCAGTCAATAGCAGGCAGGCTACATCCACAGCGTGGGCGACAGGGTCTGGCTTTCTGTCCTCCACTCAATACATCTACATCTGCATCTGCATCTGCATTTCCAGCATAGTCCGGTAAGCCTCACGAGTCCCTTCGTTGGGGACCGCGCGCACAGCGGGCCATGAAAAGATGTTTCTCTGGACGATGAACGAGGAACGATGAACTGAACTGTTCAAACGGTGTATGCTCTTGCTATGTAGCTAATACTTTCAGTAGACGCTTCTAGCCCCAACAAGTGAGTGGACTTGCACCCCCCATCCGCACCCCTAAAATGCCATTCGTCGATATCAAGGAGTATCGTATAGACGACACGCTTTCGGATTCTAATGCCTGCCTGCCTGCCTGCCTGCCCGCCCGCGCTCTTGTCTGGGTGTATCATATAGTGTAAGTAAGGATATTCAGTTTGCGCGTCCAGCAAAACTAATGAATGCTGGGTGGCTCTGCTGGATCGCACTGACAGATGCTATACGTCACTTGGGGTTTCTCTAAGTCTCTTGCCTTAACTCGCTGTGCTGTCAATCGTCCCGGTGCCTTGAAAAGCGCCGGTGCTGGTCTCGCAGTATATGTTGGCACCAGAAGCATGAAGTCATTCCATCAGTACTTGCTCCTGAGGTAGCAAAGTGTCGGCACTGGCGGAAAAGGATGTTTGTCTTGGTCGGACGCTGGTCTGAGTGCATCTCGGCTGCCTAGTAACCCGTAATGATGGCACCTGCGCGAGCCGGCATGGCCGATCTTTCCTCTCAGAGCTTTGCCTACTCAGGCGGCTGGTACGGCTGTACCAGCATCTGCGAGAAGCTATTGTTCATATTAGCACAAAGTTCTCCAGTTCCGGACCAGGGGGTTTAGCTCACCTCTCCAGCTTCTCCACGCCGCGCACCTCCTCGGTCAACAGCGGCATCCTCACGACGTGGAACTCATCGTACAGCTCCTCGATCTGCTCGAGGTACTTCTTCTGCATCTTCCGCCTGGCATTGCACTGCTTGCACTCATTCGCCTTCTCGGGAAACAACAGCTGGTTGACGACGATGCAGTGGGTGTCGATGCTGTAGCTGGCGAGTTCCTGAATCATGCGCTCCGTCTCGTACAAAGACAAAAACTCGGCGATGCACACGCACACAAAGGTCGTCATGTCCGGGTTCTTGAACTGCGTGTTCACTTCGCTGATGGTCTCGCGCAGCGACTCGAGCTTCTCGACCAACTCGTCGAAGCTGGCGCCGCCGGGGAGGCCTCCTCGCGCACCAATGACGGACTGCAGCATGGGCCCAAACTGCTGGGACAGCTGCGAGACCTTGGCGAGAGCTTTCTCCAGCACGCTTGGAAACTGTAAGAAGCGCAGCGTGTGGCCCGTGGGCGCAGTATCGAACACAATGACCTCGTAGCTGAGGCTCTTGACTTGCTTAAGGACTTCGGCGAAACTCATGGCTTCGTCCACGCCGGGGATGCTGAACGCCAGATCTTGCATCATGTTACCCACACCACCGAGGCCGTTCGCCATGGCGTCTTGCGCTTCATCGCCGCCAGAAGCGATCAGATCGTTGATGGAGCCATTGGGGTCAATTTCCATGGCGGAGAGGTTCGGGATGCCACTGACGGGGCGGGCATCCTTGCCGAACTTCTGCGAGAAGGCGTCTGAGAGGTTGTGGGCGGGATCGGTGGAGATGAGGAGGACTGATTTGCGGTGCTTGGCTCTGTAAGAGAGCGTCAGTATCGGGGATCAATTCAAGGTCTGTAGGGGTTCACAAACAATTGGATGGCGAGGGAGCAGGAAGTAGTGGTCTTTCCGACGCCACCTTTGCCGCCGACGAAAATCCAGCGCAAGGTCTTCTGGTCAAGCAGGTTCTGCAGTGTGGGCTCGAGGAGGTCATCGTCGCCAACGACTGCCGTGGACATGGTTGCGACTTTGGCTGAGGCGGCGGTCGTGCCGGGGTGGAAGCTGGATGGTGGGGTACGTTCAGAAGACAAACGTCACAGGCTCTTCTCGCGGCGATGTTTCTTTAGTACAATATTACGCAAGGTACCAACGAGCAATGCTCGAAATGCGCGTCTAAGAAGTTGGGAAGATATGGCAGCCTGGGGGTCAAGGACCGGGAGCGTGGAAATGTCGACGTTGGTACTGCCACTGAGAGAATGCGGTAGAAGTGTGGGGTACGTCATATGCGCAGGTGGATCAGCAACCGCGGATCTTTCGCTGCCGCATTGGCCAAGATGCCTCGAGGCCTCGATGCCTCGATGCAATTCATCTTCAAGATTTTGAGGTATTTCCTCCTCTGTTCCTGCATCTACTTTTTATCCAAGTCTGCTGGCTGGAGAAGGGTCTCAGCCTCATTTTCGGCTTGGTCACGCAATCTGAATTGGGTGTTCAGCAACCTTGGCAAGGCCAGGACCCCTTATACAAGAGCCTACTTTAGGCCATATGCCCCATCGTGTTTGGTGTCTTACACACTTGGAACGGACCAAGTCTGCGAGCTTGACTCGAGGGTTGCTGCGAACTGTGGCTGGGACGCTTCCTTGGGACAAGTCGCAGACGAGCGCGGACGCCCTCCTGCTTGGGGGCTCCCTGTTCCTCCCAGGCACTGGGTACTGGGCGAGTTTACAGAGTCCCATACACTGTCTTATGGCCCCGGAGGAGTAAGGAACACGTCTAGGGACGGTCCTTGCTCTCTAGCTAACCTGGTCGTATGCACAGACTACTATGGCAGCCCATGCACAGTTTCTAGTCGTCAAATTGTAGCCTTGTCGTGGATATCTCGATTCTACCTATCCACCGAGGGATATCCTTTATGTTCATGTTCATAACTTACTGCGCTGAAGGAGTAAGTCCTTTCCGACATTCAATCGCTGTGCGGCAACATCCACGATCTCGTCAACAATAGCTTTGGCCGACTTCAGCTCGTTGACTGTCGCGGCCACCTTTCCCATGAGAAAGGGATGTAGTGCATGGTCCATCATCTCCTCTGTAAGCTCCTTGGCAGTGTCAAGATCGTGATGTGCTGGCAGAATGCCCCTGCTCGTAAGATCCTTCATCTCGGGTAGACCTAGTCAAGAGTTAGCACGTGTGTTAGTAGTACCTATCGCCGCGACGCCTTACGATTTGTTTCCCAGTCCTCAATGTACGGATTGTTGCGTACCCGTAGAGGTCGGCCACTGAAAATGATTGTCCTGATCGTGTCATCGAAGCCAGCACTCCGAACGGACTCCTTGTGCGCCTTGGACGCATTCGACTCCTCAGACAAAACAAATCGAGTCCCCACCCACACTCCCGCAGCGCCCATCATGAGCGACGCGGCCAACGTCTCTCCGTTTGAAATGCCTCCCGCCGCGACAACTTGTACGGGTTGACCGGTCAAGGGTGACCTCGCCTTTGCGCAAAGCCTCACTACTTCTGGGATCAGAATGCTCAGTGGCACATCTCCGGTGTGGCCGCCGCCTTCGCCTCCCTGGGCACAGATCAGGTCGGCGCCAACCTCCAAGCATTTTTGGACATGTTTCGGGTGTCCCACCATGTTCATGTAGCTGTTCCTATGAGTTTCGCCGAGATTCCGTGAGGAAAGACTTACAAGACGCCGTTTCTATGTAGCTTATCAATCACAGCTACAAGGTGTTAGCTTCGGCTCACTTGTGGACATATTATTGCATACCTTTTGGAGCGATTCCAATGGCAGAAACAAACAGTTTGGCACCACTCTCAATGATGATGTCGATGAGTTCGTCCAGGTTCCCTTTGTTGTAGTCATAATTGGTCTTCCTGGCCGTCCCACCAATCTGTGGCATCTTAGACACATGCAACCTCTCTTTCATCACACTTATGTAACTCACCTTCGGAAGCAACAGGTCAACGCCAAAGGGTGCGTCTTTGTCTACTAAGTAGCTCTTCAGCTCGGCGATCCCATCCCTCAGCATCTGAGGCGTGTACATGTTCTTTCAAAGCTCATCAGCGACTTGCACGTATGTACCGAAACCACAAGTGCTCACCCCTCCAAAGACACCCAGACCGCCAGCATTGGTCACAGCAGCCACAAGTTTAGGGCCCGAGACGTTGCCCATTCCAGCCAGCATGATGGGGTGGCTGATTTTGAAAAGGTCGGTTACCGACGTTTTGATCTGCTGTGGCGACGACATGGTGCGGTGCTGTATACACCTAACGGGTGTTGACTCTTAGTTTCGCTCAACTGGCCAGCGATGGATGGGTTGTGCTATCACTTTCTTTCGCTGAGGGGTAAGCGGCCAGCCGAGGCGGGTTTGAGGAACCGAGGTTCCCCAACATGATTGAACGTCTGCAGACACATAATTTCAGTATGCTCAACTTGGTATCCTTGGGCTGTGTTGGTTAGCAATAAAGCGAATAGACTGGCTGGCAAGAATGAAGAATAGTCGTGTTTGTGTCCAACGCCGGCTCTCGGGCTGCTCTTACCATGCCAAGCCGCCCTCACTCCGAGTACGCTCCTCGAGAGTGTGGCAGTCCTGTAGCCTCTTGATCAGCGCTAGAATACTACCACACTGGGCAGGGATCGTATCTTTCCCTTATCTGACACGAATCTGGTGCGGGAATGCCCCTTCTCCGGGACACATCCCTGACACTGATCGAATTTTGCATTCGTAAACGCACCAAGACTGCAGCTACAGGCAAGGTACTTTTGACGTCTGCGCAGCTTCAGATTCCAGTGATGCGTGACAGCGGCAAAAGGGGACGGGCTTGATCGCCATGTGATACCTGTAGCTTGGACATGCTACTCTGTCGCTAGTGCCCCTTTGTGGCAGGAGTCAGACCTGAATCGAGGTCGCTGGGACTGCCGTCGATCGGCTCCAAAGAACCAGATGACCTGAAGAAGGCACGCGCGCGTGATCTCAACCATTTCACGTAGAGGGCCAAGTTCCATTCCGCGTGCAAAGTTCGTCGGATCGGAATAGGAGATGCTCGGGAGGCTAGGGATGCGCCTCCGGATGAGGGGCACGTCGCCAAAGCAAACCTCAATCTCCTCTTGGAAAGACGAGTTGAGGAGGCAGCGTATTGCAAGCGAGCCTACTGACTCGTTCTGGGGCTTCTTTGCGGGGCGGGACTCTTGCAGAACCTTGCAGAGCCGGTCTAAGATGGCCATAGAGCACGTGGGCGAAAGATAGCGTTGGTAGACGAGCCGCAGCGCCTGATTCAGGTTCATTCGGCGTGCCCGATGTGGCTCTGAATCTTCTTTGGTGTAGTGTGGATTGGAGAGAAAGGCTGCAGGAAGTGAAGTGAGTGGCTTCAAGCTCCACTTGAAGGGCGTTGATAGCAGTGGTCGTCTGCGGACAGAGGTACTCGTCTTCGGGCAAGTTTAGGCGGGGCTGGGGTATGCCACCGCCCACGAGGGCAATTCAATTCAGCCAAGGCCCACTTGATAGTTTTGGGTGAAGCACCATGCATCAACTGCATGCGTTGGGCTCGGCAGGAGGATACAAATCAACTGGACAGGATCGCATTTCCGACGAACCGTCAACGATTGTGTGGGGTTCAGAATTGATGCATCCTGAGGGCGCGCCTCGCTAAACCGTCAAGGCCATGACCCATCATGCTACGCGACCCTCCAAGCGACGGGCCAAACCTTTCACGGGCTATGACTGCCTGTTTCGATGCAGCAATTTTTGGCCTGCAGCGGGAGCTCGTGAGAGCTTTATCGGCAAGTGCGCCTGTCGATCAGTGCACGGACGGTGTCGGACGTTGGATACTCGATGCTTTTGGTTACCTCATGCGCATGGCCATCACTAATTGGGGCTGCGGCTGGATGAGAGTTTCCAATCCCGCTCGCCCTGGTTGTGTTAGTGTGATGCGTCGAAGACTTCAAGAAACAGGCGTTGCAAAAGGCCTAAGCAGAGGTGCTGAATCAGTGGCCTTCTGGTACCAAGGGCAGGCGGAAGATCAGTGACAATTAGTTGGATTAGCGACCTTTTCACGCCCAGCGTGATGTGGTCTGTGTATCAATGAGTACGCCTTGTGATCCAAGTTTTCCTTCCTACGAGGCCCAAAACAGAGTTGTGTCGTCCGTCATTCCGTCGTCATTGCCCAAGCTGTGCCTTCACAGCCACGGGGCGAGGGCTGGAGCCAAATTCTAATCGCATTAGTCGTGACAAGCAACTGCGACGCATTCCCAACCAGCGAGTACGTCTCGTAGAATGTCCAAAGGGGTATTGATACAACCGAGTGCCAGCCAGTGGAAAAAAAAAGTGTCAGCCTCCCGTCGGGCGAGACTTTCACCGTTGCATTCGTATCCACTGTAGCATCCGGTCGAGTGCAGGGTCCTCATCGACCCAGTAGCCTTTTCGACGGTCAGCACCTCGAAGGTCACTCATGACATGTTCGTCCGTGATGCCACTGAGCTCCTGTGAAACATAGTCAGCCAAAGTGTTTTGATGGTTTTTGGCCCCCAACATGAGCTGATCACTTCTTCAGCTGGCATAGCCGCCACGTGGCGTCGATCCCGGAAGGCGATCTTGGAGTCGGCAGCGCTTGCATGGATCGACACGAGCAATAAACAGAACTGTGACGTACCTCACGTAGTTGCTCATCAGCTCTCCGCAAAGCATTCGCATGTCGTCCATTGGGTTTGTCGCCTTTCAAAACTTGGCCACGAACTTGGACCCAGCGCATTCCGGCAGCCGCTCGTAGATAGATCTTGTGAGCTTGAAAACGCCGGGTCGACGAGTCGAGGATGATTCTGTCATGGTCAACATGCACACTTATTCTTGGTCCAGGGCATAAATGGCAGTACCTCTGTAAAGTGGCCTTTTCGACTTCTGTTTCGGAAAGTTGGCCAGCCTGGAGCCCAAGGTTGCCAGGATTATAGTGGGACGCCAGAATGGCTTGAGACTCGGCTGCACATTGCCGTAGCACGACATAACCGTCAAGGTAGTAGGATGCTTGGTCGGGCGGACTTGCCGTCGGCCGAACAATTAGAGATGATATGTGGTGTTGTAGTGTTCTGAAGTCGTTCATAATCTCGAGGATACGCATCGCTCGGGCCTCGTTTCCTGCAAGACTGTCAACATGTTGTGGGAATCTGCGTCGGCCATACTCACGGCCGTCAGACATGTCTTCGTAGGTTGATGTCGAGTGATAACTCTGGGTCGGGCTGTTCTGATATTTCGGTATAAATGAGCGTTCGTAAAAGCCTTGTTGGGATGACGAAGTTGGGCTCGTATACGATGGCGGTGTCTCGGGTCCAGCCTCAAGCTTGATCACGGTTGCGTTTTCTCGACGACGAGAAGAAAGTTTGTAGGCTTGAGGCTCATATTTAACAAATGCACACATGTCGAAGGTCTTGGGTCAGTATGGAATCTGGCTATCCTGTTTCCAATGGGGATATCGTGAGTAATTTGAGGATGAACTGGTGGCTGAGGGTGTCCTGACCACTCAAGACAATAAGAAGAAGATGATGACTAGAGAGAGCGGGCCGTAGCGATAGTGACATAGACAAAACCTACGCTAGCTCTTGGTGTGGGAGCCAACGAATCTCTTCCCATGCAGTCGGAAAACGACTGGACGATTGCGGGAGAGTGTCGAGGCTGGCATCCAGACGTGGAGCTAGGAGAGGAGTGAGAGACATGATAGCCAGGGCTGTAACTTGCAGGTTGGACATGATGCCGGATGGCATTGCCATTGGGCCCGGCAAGGAGGCTCTGCTCTACCATCAGCCAGTGTATGGCAAGCCACGCGGGTCTGAGTTGGAGTTGAGAGAACATTTGGCGGCATCATGGAGTGCTTGCCCCAGGGGTAGAGCGTGACGAGAGAAAGTCTACCCGCCGTCAAAGGCCCGCTGCGATTAGTGTGTAGGACTGTATGAGGTGTAGTGTGGTCGGAAGGGAAGACGAGGAGCTGCCACTTGCTGCCATTTGCTGCCAGTGACTGCCACGGCGGAAGGTGGAGCCACGTGCGTTGCGGAGCCCTTACCTGCGCGTTAGGGCCATCTCGCTAAACTGCATTGGGCCAGCTGGAAAAGCTCCCAAGCGGCCGCGCCAGACAAGAAGAAAAGAGGCAGTTCTAACCAGGCGCAGAACTCTGACAGGCACAGCTGCAAGCTGAAAAAGGGTATCGCGGCCTCGCAGGCGCTATTTTGGCATGCTGTATGGCTGAGCAGGGCTCGCATGGGTATCGAACGTATCAACATCCCCATCCTGGTGCCCTATTGTGGCGTTCATTTTCACTGCTCAAACACTCCAGCTCTGCGGAAAAACCCTTTCTCCATTTGCTGCCGCGACATATCACCTCACCGCCTCAGTTGAGCTGTGCTTGGTAGGTCAATGGCTGTTTCACGGTTATAGTCATCCCGGAGAATGGTGTTGCCGGCCCAGGCACTAACCATACCGACACAATGTCCACTGCCTCGCATGACACAAGCCCGCGCCACATCCCTCGCCGGCGTTGCGCCATTATGAACTTCAGCCCTAGCCTTGCCCAATCCAGTCGAAGCTGAGTCGAACAGATCCCTGTCCAGCGTGGTTCAAGACATAACACATTCTGTTTGTCGCGGAGCGTTTGTGGCGTTGATCTTCTCCATCAATCACGATCCGCGATAGCCTGTAGACGGTCATCGATCTCATCCTCGCTAAGCTTTCGAAACTCTCGGTTGATGCCTTCACTGCCGTCAGTTTGAGGGCCTCCCACAATGCCAATCTCCAATTCGCCCTTCTTGAAATCAACACTCAGGACCGTGGAAAGAGTGCTGATGCCAAGCTCAACAACCTCCTCCCAAGATCCCGGAGCGCAATCTTTGTTCTTCAGCTTCTTCTCCAGATGATTGAACGCCTCTTGCTGTTTAGGGCCCGACGCCGTCGCCTTGTAGCCAACATAGTACCCTGCCGGATCGCACTTGTAAAGCTGAGGGCCAAACTCGTCGTCGTATGAGACCAGTGTTGTCGCTACTCCCAACGGCCGCATGTATGCCTGCATGTCGGTCAGCTTTGCACTTAAGCGATACCGTACTGCTTACTCTCTGCGTATAGACCTGATTAATGTTCGCGAGTCTCTTCGCCAGCACGTCGCAGGGCATCTCGTATCCGTACTTGTATCTGAACTCAGCGGCTTCGCCTCTTGCGCGGTCGACAGAGGCTCGGGCATCGGCAATGGAACCGGTCATGACACATCCGACGGATGATGAGATCTTGAAGACATGGGAAACAGACGACGGATCAATCAGTTTGTCCTAGGGATCGGTCAGCGCAGCCCAGTCTTTTGATTCAAGTCTGACGTACTGGGACCTTCTTCTGCGAGAGCACTACAGAGCAGTCCTTTCCTCTGACACCAACTGATGTTATGTTCGCTGCGGTGATAGCCTTGAAGGCATATTCTGAGGACGGGTAAGCTTCCAAGCGTCCATCACTGATGAAGACCACACGGTATCAAAGCGGTCATAGTCGAGCCACAAGGGACAATTCTGTTGTAAGGGGGACGCACCGACTTGATATAATCTTCCTTGGTCAGAGAAGATGGTAATGTGTCGATCGTAGCCTGCGCTTCCTGGGTTCAAAGGTCAGCTTCGGCGGCCCCGAGGACAACGGCTTCCTAATTGGAATACACACCAGACATGCTGAATGATTGCCGAGGCTCTTAGCAAGTACTTTCGAGAATCAGGTGCCAATGGGAGTGTTGATGGACAAGATACACTCAAGCACCGAAAATGGTGCGCAATGTAGATGTCTTAATGTGCAATTGAAGATGGATCGAAAGTGAAGATGCGCAACGCGTAGTTCCGCCGTGCCTGAGTCCGAGTAGGCGCAAGGGAGTTCAGCCACAGATCTCCATTTGCCAAGACCTGTTAGCCACATTGCACCGCCTCTCACATCACTTTTTATGCCTGGGCAAGAAACATTCTTGACTTCATCAAGCCACCGTCTAAAGACCGCCGCTCCACTTGCTACGCTTTAGGACAAGGGAATCATAAGCTGATTGCGCTCGTCACCATGAACAAGGGACACATACCTGCATGGAAGCGGTTGGGACTGAAGCTCAAGCACGCCAAAGAAGAGCCTTCTTCCACTCCAACCAATGGTCGTGCACTTAGATTAGAAGATATCGGCGACGGACCTCCCAGCAAGAAACGCCGCGTCGAATCAAAACAGACCGCAGCTGCTGTTGCGTCGGCAAATGGTGCTCGTGAAGATGCACCAAACTCAGAGCATTCGTCCAAGAAAGTCAGGAAGCAAGTCTCTTTCACAGCTGACACGAAAGCTACTGACGGCGACACTGCCGTATCGATCATTCCGTCTGAGGTAGTCGAAGATGTGTTTCAACAATCGTCGGCCACTAAGAAGGCCAAGAAGCAGAAGCAGCGTTCTACGCAGCCTTCCCCGAGTAAGTCTCAGGGCACGCTTGACTATTTGAACCAATTCTACACATCGCACTCAACCTGGAAGTTCAACAAGAATCGCGAGGTGTGGATCCTCAAGCATGCTTTTTCCACCTCGGATATTCCGCCTTCGCACAACATGGCTCTAGCTCAATACATTCACGGACTCAAATCCTCAAACGCGCGAGACCGGCTACGCTCAGACTGTGCAGAAAGTCTAGATAGGACTTCGGAAGGTCCAAATTCCAGTTTTGTTTCTCCCGCCGAAATCGCGGAAGATGTCCTTTCAGCCTTTCCCGATACTGTCCAAGCGGACGATAGTCACCTGAGCCTGGAGATGCAAGGGGTTCCTCGTTCCAGGTTAATCCTATGGGCTCTCGATCCGAGCAAGACTACTTCTGAGCTACAATCTGAACCTCCGCAGGAACCGGAGGCTATTAATGGTGCGTCGGTTGCTGCGCCGCAAAAGAAGCGCAAGAACCGTACAGCAGTGGTCGAATACTCGTCGAGCAGTTCCAGCTCAAGTGATAGCGAAAGTGACAGTGACAGCTCCAGCGACGACAACGGTGAGAACGAGAGCACTTAAGATGCCGATAATACCGAAGGATCGAACTCGAGCTCGAGTAGTGATGATGAAAGGTAAAGAACACCTTGCTGCGGCACTACTACAAACACTTCTGTCCCTAGCACGTCTCGAGGTGCTGCTCGAGGGACGTGTCCAGTAACCTGTCAAAATTATCACGGTCAGTGGCAGCCTGTGAAGATCGGCTTGTCGTGCCAGCGACAGGAGTACGATGTCAACCCCGCGAAGCATGGGAATATAAGATGAACTGTTGGCTGGCATTGCATAGTGTGCCGCAGATGTGCGCACCAATTCCGAGCTCTTCATTCACGTGTTTCCGATATGATTTGGGTACATGCCCATATCACCATTCTCAAACTCCACTCAAAGACCGGAATCTAGGCCCAGAAGATCGCATCCTTCAAAGACTGCTCAAGCCCGGTCCATCCTGGGCGATCGAACCGTTTGACCAACTCCTCGGCGCGTCCATTCGCTACCTTGCTAAGATCGCGGCCAAGGTCAGGATAGTCATCGACGAATTTGTGCTTTGGATAAAGCTTCCTGAAGACCGCGAGCATGTCATTCCAGTTGTATGGATAGGCGAATGCAAATAACCGTTCCCTCTTAACATCAGGACAGATCAGAGCTGCAACATGGACACGGGCGTTGTCCTGAACATTTCTAGTGGCATCGAAGCACCTGAGTCAGTATGTGTTGTCCAAACGAGTACGTCAGAAGGTCCGAACGAAACACGATAAGAAGGTGGGATTCTCAGACGTCTACATCTCGGCTTCTGAAGGGGCACACCAGTCTGCCCTACCAAGCTTCCTCAGGGTTGCGCACTTACATGAAGTACTGTGGTGGATTCTGTTTCAAGTCCTCGTGTCCCGCGAAATCGTCCCAAAGAGCTCGCAACCATCCGACGGTACTTGGCGTCCCCTGGTTTTCTGGGCTCAGGATTTTCCCAACATTTGCATTGGGCAGCACCGTGTTCAGCACGAAGGCTGGGTTGTTTTCGTTCATCCATTTCCACGCTGCTTGCTCGGATTGCATCTTACTTGCAGAGTACACTGCAAGCTTCCGAGCCACACCTTCGTATGGCGGGGGCTGCCAAGCGGCTTCTACATCCTCGTCATTCCAGGTATCCTTGTCGATCACGAACTCGAGGTTCGGCTTCGGTGCCGAGGCAGCAGTCGAGGATGATGTTATGACGACCCGTTCGATGCCTGGCTCTTTCGCTGCGGCAGTCAGCATGTTCAGAGCGCCGTTGATCACCGTGGGAACTCCAATGTTGGGGTCCAAGGCCTGCATGACGGGGGTTGCGACGTGACAAATGCCTGATGCGCCTTGTACGGCAATATCAAACGCCCCACGATCTGCCATATTGGGCACTTCGACGAGTTCAATCTGATCCTGTCCATACTTTTCCCCGAAGAAGGTCTTTACCCAAGCTGCTCTCTCCAAGCTGCGAACCGTTCCTCTGACTCGATACCCAGCTTGGAGCAGTTGGTCGACGACGTGACTGGCAATGAAGCCGTTGGCTCCGGAGACAAGGACTAGTGATCCGACAGGGATGGCTCTTTCAGTGATGGAGCTCATGATGCTTCCGCGAAATTGAGTTGTTCTAGTGTGTTGAAATATTTTGACTCTGTCAGGAGGTGCTCCTTTTCTCCTATGACTGCAACTCGATCGTAACTCCAGCCACATATTTATATTCACATCTTGAGCGTGAATAAGCAGCCGCCTAACCAGTCCTGCGACTTGCAGAGATACGCAGCAAGCTCGAGCGGTTTCAGCAGATCACTGATATGACACAGGCTCTGTTCGCGCAACTAGTACCATTTGGCCAATCAATACGATCAAAACGTGTGCCTGATTGGGTATAATTGGACTGGAGTGCAAGGATGGATGTCGTATCCCAATTGTGCTCGCAAGATCAGTTGTTTTGCTGCCAGGTCTTGTCTATGGAACTCGTCGATTACGACCAGGAAGCTAATTTGATTCGGATCATTGCTCAGGTCTTGCGCCATTCCTGCCTTCCATTACACAGGTCGGGCACCGGATGTTATGCTAAACGCATCGGTTACCAAGCAGAGTGCACTTTGCAATGAAAGCATCAGCAGCGATCTCCGACGGAGACTGGCCAGAGAGGCGATGTGCTGGTCCCATCCATATCAGACGCATGTGAATTCAACAATGAAGCAGTGCGAGCATGCCTGCAAACCAGTCAACACCAAAGCGGAGGGTGTCCCTCCGGGGGTGCAGGGCCGAAGAGCCTTGGCCGCTGACTAAACGTGCATTATACGATGATGAGACGTCTTCGTCCATTCCCTTCCGTCTGCGTTCTCCGAATGACATGATTCATGAAGGTCGCCAGCACACGAGCGCGATGCTCATGTCGTCCTCGCGCATGTATGCTGACAGGGTGTCCAGCACGACCGCGGTCTCATATTAGCCGCAACGAGATCTGGGTGAAAGACTGGACTGGATTGCCCTGCGCTCTAGAAGGCTATGGCCGATTCGAAACAGCCTCGTAAAGCACAGGGCTTCAAGTCGAGCCATCTTTTCATCAACCACAACGCAAGAGCCCAGAGCTTTCCATTGATAGTCAGTCATGCTAGGCGTACGCAACATAGCCGCAAACAGTGGCTACGAGACGAAAATGCTCAGCAAGGAGCCGTATACGCGCGGAGCCTTGTTGGCTGGCGGACGACTGCAAGAACAGGCGGGCTACGGCTACCGATGATGCACTCGGTAGGGCGCCTGTCTGGCACTGGCAATCCAGAGCCTGATGTGACGGATGATCAACATAACGACGAGCTGCAAGTCCGTCAAATTCTAATGGCTGGTTCGATGCATGAGGACCTCATCTCCCCTACCAACACCGGCCTCAGAATGGATCCTTTCTCCGTCTTTCCTGGTGACAATTCTCGACGAGCAAAGGAGACGGTGGACTTCTACGTGACCGTATGGGCCACCTACAAGCGCGGCTCCATAGACACTTTCTTAGGCCTCAATACCCAAATCGACATGTGCTGGCCTATCGCTCTGCAAGACAAGATGCTCTTCGACGCAACCTTGGCTGTCAGTCGTGTAGCTTACTGCATGGGGCAGAAAAAGTCACCAGGCCACGACGAGTTCATGCTCAAGCACAAAGTGGACGCTCTTTCTACGCTGAGAAGCAGGATGATGTCGATGCCTGTCATCCCAAGCGAGGCCGTCATCTTCACGGTATCGCGCATGCTATCAATATGTTATATGACTTCAGACAATGCAGCTTTCGAGATCCACTTCAAGGCTCTTGAGCGCATCGGCCAGAGTTACATGCTCCACAAGTCCGGCGAAGATAAGATGGCACGTGTTGTCGAAAGCCGCTTGAAAGCGTGGACACCGCTGTTCGAATATCGACAGGGTTGGAATCCACTGATACCGACAATTCACCATTTAGCTCTTGAGAACATGCAACCAACTCGCTGGCCTGAATTAGTACCTGATGAACTTGCTTGCCTGACTGCGAAGCTATCACCGGGCTTTCGGCAACTTGTCGAGACCGCGTCGTTGTCGGTCGAAACTGCCCACCTTCTCTCAGAGCTCCAGTGCACCATAGACAATCTCGGCGATACAGGAACGAACGGTGAGGTGCCAACGGTGTTGTTCGAACGATTGCACGTCTTCAGAGACCAGCCCATTAACCTTTTAGCTTCCCTAGAGTTGTCAGCTTTCGAAACCCAGCTCTGTATCGCTTTACTAGCTCTGACGATTTCACTGACCATCGTCTACGGGAGTACAGACCCTCAAGACAGTCACTCGCATGGCAGTGGAATCACTTCCGCCATGGGGTCTTCGCTGTACACAGACGGCCTCCTTGAGAAGCTTGCTAAGGCATTTCTATACCTGAAATATGCAGGAGCTGATCAGTCGTCTGCCCATTATGATTGCCTTGAATGGGCCGCGCTAGTACTGGGAAGCTGCTGCTTCCTCGTTGAGCAGCCACGGGATCGTGTTCGGGAGAAGGGCCACATAGCGCTCATCAGCATTACGGATCGCTTATTGCCGTTGAAGGACGACGATGAGTGGGACAGACTTGCCAAAAACCTTCAGCATCAATTCTTCTGGCCCCAGATATTGACCAGACGATGGAAGGTCATATACCTCGCAGCGCTGAATCGACAGCGCGAATGGGAAGGTCTGGGGTTGTTCAGACTTGGCATGCCTTCAGACGACAAGGTCGAGTACATGGTCCTGCGCGATGCAAGAGGTGCTCTGCCTCTAGTATCCTAAGCAGAACCTGAAGTATATCCCAAATGCATCCAGGTTTTAACATCAGCTGCTAAGGAGATTGCCGGGTTCTCTTCTGAGATCCTGCCGTGGTGAAATGTGTGCAGTCACTTGTGCGGTTGTGACTGGCAGCCGTGTGAACCCAGAGAATGAATACTCGCGGTGAATGCCAGGCCGTTTGCCTCAACTTCACGTCCCATCTGATGTCTGCCTAATTCATTCCAGCCATTGTCCATCTGGTCTTTACGCCCACATTTGCAGCAACGCTTCTGCGTCACAGACTCTATCGCAGACAGCCCGACATTGCGGCCGATGATGGGAGACTTCATGGTGGGCGACAAGAGATATGTTGTCCCCACTTTCTGGCAACGACAGAACTTCTCGCTGCTCCCGAGCGGGAGCCCCGGCACCAGAGCTCGAGGCAATGACGAGCCGATGAGCCAAGAGCTCTACGATCGGATCCAGCCAGCAGTAAAACTTGCGACATTGCTTCTTCAACTAGCCGAGGATCTGTTTACCAGGATCCTGTTTGCAGAGATTGTCGGCTTGGACAAGAAGCGCCCCAATAGCTTCCCGTATTTCGGTCTGGACCCACACTACACCATCACAGACACCGATCGCCAGAGATATAGGCAAATCATGACGGGCGCCCACCCAAGGTTGCGGTTTTTCCTGGCAAATTTCGACATCAGGCCAGTCGGCAAGACATGGGGCGACACATTAGCCATTGGCTCGCTGAACAAGCTTCAGATCGATGTTCGCATCAGCAAATGTTACTATGACTTTTTTGCACACCCAAGATACGCCGACTTGCTTCCGGGGCTCAAAGCTCGCAACCTCCTAGAGCTGGCAACTACCCTGTTGCACGAGCTTGGTCACGCAGTATATGATTTGCGTCGATGTCATGATGTGGACGGTGCACCGAGGATTTTCCAGGGGCAGAAGCCAGGTCGGATACTGCGCGAGCCGTGTTACCACCCATCTCATACATTCACATATCTCGACCGTCGCGAACTGGAAAGAGCAGTGGAGTTTTCGCTCTTTGGGGGCGCATTACAAACTCTGATAACTCCCGAGCCGGCATTCACTGATCAGTGGGCGACCGTCCCGGGGTTCGTTTATACCATGGGGATGGTCTGCCTCTATATTCGACCGATGCTGATGGATGAAATTCAGCGAGGCCTGCAGCTAAAGGCTCTAGACCAAGCCGTGATCGAGGCCGCTTTGGATATGAACACATGGGCAATACTCCTCCGACAAATTGAGCCTGAAGAGGTCAAGCATGCCGCCATGTTGGGAGGTGTCATCGATATCATGGGCCGCATAGATCGCCTGATGTCCACCGGCGTACTGTCAACACCATTCGTGAAGGTGTACGACCGGGATGATCTCGCCGATACAGACGACGATTTCGTGAGAGCTCAGAAGTTGATGGCCCTGCAAAACCCTCATACGACCTGGATGGCGTTTTTGAGAATGTCGCCGCTACAAGAGCGAGATCGGCGGCATGATTCAGAAGGGAAGGAGGAAAAGGTGTTGTATGGAATTGAACACAAAGCGGCACCCAAGAGCGGATTGCTGCGGAGATTCTGGGGCAAGGCTACGATGAGCTTGTTGGCCCTGTTGGCCTGAAGATTTGGATACGATGTTGGGCCTGGGAGGAAAGTGCAGCTGAATCCTTATTCGCTTTCTCTAGAGAGGCGAGAACAACGAGACTGTTGGTATGGACGAGAGCAGCAACGACTTCTCCTCCCAAAAGCTCGAAGGGGTGGTCAGCCTGGTCACATGACGCCAAGCATGGACGTCGTTAGAAAAGAAGAGCTCCTACAAGGAACGCGGACAAACTTCACCGCACACACTGCTTGCCTTTTGTATCGTTATCCATCCTACCACTGACAACTGATCTTGGTAGGGTCATCGTAGCGGATTGTAAGCCTGTATCACAGCGGAGATCGAAAAGCACGAGCTGCGGGCCCTGGACGTGAGCTCGCCTACCCTTTCCAGGCACAGCCCGCCTCGCCTCGCCTCGCCTTGCCTCGCCGGGCCCAAGCAAGTAGCAAGTAGCAACTTAGCCCCTGCCCCCGCGCCACTAGCACCCACCTAACCCAAACCCATCATCCTAGGCGTGCTCCTCAGCCCTTCTCAGCGCCCAGGCTACGGGTGCGTGCGGGCCTCCGGGCCCCAATCACCGCACCACTGGAAAAGCTCGCGTCAAAAAGGCATTGTTACTGTAGGTCAGGCTTCGGGTCTGAGGTCGCAGGCCTAGCAGCGCACGAAGGGAGACCACCCGGCGGCAGCTCCCAGCTCCCCCCTCCCCCCATCTCAACCAAGATCTCGGCACGTTAGCTGAGATGATCTTCTACAGGATCTGTACTTGCAGCTTTCCACAACTAAGAGACATGGTGAAAAGTGAAAAGTGAAAAGTGGCGGCGGCGGCAAGCAAAATTCTTTTTCTTTGCCTCATTTACCTTTTGTTCTTTTCACTCTAGTGTAATTGAATACTACTCTGCAAGCGTAACAAGTACAAGTATATACATCATCACTAATTCGTCATTTGCGCATTATTGTTGCTTAACAGGGTTTTTAGTTGGCTGGGGGGAAAAGGGCGCGCGAACCGGCAGACCGCACCAAAACTGCTACCACTGCAACTGAGTCATCCCCCCGCTCTGCCCAGCGGTCGATCGCGTTTTACGCCGTGCAGCGATTTGCACGAAACTCCGGTGCGTAAAGCGGGTACGAGGCTGCTTCTTTTGCCTGTCTACCCACTTATCTACTGATCTCTTACTGCTCGACCTTTCCGTCGATCTTTTGAGCGCCGCCGGATTACTATAGCTCTTGCGGCGATTTAGGATATATATCTTGGTTCTCGTGCGCCGTCAGTTGTAGCTACCCCGCGGCTTCGGGGAGCGATCTGCGCATGAGGAGATTTGATTCGTGGGAGGCAAACGTAACAGCTATAGCTACAACTACAGCTATTTGGAGGGCCGTGTCGGTCCAGAATTGCGACGATATCGACTGGAGGCGGCAGGCTGGAGCGTGGGTTGCGTGAGATATAACAACCGGGTCTTGCGTCAGCGGCAGTGGCAGCATCAGCGCGAGAACGTTGGCTGTTGGGATAGAACAAGGGGAGCTGTGAAAGGTCGTTGGAAGTGGCGTTGCGGAAAGCTGCAAGAGAGTCGAGCTCGCTGCATTGCATCCCGTCGACCAGCCAGCTTGAGCAAGGACGCCCAAGTCTTTGGACGCCCGACTCTATAACACCAGACGGTCATCATCGCCCGCGACAAAGATGCCGGAGACGATCACGGATGCGGCCAAAGCCGCACACCTGGGTACGCCTGATATTCCAGCGGGGACCAGCGTCTTCACCATCTACGCGTCAACACGCATTAGCGCGCCTGCCGCACTAGTGTTCCGCACGCTGCGCAACACGGACACATGGCGCGACTGGAACAAATTCTGCCCGCGGGTGAACCTAGTATCGCAGCCGCCCGAGGCCGAAGACGAAGCCACGCTGGCGGAGATCCAGCAGCTGGTGCGCAACACGAGCGTTGCCGGCAGCGTGGATTCGGCCATCACGGACGGTGCTGCCAGTCAAGGGACGGGCCTCATTGGAAGGCGGATGAGTGTCGAGGAGGAGGATCGCATACGAGGGAGTCCACCGCCGGTCACGAAAGTGAGTCTGAGGAGGCAGAGCTTGGTGAGTCAGGGAAGTGGGACGAGGGGGAGTGGGGATGTGGGCAGGAGTGCGAGTGTGGCGAGTGGGGACGATACGGCCAGTGCGATGGCGGCGCTGGCTGTTGCGAATGTAAATGCAGGTTCGGGCCTGGGACTTGGTGTGAATGGAGACGGTGTTGGACATGCGAGAAAGAGCTCGGAGCATGGGCCAACGACGGCCATACAGACGAATGGAGATGGGACTGGCCAGCGGCTGAGCGCGGCGCAAAAGTATCAAACAATTCAGGACGCGAGAAAGGCGAGTATTCTCAGTGGTGAGCAGCCTGATGAGCCGAAGAACGTGCTGGTGGAGGCGCCGCACGATCCGAATCTGTTGGTAACTGCGCCAAACACACCGGCCGGCCAACAGGCGAGCAAGACGCAGAAGAAGAAGAGTGTCAGTGCGGCAACGAAGAAGCGGCTCAGCATCAACGCGCTATATGGAGAACCGAGCGTGAGGATCCAGATGGGGACAAAGATGATACTGCATTTGCGGATGAAGCTGCTGAAGGACAGTCTGGGCACGGACCGAGAGATGAGTGTGGTAGTGACTGAGGTCAGTCGGCCGGAAGACAACGAGGAGTTGGGAATCGGCGGTATAGCAGCAGCGCTAGGCAATGGCGAGATGGACGACGACATGCAAAATGTGAGGAGGATGCAGACTCACCTGGAGGCGAAGCAGCCCGGCGTATACCGCATTGTCTGGAACATGCTCGAGAAGTACAACCCACCCAAGTCCTACCCAAAGTGGATGCTGCAGGCACAAAGGGTGCATGAGATCCGCAAGGTGGTGCGAGGAGACGGCAAGGAAGAGTGTGTCTATGAGGATTGGGAATGCTGGAAAGGTATGATGGCGAAGCGGACGGAGAAGAAGTACAAGTCGTATTGGAACGAGAGGGCGAAGGAGTGGGGATTGGGCCTGGGGTCGTACTGCGAGGCCATGGGCGGCGATGTCGAGAGGAGAGATTTTGTGGGATGATGAGAGATCTGTGAGATATGCAGCGTTTGAGCCCAGGAGGGTCACAGCATCGGCCAACACATACACACAGCAGCAATAATAATCGCAGTCATGAAGAGATCCAAGTAAGAGTGCTTGAGCCACAGCTTCCTTACTGCACAGCCACGTGCACCGCCACTTCCACCACGCAGCTCCAATGACGCAGCCCGCGATCGGAAGTGACGTCCACCACAAACTTGAATCATCTTTCGACCCGCGGCAGGTTTTGGTCGTACTCCAAATGGCGGTATAACTTAGCACTATATCCCAGTACTCGCATTCCTCTACAATCGTTACCCCCTTACCCAAAATCCCGCTGTACCCACAGACTCCTCTGCCGTGACAATGGCCAAAAAAGGTGCTCCAGAAAGCTCCGTGGACACCACGGCAGCTGTCGACTCGGCCCAGCAAAAGCAAGCCATGTTGCTCGCTCAGGACACGGGCCACTTTAGCTTGATCAAAGCTATGCACCTTGCTGATGGTGAGTGAGCTGGCATCCCGTTAGATGGAGACCTCAATTCCCGCGCGGGGTCGTCGCAGAATTTGACTGACGTTGCCAACAGCAATCACTCTCGGAAATGGTCTCTCAGGCTGTAAGTCACCATGTGAAGATGCCAACGCCAGCTAATTGTTTTCATAGTCATGTCGATTCTCTCCTCACTCAAGTACTGCTCGGGCAGCCCCGCGGATACTCTCAATTTGTGGCTCGCATTCGGCTTCATCCCTTTCGGCCTCTTTTTCGACTTCTTCGACGGCAAGGTTGCAAGATGGAGGAACAAGTCTTCTTTGATGGGCCAAGAGCTGGACTCTCTCGCAGACTTGGTCCGTGTGTCTTGAATAATATGTTGACATTTACTAATTATTTGACACAGGTCACTTTCGGCGTGTCGCCCGCTGCAGCGGCATTCTCGATCGGCTTTCGGACCCCTGTGGATCAGCTACTGCTCACCTTCTACGTTCTGTGCGGCTTGACCAGGTTGGCCAGGTTCAATGTCACGGTTGCCATGCTTCCTAAAGACAAGACGGGCAAGTCAAAGTACTTCGAAGGCGTCCCAGTCCCCTTCGCCTGCTTTGCTACTTGCGCCGTCACCGCTACCTGGTCCTACATGGGCCTTATCCACGATAAGCTACCTTTCGCGACGGTGCTCACTGGCAGTTTCCTCGAATACCACCCAGCAGTCCTGGTTTTTGTGGTAATGGGATGCTCAATGGTCAGCAAAACCATCAAGATTCCGAAGCCCTAGTCTTCACTCTATAGCCCATTCAATTGAGCGGTTCCAGCAAAGACTTGTTGGATTCTCGGTTCACATTGGCGGAACTTCTGTCTCCATGCCGGCCCCACTCCTCCACATGGTATTGACCTGCTTCAAATTCTTCAGAAACATTTGGAAGTACTCCGGCGTTTTGATCGATTCCGGCTCATCGTTCATGCAAACCTCACCGAGTTCTTTACCGTTATCCACAAGTAATGATGAAAGGCCTCGGGTTTCTTGGGCCCACTGATCTTGGTCGATCCGTCCTTCTAAAAGATTCTTGGTCACGACAGCGTGGAATGCGCACTGAGTCAGTGCAGAAGCGGTATGAGGTCTGGATCAAGGTTCAGTGTCTTGTAATTGACTGATCTGGAGCAGGTCCTTACCTCTGTCCTCCTACTGCATCGCCGACGAGGAGGAGCTTCCCATCGAAGAACAAGTTCGAGCCAGCTAGAGAATCAGTGACCACCTGAACAAATGGCTCTTCTGTCCTCCCAATCAATTCTGTGTGCATGGCTGGCAATTCCTTGGTAGCCTTTTCCTTGATGCTGGCTATTTCATTGGGGTCCATCCCACCTGCAGGTAAAGAAAACCTGTGTCGCTTTCCACTCTTGTCAGTCAGTAATCGTTCGATTGCTTCATCGGTCCTATGCTGGTACCAGACCCAATTAACCATTCGCTTGGCCTGGTCAGCCTCGGTCTCGTTGCTCGGCACAACATACGACACAAGCTGTGATTTCGGCGACCAGTGGAAGGTGCCGGCTTTCTCATAGGTCTTTGCTAGATTTTCGGAAAGCTCTTCCATTGGAACGAGACCACGGTAAACAACGTATCCCACGGAAGACCTTTTGGATTCGGGAAGCATCAAGGAACGGACCTTGGAGGACGCACCGTCTGCCCCAATGACGACGTTTGCGTTGAGAATCTCAGGCTTGCCTTGCTCGTTCTGGAACTCGACAACTGTTGACGAGGAAACCTGCTCTGTCAGCCCGCTAAGCGTGCACCCGTGCCGGTATTTGCATCTGGAATCGGCATCGAAGCTTTGCCTTAGAACTCGGTATAGTTGACCCCAGGTGCTTGTCCAGGAGATAGTCGGTTGATCAGCAGACACGCCGCCATTTGTTGAAATGAAACGATACGCATCGACAAATGCTGCATATTTCTCTGGTGGCTGGCCCGTGAATTTGAGAATGGCGTCGTTCGCCTCGGAACCTGTCCGGATGCCTGCCCCCAGATCCTGCAATTGATCAATTTCATACCTCTCGAGAATTGTGATCGACGCCACACTAGGCACTGTCTTCAACACCACGCCCGCGAAGAGACCGGCAAGTGATCCTCCAACGATGACAACGTCAAGACTGTCCGGATACGAGGCCATTGTGCTCTTCTGATCAAGTCTGTCGATGTGCGAGGACTGGCCAAGTTAGAGGGAGGCGATCAGCGCTTTGTAAGCGACTTGAGGGCAGCGCTTTCGATTTGTCTCAGGCCAACATCGGCCTGGTATCATGTTTGAGGGCACGAAGCGTTCGCGTGACCCAATCAAACAACTGTTGTTCTAGAATCGCAGCGGCAGATGCGGCTGACGAATCAGGCGTCCGTCCGTCCGTCTTCAACTACAGAGGCTATCATAAAGTGAACAAGCCCAAAACACACAAAACGAGAAACGGTGTAAAGTACAGGTGGAGCATCTGTGCAACCTGCAGTACCCTTCACAGTGTGGGTAGTAAGTAATAGTCGCGACTGCTGTGTGTTAGTACTAATAAACAAGGTCCCTCCCTCGCGTAAGTACTATACGAGTAACTATGTATGTCTCCGAACCCGCCCCCTCCCCCTCCTTCGTATATACCTTACAGCCCTATGACTACTACTGTACTACAACAAGTACTTGTGGCCAGGGTGGGGGTTGGGTGGTGGGCGAATGCATAGAGTTGCGTGTGTTTCGTATAGCCATTTGCCCTTTGGTCATCGGCTTCCGGGGACTTTTCTGTCTCGCCTTATTACTGCGTACAAGTAGTTTCTCTTGGAATTTGGGGTTTGTCTCCCTCTGCAGTACATCTGTACATATACCCGGAACGCCTCCCTAACGCCAGGTGTCCGTCGTTATTTGGCACGCCGGAGCCTCTGCTAGAAGTCTCCGACTGCTTCCCCCGGGTTGATTGATTGGTTAATAGTAACTCCGTGTCATGTCCTCCGTGAGATCTCGTATTGCGGCGTGTCAGCCAGTACTGATATGTGAACCTCGCATGATCTTCCTCGACAACTCGCTGCTGCTGCGGCCGCTGCGAGCAAAATGCACGCCCCCCCATCTCTAAACCCCATTTGCTGTTCTGTGTCCATCTGCATCTCCGACCCCTCGCAACACTTCCAAAACCCCCCCCTCCCCCCAGGCTTCTCAAGCCCAAGCCCCGATCAGACTCATAGCACCCGCCCCGGCCACGACCACCAACCCCGCCACCACCCTCTTGCGTCCCTTCATTGCCCTCCAACTCTCATCGCTCAAAAAGTCCTCGGCCAACAGGTCAATCAAGCTCGTATACGTCAACAACCCGGCGCTAATGGCATTCATGACCCCGACCATCAACAACCCCGTGCGGCTCTCGGGAGCATAGAGCGTGTGCGTCGCGATGCCGAGCGCCTGGCCCAGCGGGGTCGTGCAGCCGTACGCCAGCGCCATCAGCCAGGGCTGGTAGCGGCGCCACCCCTGAACGCCGTCGCGGCTGCGTGACCAGCCGACGGCGGCGATGCGCGACCCCAAGGCCAACCCCTCAAAGGTTTGGTGGAAGATGATGGCTAGCAGGAGGACGATGAAGTCGTTGCCCGTCGCGACGGCGAGGGCCATGCCGATGAAGACGCTGTGGAAGAGGATGCCGACTTCGAGGAGGATGCATTGCAGGAGCAGCTTTTGGCGCTTTTGGTCCGGCGTGATTTCGGGGTCGGCGTCTTGGGCTTCAGGGTCTGGGAGTTTGCTGGGCTGTTGTGTCTTTTCGGGGAGGTCAGGGTTGATGGTTGGGGGTTTGCGGTGGGTGATGTTATCGTTGTTGTCGTCGTCTTCGATGGGAGAGAGGTCTGGCGCTGGGGCTTGCCGCTCGATTCTGTCGAGTTGGGCGGATTGCGTAGTCATTCGGGCGAGGTGCTGACCGGTGCTGTCACTGCGGCCGAATTTGGTACGGCCGTAGAGTGGCCCCGGTCGTGCCGGCTCGGTCTCGGAGCGGGTGAGGCTTGGTGGGTTGGGTGAAGCTGTCTCTCGCGGCGTCTCTCGCATAGCTTCCAGCGAGACAGCGGAGCCGTGTTCGGTGGCTGAAACAGTCATGCAGTGTCTGCCCGGGCTGAAGACCTGCTCGATGGTGGCTACGGCAAAGACTGCCGCTAGGGCGATGACGCCAGCAAGGGCCGGGTAGTCGTCGGTCCAGAAGCTGCCGAGACATGGGTCTGTGAGGTTTACAAACGCGGTTGGGAACAAGTGAGCAAAGGCGGTGGCCAAGAGAACGCCGGTACCGAAATGGCGGACGAAGAAGAGGAAGCGAGGCGGCACACGCAGGCGAGGGACCTTAGTAGCGATCAATGGGAATGCGCATGCGGACGCAGACACGAGTAGAACCACTGCCCAGGGAGGAGTCAATTAGCTCAAGTCGGGAGAAGGTGTGAGGAGGGTTTGGCGGGACGACAGTGCAGTGTACGAGGGATTCCTTGTCGTATAGTACTCACTGTCGTCAAGTTAGCATGGGTGGCTCACTAGCAGCGAACAGTCAAGGTCGGTACATACCCAAAGACGGAGCCAATATGTAGCTCGAGATCATAGTCTGATCTGCTGCCACTGGGCTCTCCGCAGAGTTGAGGCGATTGCCTCTTCACCAGAAACTTGTCGAACTGTGAGGGGCTCTGGTTCCAATTGGGGTTGCCTGTGAGTTTGTCAGTGATGCTCGTCGTCGCACGTCGGACCAATGGAGGGCGGTGTGTTTTCGCTTACCATGGCTGATGTCACGTCCCGGACCGCTCATGGTTAATAACAGGTGCAAATGTCAAAAGCGCAAGTTCAAGGCAAAAGCAACATGCGATAGAGACAAAGTACAAATCAGCAGTTACCCCTCACGTTTGAACATTGCATGTATGCCGTCGTCTCAATGAGAAGGATTCCGGCCAGTCTTCGTAAGTCTTCGGAGGCCAAGACAAAGGTGCGACAGTTTATTGCTTGGCCAAGATAGAGATGATGGAATGCGTAGCGGAAGTGAATCACCCTTGTCACATACCTTTTCGACTGCGCCTGTCCTGGTGGCAATTGGCCTGTTCTGGAGCTTGAAAGCTGCTTATTCGCGCCTGGATGGATGAGAATCGGTGTTGGACGGTGGGACTGGACCGAAGCAGAGATGGACGACGCGTTTCATGCGGCTCGCAGTCACGGAAATAATCGGCCCCGGATCTTGGCACCTGAGGGCTGAGGTCCTGGCTGAGCCACATCAGCAGCCACAGGAGTGGGTGAGGTCTAGAGTATTGACCAAGATCATGTCTGAGATGATATCAGCCTGTTCTGGTACGGAAGAGTCGGACATGATGGTCGATAAGCACGGCATCGTGTTAGGCTCTGTCAGTAGTGGGCCCGACAGGCTGGTGTGAGCATTACCAGTGTGGCGCAAATCATTTGCCTGCCACTGGAAATGGAGTCTGACGGGCATCATTGTCAAGGACATCGAAAAGCCGTTGATATAGCCGACAGCTTCCGCGCATGGGTGATGGTATCTTGACCCGGATTCGGATCTAAGAGCAGGCAATGAAGCTCCGTTCCATCCAAATATTGCCGCGCGGAGCAAATTCAACGGCATAGGCGGATGCCCAGCACACAGACCTTGACCGAGTTCGGCGAAGATGCCGAGTGTAGAAGAGCAATAAGAGGACGCTACACAAGTGGTGGAGTGGGTGATTCCCTGCTTGGGCGGAACCGGGCACACGGCGCCGAGGCCGACGTCGGGCCAAGGCCGATGCGGATTGGTCAAGCCTCGACGACCAGACTGCGCCCCGCCTTCCAACGCCTTCTCTCCGCTGCCGATCGTTCCCTCCCTCACCTCACTGCTCAGTCTGCCCATGCTGCTCCGCCAAAGGTGGACCATTCTCCTCCAGCTTCTTTCATGTCTGCCCCCGCCCTGAACCTCTGCTTTGGATCTTTTAGCCTGAATGCCTTCCACGTGGACTTGGCCCGTCTCCCAAATTGCCCTCTTTCACCCGCCATGGGGTTGCTAGCATGTGGCACCACGAGGCTCGACGCAGCGTAGCCGGGTTGCTGATATAGGTCGTCCCGTGCCTTTCCAGAGGATGCCTTTCTCCTCCTTTACCTATCCCCTCGACGTCAAGCTCTCGTGCTGTTGTCTGATCGCGTGACCCCTGCCCAGCATGCCTGGATCTGTCACACCTCGAAACATGTCATTGACTGCCAATCCCGACAAACCCGAGATCGTGGTCCATGGGCGTCATGTCAAGCTGGAAGACGTCTTGCCCAAAGACCAGCCGTCGTGGTGGAGAGTCAAGCACCTGCTCCTGCTCAATGCTTGTCTCGTCGTGCCAATGATTACCAACTCGTAAGTCTGGCAACCATCATCGTGATCAATACTAACATCGATCCTAGGTCCAACGGATACGACGGCTCTTTGTTGAATGGGTTGCAGTCTCTGTAAGTTATCTTGACCTTGAGCACCCTGACTGGGCATCTCGGTGAGCTGAATCGCTGATCCGTGGCTTCCCTCAAATCATAGACCACTTTGGCAGGAGTACTTCAACACGCCACAGGGCGCCGTTCTTGGTGCGCTTGGAAATGGCTATACATTTGGTACAGTGGTGGGAATGCCCTTCTGCGCCTGGTTCAACGACAGGTACGGCCGTCTCACTGGCTTGAGAGTCGGCTGCATTATCAGTATCATTGGTTCTGCGATACAAGCCGCCTCGCAGCACTATGCTATGTTCTTGATCGCACGCATCATCATCGGCTTTGGAAGTGTGATTGCCCTGGTGGGCGGACCGACATTGGTATCAGAGCTTGCCTTCCCAACTCACCGATCCGTCGCTACCGCATTGTTCGGCCCATCATGGTATACAGGTGCTTTTATCGCCGCTTGGTAAGTCTCTCCGAGCTGTAAACCGCACATACTGACACCTGCCCCAGGGTGACGTACGGAACCTACTCACTGGATAGTTCCTGGTGTTGGCGTCTTCCATCGCTGCTTCAGGGTCTCATTCCGGCGATACAAGTTGCTGTATCCTTCTTCATCCCGGAAAGCCCCAGATTCTTGATCAATGCCGGCCGTGAAGATGAAGCTCGCGCCGTTCTCGCCAAATATCACGGAGGCAACGATCCTGCCTATGCCGACCTCGTCGAGTTTGAGCTCAATGAGATCAAGATCACCTCGGCTCACGAGAAATTGAACAAAGAGGTCTCATACAAGGCTTTCTTGGACACCAAGGCGAATCGACGTCGGCTGTTTGTCGTCATGTTCCTCTCCTTCAGCTCTCAACTTGCTGGCAATGGCCTCGTCTCATACTATCTCAATCTCATCCTGAACTCGATCGGCATCACAGAAGCGAGACGTCAACTGCTCATCAACGGTGCACTGATGGCCTACAACATCGGAACTGCCGTCTTTGCCGGTTTCTTATGTGGCAGACTGCCCCGTCGCCCCAATCTGATCATCGGTCTGAGCTGTATGCTTGTCTTTTACATCATCTGGACCGTTCTCTCTGCCATCAATCAACAGCGCAACTTCGAGCAGACGTCTCTTGGTGAGGGCGTGCTGGCTATGATTGTAAGTCATGCGACACCGGCGAGACGCGGATCCCCTAGCTGCGAAATCAATCACTGACTCGAGCTTCTTAATGTCTATAGTTCCTGTACTATGCCGCGTACAATTTCAGCTTGAACGCTCTACCAAATCTGTACATGGTAAGTTCACAGTTACCCCTGCATCGCCCCCAGACTGAGCCCAGAATCCTCGCGTATGCTGCTCTGTGACTGTACTAACAAACGGTACAGTAAGTTCGCCTTGCCGAATCAGTATCTTCGGCCACTCTTTCACTGTGGCCCTTCCAAACACGGGCAATCCGCATTCCCATTGGTGCCGATCAGTGGTTTGGCACCCTCTTCAACAGGGGAAATATTTTGTTCCAGCATCCTGCTTCTTGCCACCAGAGCTGACCCTATTCCACAGAACCGAGGTGCTTCCTTATTATCTCCGAGCAAAGGGCACCACGATCTATGTGGTCTTCCAGTCAGTGTGTCTGATCTACAACGGCTTTGTGAATCCTGTTGCCATGGATGTCAGTCTCAATACCCTCCCAGCTCCCCTTTACGCATCACTAACAGAATAATAACAGGCGATCAGTTGGCGCTACTACATTGTGTTCTGCTGCCTGCTGGCTTTCCAACTGACAGTCATCACCTTCACCTTCCCCGAGACCTTCGGATATACCCTCGAGGAATCAGCTCAGGCATTTGGCGACGGTGCTTTGCACAACGACGATGCCAACGGCAGGAAGAATGTCGACGATGTCGAGGTTAGTCATGTGGACAAGAGCACTGTTCAGCCGCAGGAGAAAGAGTAGCAGGGACATTCAGGAGCGAGCCTGGTTGATATTGTCGAGGCAGTGTAGCGCTCTTCGCAACAAGGACACCCAAGCAGCACTCCAGCAATGCTGACCAAGTGCTCGTTAGCCAGAATTCTTCTCATGTCTTCTTTGGTGCCAGTCAACTCATCTGCTGCTGCTGCTGAAGCTGCTGAGTCGCTTTAGAACCACATTATGACGTGCTGATACGAAAAACTGCTGCATATCTTGACGGGCTAGATCGTAGGTACAACATCCACTTCAAGAATCTCACAAGAAATCTCGTATCCTCCAAATGAGTCCTGGAATCGTAGCTTCTACCCCACCGCCGCAATGCATCCGAGCACACATGTGGGGCAGCCATACAAGCTTCACAATATATCCACCTGGTTCCAAAGAAGTCCTCCCCTTTGGCTACCTGAGTGAACATATCTGAGGCATATATGGAGCTCACAAAGTAGCAGGACTTTTACGCAACCCTTCCCATCTAGGACCAGAGACGAGCCTACAGCCTCAAACATCTCGTAGGATGAGCAACGACGCCCCACTCCCGACAACCATCCCCGTCGTCATTATAGGCGGCGGACCCGTGGGCCTCGTCTCCAGCATCCTCCTCTCTCAGTCCAATATCCCTCGTTAGTAGCCTATCCACTCAAACACAGCAGCCCCCATGACCAGGATTGAGAGTCATTAGCCCCGTCCTCGACCCCCAATTCCACCCAAGAACACCCCGAGCCCTAACACCCACATCTTTCCCCCACACAGACATCCTCCTAACCCGCCACGCCACAACCGCCATCCACCCGAAAGCCGTCGGCCTCAACCAACGCACCATCGAGACCTTCTCGCGCCTCGGTGACACCGTCCTCTCACAAGTCTACGCCGCCAGCGCCCCCACCTCCCGCAGCCAGCGCACCGCCTGGTACACGTCCCTCGGCCCTCAGGGCCGCGAGATCTGCAGCCGGTATGCCTGGGGCGGCGGAGACGCTGCCCAGGAGTACGAGCGGGCTAGTCCCTGTAGGTATGTGCTGCTGCCCCAGGTGCGGCTAGAGCCGATCCTGGCGGAGGCGGCGAAGATGGGGAACCCTTCCGGGGTGAAGTTTGGGTGGGCGGTCACGAGTGTGCAGGAGCAGGAGCAGGAGCAGGAGGACGGAGGAGGTTCCCATGTATCAGTCAAAGCGGTGCAGCGCCAGACGGGCCAGGAAGTCACGATCCGCGCACAGTACGTGATCGGGGCGGACGGCGGGCGGTTCCTCGCGGAGCACTTGGGCGTCCAGTGGGAGGGGGAGCGGGATATCGTGCACATGGTCAGCGCACACATCCAGGCTCCCTTGTCGAAATACCACCCGGACCCCAGCGCTTTTCTCAGCTGGTTCATCAACCCGGAACTGGGCGGGAGTCTGAACACGGGATACCTCTACCATCTGGGGCCGTATGTGGCCAAGGACGACGACGACGATGCGCGGAATAATGCGTGGGCCACGCGCGAGGACGAGGAGCAGTGGATGTTCGCGTGCGGCGTCAACCCCGACGAGCCCCGGAGGTGGACGTGGGAGGACGTCAAGCGGCGGATGCACGCGGTGCTGCGGATCCCGGAGCTGGAGAGGCGCGAGGAGGTGCAGGTCCTGACGCTGTCGCATTGGCAGTGCCACGCGATGGTGACGGAGCGGTACCGCAGCAAGCGAAAGCACGGCAGGGTGTTCCTCGTTGGGGACGCGGCGCATCGGATCCCGCCCTTTGGCGCCCTGGGGTTGAACACCGGCATCGCGGACGCCGAGAACCTGGTCTGGAAGCTCGTCTGGTCGCTCAAACATGAGACGGGGCAGAGGAAACGCCCGCTCGACGGACTGCTGGATACGTACGAGGAAGAGAGCAAACCGATCGGCGAGCGCGTCGCGCAGGGGAGTCTGCACAACATGCGCAGCCACGCCGACGTGCTGGACCGCGCCATCGGCATCCACCCCGCCGCGAGCGTCGACGAGAACGTCAAGGCTATGGAGACGTACCTCGACCAGACGGACCCGGCGGGGGATGGGCAGCGGCGCGCTGTCACGCAGGCGCTGCACACGCTCGACCTAGAGTTTCATGAGCATGGCACCGAGGTCGGATGGTTCTATCCGAGCGTCGATACCGAGGGACAGGGCGCGCGCACGAACCACGACGGGCAGGTCAGCGCGGAGGGGGAGTACGATGTTAGGGTGTATCATGCGAGCACGATACCGGGCCATCACTGTCCGCACGCGTGGCTTGAGGACGGGGAGGGCCGTCGACGGAGCACGAGGGATCTCATCAGGTCGGACAAGTTCGTGCTGGTGGCTACTTCGCGGGCGTGGCTGGCTGTGCAGCATGAGCTGATCGAGGTCGTTGTTGTTGGCGGCGACGGAGATAGCTGGTCAGATTGCACGGGCGCGTGGGAGAAGGTGCGCGGCGTCGGCGAGAGTGGCGCTGTGCTCGTCAGGCCGGATGGCATCGTGGCGTATCGTTGGCAGGATGGTACTGTCGTCGCGCGGGACGGCTCGGACGTGGCTATCACAAACGTCATGAGCAGGTTATTGAGGATAGATTCTAGGTAATCTTGAAAAGAATTCCTCTTTAATTGCCAGGCTTTTTGCAGTCTACCTGAATCTACCTGTGCCCTGTTGAATGGTTGGGGGTATCTATTGTTGAAGAAGACAGTCATAGCACATCAAGTCACGCCGTGTAAGACGCCAAAAATCATGCCTCTCTAAAAGAGACCATCGATCTCGCCAGTCTCGGGATCGACATCCACATTGAGGTAGCCAGGTGCAGTGGGGAGACCGGGGATGGTCTGGATATCTGCTGCCAAGGCGTAGAGATAGCCAGCACCCACGGCAAGTCGGACGTCTCGGACGGGAATTGTGAACCCGGTTGGGGCACCCTTCAGAGCCGGATCGTGGCTGAGGGAGTATTGCGTCTTTGCAACGCAGATGGGCAGATCCCCAAAGCCCTGCTTTTCGTAAATGTCGACCTTCTTCTGGGCAAGCTCACTGAGTTCGACCTTCGCAGCACCATACATGGTAGTTGCGATCTTATCAAGGCGCTCTTGCACACTTCCATTGGTATCGTACAGCAGCTTGAAGTCTTTTGGTTTGGCAGAAGCTGCGATCACAGCCTCGGCAAGTTTCACCGCCCCAGCACCACCTTCGGCCCAATGACTCGCTGGGACCGCAGCTGCAGCTCCAGCGGCAAGAGCTTCTTCCTCGATGACCTTGATCTCGGCATCGGTATCAGTCTCGAACTTGTTGATCGCAATAACAACCGGCACACCATATGTTGTTGCATTGGCGATATGCTTCTTGAGATTGACACAGCCTGCTCTGAGTAGATCGACGTTTTCAGTCTGATACTCTTTCGGTAGCGGAGCCCCGGCAGATACTTCGGGCCCACCGCCGTGGACCTTGAGGGCACGTATCGTGGCCACGATGACTACAACGTCAGGAACAAGGCCTGATGAACGGCACTTGATGTTGAAGAAGCGCTCGCCGCCCATTGTGAAGTCAAAGCCAGCCTCTGTAACAACGTAGCCTGCCTTTGCTTCATGGTCCTCGCCAGGTTCAGTGCCAGCCAGTTTCAGGGCAAGTTTGTCTGCCAGGACCGAACTGTTGCCAATACTGATATTCGCAAAGGGGCCAGCATGGACGAAGACGGGAGTACCCTCCAATGTCTGCATGAGATTTGGTTTAATGGCATCCTTGAGCAGTGCAGTCATAGCACCACCGACGCCAACGTCATCGCAAGTGACAGGCTCTCCGGCTTTCGAGGACCCGATGACCATTCGGCCCAGCCGTTCCCGGAGATCTCGGAGGTCGTTAGCCAGAGCCAATATAGCCATGCATTCGCTGGCTACAGCAATATCGAAGCCAGTCTCTCGAGTGTGGCCCTTTTCCGTGGGGGCTTGACCAATAGTAACTCCCCGCAGAGAGCGATCGTTGACGTCAAGCACCCGGCGCCAGGTAATGGTCTCAGGGTCGATGTCGAGACGGGCGAATCGACGAATCTCGTCCTCCGTCAGCTCGTCAGGATTTGTCTTGTCAATGCCGAGTTTCTTTAGTCGTCGTAGCATTACCGGCGCGAATTGTCGCTTGCCTTTCTTTGCCGGCACTAGACGTCGGTAGAGGGGGCCGTCTTTTTGAGTGGCCTCGTGAAACATGCGGGTATCAATTGCAGCAGCGAGCAGATTGTTGGCAGCGGTGATAGCATGAATATCACCAGTCAGGTGCAGATTGAACTCATCCATGGGAATGACCTGGCTGTAGCCACCACCAGCAGCACCACCTTTGATGCCAAAAGTTGGGCCCATACTTGGCTGGCGCACATCGGCGAAAGCGACCTTTCCAAGATGAGCACCAAGTGCCTGGGTCAAGCCCACAGTCGTGGTTGATTTTCCCTCGCCGAGAGGAGTAGGAGTAATGCCAGTTACCAGGATGTACTTGCCATTTTTCCGGTGACTCAGACGGTTGAGGAGCTTCAGGTCTACCTTGGCCTTGTACGCGCCGTACTGCTCAAGCTCGTGCGGCGCAATGCCTACCTCTTTCGCAACCTGAGTGATGTACTTGGGGTGTTGGGCTCTCGAGATGGCAATGTCCGATGGTACTGGCTGCTGAAGCTTCAGGGGCAGAGGAATGACTTGACGCTCCTTGAGCCTCTCGAAGTAGGAATTGGCTGAGTTGACCACGTTCTGCATCAGCATGGCGACGGTCATGGGACCGACACCTCCCGGCACCGGTGTGATGTGAGCAGCAACCTCTGCAGCTGCGTCAAAGTCGACGTCACCCACCAGGCGCTGACCAGACTTCTTGGATGCATCTGGGATATAGTTGGTCCCCACATCGATCACGACCGCACCAGGTTTGAGCCAATCACCTTTTACGAACCCTGGTTGACCAATGGCGGCGACCACGACATCTGCACCCTTGACCACGTCCTTGAGGTTTTGTGTCTTGGAGTGGCAAACGGTGACAGTGGCATCGGCGTTCTTGAGGAGATAACTGACAGGGCTGCCAACAATATCACTGCGGCCAAGGACGACAGCGTTCTTGCCCTGGAGATCAACACCGACCTCTTTCAGCAAGACCATGACACCCTGTGGTGTGCAGGGAACAAAAAAAGGTTTACCTCCTCGTTTTGCAAGCTCGCCAATGTTGGTAGCACCAAAGCCATCCACATCTTTCTCATCGAGAACGGTCGAGGTTATGGTATGCTCCGAGAGGTGCTTGGGGAGGGGTAGTTGGACAAGGATGCCGTGGACATCAGGATCATTGTTGAAGCGGGTGATATGCTGCACGAGCTCCGGCTCGGATATCGACGAGGGCAGATGTAGTAGCTCGCAGTCAATATTGGCCTCGTCGGCAGCCTTGAGCTTCATGCGAACGTAAGTGCTCGAGTCCGGACGGTCGCCCACCTGGATGATCTTGAGACATGGCTTGTAGCGTGGGTTAGCCTTCTGGGTCTCCTGGATTTCCTTCTGCAGACGTTCCCTTATGCCTTTTGCAATGGCGGTCCCGTCAATTTTTTGGCCGACCATTCTGGAGGGAGACGAGGAGAAGAAACGGGCACGGCGGAGAGTACCTGAAGAGGTTGGTAGCTCTGGAGTTATCAGTCCGTTCGGCCTGGAACCATGAGGTAGAATGCTAAAGGTTGACGGGTGGAAGGGACGTAGGTGCGGTCGTCTGGGGCGAGCGGACAAGAAATTCTGAATTGAAAGCTGAGATCTCCGCATCATATAGTCGGTAAGCAGCACGCGATATTCCAGTCTCGAGCCACCCGCGTTATCCTCGCGCTTCACGGTGCTCGACTTCACGGGGGGATAAACCTTCAGCCCAAGGCGTCGAGAAGTCCTTTCAGATCATGTCCGCAACTCCGAAGAATGAAAATAGTCCCTGTTGAACTCCCCTGGCCCTGTGACTCCGTGTGTGCCTTTCCGCTCCACACGCCCTGAAGCATTTTCGACTCTTAGGCTCTTGGGCGTAGGCCGAGTACGGGTGCTTGGCATTTGCGGGCAAATTTCCCACCATCGACCGTCCGCAGTTGGCTCACACACAATTCTGTCATCAGCCACTCACCACCTCAGCGACCTCGAGACCAGCATAAATCAAGCAACAGTATTCGAGAATCCCCCGAACCAAATCAGGGTCATCCCGCGACCACAATACCGCCAGTATGAGGCCGACGCTGCTGCAAGGCCATGTGCGTCCCCACCACCCTACCTAGTCCATGAACAAGTACTGATTATCTCGTAGGAGCGTGCGCTCACACAAGTCAAGTACAACAAAGAAGGCGACCTGCTGTTCTCGGTAGCCAAAGATAAGGATATCTGTGCCTGGTTCACCAGCAATGGCGAGCGCTTGGGAACCTACCAAGGTCATCTGGGTGCAATTTGGACCGTCGACGTTTCGCCAGACTCTAGAATATTAGCCTCCGGCTCCGCCGACAACACCATCAGACTATGGAATGTTCAGACCGGTGAAAACGTCAAGACATGGGAGTTCCCAACCGCAGTCAAGCGAGTTGAATTCAGCGAAGACGGTAAGCAGCTACTCGCTGTTACCGAAAAGAGAATGGGCTACTTGGGCACAATTGTCGTCTACGACATCAGGTACGGCGAAGATCTCACAGACCAGACCGATGAGGAGAGCCTCAAGATCACCTGCGAGGACAGCAAAGCCACCGTTGCTGGTTGGAGTTATCTCGACAAGTATATCATCTCTGCACACGAAGATGGGACGGTCACGCAGTGGGACGCCAAAACCGGCGAGTACAACATGAGTATCGAAGCTCACGAATTCGACACTCAAATCAACGACATTCAATTCTCTCAAGACCGAACATACTTCATCACCGCTGGTAAAGACAAGAGCGCCAAGATTCTTTCCGCCCGAGACCTTTCGATTCTGAAGAACTATCCTGCCGACACCCCCCTCAACACTGCCGCCATCACCCCCAAGAAAGACTTTGTCATCCTGGGTGGTGGCCAGGCGGCCATGGATGTCACTACTACGTCTGCCCGGCAGGGTAAATTCGAAGCCCGCTTCTACCATAAGATATTTGAAGATGAGATCGGTCGTGTTAGAGGTCATTTCGGTCCGCTTAACACGGTCGCCGTCCACCCTCAAGGCACCGCTTATGCCTCTGGTGGCGAAGATGGCTACGTTCGCATGCACGCTTTCGATAAAGCCTACTTCGATTTCATGTACGAGGTGGAGCGCGAGCAAGCGAGAAAATGAACTGCCCTATGCCAGGCACTTTACTAGCCATTATGACTCACGGAATCAGCCAAATCCCGCCCGGCCTGGCTTTGAGGCCAGTGACGCTTCGACTCTTCCATCATGACTCACACAAAGAGTGGAAAGTAGTTGAACGCCATGCCACGCGCTTGCAACCACGGTGACCACCAGATGGATTTGTTGAGGATCAGCCTGAATGCGGATCCAATGAGATTCGACGAGACCTGGGACGCTGATCGGGCGGCTTCAACTAGTCTGTCAGAGCTAATGGCGGTGCGTGTGGATGTGGTAGTCATTGTGAATGTTGGTCGCTGATGAAGACGTTCGGGGTGGGTTCTGCTGCACAGCCAGTCCTGGGTAGCCGAGAAGTCTTACAAGGTGAATCTGGCGATATGCTCCCATCCAGAGGTCAAATAATTGCAGCTCAAGAGAAGCTGAGGCATCGTGGATCAGATGGCATATGGAGGCGAATCCCGAGCGCAACTAAGGTCTCCATAGTCTATCTGTGCCTCACAGCACTGTTGCCATCTCTATTCCGTCTCACTCTCTTGTTATGAATGCTGCTCGGCGCCCCCAACAGCTGTGCTAACATTACGAGTACTGCTTGGACTGAGTTTCTGGGGGTGTAGCTCTCAGCGGGGAATAGTCTGGAACCGGTTGGGCGCAGTACGTACTACCTTTTGAACTTAACGAGTCCGCATGTTCCCTCAGTCATGCATCCGTGTAAACCGAATCCTGAGCATTGGTCTCGACCAAATGATCGTCCCGTACAGCCGGCTCGTCCCAACTCATGACTATAGCCATCAGCTCTATCCGCTTGTGTCGCACACTGTCCACCACCGCCACCCACAATGTTCGAAACGAGGCTGGCAGCAGACCTGCCGTCAAGACAGAGGCTATGCTGGCAATGCTTAGAGATCTCGATTTTCGATCTTTCTCCAGTATACGGCTTCTGTAACGAACCACTGCAGCTTGTTCGAATTGCGCAGAGCACGACAGGTGCGCGAGGAAGACTCCACCCGTTTGCCTTAGGCAGGACCAAACACACCAACAGCACCGGTATCTCAGCCATTGCTAGGTCGATACGCAGATATAGGCGATGGGTGTTTCTGTGTGAGCAGCGAGAAGAGTGGGCCTCGGTGGCCTCCATGCACAAAGTGGCAGGATTGAAGTCAGTGGTCTTTCGCTTCGAATCCATCATGCGAGTACTGCAAACGAGAACGCTCAGCTGCATCTGAGCTGCATCCCTCTCGATGTTGTTCGATCAGTGTGCGCCTATTTCCGGAAAAATAGCATTCGACCTCGTTTCGATGCTATTCGAGCGGCTGCGGACCTTGCGCGTTCTCGCCATTTTGACATTTCCATAACCCCGGGTATCCCTTGTACCATGACTCCAGACTGATGCACATAAAGGTTGGCAGACAACTTAGTAGCCACGGCCGCGTCCTCGAGGGGCGCCCCGACCGCCGCCTCGGCCACCAAAGGAGCTTCCACCTCGACCACCGAAGGAGCCGCCTCGGCCACCGCCCCTCGGAGCACCCCGACCGCCAAAGCCTCTCGGTGCACCTCGACCGCCAAAGCCTCGCGGAGCACCCCGACCGCCGCCTCGTGCACCTCCTCGTCCCTGTAGTCCGGGCTTCTTGACCTTGCTGGCGCCGGGTGGTCCCTTTGGTTTGGGGAGGAACCTGCGCAATGTTAGCATGGCAGTCTTCGTAATCAGATCTGCATTCCTCACTTTTCTAATGGCAGTAGCTTGTCGCCACCTATATAGAACTTGTCACCGGCCTTGAACGAAGTAGCCTGGATGCCTTCTTGCGGCTTGATTGTGAAGTAGACTTGGTTGATGGGGCCGAGGATCTCGTCCACCTTGCCGATGGTCGTCTGTATCTTGTCAACACTGCACTGCATTCACCGTTGCAGCAACCGACCTTGTTCTCGAGGTAGACGGGGGCGTTGAAATAAGGAATCTTGGGATTCGTCGACTCGCACACCATTTCGCCCTCGGATGGGTGCATGAAGGTGCCGATTTCTGTGGGTGTCAGCTGGGTCGCTTGATATAGGCAAGGCCGCACATACCTAGAACCTGCGCAGGAGGACCATAATTGCTCTGGAAGCCACCACCTCGACCTGTCACATTCATCAGTTTCTTGCCATAATTTTTGCGGAGACGGTGATTTAATTTTACCTCCGCCTCTGGGAGCTCCTCTTCCTCCTCTATCACCACCTCTGAATCCGCCACGACCAGCAGAACCGCCGCGGAACGACATTGTTGAGTGCGAAGGGGGAGCTGATGGTGTCGTGCGCGCCTTGGACTTTTTCGCGGGAGAAAAGCGATTCTCTATGTTGCAGTTCCGCGCTGCGGGCAGATTTCAGATTTTCGGAGCGCACGTGATTGGCACATTTGGCTCACACCGTATCCACCACCACGCCCTCTCCGCTACCACTGTGTCCACACTGACAAGGCCCGTCTACGCCATGAGCCACAAGAGAAACATCTCGCTGAAGCCTCACGACCTTTGGGGCACCTTGAAGAACGACAAGGTGACTCAAAACGGCGCCCCGGCTTCTGAGTCATCCCCCCCTTCATCCAATACCTCAAAAACACCGTCAAGTCCCACGCAAAGTAAGAAATTGCCAAGCAGGCCAAAAGAAATGTCGACTCAAGCAGCACCCAAGGGCGGTGCGCCCAAGCCTCTACCAGAATTCATCCAGCAGCGAAACCAGCTCTTTGACCAACTCTGGAAGGACAACGAAGAGGATCTCAAGTCACGAGACAAGCCTGGGATCAAAATCGAACTCACCACCGAGGGGCAGAGCAAGACTGCCCTCGACGGCAAGGCATGGGAGACGACTCCAGGTCACCTCCTGAAACACGTGCCCAAGGACCGTGCTGGACAAGTCGTGGTAGCCAAGGTAGACGGCGAGTTGTGGGATCTGGATCGACCGTTGACCAAGGACAGCAAGGTGTCATATCTTGTCTTTTCAGATCCCGAAGGACGCGACGTCTTTTGGCATTCATCTGCCCATGTCTTGGGTGAATGTGCAGAGCACGAATATGGCTGCCGTCTGTCCCACGGCCCTCCCACAGCCATGGGTTTCTTCTACGACATGGCTCTCGAGCCTGGAGTCGCTGTCAGAGAGTCTGAATGGCCCTCATTGGAATCCAAAGCAAAGAAGTTCGTCAAGGACAAGCAGCCATTCCAGCGCCTTGAAGTCTCCAAGGAAGACCTCCGCAAAATGTTTGGCTACAGCAAGTACAAGATGCACTACATCGAGAAATTCGTACCTGACGGAACTTCCTCTACCGTCTACCGCAACGGTGATCTTGTGGATCTTTGCCAGGGACCTCACATCCAGAATACCCGCAAGATCGAAGCCTTCAAGATCATGAAGAACTCCTCCGCCTACTTCTTGGGCGACCAAGCGAATGACTCACTCCAGCGCATCCATGGCGTTGCCTTCCCAAACAAACAGCAGCTTAAGGACTGGGAACACTTCCTCGAAGAGGCCAAGAAGCGTGATCACCAGCTTATCGGCAAGCAGCAAAAACTTTTCATGTTCAGCCAGATGTCCCCTGGATCTCCCTTTCTCCTTCCACATGGCACTCGTATCTTCAATGCCCTGCAACACATGCTCCGCGAACAATACTGGGACCGTGGCTACCAAGAAGTACAATCCCCAAATATGTACGATGTCGACCTGTGGAAGACTTCCGGCCACTGGCAGCACTACCAAGACGACATGTTCCGTGTGCAAGTTAAAGACGACTCCGCAGACCCCATGCCACTCGCCGATGCTAAGCCCTCCGGTGCTCCCGTTGCAGACCTCAAGAATCAAGACAAAGATAAGGGCGTCTTTGCTCTCAAGCCCATGAATTGTCCCGGCCATTGCGTCATGTATAAGAACGAAGAGCACTCCTATCGCGACCTCCCTTGGCGAGTCGGTGACTTCGGCGTCCTACATCGTAACGAAGCGTCCGGCGCGCTCTCAGGTCTCACCCGTGTGCGGAAATTCCAACAAGATGATACCCACATCTTCTGTACCCCTGAACAAGTCGAGGGCGAAATCAAAGCTCTCTTCGACTTTATGACCTATGTCTACGGCCTCTTTGGCTTCCCCTTCAAATTTAAGCTGTCCACCCGTCCAGAAGGCTATATGGGCAAGCTCTCCGAATGGGACGCAGCCGAAGCACAGCTCAAGAAGGCCCTGCAGGACTTCCGTGGCGACAACTGGGAGATCAACGAGGGTGACGGTGCCTTCTACGGCCCCAAGATTGACATCACCATCTCCGACGCCCTGCAGCGCGAGTTCCAGTGCGCCACCATCCAGCTCGACTTCCAAGGCCCCGCCAACTTCAAGCTCGAGTACCGCACCTCGGAGCCCTCTAGCGCCGACGGCGCCGCCCCCGCCGACAAAGAGGCCGCTGCCGACGACAAGAACAAGGACTCCAGTGGCCCTGGCGCCGGCATGGCGCGTCCCGTCATGATCCACCGCGCCATTATCGGCTCATTTGAGCGCTTCATCGCCGTCCTGTGCGAGCACTTCGCAGGCAAGTGGCCATTTTGGCTGTCGCCGCGCCAAATCCTCGTCATCCCCGTCATGAAGGGCGCGGAAGACTACGTGCGCGAGATCCAGGCACTCTTCACCAAGGCGCGCTTGTACTGCGACATCGACGTCTCAGGCAATACCTTGCAGAAGAAGATTCGCTCCGGCCAACTGAACCAGTATAACTTCATTTTCGGTAAGTTGACACACTCCCCCCCCATGTCTTTCCTTCTCCCCGTTTTCCTAGACTCCAATGCTGATAAATTGTGTCCCCCAAAAGTCGTCGGCGCCAAAGAGCAAGAGACCCGCACGGTCAACATCCGCAACCGCGACGACCCCGCCACGCAGAAGATGGGCGAGCTCATCCCGCTCAACAAGGCGCTGGAGCGGTTGGTCGAGCTGCGAGACGAGCGGAAGCTGGAGAACAGGATTGAGATGTCCAACTGAAGCGGTGGCGCGGAAGGTCAGCTTGGTGCTGCGGCCAGTATGGGGTCTTGCGTCAGGAGCAGCGGGAATTGAACAGGCAATATGTTTGCCTTCCCGGGGAGAGGTGCGATGCTTTACGTAGCCAGCGATGCGGGTGATCAATTCAGTAGAAGCAGGTAAACAGAAAGACAGGTTGAAGAAACCATGACATCGTCATGAAAGAACGGTTGCAAAATGTTCGAAGATGTCTTTCATACACGAGTACGGAAAGCCGTCATGGCAAAATTTAATCCCTTTTTCGCTCCGATGCTCTGACGAAACGCTCATGCCGTGCGCTCGGGAGTCTCTCCCTCGGCGATGATTGGCACGGGGAGTCCTCGACTGGGACTTGACGATATCAATTGCTCCGCTTTTCGCGCTCTTAGGAAATCCGAGACTGCTCGGATGAGAATGAACCATCCAACGATCATCAAAAGATAGGAGACCCAGTCGATTCCTGTAAGACCGCCAACTCCAGAGTCGCCGTCGCTGCCGTCGCCTTGGTTTCCATCTACGTTGTTGGGATCAAAATTGTGACTGTTAGGGTCTGGTGGTGAGGAATTGGAGAACTGTCCAGGGTTGCCTTCCGGATGGTCGGGCCCAGAGCGCATGTAAAAGCCGTATTGCACAAGGGTAAGACCGAGACCAGCCCGGGAACCGTTTTTGGCTGCGTGCGTAGTGTGTAAGAGGTAAGTGAGTAGGAAGCCCACGAGCTGAAATGACATCGAGATCATGCCGTTCCAAATGAAGGAAAACAGAGAGCCCACAGGCAGGCCATCGACGTAGACCTCGTCGGAGGACATGCCGGGAGCCAAGATGGTGGTCTCCCAATAGGGAGGGGTGGCGTCAGCGGCAGCCTGTTCATAAGTCTATTGAGAGTTAGTACAGATTCATCGTGCCAGGGTTGGGTTTCAACGTACGGGAGGCTTCTCGTCGAGCTGTTCGCCACGCTCGAGTTTGGCGCCGAGATTAGCAAAGACGCCATCGTTTGCTGGCTGTTCCATGACCCGGGTTTGCGGGCGGAAAGCGGGCAGTTCGGTCACCCGTCGCTCTACCTCGGGTCGTGATGTCGAATTTGAGGAGGCCGCATTGCGTTGAGCCTCGCTGGGGTTGGCTCTCATCAGGCGTTGTCTATCGTCCTCTTCATTCTCATCGTCTGAGCCATCGCCAAAGGCATCCTGTAGATCGCGCTCGCCTTCGTTTGATAAGGGGTCTTGATCCAGTAATCGGCGAGACGTCGGCGAAGAATCGCGAGAGCGGAAAGACGGTGGAGGAGAGTTAGGTATATGCTGGTTGCCGGACGTGGCTATAGGTGTTTCGACATCGTCGTCATCGTGTGAATGGATCTGCAGAGAGTCAGTAGCCGATCGTGCGAGCGTTCGGTGAGGCGGGCAGCGTACCGGCTGGTACCGCTGAGAGCTCATGGTGAGCCTCAGTAACCGTAGAGACACTCTCGGGGAAGTAGGGAGAGGGACAAGAGGGATATAAAGTAGCCGTAGGAAATGAAGCACAAATGAATCGAAGTATATTGGGTGTCGGTCTTTCGAAAGCGGTGGAAAGAGAGTGGTTGATCTGGAGCCTGAGGCCTGATTCGCCTCAGCGATCGTTCGCCCCTCGGAATCGGGTCGACTGCGCCTCGTCTCGGGTCGGGGTGATTATTGAATCGATCACGTGCAACAAAGCCGGTTCTAAATTGAGACTAGTCCTCTTTGTCGAGTTCCAAGGCTGTCACGGGCAACGCGAGGCTGTCAAAAAAGTGTAGTCGCGTCATGGACTGAGACCCGACCTGAATTAAATCGAGCTCGATGCTTGTGGTTCATTCTGCATAACTTTATCAATCACGCTCCGTCGACGTCTCCTTTGGCATGGCAACATCTCAATCGGTATGCTTCATTATCCAAGCGAATGTCGCTTTTGCTAACTGTCACAGCTTGCCCTAAAACATTGGGCGCGCATCATCAAGCGATGGCCTATCGACAAAGTTCGCCCGGAGAGCGTGTCCTTCCAAGCAATTATGCAGAGGCGCCTCGACCGATTGACAAACCCATCACTGAACGCAGCAGCCACCAGCGTCAAAGGGAATGAGGCTTTGGTCTCGGCTGCACCTCCGCCCAAACTCGACGAGCAGAAAGAAATGAAACAGGCCAATGCTCTGTATTCCCTCTTGGAGAACCGCTACGAGACAAAGTTCCCAATGCCTCAACAGCTTCGATACCCAGAGAGCCGCAAGACACACTATGATGATCTACTGCAGGAGCTTGAAGAGGCGCCCTCAAGAACAAAGTTCTCGTCTTTTATGGCGCGGTTGAAGGGCCGCTTTCGCCTGAGTTGAACGACGTCTTTGTTACCTGTTGCGTTGTTTCAGCTGGAGCTGGCATGTCGTTGCATCTTGGACTGTCGGTATAGTGCCATCAAGAGGCAAGACGGGACCATGACCCGTTCGACTGAAGCAGTTGTTCGGCCACCTTCCGGGGACCGTTGCCGAAGTCTCCGCACTTCATCCCCGCAGTCAGCGAGCATAAGATGGGCTCTATGAGGAGGTAGCGTAAGCGCCTTCGACTTCAGCGACTCTACCCTACCGACATAATGGGGAGCGCTGGAAAGAAGCCATTGGTCTATGTACTTGATCCTTACCATCCGGCCGCCATTGAGCTGCTTAAGGCTGATACTTCGGTGGACGTCATTCTGCCACCTGAGGCAAGCAAAGATGATGCACTGCCGCGCGCAACTGGCATTCTCCTACGCAGCGACACTCGCATCAATGCTGCAGACCTCGAAGGTGCCAATTCTAAGCTGAAGTTCATTGTCAAGCAAGGTGTCGGCGTCGACAATGTCGATTTGCAAGCGGCAAAGAGTCGAAATGTCGGAGTCTTCAATACGCCCGGATTGAACTCCGAATCTGTCGCCGAAATGACGCTGACTTTGGCACTCTGCGTTGCAAGACGCGTCACAGAATTCGATCGCAAGATCCGTGATGGTGAGAAGGTCGTTCGTAGCCAAATGCTCGGAAAGAGCCTGTTCAGGAAGTCTCTGGGTATTGTTGGCATGGGCGCTATCGGTTCCGAGTTGGCCAAAAAGTGGAAAGGGGCAATGAATGGACCACTGATTGCATTCGATCCTTACGCGAAAGAAGAGGCCTGGCACGACCTGTTCGGGTTGGAGGGCTTCACACGCGTTCAGAATCTGAACGATCTCCTGAAAGCTGTTGATGTGGTATCGCTCCATGTTCCACTCACCACATCGACGACGAATCTGATTGGGGAGAAGGAACTTGCCATAATGAAGGACGATGCAATCCTGCTGAACTGTGCCAGGGGTGGTGTAGTGGATGAGGCGGCTTTGCTGAAAGCGCTACAGGCTGGGAAGCTCTTTGGTGCCGGCCTTGATGCCATGCAGCATGAGCCTCCCAGCCGCGCTCGTTACGGTGAAACACTGCTTACACATCCACGGGTCGTCCTGACACCACATGTTGGTGCTTCAACAGAGGAGAATCAGGCAATGAGTGGAAGAAGGGCAGCTGAAATACTACTTGACCTCATCGCGGGCAGAGGTGAGCATCAATCTTTAGCCTAGAGCCCAATGCGCAACATCTCCTACCAAGTTGAACATAGAAAACTTGACGCGAAGTAAGATCAATGTATCATCCCCTGCAAATATCAAAGCTCAGGGAATGGGATCTGCTCCATACCAACGTGGACGCTGAGCACAGCTGAATTGTGAATACTAGGTAGTAGAGACGATATTGTCTTGGCATCGATGTTGTCTTGGCAATAAAACCCCTCGGAATTCGACCGACAACATTTCAACTCTTATCGATCTTTCGCCAGCGATGTTGCGCGTCGACCGGAAAACTAGGTATTGTAGGGGAGAAGATAGCTGCTCTTGGGATCTAAATCTCTGTTCCGCGAACTCGCTCTCTGCGCGCACAAAGTCTAGCCCGACGGGCTTTAGCTGGACTTAGCCCTCGTATTAGTTGACGGGGGGAGACCATCGGTCGTTAATTCCACCACAGATGCTCTTCTACCGGAGTCTTCTCTAGGTCTATTGTCCATCATGCCTCCGGCGCGCAAGGATCTAAACAAGTCCATCGCGAAGCGTGTCGGCAAGCGCCAGGCTTACCACCTCACATGTCACAATTGCCGCACCAGAAAAGTCAAATGCGACGGCGCACAGCCTGAATGTGGCATCTGCAAAGCCTACTCTCAGCAGTGCCAGTATGACAAGGCACCGCCGATGAGCCAGGTTCTAGCAATGGCAGAGAGAATCGCACAGCTCGAGAAAGGTCTCGATATACAACGCGAAGACAATCAGCAGCACGATGTTTCAGATGGTGCGAGCGTTGTTATGGAGGTACCGAGTCCTACAGCATCTCGAACAACCGCCTATCGATCGCCTGTTGACACTGTCACTTCCGCCAGCCAGGAAACTCCACATTATCCATCAACATCTGCTGTTGAGGACCCAGTAACCGGTCAAAATGAGGAGAACTCCACGAGATCGCCTTCTCTCACTGCAGTAATGCCGACAATGAACGAGGAACAGCTCCAGTACTGGGAGAAGTCCGCGGTGCAGGCTTGCGCCACACAGCTGCGCCTCCCAGAAGAAAGGATTGAGCATCTGCTTAAAACTCACTGGACCTGGGTGCTACCGATGTTTTTGTTCTCTAATCGCGTGCAATTTGTGCGAGATGCTGCATCTGGGGGTCTGCATGCCTCCGAGCTGCTTTTGTGTGTGATATGTCTGCATTCCACTCGATTCACGGATCATGCTTTAAGCGAGGAGCTATTTGCTCGGGTACGCCTGTTGCTCGGTCAAGAGCTCCACCAGAAACCAAAGATTCCGACTGTCCAAGCACTTCTGCAGCTCAGTGCTCGGGAAATGGGCAAGGGGAGCATTTCACAAGCATGGTTATACAGTGGAATGGCATTCCGAATGGCCGTGGACATGGGCATTTTCACCAAAACCAAAGGACAGCCATCCGATCTCGAGCTCGATCGTGTCCATCAGCAGCTAGCCTGGTCCTGCTACACCTGGGACAAAATCGTCAGCCTCTACCTGGGACGAGTACCTACGCTGCCTGAAGTACCGAATTTCCCTCCCCCAGTAGTAGACGAAATTACCGAGAAAAGCATATGGATTCCCTATGGTGCGGAAACCCTCAGTGCCTGGCAGCCGATGTTCTCGTATACTTACTCGGCGTTCGAGAACTTCTGCAAGCTCGTGGTCATCATTCATGACATTTTGATCACTGTTTACGCCAAAAATCGACCTCAGCAAATCACCTACTTCGTGAACCAGACACGCCAGCGACTCGAAGAATGGCACAAAGACACACCGCCTCATCTCAAAGCCGGGAGCGTACCAGATCAATGCCCTCCTCCGCATATTCTGACTCAGATCATGCTCTACTATACTACGCTCATCCTCCTACACAGGCCATTCCGCAGTAACTCGCAATGCCAGACGATCTGTCGCGATGCGGCAAGGCAGTGTGAAGAGCTCATCCTCTCGTTCGAAAAGTCGTTCGGTCTGTCCCACGTCACATATCTGATAGCATACTGTTCATACACAGCCGCTACCGTTGCCCTCCAGGATCTTCACGATGGTATTGAAGGGTCCCAAACCAGAGTGAACACATACCTCCGGGCACTCTATTCGGTCAGGGCTGGAACTCCGGGCATCCAGCGGAGCATTGATATCATCGTTCGCAATCTCGATCGACGAACCCCCGCCCCCAAACCACAGACCGAGTCGACAAACCAGGACTTGCAAATGCCGATCGATGCGCTGCCCGCATTTCCGTTCGATGTCAATTGTGATCTGATGAACTTCACCACCGGTGACGTGGAGAGCTTGCCAATTGGAGGCCTCGACTCGTTTGCTTACGGATTTGTGACAACACCGAGCGACAATTATGCCAACATCTTCTGATCAAGTCTGATGTGTTGACAAGAAGTTGGCAAGGAAAAAGCTGCTGAGTCGCGTCGGTAACGTACGAAAAGGACAGATCAAAGTAGCAACTACTTTTGCGTCTTCTTCACAACAGTTGAATACGACCCTATGTTGTATCAGTCCCGGTCAGTCTCCGGGGCATGAACGCATCTCTAGCGGGTCTCGGGCAAGACCCTGTGCCGGCTATGTTCCGCGGAACATCTCCCCGAGGCGACTGAATTACTGAGATGAGTATCCGGCTCCGTACCTGTTGCACAACTTACTCCAGAGCCAAGACCTTTGGTGTATCACGGTGTATATGACCCAGGTTGCAGGCTGCCTGATCTGGTGTTCGGCCGAGGCTGTAATGCAATCTCAGCCTTTATTTTTCACTCAGCCACTCTGACACTTTATTTGACATCAGCCCGCAGCATGTACACTAACGAGGGCAGACCCCAACACGATGGCCGACGGGTCTGATGTGATCGGAAGGGTTCACTTTCCACTTCGTGGCAATTCCCGACTTTTCAATCTTGCCACTGGCGGTCAACGAATGAGTATTGGCATACTCCTGGGCGCGGTCATGCGCATTGTATAAACGGACGAGACAAAAGATCGTGGCAGCGGGCGAAGTAGGCCAGATCATGGCTGAAGAGGTTCACCGAGAGATCGAAGGCATCTCTGAGGAGGAACGTTTGACTACGAAGATGGACTTCCGCTACATTACTTAGAAGAGTACAGCAAGTTGTCGTGAGCCACAGCATGTCGAAGCTACCAAAGTCTCGGGTTCTTTTTCGGAAAGCACCGGCGTCAAGACATGCTGTTGTGATCGCATGACCTCGACGACTGGACTTCTGTGTCAACCACTTACGTTCTCAGCTACTTTCAAAACTGCAATGCCATAGAGATTGCGGAGAGAAAGCCTTGCACAGCCCAGTCTATTGGTTCTGGACAGAGCATTCTCTGCCTTCCCTTCCACTAAAAGAACGCGCAAGGACGTTAAGGTAAGGTGATTAATCTATCTTGCTGCAAAGCAGGCAGTAAAATCTTGGCGATATCAGTCTTGGCGGTATCAGACTGCAGCCAAAAAATTTCCAAAAAGCCAAAAACAATCAACAATCAGGATTCGCTGATGGTCACCCACTCAACTACTAACTGATCGGCCTGTGGTTTAAGTTGCCTGAGCGGACGGGAAGGCCTGTTTTCCGCAGCCTGTGGTCGATTGCGAAAGACTTCTGTTGTTATACAAGATAAGTACACTATTTGCAATCAATTTCGCTGAAGGATTGGTAACGGGCCCCGGGCGGCTTTGAGGCCGGTAGCGGAACCTGCTCTGTAACACCCGAGCCTTCAGCTGCCACCTAACGAACAGCTTCCATCTGCCTAGTCTTAGACCAGTGTCTCATGAGAAACTAGCACACACTGCAGGTGCAACCAGCATCATACTTTCACATACCATCCGTACACACAGCTCACCTACATGACAGCACCAGACCTTAACAGCACACCTGAGCAGCAGAAGAGAAGTAGCTCGAGGTCTCGCAATACCTTTGGTCTGACAGTTGCAGCTGTAGTCTTGGTAATTGCGCTAGTCTACGCGCAATATGCAGATCTACTAAGCCTACAGGCGACTGCGGGCAGAGACCGCGTCCGTGCAGAGGTGAAGCACTTCGTAAGATGGCAAAGAATCCGTCTTCGGACAGCTAAAGACCTCGATCGAGCTCTTCCTGTCCTCATTGACTTCGTCAAAAACCCGGAGCACGCATTGTCGCTCAAGGAGCTGACATTTGATACCCGGCGTTATGATTATGGCAGCGACGCTCCACTACCGCCAATAGCCCTGCCGGAGACTCTTTCGAATGATGAGCAGAAGGTCATGGAAGCCGTGAAGGCCATTGAGCTTGGAGTTGAGCTCGAAAAGGCGATAATGGAGGCACTGATCTGGAAAACTCGCGGCATCGATGTGTCCGAAGCAGAGGAAGCGGAAGCAAACCCGCTGGACTATTGCGATCCTCGTCGCTTTGAGAGAGACAACAACCGCAGAAACCGGCGGCTGCAGTACGCAAGAGTATTGACTATTCTGTTCTGCAGCCTGTCGCCGAACCTGACCATCCTCCGTGTCACAGAACCCGAGCATATCTTTGCGGAGTTTCTTGCCACAGTTAATCACCGCTGGGTCTCTCATGGCACTATTCCCATCTTCGCCAGTCTCAAGGACGTACATCTGATCGAAAGGAGTGAGGGCTACAGCATATTAGAAGATGAACGGTTCTATCGCAACATCAATCCTCTTGAAACCATTCGTTACTTCCATCGACTTCCGTCCATAGAGTCATTCTCAGCCACTACGCTCTCAAGCGGCCGGAGTGAACTCGACCATATTCCGCCGGGACATTCCCGCCTTCGAGCGATCTCCGTCACCAACTCCGACGTTGGCAGCGCGACGATGTGCAGCCTCATCCGCCTGGCCACCGCACTCGAAAACATTACTTTCACTGCCGGTGGTCGGGCAACAAATGACGGCAGCTTCTCTGCAGTATTTCCCAAATCCCTAGGCAAGTGCCTGGAGCAGCAGAAGGCTACTCTGCGTAGTATCGATATCGATGCAGATTGTCAGTGGTGGTCCAGCATGATGTCTGGGGACGGGGACGCGGAGGATGGCGTTGGCATCTACGAGCGGCAGGAAGACTATCTGCAATTAGAACTTGATCGTTATCGTGAGGAACCGGAGTGGAGGGCCGAAGAAGAGGACAGCAAAGCACGAGGCTTGCCCCTGCTTTCCCGCGATCTGCCTGACACAAAAACATACAACGGCACGATTGGCAGCCTGGCCGACTTTGAGAACCTGGAGAGCCTGAAGATTGGTATAAAGCTACTACTCGGAGATATGTATGGTCCTTTGGAGGAACCGCAGCCAAAGCCACCAACAGATTTGGTCGACATGTTGCCCCGGAACTTGAAACACTTGACTCTCCGCGGCTACAGAAAGGGCGAGCGCAAGGAGTACGACGAGAACGTTGAGCAATTGCGGGCCGTGATGGCTGACAAGCTGCCTTTGCTGGCGGAGGTTGAAGGATTGGACGAAGAGGTCCCGAGCGGAGAGCACGTGGAGGACTGTGATGCAGAAGATGCTCCGTTGTTTGTGATGGAGCCGGTGGAGGATGGGTGGCTTGAGGTCGAGCCAGACAAGTCAGCATGATTGCAGAGTCAATGACCTTCGACTTCCGGAAGCCCATGTGTTGGCCGAGACTTGCCTTTATGGTTAGATACCCGCGGATCGCCAGGAAGAAAAAATGTAAACGGAGGTCCTCCGTTGAGTTGTGTCAAGATCAGCCGATCATGGTCAGGGGTGTTGATGAAGTACAGCAGGTAGATGGACTCGATATATGGTCCTTGGGACGGGGCGTATCCTTTTGACAGTGACTGTGTTTGACGTATAGTCCAGGCTCGATAAGGCTACAAGGATACACAGCATCATAGGGCGAAATGGGGAGGTTGCACCCAAGGCAGGTCAGGCAACCGCTTGAGGCAGCTCTGTAACCGCATCCAGATATCTTTTCGCCCCTATGGTAGCGAATCCATTCGCGAGAGATTGCCAAGGGCATAGACGAGGCCCTAAACGAAGTCTGCAGGGAGCGGGGGGCCGGAAGCCCGAGTGCTACGGAGGCCAAGGCAAGGCCTCTCCTTGAACATGCTCTGATAAGATGTTGAGCAGGGTGGCCTTAACATCGATTCCAATTGGGATCAGGGTTACACTGTATTTTTGCTACTTGGCGGCCACAAACAGGTCTGGAGAAGCGAGAACTGATCGGCGAACATGGCGCATGGTACTACTAGCTGCGGAACAGATCAACGTCATGCAGTTCAAGAGGCCTAGTCAGCCCGCACTGCTTATACAGGATTGCTCAAACGGTAGACTGAGGCAGGCCTCTCGTCAACATCTGGACAAAGCTTCCTTTAGCAATCAATAAATATTAGCCGACAAGTCCCAGTCGCAATTCGACATGGACACCAGCGAAATAGACGCCAAAGTCCTTGAGAGTCTCCAAGGTACTACTTTGGCATGCTCGGCCCTCAAGCCCATCTCGGGAGGTACTGTGAACTGGAACTATCATGCAACACTAGTCAAGCCGCTCGAGAACGGCTTCACAGAAGTTCTGGTGAAGCACGGGGAAAGACATATGAAGACCAGACCCGAGTTCAAGCTTGAGTTTCTCCGATGTGTAAGGACAGACCCCCAGGATAGCAAAATATGTTCCGCCCCTTTAATGGTGTGCTAAAGTTAACCTGTCCCCCAACAGCAAATCGAGTCTGAGTGCTACAAGAGCCTAACCCACCGTCCCTTTACTGGCGGGACGGGGGCGACGGATTCCTTCAGCTTTACCGTCAGGACACCAGAGTTCATCCACTTCGACGAGGAGAACCTCAACCAGTTCCTGGAGTATCTCCCACAGGGGACCACCTTGAAGAGTTATCTCTTCGGAGACCACCACCTCACGTCGTCAGGTCCCGAGTCATCGGTGTCGCTAGAGCCGCAGTTTCAACAACTAGGCAAGGCCATTGGCACGTGGCTCACGCGGTTTGTCAAGTGGGCCGCGAAGCAGGCCGAGCTGAGGCAGACGGTTGCGAAAAATGCTGAGGCGCAGCGCATCCGGCACTGGGTCAGCTTTCTGTGGCTGCACGATCGTATCAAAGAATATCCAGCTATCTTGGGCGACGTCAAGGGGGTCCTGGAAGAGGTCGAGCAGGCGGTCGCCGCGGAGTTGCGGGACGAGAGGAAGCTGCAGGTTATTCACGGAGATCTCGCCATCGGCAAGTAAGCAAAGCTCAAGACCCATGATCGTTCGCACCAGGGGATTCCAGATATTGACTTCGTGTGGCAGTATTGTGCTACCTGATGCGCCACTGCGTCAACACGACAACATACCCGTTTTCATCGTCGACTGGGAGATGGCTGAATTGGGCGTGCCAACTACGGATCTCGGCCATGTAGTAGTCGACCTGTATGCGCTGTGGATGTATAAATCGATCAAACCGGCGCTGTGGATCATGCAAGGGCTGGTCAATGCGTACGGCGAAGTGACTGAAGAGTCCGCGTTTCGTACTGCTCTGTACATTGGCTCACATTTGATCTGTCTCATAACAGTCAGCGACTGGCTCCCTGCGGACCAAGTGGAAGAAGTGGTTCGCCATGGGAGGGATATCGTCGTGCATGCTTGGAAGAAAGATCGTTCTTGGTTTGAGAAGGGCGAGTTGAGGTGCCTCTTTCACCAGATCGCGTGAGGACGCAACAGTGTGTATGTAACTCATACTGCGCTTACTAGGGAGAGGCAAGCTAGGTGGCCGCCACGCTTCCGACGATGCTTCTTGTATAGAATACTAGTATATGTGGCTCGCTCGAACAATCCTGATGCGGCTGAGCAAATTCTGTGCGTCGATGAGATGCGCCACACAGCTTTCATGATCCATTGTGTGGTTAAACATCTCTGATCCAGCCGACCATTCTGCTGTATCAAGAAATTCCCAATCCTGAGTCTCCGGTGCTTCGATGGATGTGCGTACACATTTACAGAGTCCAAGACTGTTTTTTCTCCATGCTTCAAACAATCCACCTTGAGCTTCGCCAACCTCATCTAGCTGCCGCTTCAGCCGATTGCCACCATCTAGTAGTGCAGCACATAAGCTGGTGAGCTGTCCAACGATTGTTGGACGCTCATGATACCGCTGCGTGTCATCCATTTCGTGCATTGATTTGTAAACTTCCCAAATTCTGTACTCACAATAGGCGTTGAGAGCAGTCACAAAGGAGAGATCAACCTCTGCCGAGTCGTTAGGAGTCTGACGGTTACAGGTAGACCCGAACTCAGACCACATCGGGTCGAGTGAGGGCAGAGGACGCATGTTCTTAACGAGCGTCACAAAGCTGCTTTGAGCTTGCCAAAGGTTTCCCTCCCTCAAGGACTCTTGATGATAAGACATCAGGGGTTTCCAAACGTGCTTCACACTTCTCACAGAAGCCTTAAGTGCACAATAGGTCTCAAAAGCTTGCTCCTGTGCGCTTTTTCCAGTGTCGAGATTGACGGAACCGGGCTTGCTCAACTCCTCCGGCTGCTTTTTGCGTTGATCGTCGACCTTGTAACTTCCGCTGAAGTATTCCATGCTCGATTTGTGCTTGTCTCTTTCGGCATTGAGCATCGCTTGAAGCCGTGGACAGTCCGGCAGATACTTTTCGTCGAACCTTTTGACCAGCTGCTGGTTCTTATCTGTATCATCTGACAAGCGAGACAATGGCTCAAGTACCATGAGCAGCTCTAGCTCATCTGCTGCAAAGGCTTTTGTGCCAGGGTTCTTGAGGAGCTGGCGCAGTGCCTCTCTATTCATCGTACGAACCAAAAATTCCGCGTACTCAGCAAACACTGGAAAGCACCAAGTGTAAGGCTCGAGAGTTTCCTTGAACATCGTATGGCATTTATCATCGAGCCCAAGGCGCGCAAATAGAACGAATTGCTCAAGCTCAGCAACGACATCTTCTTCAAGATCGAGTTCTATGTTGAAGACGATATCTTCAAACTCGGAAGGTCGCTTCTCGGCGACGGATCCTTGTAGATTCTTTGCCTTTTTCGAGGTGCCATCTTTTTTGGTCTTCGTCGGTAGTAGTAAATCCTGCAATGGTTCATCGGGTGCCCTCCCCCCTCTATTTCTATCATAGCTGGAGACGACTCGCGATCTTGATTTTCCTGATGTATTTCGTCTTGAGTTGCTGTCACCTGGCTCGCTGATGGGTCCAGGGTAAGAAGATCGTGGTGAGCTCGACCAACCACCAACATTAGTGGGCTGGCGCCGCCTTATCCTTACAGGAGCTTCCGAGGTCTCACCAGAATCTCTAAAACACATGATGATAGTCAAAGTGAGGTTTTGCGCTCCAGTCTTTCAACATTCGGCCACTATATACCCTGGTTTGTATGTGCAATGAGATGGAGCAAGCAGTTGTCATTGCGTCGTTGTCCTACGCCACAAGGTCATCGAAAGCAAGCTCAAACTGAAGCAGATCGATTTGGATAAGACAGATGTTGAAGCTAAAGAAACGAGGGAAGGCACGCCGAAGTAGGAGCTACGAAGCCGCACAAGGGCGATGCAGCTGCAAACCCCGCCTGCCATGGATGAGTCTCGGTACGTGGCACCATTCATTGGCCAGATAGGTATTTTGGCAGGTCGGTGGCTTTCTACTCAGCTGCTCGCCCCTCCATCGAATTTCTCTGTCCAAGTTCAAGTTCAGCTTCTTTCGCGCTGCCATGCCGAACCCGGCACCACCTATGATCGGAAGGCATCGCCAAAGGTATGGCGAGCTTCGAAGAAAAGTTCAGGAGATCGATACTGACCCGGGAGCGCCTCCACGTAACTTAGCCCGGACGGACATCAGGCGCGCAAGGGTCAGCTGCTGTCTGAAAGCGTCTGACACCAAATGGGGCAAGCAGGCGGATCACAATGTTGCCATATTCTTTCTTGAGATTGTCATGTACCAACCACCCGGATATCTGCTGAAAGACCTCACGCTTCAAATTAAGTTTCTTGAGCAAGACCCTGATAGAGCTGGCAGCCGATCACGCCGGCGAGCACGGCTCTGGCTTATCAATAATCCGTCACCTACCCATGTCACAGGCACACCACGTAATCAACACCACACTAGAGGCTACTCGATCGAACCTGGAGGAGGAGCTGGCGCAATCAGCTTCTCCCTAGGTCGGTTTGGGCACGAGCGGTCGATGGAAAGAGCACGGTCATGGATCTTCCGCAGCAACCGGGATCTCGATGAACACGACAATTATACTGGGGCCAGCTGGATCTGGGAATCGAACAAATACAACCCCCAAGTCGACGGTCCAGGACCTCTGCAAGCAGCCCTGGTCGTGCGACACCCCTCACAGCCGTTTTTCGTGACTTGCACCGTGGAAGGGAATCTGAGGAAGAATTACTCGATATTGCGACTGTTCCGTCGTAACCACCAGGAACCGGCAGAGATTCGAATGATTCTACCTGTTGTAAATGATCGGGATCTCAGCCAGGATATCGATACGCTGGAGGACAAGATAACGCGGCTCAATCTGGAGTTCGATCGGCGTGAGTATCGCAAAAGTCCTGAGTGGGTGTTGCGCTAACCGGGGAAAGGAGCTGTACTGGCGGCACAAAATCGTGCATCATCCCCAGCATAATGTCACCCAGAGGTCGGCACCTGCGGACATCTCCCTGGCTACAAGATCAGCCGTTTCAACAGTATTGAGGAATTCCTAGGAGACTGATGCGAGCACATCTGAGCCGATAGTAATGCTCTCGAGGCGCAAACGTCACTGGCAGTCTCATGAGCCATGTGAAGTACGTTCCATATGAAGACCATATTAGATGCGGCATAGAAGGGGCGAGACCATGCCGTATCGTCCCTCTAGGCTGAAGTTTTTTCGCGTCAATTGGAGGTGTCGAAAGGATCCATTGGCGGACGAGGGGCAGTCACTGACGATAAGTTCTTCTTTATATGACTATCGCATCCCGGAGAGGGCAGCCGGAGCACAAACCTCGATGTCGACGCTTTGAGTGTAGTCTCGTCTGGTAGTCAAGATGGTTAGGTCGATGATATAGCAGTTGTCAGAGCAAGTTGATGCTGTTGAGACTGGGGTCGCACCATAGGGATCGGGCCGAAGAGAGTTAGACCTCTTGTGAACGCGCTAGCTCGTATTGGGAAATCAGCATTATTAGCCCCGTTCTGTTCGGCCCCTCTTCGAACCTCGGTCGCTCGGTGATTTTGGGGTCTTCCCCGAATGCTTTCTCGGAGGCAGTGATATGACGGAGGTCTGATATCTTCTCCTCGACTTCTACTAATTTTTCCCCAAGCAAGCCTGTCTTTGCTCTCGCCAAAGACCAGTGTACTCTCCCCTACACTGTCTTTCCCATAACAGAAAGCAGATCCGACCAAAGGTGCGATTTCCCTCCCTCTCCAAAAGTCCACTACTGGACTTGGTCATTTACCACCGAAACCGCAATGCCACCCAAACGCCCCTCCGCGCCCAACCCGGTAGAATACACCTACGCGCAGCCCACCAACAGCAGCGTCTCCCACTCCATCGCCTCACCCCCCGCCATCTCCAGCACCACCTTCCACATCGCCGGCATCCTCACGCACGTGCACGGCCTCGCCGAACTCCCCTCCTCCTGCACCGAAGTCGCCGTGCTCTGGCTCCTACACCCCCGCCTCCAGGACCACCGATGCATGGCCCCCTTCGCCGCCCACATCATCACCAACTACTACGCGCACCTCAAGACCGGGGCCGGCGGCCGTGGCACCGGCGGCAAGGAAACGGGTTTGATCGCCGTGTCGTTCGACCAGCGCAACCATGGCACGCGCCTGGTCGACAAGCTGGCCAACGAGGCGTGGCGCAGCGGCAACGAGCACCACGCGCAGGACATGTTCAGCTGCTTTGCGGGCACGGCCGAGGACACGAGTCTGCTGCTCAACTACCTGGCCGCGTACGCTTTTCCCGAGGGCAAGGTCAGAATCGCGAGGAACATGGTCATGGGCATCAGTCTGGGCGGCCACGCCGCGTGGCACCTCGTCATGAGGGACGAGCGCTTCAGTGCGGCGATTGTGGTCATTGGGTGCCCGGATTATACGCGCTTGATGGTGGATCGCGCGAGGTTGAGCAAGAGGGCGTGCTGGCTCGAGGGGCAGGGGAAAGGGTTCTTGGGCAGCAAGGACTGGCCGCAGGGGTTGGTGGAGGCGATAGATAGGGTAGACCCTGCGTCGTACTTCTCCAAGGTGCTGGGCAGGGGGGCCGCTCCCGGCGAGGAGGACTGGGCGAGGACCATGAGTGAGGAGGAAGTCCGCAGGGTGAGGCCGGAGATGGAGAGGTGTTTTGGAGGGAAGAGGTTGCTGATATTGAGTGGCGGTGCCGACAAGTTGGTCAACTACAAGTTCAGCGAGCCGTTCCTAACCTGGCTCAAGAGTGCCACGGCAAAGGGCGGTTGGTTCGATGACGGCGGTCTGCATTTAAAGGATGTAGTGGCCGAAGGCTATGGTCATGAGGTTCCTCCGAGCATGGTTGAGGAAATGCTCCCGTTCATCAACGAGACGATGGACGAAGCCGATGGCCGGCAGCGACGAAGGTCGAAAATATAGGCATATATGAGCCTTTCTAGAGTGATAGAAGCCTGCAAAGGCATAAACGCCACGGTCTGCGATCTACGATAGACTTACCAGGTCAAAATTACAGGATCTACGAGCAAAACTGAAAAGGAGGACCCCAGAAAAGGGCGATGCTCAGTCCAGAATGGACGCAGCATTCCCTCGAGAGATGGGAACGAGTCAACATATAGTTGACCCGGAGCCAAAGGCTCGAACATAAACATGCTCATGTGATTGATGTTTCATTTTAGAGCTACCACTTCCGCCTCATGGGCTTCACATGGCGCGGCATCCGACTGCCTTGTCGTCGTTATGGTATCATGCAATCCGTCAGAGCCAGCCATTGCGACCGTTCTCTGCATTTGTCCGTATCCCACTGAAGCAGAATCAACGCTTTATGCAACGAGCTCAACGACACCACCAGCCTCCTTGATCTTGCGCTCTGCCTCCTTGGAGAAGTAACGGGCCCGAACGACGATCGGGATCTCGGGTATCCGACCCTTGCCGAGGACTTTAGAGTATCCGAGAGGTAGGAGGTCGAGGACAGGGGCGGTGTCGGTCTTCTTCTCAGCGACGTAGGCCTCGCGGGTCTCGGTGGGGACGAGGGCCCAAAGCTATCACCGGTCAGAATCTTGTCATGTAGCGCTTCATTCAGTGTGTATCTCACCTTGTCGAGGTTGATAGTTGGCTTCCAGAACTTGTTCTGGGTCTTGTGGAAGTAACGCATACCAACCTTACCGAAGTAACCGGGATGGTACTTGTCAATGTTGGTGCGGTGGTGGTGCTGACCACCGGCCATACCGCGACCACCTGGATGCTTGCGGTGCTTGCCTACACGACCGTGACCGGCGGAAACATGACCGCGGCTGTGAACGAATTATTAGCATTGTGTTCGCTTTGCGCAGGATATTCGTGCGATCGTGCGCGCTCCTGTGGTAGAAAATACGGCATCGTGCATTCGGGTAGACTCACTGCTTGCGGGTCTTGGTCAGTCTGGTAGGCATATTGACTGACTGTGAGGTTGTCGATGTGGTGGGATAACGAAAGGGTCGTGCAGGTGCAGTCCGAAAAGTCGTTGTCAAAATCGAGACGCAGTGGGAAGTCGCGGCTTGGCGTGTGGCTTGGCATTCTGCCGCCTCGTCACGCGGAGCCTTGATGAGTTGGCCAATCACATAGTTCTCTTCCACTACGCCGTTCCACTACAATTCGAGAGTCGTTGTCTTCTGAATGATCAAGCACTTCATTTATTACGGAAGAAGGCATGTAGACCAACTTCGGTCGCCTCCCAGCCGGGCCTTTGATTGACGATCATGCTTTCCCTTATCCACCCAGGGAGCTTGCTTCTAATCCGCTCCGTTGCGAAACGTCTGTCCACCAAAAGAATCGCAGCATAGTCGTTGCGATGCCTGATGGCCCTGCCAATACTTTGATTGACAGCTCTCATACAAGCGTTCTCATAGAAATCTCTGCCCGCCGCCTTGGCTCTGAGCCTCGCTTCATTTTCTGGGTAACCTTGCTCTTTGCATTGTGACATCTTCGCCGACTCGATGTGGTCAATTTTGGCCTTCCATTCGCCGCTGTTGGCATTGGGAAACGGCAGGCCAACACAGACGACAGCTCTCCCAAGGCTATCTGAAAAGTTGATGCCTTCGGAGAGCTTGCCGCCAACCACGGAAAGGAGGAGGCCGCCCGTGCCGTTGTCGATAGCTTGGGCATAGTCCCTGAGCAGGTCGTCGACTGACACGCCTTTGGCTTCTTCAAAGACCTGCTTCTTTTTCCCGAGAGCCTGCAACAGGGGCTCCGTGTTGACTGGCATCTTCCAGATCTTCACCACCCGAGCAAGGTATTCGTAGCTTGGGAAGAAGACTACGACACCGCCAGGAACGGAGCTGACCACTCGAAGCAGCAGTTTCCCAAGCTCTAAAATCATTGTCTCCAGCCCTCTCTTCTCGAATGTGAAATCAAATTCGAGACCAGAGGGACCATGTGCGACCGATCGCGCGAACATGTTCTCCTCGGGTATGACGTGACCGAAGGTAAAGGTTTTGAGGGTTTCCGGAGGCAAATACGAGAACAGGTGGTCGGCGTAATCTGACATTGGCGACATTGTCCCACCTGCGAGAATGACTGCCCTGGCCTCCTGAACAATCTCTCGAAAGTGCTCCTTCGGATCGAGCAATGTATATCGAACAACCACGTTTCCATCTTGCCGACTAGCGAAGAAGCGGCCTTCAGCGTCAGGGTTCATGAGAGCAGCCAAAAAGCTTTGGAAGTGCATCAGAAGACCCTTGTGCTGGCCGCCCTTGTTATCCTTGTCCTTAAGCTCAGTGTAGCCCTCGACCTTGTACGCAAGCTTACTCTCTTGTAAGTACTGCAACAACTTGTGGGGCTTAATCTGGTCAACCCCCTTTCCCGACATGAGCTGGCTGGCAGTGACAATGACGTCTTGCCTTTGCAGGTTCTCCCCAATTCTTCCCAGGCAGTCAGTTATCGAGTTTAGCAGCCTGATCACTTGTGTGACATATACTCTGTTCTTGCCTTTCAGCTTGTTCTTGAAGCGCTGAACGTAACCTGTCACCTGCTGTGTAGCGATTTGGATTTGCGTCAGTCGAAGTGTTATGGAGAAGGTATCAGCAATGGCGTCCATAAGATTGTGTGCTTCGTCAATCACTACGACGTTGTCCTTGACGGAGACGCCGAGAGCCTCCCGGGCTGACTTTTGTAGCAGCAGAGGGTAGGGTAGAGTCAGAACCTCGCTTGGAGCGATGGCTGGCCGAGAAGCATAGTACGGACAGATTTCCATCTCACGACCCAATTTTGCTATGTCTTCGATGTCGCGCACCTGTGCAATTGATCGAGTCCGAAACGCATCCAGTACTTCCCGGTCGTCCTTAGTTGGTAGATACGGGCACTTCTTGTCCTTTGCTATGCCAGGTTTTTGCAGATCGAGACACCGCTCGTTGACTGCGGTAGTAGATGCTAGGCGACTTACCTTCTCGTTAATGCAAAGGTTCTTCCTGGAGCCGAGTGCTAGATGTTTCACGGCTTCACTCTGCTGCACATCCTGCACCTCTGTTTCCTCAATTGGCATACCTGGCGGTGGCTTGACCCGGCGAAGCTCGTGCACGAACTGTGTCAGCTGCGAGTGAGTGCGTGAAGAGAAGATCACCTTCAGCTCATCCGCTTGCGCTACTTCCTCCTCCACCAGCTTTGGGCCACGCAGCTTTTCCAGTAGGACTCGCGTCGACGCTGACAGCCCGTCGTCGATGGGAGTGCCTTTGTGATTATCTGTGTCGGATTCGTAATCTTCGAGCATGAAGTGCTCCTCATCTTCAGCATCTGGCCCTTCCTTGTTACGTCGGGGGCGCTTCGGTGGTCTACCATTGGCCTGGAGGTCTTTGCGCCTTGCCTCTTCCCATCTAACCTTCGCAAGCTTAGCTTCGAGCTCCTCTCGCTCACGTAGGAGCGTTTTGCGACGGTTCTGCTTCTCGGCTTGCGCGAGCCAGTCGTCTGGGTCAGTAGCATCACCCTCGATCTCGCCCTCAAGCGTACGTCGCTTGTGGTCCCGCAGCCACGTCAGGGAGCCACAGATCAAGCTGAGAGATTTCCCTGTGCCCGTCGGGGACTCAAATATGCCGACTTGGCCATTCTGGATACAATCATAGAGACTACTCATAAACCCTAATTGGATGTCGTAGGGGTCATATGGGTGTCGAAATTTCGGGTCGCTAGGCTTCATCGTGCTCACAACAGCAAGTGGAGTCTCTGCACCGAGAGTGTCTCGGTAGATCCGGATGGTGTGAAAGCGTATGGGGCTTCATCACAGACTATTGCTGCTGCGCCTCAGTAATTTCCATTCGGCAAGGCCACGTCAGTGTCGAGAATTGGCGCGAGAAGGTAGCAACGAGTGATACTCGGGTCCAGGAGTGGTACCAAAGATGACCTCCAGGGAAAAGGAAAGAAAGGAATCCGACACAGCTTAGGACTTTCGTTCTGATGATTTGTATGCTGGTAAGGTGCAAATGGGCATAATCACGATTGTCGAGCGCGTCCACGGAAAACCCGCGACGCGTCCGTTTGAAATGACACGCCGCCGCAGTGCTACCGGCGGGGTTGCCCGAGATAGGACCGATGTCTAGAGCGCATTTCAACATATTTTCGACGCCTACATCTTCGGCCTGATACTACTACCAAGCAGCCTCTGATGAGATAGACTTTCACAAGCGAACGTCGGGAACTCGGGTGAGCATGCTGACTCGCCTCGTTCAGCACTGTTGGATGTGGGAAGCACTAACTGTATGAAAATGTTGCAAGGCTGAGGCGGACATTGTGACACCCGCTCGGGGGCCAATAGTTCTCCTGCCCAGCCCACCGCCCCCAGTTCATCGCTATAGTTCAGGGCCACGGAGAGGCGCGGCTCGCATCGTAAGCATGGCAGCGGATGGCCATGTGTTTGATCATCAACTAGATCATATACTACAAGTCAGGCCATCTGCAAAACCTGCTCGGAATAACAAGGTGAATGCCAACGTCAGCAGAGATTGCTATGATGTGGAAGTGATGAATAGTAGACAGGGAGTTAATGGCTAAGGCCGCCTGCGCGCGCCCTTGATGCAGCTGCTCGGGCGTGGTTTCCGAGTGGCTCTAAGCGTGTAGAAGCACCCGGGTTCCTCTTTTCCAATTTTGGCTCTGCCACGCTTCCAGGGTTCCTGCAATATGAACGAGATCGCCCGTAGGCCTGGTTGCGCCCCCTAGCCAGGACCGTTCTCCATCCGTGCTGATTGGAATGGGGCTGAGCTTCGCAGCCTCGTGTGCATTGCCTTGTGATGGCAACCTCCATCCGTCTTTACTACAACTATTGCTTGTGCCCGATGGGGCGGGAACACTCTTCAATAGTAACAGACTTGCTTCTCTCCTCCACTGTCCAACGCTCCTTCAAGTCATGCCCAGCCCGTGTCTGACCTGACCGAGATTGCTGCGCCGATCGTCACTTAATAACCCCTCCACCTACCAAGACTACCACTCCATTGCCACACCACCATCCTCAACACTGTGTTTCAATCGCCGGCCAAGAACACGGCAATACGGTCTGAACATATTTTGCATAGCGGCATACAAGGAGCATCAACCTGCAAACCCACCCTGCAATTCGGCCGCCGACCAGTAACCGGCCTTACCGAGCCTCCTCGCCTAGATACTAACCACCCCTGCGCCTAAGGCCACTGCCTGTCCAATATGTCTTACAACACAGGTGCGACCTTTGTGCCAGGAGGTGATGACTCGTTCTACATGCCCGAACTCGTCCAGCCTGCTCCTCACCGGTAAGTTTGGCACTCTGCTGCTGACCTGCGGTCTATTGACAAACTGCAGGGTCAACGACCACCCCACCAATATGCCACACAACGTTGCGCAGATGGAGCAGCTTGCTCAAGGGCGGGGGTCGCCGCGGATACAACAGACTAACGGCTGGGGACAGCAACACCAGCCACCCAGGATAGACTCGTACCAGCCTACAGTACAATCATTTGCCTCTCCCACCAGCAGCAGCTACACCGATGCTACACCTACAAGTGCTAGTGTATACTCTCAGCCGTCTCCACAGACATATCAACAACAGCAACAGTACTCGACTGGTCTGCCAGAAGCTCCTAATTTCTCTCCCTTTCCGACGCTTCGAAACCCTCCTGCGAACATTCCCCCGACCGACGAGCAGAAAGAGGCTACACTCGAAGCGGCGCGGGAAGCAGTGCTCGCCTGCAATGACCCAGACGTCCAATTGACTTGGGCTGCAGATACCCTTCAGTACGTCGACATCTCCCAGCAAAACGAGCAACGCATATCCCAGAGCCAGAATGCGCGGCCCCGAACTCCGAGGGTCGAGCGGCAACTGCGAGACGATGCAACCAAGATTGTCAACTTCTTAGCCGATCAACACCACCCAAAGGCAGACTTCCTTCGAGGCACATGGTTGGAATTTGGCAAATTTGGCGAACGAGTTGACAAAAAAGAAGCGTTTCATTGCTACACTCGATCGGCGGACAGAGGCTATGCTAGGGCGCATTATCGCATTGGCATGCAGTTTGAGTCGTCGAATGATGCGCTGAAGGCGATCAAGTACTATCAGCGTGGAGTGGATGCAGGAGACGCAGCCTCATGCTACCGACTGGGAATGATGACCCTACTCGGCCAGCACGGGCAATTCCAAGATTATGAATACGGCATCAGTCTCATCTACAAATCCGCCGAAGCTGCCGACGAAAATGCCCCTCAAGGTGCTTATGTCTACGGCATGCTAAAAGCAGGAGAGCTCGGTCAAGTCAGCGTACCTGAGCGGTTCTGCCCGCGCGACACTATCGCTGCAAAGACGAATATCGAGAAAGCTGCATACCTGGGCTTTTCAAAAGCTCAGGTGCGCATGGCATCTGCTTATGAGTTGGGGGAACTAGCATGCCCGTTCGATGCGGCTCTCTCGCTGCACTATAATGCTCTAGCCGCCAGACAGGGCGAGACCGAAGCGGAAATGGCAATCAGCAAATGGTTCTTGTGTGGCCAAGAAGGTGTTTTTGAGAAGAACGAAGAAATGGCTTTCACATACGCTCAGCGAGCCGCTGTCGGTGGCCTTGGTACTGCCCAATTCGCTATGGGCTACTTTTATGAAGTCGGCATTTACGTTCAGTCCGACTATCAGACAGCTCAGGAATGGTACCGCAAGGCCGCGGACTCAGGTAATCCAGATGCCGCCGGCCGTGTAGACGCCATCAAGCGTTCCAAGACTCTCTCTAGGAAGGACCACGAAGCCACCGCTCTGGACCGGATTAAACAATCTCGAGCCCATGGCACCAACTTGGCTGCCGGTTCTCCATCAATCACCATGCCCGACCCATCACGTCTCAATCTTAACTCCTCTGCTCCATACCCCGAGGGGCCTGTTGGCTTGCCCATATCCTCTTCCAGCCCAGATTTCCGTCCCACATCCGCTTTTGGAGTCAATCCCAACCTGCGGCCATCAAGCGCCGCTCCAGCCTACCCACCCGGTCCAGGCCCTATGTCACCTCAGGGCCGTCCACCGCCTCAGCAATACTCAAACAATTACCATGGTGGCCGTGTTTCGGCGCCTCCTCAGCAGCAATATGTACCTAATGGTCCAGGGCCAGGTCCCAACTTTGGCCCAGGCCCAGGTTCAGGCAGCCGCCCACCAATGCAGCGCCCTGGCACGGGTTCCCCCTACATGCATCCGCAAGACCAACGTCCTTACACGAACTCACCAGCCCCCAACCTCGGCTTTACCGCTCCACTTGAGGACCGCCGTCCGAGGCCTCCTCACCCCGCTGAGGGTCCCCGCCCGCGCCCGCCGCCCGGCCAAATGGGTCCGCCTCCTAGCTCCCAGATGCGACCTCCTCCCGGTCAACATGCGCGTCCCCAGCCGCCTCCACAGCAGCAGGCGACTTCAGGCTCCCAAGGAACGCAGAGGCCGCCGCAGAAACCTAGCACGCCGCAGCCGGTTCAGAAGCCGAACAAGGTTGCACCTAGCAAGGTCCCGGCCAAAGCCTCCGGAAAGGTAACGCAAGGGCAAGGGCCCAGCACTTTCGATGAGATGGGCATCCCAAACAAAAAGGACAAAGGCGACTGTGTAAGTGGCTGCCACATGAGCCCCTGTGGTGTTATTGATGTGCTAATGATTATGTGCAGATCGTAATGTGATTGCTATCGCACCGTCATGATATTTCAGTCTCAGATGAGGACGAGACACGTTTTGCACGCTGTTCCAGCAATGATACCCCTTTGGATTTTGAGATATAGCATTTTCGTGGACATTCGTCCATGGCTACGAGCAAGTGACCGATGAGCTCGAGCATGCCAACTTGTAGCCAGATTCCCCTTTTCGAGCACTTTACAGCGATTGTATAACAAATTGGAGATCCCATGGGAAGTCGGGTTTGACTAAAGACCCAGTTGCATTTTGAAGCGTATGTCGGCAGCATAGAGAGGAAGTTCGGCAAGCGCACAGTTATGAATGCTTCTTGAATCGGTCCCGCAGATAATGATGAGCCAAACAATTTACTCTAGTCGTATACCAGAAGGACAAATACAATGATTTGGTCTGCCGTAAGATAGCGGAGAGGCATATTGCGAGGATGTGATTGAACTCTTCAGACAAGTCAACCTTCCTTCTTCGTTTTCCCCTTCCCCTCCTTCTGACAACCCTTCCGTGTTAACCACACCCACACCTACCCACACACACGACATCTCCTCCTCCTCCTCCTCCTCCTCCTCCTGCTGTCTTTCCCAGCGTCACCTCTCCTCCAACTGAACCTTCAAACCCTGCTGGTCCAACACCCACTTGTTCTTGACCGTCCACTCTCCGCGCCCCACAAACTCCAGACGGAACCGCAGCAGCACGGCGGGAACGACCTTGAACAGCTCCAGCATGGCGATGTTCTTGCCTAGGCAGCTGCGCTTGCCGGCGCCGAAGACTAGGAGGGCGTGGTCCATGCGCTTGAGGTTGGCTTCTTGCTCGTCGCTGTCGTCGTTGCTGTTGCTGTTGTCGTTGATGCTAGAGGAAGAAGAAAGGGAGGGTTTAGAGGAGAGCCAGCGCTCTGGCCGCCAGGCTTCCGGGTCTGGGCCGAAGATAGAGGGGTCGCGGTGTTGGACGTAGGGGTTTATGCCGACTATGGTGTTGGGCTGGAGGTTGATGGTGGAGGTGGAGGACGGCTTGGAGAGAGTGAGACCCTCGGGCGGGACGACGCGCTCGAGGGGCAGGGAGAGTGCAGGGTTGAGGCGCAGGGCTTCGCGAATGCAGGCGGAGAGGTAGCGGAGCTGCTGAGTTTCGTGGTAGGTTGGGGTCGGGGTGGAGAGATTGCCTCCTTCGTGAGCCGAGTCGAGTTCTTGGAGGAGAATGGAGAGCGAGGTCGGGTGCGTAAGGAGGTAGTAGAAGATGGCTTTGAGTGTGGATGCTATGGTGTCGGAGCCGGCGTTGATGTTCATGAATAGATAGCTGAGCAGTTTGGCGTCGGTGGTGAGGTCAGGCTCGTCGGTGTCTTTGCGGGCCTGGAGGAAGCGCGACAGGAAGTCGGGCTTGTTGCGGATCAAGTCTTCTTTCTGGGCTTTGTCTTCCTCGAGAGATGCAAGGCGCTCTTGGAGCAGCTTTTGAGCGAATACCAGTATGGGACTCGAGACGGACTTGCGGAAGTATTTTATGTAAAGAGGATTCTTACCGAGGAGCTCGTCCAACATCGGCATCTGGCCTAGAACTGAGAAGTATCGAAAATTGGATCCGATAGCAGAGATGATTCCATCCACATCCTGATTGTGCTCGATGAAGCCCAGGCGCTTGGAGAAGGTGAGCTCACCAATAACGTCGAAGGCGAAGTACTGCAAGTACTGTCCAAAGTCACAGATATTGTCTGTTCTCGCATACCGGTCCGACAAGTTGTGGAGGAACACCCGTATCGTGCTGTCAACCAAAGGCTCATATTCGACGAGTGTGGACAGGGAATAGGCGTGAGCGACAACACGCTTCGTCCTGGCATGATCGCTTTCGTCGGTCATGGCCACGAGGGAAGCAGTGCGTTTGCCATTGACGATGTTCTGGAAGACAGAGTAGTAGTTACTCTTCTTGAATCCCTTCCCGATGCCGTAGATCTGAGGAACGTAGGAGACTCCTTGTATGGACACCACGTCTGGTCCGAGACGTACAAATGGGCCATAACGCTCGTGGAGCTTGGTTTGGTCTTCGTGGGGTGAGCACAAGAGCACTGAGAAGAAACGGTAGAGGTTTGTGAAACGGGCAAGGAACGGTCCGGGTACAGAGCTAGGGACAAGGGTATAGTTGCGAAAGACGATTAGCAGCAGTAGAACGGGAAGGATGTAGCCCATGAGAGGAAGCAGCATCTTGGACTTGCCGTTGACATTGGTCGATTATTCCGGTGCAGTCGAGGGTCAGCCGATGTCTCCATGGATATAAATGCAACGCATGCTGGGGCGTCGGTGGTCGATGAAGACGTCGACATAGTGTTTCTCAATTCCGTGGCAGAGTATATTTTCCCCATTGGCAAGAGCCATTAAACCCGCCCGCAACCGAGGTGATTGGCCGATACCCAGCGGTCGATATGAGGCAGCCCGTGTGTGGAGAGCAGGCGGTTCGAACCTGGATGCTCGGGGCGGAAGCTTTCCGCACGCGTGGCTCTAGCATGTTCGAGCGACAAGTGCTGCAAATGGCTCGGTGTAAATGATAGATAGAGAAAGCCCAGGCGAGCTGTTGCGGTCAACAATGTCTAGATTACACGACTGTCTCTGCAGTGACGCCTTTTTACGCACCTCGGTGTCGCCTTGTTCTTGGCATACGCGCCTTCTTGCCTCGTTCATCCTCAGCTTCCAAACCAAAATACCTTGCCTACACTTGAGGCATCATCTGCGCATCGCCCGATCGCTGCTTCTTGAGACTTGGATCATTTTATCCTGAAGGCACGTGCCATCCCATTACAAGTCTAGCCTCCATCCTAGCTCCTTGCTGTTCGTTTGCAGGTTCATCAAGCGCTGGTTGCCTAAAAGCAACGTCATCTCAGTGTCATGTGTCGTTCAAACTCGGCATATGCAAGCCACACGCTCCTCTGCCCAAGCGTGGTGCTCGTCAACTCACGGCTCAACCTAATTAGCGCACTCGTGATTTAGTCTTTCCAATCCCAAACCTGCTTCAAGAAAGCCTGCATGTTGACCTTTTTGTTCTTCATTTCGGCCATCCAAGGATGTTCCAACATTCTCCACGGAGTCGCTCGTCTGGGCGGTTCCTTCTCCAAGCAGCACTCGATGAAGTACTTGAAGCCGTCAGACCATTTGATCTGATTTTGGGGCTCGTCCTTCAGTTTGGGAATATCCTGGGCCACGATGTAGGTGAGTAGATCAATTAGACCCGCTCTTGGCTGCATTTCAGTGCCATCGGCTGGGAACGGAAATCGATGCTGTGCAACCTCGAGTAGCGTGACACCTAGTGACCATACGTCGGATGTGATGGTGTACGACTGTCCCTGAATGCGTTCAGGCGCCATGTAGTATGACGTGCCGATGAAGGTGTTGGCATCACCCTTAGTGCCGAATTCGCCGGACACACCGAAGTCACACAGCTTGACCTGCCCTTGTCGATTGAGCAAGATATTCGATGGCTTGATGTCTAAGATCTGTTAGCAAACGTCTCCAACCCAGAGGAGTCGGGCTTACCTCTATGGATGATCTTGCGGTCGTTGAGGTAGGTCAGACCATGTAGGACACCTTCCGCCACTTTACCCAGGACCTTCTCGCCAGTCCTACCACCGAGCTTCTTGACCTCACGATAGACCGAGTCGAGACTGCCGCCCTCGCAGAATTCCATTGCTATTGAAATCGTGCTGGAAGACCTGTCCATAAACGTTCCGTAGTACTGGCAGATGTAGGGCGACGCACAGTTCTTGTTGAACTTAAGCTCGCGGAAAATCTGTCTCTTAATATCCGGATCTGGCGAAGTAGTAATGATCTTGGAGTCGTTAGCTGATGGTAATCCATGGCAAGAGATCGCCCTACCTTTAATGCAAAAACCGTGGCGCCATCTTCGAGTTTGCACCGTGTTACAGCGCCGCCAGCGCCTTCTCCTAATGAGCCAAGCTCAATGATCTTCTTCTGTTCGCTGGCGGCAGCCCAGCCGTCGTCATCGAGATCGTCAACATCCAGCGGCCTGCCCTTCTCCAGGGAGAGCTTCTCGAAGTCGATTGAGATACCACCCATGCTCCCTTCTCGTTCCATGCCTGTACCGCCAATACCGGCCTCCGAGTACACCGAGCTGATGGCGGAGCTAGGGTCAGGCGTGCCAGACTTCTGCCCAATCCCGCCAAGGTCAAGTGAGAGCTTGGAGTATGTGGACGACGATGCAGAGCCTGGCACACTGTTGTGAAAGCTGTCTGATCGCGACCGTGACGCGTCAGTCGATATGCTGAGAGGCTGGACGTGTGGCCTGAGATTAGAGCCTCCTTCTTGGTGAACCTGGCCGTGTCCGCCCATGGGTGTTGCGAGGGATAATTTGGGAGGGCCTCCCTGCGCAGCCAGGCTGAATTTTGGGACTGCGTCGGCAGGCTGACCATCGCCAGTCACGGGCCGTTGCGAAGGTGATGGTGGAATACCCAGTGTAAGTTTTGGTGTTCGGGAACCACTCTGGCTGCGGCCACCGGGCTGCGGAGCACGCAGAAGGGGAACGGGAGAGGACATGGTGAGGTGGGGCTATGTTTTGTTTCTGTATAGCAGCGGGGAAGCTGTCGTTGGACTCTCAAGTCGTCGAATGGTTCGAAGAGGCACTGAGGAAATGTATAGTGTAGTTACTTGTCCTCCTCTGGCACTCGACGTATAGTTTGTCATGCGGGAGGAGGACCGCGATGGACGGTACTGTGGGGCACGTGGTGGGACAGCAGTTCGAGTGGACTGACAAATGGCTGTTTATAATACTATAGAGATGAAGGTAGTTGGCGACAGATTGTTCGAGAAGATGCAGCTGGAGCGGATGTGAAAAGGACGTAAAGGCAGTTGACGTCGATTGCTGACCACAGCGTCGAGTGGGTTCAGGCTGGTCGGGACATTGCCTGATGGCTGTTGGCGCTTAACTGAAACTTGGCCCTCGCTTCCCGCCGCGGAGCTGCGACCAGTGGCCACTCAGCTTTACCCAGTCATCAACGCCGGGTGCTTTGAGCCACGACGCGCAATTTCTGAGTCTCTGACTGGCACAAAGAACGGAAGCAAAGGCACAGCTCCCGGCTGGGCTGGTGACTTTGTCTGTTCAGCCGTTGGAGCTCCTTCATCATGCTGCAGATAGCATGCTGACTACAAACAGTAATTGCCTTGGGCCTAGGCCAGCCCCATCACCTGGCCTCCAACTACCTATTCGATTCGCTTCCCCAAGCTCAGCGCCAGCTCGAACGATTATTCCTCTTCGCCCTCTATCGGCCTTTCGCGTTGATGTTCAGCTATACGGCACACCCATTAGGCTGCGGCAGCTGATGGTGCTGGTTCAACCAAGCAGCTCGTGGTCAGTGGGGTCGAGACCTTTTGACAGGGTACGAGGAGCGGGACCCATCCACCGCCATTCTCTTCACCGGTTTCCCCAGGCTCTGCATCGTGCCAGCACTAAAGAGACGGTGAAGCGAGGAGTCCCTGTGTTCTATTTGAATCGCCCAACGCTGCCCCGCTCGGAGTCGCATGTTACTCGAACATGTGTTCAATCGAATGGCGCGTGCCTCTTTCAACCTAACGGATATAGGGGCGTTGGCCGCAGCAAGCACGTTCGGCTGCATAGCAGTCGTGAAGGTGAGTCTCAGTCGGATGGCCATGTATACCTCGACACCAAGCCATGACTCCTCTGCCCATTCCTTCAATCAAGTGATTCACAGACATGGTATGTATTCCTCTGCTGTGTCTGAGACGCGCTGCTGCGGTCGTTTGGCAGCCGCCTCATTCGACGCTCGCACCTTGAACCGACCTACATGACCATCCGGAAATTGAGGCTACTGCTGATCTTGGACACGTATGGTCAAACGCCCAAGCTTCCACCGGGCGACGTTCTGATCCATGCTGGCGACATCACTGTACAAGACACGCACAAAGAACTGCCCAAGTCCATCGACGGGTTGGAGAAAGCAAATTTCGCGGTAAAGATAGTCGTGGCTGGTAGTCACGAAAAGGCTTGATCCGGACCTGATTGCGAAGCACGGCAGCCTGTCAGGTATTACGCCCTCTGACACCGACGAATTCCTGAAGGTGTTGAAGTCTTCCCCGACCATTCGGTATCTTCAGCATGCGTATGTCAGCATCAGTGTTCCGACCGCAGATGGGTTGAGGTAACTCCCAAGGTCTTCGGCTCTCGTATTCGACTGGGAGAGGGTATCGAGCCTTCTCGTACCGGCGTGGAGATGGCGTGAACATGTGGCCCGCTATTCCCCACGATGTTGATATCGTGGTTACGCATCCCCGTGCCCACACCTACCTGGATATTTCTACTTTCGATGGACCAGTGGGCTGCCCGCCCTTGGCAGATGCGCTCTGTCAAATACGTCCCAGACTGCTGGTCTGCGGGCACATTCATGAAGCAAGAGGTGTCTAGTTGGTGGATTGGCAGAAGCCGAGTCCATTCGACAGAATCCAATTCACCGATCCATCGGAAAACAACAAAACGCAGTTCCGCGTCGACCTCTCCGGTGGGGGGAGGCAATCTATGCTGCATGCAGCAAAGCAGAACGCGCAGACTTCATCATGAATGCGTCTTTTGTCACTCACGGTGGCCACGACTCACAACCGAAGGGCAAGCTGTACCACAAACCTATTGTGGTTGATCTCGACTTGCCTGTAGTCGGTAACGGCCGGGAAGCATGAGGATGAAATCATCCAATCGACGTTCAAACAGAGTTTGTCATTCTTGACACGGCGTGCGAACCTGACTGTAACGATCGATTCACCATCTTCACTCGTGACTGTTTCCGGACCGGTTGGCCGCAAACTTGCCAGACTACGAAGCATCGGAGTGGCCCGCTGGGTTATGTATCGCATCTTGCAGGATAAAGTCTCATTTAGTGCATCGCACTGGGGGCCTGGAGTGCTACTCAGTCACCCCATCGAGCATGGTGTGCATTGAGTCGTGGCCAGCAATATCTCCAAAGTGCCCGAATTCGCCGTCCAGGCTGCAGTCAAAAACAGGCTCCGCGACTTCCGTGGCAACCTTGAACTTACTGGTCTTTTATCTGCAATTCCAAGTGGGTGCTAGGATGAGAGCCTTAGCTTTGATTGGGTTGGACATCGCCGTGCTTCGGTAACAGAATTTTCGCCACGTATTGGGCGATTGGGCAGAGGTTCGTGATGTTTCTGCCGTTCGGTAGAACTACTCGAAACTGGCTGTCTGATTTTCTTCTTCGTTGCATCCGTTTTGTCGAAGTTGTAGACAAGGTTTTTCGTTGGTACGAAGGCGAATCTGCCATGCTAGCGTAATTGCTACGAGGTCAGACTCATGCCATTGGCAGCAGAAGTGTCTTGAAGCACCTTGCAGGCATGTGACCCATCACTCAAGGTTTGATGGAGAATGGAGCGAGATGTGTGCCCGCGCCGTAGATTGGGCAGCGCTGCAGCTCTGCTTGATATACGGCTGTTCCATAACCACCAACCAGTGCTCAACGAGGTTGAGGTCAGCATCACAGATGCGGGGTCATGAGGCACCATACCTCTGCATCATCGGGCAGACTCGAGTTGCCTGAGATCACGAAGCGGGCGCGCGTTGCGATAACATCTTGTTTCAGGCGACTGGTGGTCTAACGTGGGATGGTGGAATTGGGAGGAGGGCCGATGGCCACCTGATTATCGATAAATACCCGGCCCTGCTGTCCTGAACCTGGTGCGCGGGGAACAATAGGAAGGGCATGGAGCGGACCGCGCGGGCGTGGCTGGGCCTATGGTTAGTAGTCTATTGCGGCCACAAGCCGAGACCTAAAATGCATTGGTCGTTGGGTGCCGAAGCATCCTACACCTTGGGGCGTGCTGAGCCCACACTGGCTCATCGTTGAGGGCGCCAGGCATCGATGTTGACCGTCGCGACGAGTGTGGACATGCTGGATCCTCATCACCAGGAACCAGTTGCTGAGCTGCGCCGCTGACTAGCTACTCGCGGAAACCCGTCTTGAGAGTCCGAGTGGAGTGCTACGAGTCGATTTATGCAGGAGAGCATTCTGTGATAGGTAGCGCTGGAGCATTTTCATTTTCGTTGTCCGCTCCAAGCATCACCAGATGGCGAAGCAGATATTCGTGGGGGCGATGTGGTTAGTCAACGGACATGGCCTTTCTACAACGCATCGATCGACCTGCCAGATACCAGTCGCAACCAAAGTCGGTCTTGTGGTCTGAGACGGTGAAGGGGGAAATGGTCTCCTGGTGGGCCATGCCACCCGCTGCTGCTGAGCAACCAGCTCGCCTGTACCTCAGTCTTTCGCTCGTGCATCATAAGCCTGACCGCTAATGCAGCACTGGCTCTGCTCGACCTCTTATTCGGGCGTCTTGGCCCTGCCGTGTGACCCTGCTTTGACTGTTTGTCCAGATCAGGGGGGGAGGATACATCGTCCAGCCTCGCTGTCGCCTGCTGCTGTGATAGCAATGGTGAATGGCGAGGCCAGTCCTTGGGCAGGCAGTCGCCGGCAGGGTCAAGGTTACACGCTCTGAACTTCGCCTGAGGTTAAGCCAAACGGAGCGTTTCTGGCCGCTGATCCAGGAACGGGGGCGTAAGCCAGACTCTGCACAGCCTCTCAGCAAATGACGCCACGACGGGAGCCAGGGCGTGGAGGGGTCTGGTCGGCATACCCTTGGGTGTTGGCTCGGGACAACCCCCAGACCAGTTTGTAGCGTGGCCAAACTGCATAGCGATCAACTTTCTCAGCACATGATGGCCACGCTCCTCGCCTCCATTCTTCTTCCATCCCCTAAACCCCTCTGTAAACCATCGTACACCAACTTCCCGACTTTGTTTCTTTCCCTCTATTTCATCTTGGCCGCTGTTGATCGGACGGCCACTGAGGCAATTAACTCTCGGTTACATAAGCCTTAATCGGGCATTGGCACTGCTGCACAGACCATCGCGCTCTCAACCAGAGATCGAGCCGTCGGCGACCTCCAGTACTCAGCATTCCGCCTTCAATACGTCAGTGGCATCACGAGTCTAGCATCCGCATTCACTCCATTCTCTATCAGCCCACGGCTGGAATTGTTAATCTTTACTTCGACAACTGTCCGCTCAACCCCGGAAACCATCATGGCCGCATTATCCACATGTTGAAACTGACCGCCTCGGGACCCCATAACATACTTCCGTAACCGCTTCTCTTACCTACCATATCCTCCTTCAAGCCTCTCTTCAACTTGACCTATTGTACGATCATGTCTTCTCCCATACCGCCGGACCCGTACGAGGCCCTCGGTGTGGCCAAGGATGCAGACATTGCCGCCATCAGATCAGCACATCGAAAGCTTGTCCTGAAGCATCATCCAGATCGCATCCAAGACCCAGCCCTCAAAGAGAAAGGCAAAGACGCCTTCCAGAAAATCCAGCAGGCCTACGAGATACTTAGCGAGCCCAGCAAACGTGCTCGATACGATGACCAGATCAGATTGGCCACCCTGCGGAAGGAGGCAATGATGCGAGATGGGCCAACTACTACTCGATCCCAGACCTACCCGATGAGGCCTGCACCACCTCGCGAGGATTTTCAACGAGAATTCAGCACGGAAGATGGCGCCTTTTACGAAACTCGAAAACCCCGCCACGAAGACGTCGGTGCCAGCCGTGACCGGTTTGAAGAGCCACTGCGAACCAATTCAAGAAAACACCAGGATTACGATCGAGCAGCTTCCGCTAAGAAGGCCACCGAGAAAGAGCGTTCTGGGAAGAGTGCAAATTGGAGCAAGGTTCAGAACATTGTTAATGCGGGTGTCCGCTTGAAGAAGGACGCCGAAAAGTCACGAAGTAGCAAGACCAAGGAAGGCAAGGATCGCGAGAGGCGCAGCGAGAGGAGTGAGAAAGACAACCGTTATCGCCAGCCCTACTTCAGCGAGGACAGTGATTCTGATACGGCGACTCATGTTACTTCCTCCACCATCAAACCTTCGAGACCCTCTCCCCGTGCAGCGCCTTCAAGCAACACTCGACCTTCAACAGCCACTAGGCGACCTGTGCATGACGACGAGAGTGAGGGAAGCGACCACTCTCGCTCGAAATGGGAGAGCAACTTCGACAAAACATTGGGATATCTGGAAAAAGCTGCAGCTGGCGCAGGAAAGCGTCCACCCTTTGCACGCCACGAGTCAGGTTCCTACTGGAGTAGCACCCGGCGCAGTGGTAGTGACAGCGACCGCCGGCCAACACCAACCAAAGCTAGACGCAGTTATGAAGAGGACCCTCGACGACCTCCAATGCCCACGCAGAACTCTGCTCCGAGTGGCTTAAAGGCCAGAGTCGAGGAACGAATTCCAAAGCCAGAGAGACGGTCTGGAGGTTCTGCTTCGTATTCGCCGCGCGACCGAGACGACTACCGGAAAGAGATGCCCAGCTTTTCACGCTCTCAAACAATGCCTAGCCCACGCCCCTCCAGCAAGAAGGACGCTGCCCCCAAGGCTTCATCAAACTTGAAACATACCGAGACGCACGACTCAGGTTACGGTAGCAGTTCGAGTCCTCACACACCCGACCCTCGCGAGGAAAGTCCAACGACCCGGACAACCAAATCTCGATACCAGATCGTAGATCCGGCGGAGAGTGACGACGATCGAGCCACTCGTATCTATAAGATGCATGAAGATGATGTCGATCGCCGCAGGAGGTATGCTAGTCCTGAGCCAGTCAACGAGAAGCGCCGCCCAGAACCGTCTCGCATCAACACTGTACACGGACACACTCGGTCTAAAGGCAGCCGTGACTCTCCTGTCGAGCCCAAGATCCGTCGTTCCGAGTCGGACAGGCATTACAACAGTAGCCGGGAGAAGCTCTATGGCGAGGTGGATGAGCCTTTGGAGAGAGAGCCACGAGCTTACAAATATGGCTCCGGCGAGAAGACGAACGTGCGTTCGCCTCGAGAGCCTACTTCCTCTCGCCACGACGATGTGCGAAGCCGCGATTCGGCGCCAGGGTCGAGATTTCAGGCTGATGTACGAGGCTCCAGAAGGCCCTCAGTCTACTAGTCATGGACTCCTGAACTTGAAGTCGCATCATCGTCTCTGCACGTGCTGGTGTTATTACCTTCCTTTACTCAACCACTATGTTTTCGGTACATCTCTCGCTTGGACTGAGACTTCTCTAGGCTCAATCTCTCAACTTTTGTTGCAGGTGAGGACGGGTCCTTCGGCGGTCGATCAGATCTGGGGAGACGGACGACGGGTATGAGTGACGGGACACTTTGCAGACCTGATCGGTCGGCAACTTACCTGAAGCTGCGCATGAACACTGGAACGAGGGCAGCCCACCGTTCTTTTCATGCGATGTAATGTATTTGAACGATGATGACGAGGTTACGAACATACAAGACATTAGCACAATATCAATTCATCCAGCAGTAGTCAATGGGACCCAGTTGCTGGGACCCAGTGTAGTGAGGAGACGTACCAGTAGATGACGCCAAGGCCAATCTCAGCATCGTGAGCAAGCGAGCAGTTGGGCGAATCAGCGCCAGCGGCCACACTCGAATCCGGAGGTCTAACTGTAGGTGTGCTCAAGTACACAGAACAGTTATTTGTAGAGTTCATCGTTTGTCGCGTTCTGTTAAGCGGCGAGTTGGGTGCACAGCGTTGAATTTGCAGCGACGTCTTCGTGTTCTGACCTACTGTATTCCTCCCACGCCGGTTACCCGACATCTTGCATCCCAGAACTATCCCGCTTCGCTCCTATACCCCTGCGCGGCGTCGAGGCTCCGATTCTGTGGCCTGCAGCCCCTCTTGACTTTGCGCTCCTTCAGCAGGGAACAAGACTCTGTCCGGCTTTCACTGAACTTCTACAGCCACAACTGCTCCGATCGTGGATCTCCCAGCGTTGTTGTCGGTCAAGACGCCTATGGCGCTCGCGATTAGGCGTTCTGCATAGCGAAGATATTCTATGCTCGGAGAGCAAATCGGCCAGCGCATCGACAGGAGGCAATGAATGAAAATAGGATCGGGGTAGTGAACGGAGCACGAGCGACAGACTCCTCACCTAACGTGGGAAATCCAGAGGTATGTCCCCACCCCAACTCCGTAACTGCATGACATCCGAACGGACAGCTGACTATGCCTAAGAATACTGTTTCTAACAAAGCATCCCGTCCATCGTCGAAGCGTAACAACTCGGCCGGTAGCTCGCGAACGCCATTGTCCAGCGTGACACCCAATCAAAGAGGAACCAATGACCAAGGCATGAACGGTCGACCTCCCCATAGTAGAGGCGAGGAGCTGGGCCAGCAGAATAATAGTGTCAGCAAGATTGGCAGCGAATCCGACAGTCCCATCGATCTCTACCAGAACAGCAACAAGCTCAAGCCAAAACACGCCAATTACGACAATGAGATTCCCGAGAATATGTACAAGCCGCGGGATGAGGACCCTGAGGGCTGGATCCATAGAGACAAGTTGGCAAAGATCGAAAGTGAGGAGCTTCAGGCCGCCGGGATACATCTTGCTTCCGCCAGACGAGGTCAGAGTAAGAACGGGCGCAGAGATACGAGCAGAGGACGAAGAAGCGAGGAGAGTTCACATAGCGCCACCAATGAGCGCAGGGATGAAAAGAAACCGCGGCTCGCTGAACCTGTCCAGGAGGAAGGAGACGATGAGCGTGTGAATTGGGACTTTCGATCTGCGGAAGAGATTGCCCAAGATGCGGCAGCTGGTAATCTCTATTCGCAGCCGGCTTTGAGAAAGTCTGGCTCGCGAATACCAGTCATGACGAGCAGCCCTCACCCTATCCCACCTGAACGTCTAGATCGGGAGACGCCTCTGCCTCGGAAGCGGACGATGAGCAATAGCATGAGTCCTGACGACAGTTTGGGAGTCAGCAGAACGCGCATGAGGAGGGGTAGCACTGGCAGCCAAGATGGCCTGGAAGGTGCAATTACGCCCACACCGAAGCCCGGCTCTCACCCAGGCAGCAAACCGGCATCTCCAACTAAGAAGGATAAGGCGACCCCTGGTGCGCTTGCTTCGAATTCACGAAAGACGACTCCTTCTTCAATACGCAAGCCATCTGGACCTGTCAAGAATGGTCCACTCTCGCCGTCAGGCAGCACATCTCAACGTCCAGGAACAAGAAGTGGAGAGCTGGATAGACCCAAGACGGCGGTCAACCGACCAGAGGGTGACCCTCCCTGGCTTGCCACCATGTACAAGCCAGATCCCCGTCTCCCGCCGGATCAGCAAATCATCCCTACACATGCCAGACGACAACAGCAGCAAATGTGGGCAGATGACGGTTCAGTTCCTAAGACTTATGACCGAGACTTTACTCCGTTGGCGGTGCACCAGCCGGAGGAATTGGCAAAGGGAACTTCGCCCACGCTGGCTTCCCCAGTACCGGAATCTGAAAAGCCGCAAGAAAACTCCTGGCCCCTTCGACAAATGAACAGCGTGCGTAGCACTGCCAGTGGAAGGCCGGGAACGAGTGGCAGCACCACCGGAGGCTACAGCACCATGCCTAAGGTTCAGCCATCCCCCGTTATTCAGCAGAGTCCACGCATCGGAGGTATGGCCAGCCCCCACCTGGGAGTCGCGCCTTCGAGACTACAGGTTCAGAGGCCGCCTGACGACGAAAAGGACGACGGCACTGTGAAGAAGGGGTGTGGGTGCTGCATCGTTATGTAGGGCATTGCATCCCACAGTGCACATTTCTACTTATTTTGTTCTTAAGCTCCAGGAGGCGTTAGGGTCTACAATTCGGCCGTTTCATTTGTGTTCTGATAGCGACTTTAGCGACCACACTGTTTCTGACGGGGGGGTGTATATGCGGCGGCAGAGTCTTCGAATGTCGACGTTGGCGACGCAGGCAGGCTTTATGTCTATTAGGATGCCTTGCCGAGATGGAGGAGGCTTTGAAAGAAGACGATTCACTCTTTGGACAAGCGGCTTTCTGGAAAGCGCTCAGCTCCTCTAGCCAGGGGGAGAAGCACTAAGAATACATACGACGTACATATTGATCCTCGGGCGATACTGATTGATGTTCTCCAGTTGAGGTCAAACGCCCACCTGATCGTTGTCAGCGCGCTCCATGATGCTACAATGGTCCAGGCGAGCTAAGATTGAATGTAAGGTCAGCCTCGGCCCCTCCGCCGGGGCGAGGGCAGATATGATGCAATCCAGCTCACCATGTCTGACCCTTCGTTGACAAATCTTCGAGCCAATTGCCCTCGACATCAAATAGACGCTGCTTCGTAATCTCTTCCTTGATCCTCCATTTCACCGTCCGCACACCTATACATATCGATCGATTCAACTGCCCACCGTGGCTTTCATATTCAATCCAATCAAAGCCGTCCTCAGTCGCACTTTCACATCAACATCACCCGCAGCCATGTCTGAAGCAAAGTCCAAGGCGCAACAGATCATCAACGACAACAGCGTGGTTGTCTTCAGCAAGAGTTACTGTCCATACTGCCGCGCCACCAAGTCGCTGCTCGACGAGAGGAAGGCCAAGTACTACAAGATCGAGTTGGACCAAGTTGGTATGTGTACATCTCTGTCGGCAACAAGATAGGCAGTGACTAACGGAAAGATGCAGACGACGGCGCTGCCCTGCAAGACGCGCTTGAAGAGATCACTGGCCAGCGCAGTGTGCCCAACATCTTCATTGCTCAGGAGCATATCGGTGGCAACAGCGAGCTGCAGGCGAAGAAGAGCCAGCTTGATGACATGCTCAAGTCAGCCCATGCTATCTAAGTACGAGACATGGCGTGGTTGAAGTCTGCAGTGAACAGCGATACGTGCATGGGAGCCGGTGGATAGATGGTGGCACTGGCAGGCCGTAAATGGCCGTCAGATCAATTGATGACATGGGGATAACCACTCCTGCTACAATGAACAATGCAGTAGAAAAATGCAATACCGATGACAACCCTCTGCGCTACTTCCACAACATAACCGTGTTCCTGAGACTGTTCGTCGCTCTATGGCACCGAGCCATCTGGTAGCGGCGGGCGGTCTCCTGTGCTCCATGTTCTGCAGCTGTCTCCCACACCATGCGCGCGGGGTTCGCCCAAGAGCGGACGACTAAAGGTACCCGCGCGTGGCCAGCACAAAGATAGTGTAGCCAGAGAATACTAAGTCGCTCGCTTCGACACAGCATCTCTCTCACCGCTCATAGCGATAGCTGCGGTGGTTCAAGGTCCGGCCCAAACTTGCCGAAGTGCTTGATAAGAAAGGGCGGCGCATCTGGTAGCCGCGACGGCGTAGGCGATCTTGGCTGGCTCTTGCCTAAGAGAACCAGAGTCTGTCGTCTCATTGGCGCACTGACTCTGAAGCATCATCTACACCTCCTACAACCTTCGTCTCAAGTCTTCGCTCCCCTGTCGCCGGCCACGAAGTTTCAAGAGTTTCGAGCTTTCATCTCAAACACCACAAGCTGCTCAACTGTCTCCCCACGACGCAACATCGTCCGAACTGCCTCGCCCGAGCCTTCTCCTTAGCACTACTCCATCCGTCTGTCAATCCTGTCACTCCACGGAATCGACCCTTTCTCAAGTCTTCCTGCGTCGAGCTATCAACCGTACACGCCTCTGTACCACCTCGATCCTGTCGTGTGCTGCCACAACACTTCACATTCGCCTTTCTATTCCGCTCGATTCTTGTCGCAGCGGCGCTCGACTGCTTGCTCCGTCGCTTCGATACCTGGGTGTCGATACGCGCTTGCCGTCATCCTACGACCGTACACCGATCCCCTGCAACTCCCGCAGAGCGCTACACATAAGCCGACGCAATGGCCGGTCAAGCAACTCAGTCCATAAAATGCGTCGTGACAGGTGACGGTGCTGTTGGCAAGACTTGTCTACTCATTTCATACACCACCAATGCCTTTCCAGGGGAATACATCCCGACCGTTTTCGACAACTATTCGGCTAGTGTCATGGTCGATGGCAGGCCAGTCTCGCTAGGTCTGTGGGATACAGCTGGACAGGAGGATTACGACAGATTGCGCCCGCTCTCTTACCCCCAGACCGATGTCTTTTTGATTTGCTTCTCCATCGTCTCCCCACCCAGTTTTGACAACGTCAAGGCCAAGGTGCGTTTGAGAGCTCCGCCTTCCACACCCTACTGACTGTGTTAGTGGCACCCTGAGATCGAGCATCACGCGCCGGGCGTTCCCATAATCCTAGTTGGTACCAAGCTGGATCTGCGAGAAGACCGCGGAACTGCCGAGGGCCTTCGGGCCAAGAAAATGGAGCCTGTCTCCTACGAGCAAGCTCTTGCCGTTGCTCGCGAGATCAGAGCTGTCAAGTACCTTGAGTGCTCAGCGCTTACTCAGAGGAATCTCAAGAGTGTGTTTGACGAGGCTATCAGGTTTGTTTCCCATGAAGAGTTGCACCACGCTCTGCGATGCTAATATGGCGGTTCAGAGCCGTCCTTAACCCGCGTCCGACGCCATCAAACAAGAAAAAGAGCAAATGCACCATCCTATAAAGAGAATCCTTTAATGAACATCGATAGCGATATTTCGCCTCTTAGCCACCGAGACGCACAGAAAAGAAGCAGAAGATACCAGTGAAAGAGGTGGACCTTCACTGATGCAAGGGAAATGCAATGGATATAGACTACCACACACGCTTCACCGCTTCGACCCAGCAGATGGGCCTCATCAGCATCTTCTCTCATTTTGGTTCGGCGCTGCGGGATTGGGCGAATTCTCATCCAAGTTGCGGTCTTTACCAGTGGCTGCGCCACGCGATTCGAGGCGGCGACGGGTTCAAGCTTGCGACATCTGGAATATGTCTGCCAAACCATTCCGCAGCGGAATAGAGGCGTGCAATTTGAGGTTGCTGCACTTTCATGGCGTTTCCTCTGCCTGTTTTGATGATGGATTTATTATGGGCGAGACAGCAGACTTAAGACAATATGCGAAAACGTTCGCATCCGACGCGGCGTCTCTGGATTCTCCCTCTTTTACTTGGTGATATGTATCCTGCTGCTGCGGTGCCGTCAACACCGTGCTCGTATTGGACCGCCAAGCATGTGCATTATTCACTGCCTGCATACCGCATATCAGTTGAGGCAACGACCATGCAACATCGTGCCAGTCTAGTCCGTAAAGTCTGCTCCTCGCATATGCATTCGCGCGCAAGTGCTTGTCGACGGTACTACCCAGCAGATCAAGCCCTCTCGTGACAAGCCGAAGCGCCAGACGGGGAACGAACGTTCACCCTGGCACCCTCCTCATCCTGCTAGGATGCACATTCCCCCTATCCTCCGCACCCTCAGCGTTCGCACCGCTGGCCACGCCCGGCGCCGGCGCGTCCTTCCGCTTCTTGTCCCTGTCCTCCGCCTCGCGCTTATGCAGGCGTTCGCGCTCTTCAGCCAGCTTCGCATTCTTAGCCTGGATCTTATTGCGTCGGTCCTGGCCCTTGCCGCCGCCGCCGGCCGTTAGCTCCACGTTGATGCGTCGCGTCTTGTCTGCGCGTGATTTCTGCCATTGCGGCTGCGTGTCTTGCTTGGGCAGGGCGGATTCGTCGATTTCGGTGGGGGCTCTGCTACGGCTTTTGCTTTGCTGCTTTTCGTCGCCGTTGGTATCGGTGGAAGGGGCGTGTAGGTGTGCGTCTGGATCGAAGAGACTATGGTGGTAGAGCTTGAGGCAGGTTTTCATGCGGTCGTAGGATGTGAACTCTAGGAAGGCGGTGCCGCGGGATTTGTGCGTCTTGCGGTCCGTGAGATGCCGTACGGTGAAGGGCTGTAGGGCGCGGAAGTGGTGGTCAATCGAGGGGGTGGTGGTAGTATAGGGTAGGTTGCCTATGAAGAGGATGAAGCGGTGGGCTGTGTCTTTCGACGGCGCTGTAGTCGTGTCTTCCATGCGCGTTTCCTCGCTCTGTGTGGGTTCGACTTTAGAGGCTTTGACTTTGGATTTTTTGCTGACTTGAGAGGCGGCGACAGCTGGGGATTTGGGGGGCTTTGAAGCAGCAGAGGGCTGGTCGTTCAGAGAGACGAAATCATTATTACTCGAGAAGTGGTCTGCGTTGGTGGAAGGCTGCTGGTCGGGAATGAGCTCCTCCGTCGCATCAGGTATATGCGAAGATCGTTCGGGCTTCTCCTTTTGTTGCTTGTCCTTCTTCTTAGACCGTCGCTCAGACTTTGCCTGTCGAGCTGCGGCACGTGCCTGCGGGTGAGTTTTGTTACTGTCGTCTATTGCGGAGTCGAGAACACGAGTCTTGCGAGGGCCATCATCGCCAGTGCCGCTGGTGGGGTTGTCGTTTTGGCTGCGCTTGCGTTTAGACATGATGCCGGCTAGTCTATAGATCCGGGGGCTCGGAAGGTGGTGCTGTGGACAGGTTTAGGGTGTTGCCTGAGCAGGCAATCGATTTATTTCGAAGGGGATAAAATGATCTGCAGTGAATTTTGTGCTGGACTCAGCCGCCTGCGGCCGGGATCCGGGGGCTGCCCCGATGACGCACCGGGGCCTTCAGAGCCAAGGTTTCAGTTGCAACGAACCTCGCCCGGGGCATCCACCACTTCTTTCTCGAGAGGGAGCCTCGATGGGATAGCAGCAGCTCCACCATAAAGCAGGCTACCACGTTGCTCGATACTATATTGTGTTGTTGCCGATCTGTTCATGTTGGTGTCTTGGTAGCCATCGTGCCGGGTGTCATTGCAGGTGCTTTTCTTGTCCATCGAGGGCCACTGAGCATGGAACACCACTGATGCTCTGTGACCTAACCTCCTCCTCCTCCTCCGAAAGCCGATTCATACACAACTAGCACCGCGTCTTGCCCGCTGCAGTCGTCTACAATCTGTCCGCGCGCTAGCCCGTCAGAAGAACTACACTATGGCGGTCTACGCCTCCAATGCCTCCTCTCGTGCCGGCGGTCCGTTCACCTCCAACGCACCGCCTGGCCTTTCTCAACCTGCCGCTCCAGCCGGCACCTTTCTGCCAGGTACCAAGGTCCAAGTCGGCACGCACCGTGTGGTCATCGACCGCTACCTCTCGGAGGGTGGTTTCGCACTTGTCTACGTCGTGCAGCTGCCACGGCCTGTAGATGGAAACGACAAGGCCGTACTTAAGCGAGTGGCCGTGCCGGATAAGGACCATTTGGCAAATATGCGCACCGAGGTCGAGACGATGAAGAGGTTGAGGGGTCACAAGCACATTGTCAAGTATATTGATAGCCACGCCAGCCAGCTCAAGGGTGGGGGTTATGAGGTGTTCTTGTTAATGGAGTTTTGCCAGGGTGGAGGATTAATTGATTTCATGAACACACGGCTGCAGAATCGCTTGACGGAGCCGGAGATTCTAAAGATCTTTACAGATATCGCGGAAGGCGTGGCGGCGATGCATTATCTGAAGCCGGTGCTACTGCACAGAGACCTGAAGGTGGAGAATGTGTTAATCGGTGTGGGAGCCGGAGGAAGAAGGACTTTCAAGTTGTGTGATTTTGGAAGCGCAGCGCAACCGCGGCCGCCCGCGGCGAATGCTAACGAGGCGAGATTGATTGAAGATGATATTCAGAGGCACACGACCATGCAGTACCGAAGCCCGGAAATGATCGACGTGTACAGGAAGATTCCGATTGACGAAAAGAGCGACATATGGGCGCTGGGGGTATTTCTCTACAAGCTTTGTTATTATACGACGCCTTTCGAGGAAGTGGGCCAGTCAGCCATTCTCAACGCCAAATTCAAATATCCGGCCTATCCCAGATTCTCGGATCAGCTCAAGTTGATAATTGCAACGATGCTAAGGGAGAAACCTGGGGATAGACCGAATATCTATCAGGTGCTCCAAAAGGCATGTCAGCTGGACGGACGGGAGCTGCCTGTGAGAGATATTTACGCGCACAGAAGCCAGTCCGAGGGCAGGAAAGACCAGGTGTTGCCGGCCTCGCCGAACAGCTCGCAGTCACGTGTGGGAGCGACACTGTCTCCTCCAGCAGCAAGTCAAAAACAAGAGATCCCTGACATTGCCCCCATGCGGCGAGGGAGGCCTACGAAGCCGGTCTCGCACCATGGCTCGGCAAAGCCTAGCCCTTCGCCACTGAGGATGGTTGATCAAGGCCAGGCACAATCTGACCCGTTCGCTGCATTGGATGGTGGCAAGCATGGTGCTGCCGATGAGCTCTCGTCCAAGTTCCCGACACTGGACGAATTCTCGTTGATGACTGACGGCCGGCAGAAATTCGCTTTCGATGCCGGACCAGATAGGAAATCTCAGGATGCGGACCCAGCCTTGTCGCAACGAGTGACCAACGCACTGGCAGATCAAGCATTTGCGAGAGCACCCAGCCCAACCAAGCCTGCAAAGCCTGCAGTGGTGGACAAACCTGCGACAATGCCAAAATCTTCGACATTGCTGGAGAAGACGCGGTCGAGAGAGCAAAGGGAGCCTCAAGCGAAACCCACTGCCCCACCGGTCGTGCCACAGAAGTCCGCCATGATCTCCACCGGCACAATGACATCTCCATCACCCCCCTCTGGCGCTGTCAAACCAGCCCTGGATCGTCCCGTGTGGAGAGTTCCATCTCACGATCCCATTGCGGCCGCGGCGGCAAGACCGGCCAGTACGGGGCAGACAGTCGCTAAGACTCAGGCAGCTGAACCTCCGGGAATGGAACAGTCCCGCTTAGCACGTCTCCTCCAGCAGGATGCCTCTGTTTCACAGCCGGCCTTGCTAGATCATACTCCAAGGTCGCCAACATCCTCTCGCCCGTCCCTTGAGGGCGGTCGACCAGATCCGAAAGAGATCGATTTGGGCTTATCCAGATCGAAGTCACTGGATATCAGAAAGCGACCGGTGACTGTTAATATGGGTACACGACCCACGCACATCAAAGATAAGAGCATTAAGCAGCACGACTATGAGGCCAACTTTGTCAGTGCTGAGCCGGAGGCCGAAGATGCAGCCACTGGGTCTGATATGAACATTGCTTCCGATATGGACTGGTTGAGGGCAAGAGAAGAGGAGGAACGCGAACGAAGAGGACATCATAAGAGACTCAGCAGCGGCTCTAAACATGGGAAACGCACCAGTCTGCCTCATATGGCGCTGACGGGGACTAAGCACATCCTGACCGGCCGCTTTGGGGATGCTTTCAAGAAATTTGAAGGAGGACATGGCAGTCCCACGTCGGAACATCACCCCCACCATTCGCCTTCCATAGATGCCCATAAAGGCTTACCGGCGATACCAGGTTCTGAGGCTACAGATCTAAGTGACGACCGAGCCCCGCTCGACGAGACAGAGGATTTGTCCCCTGAGATGCGCCGGGAGCTCGAGAAAAGGCAACTCGAAGCAGAAGAGAATCGGGTGGCGCAGGCCGCAGCTGCGTATCGACAACGCGTGACATCTCGGGGTGGTGCAGGCGGCGGCATTGGAGGTGTGAATCGCGCCGCAACGATACAAAGCAAGGTCCAGTCTCTGATCTCCGAGAACAACAAACCGGCGGCGAAGACGGCGACTGGTTATGGCCGGTATACAAATGAAGTCCTACCGCAGGGGGCACATCCTGAGCACATTCCGTCGAATCAAGCAGCCGGGATGAAAACGTCGAACAGCGTGCCAGTGCAGAGCAAGCCCATATCAGCACCTGCATCGGCTGTGAACCTAGCTGCCCAGAATACCCGCACACCAAGACCAACAGCACCTCCAAAACCGCAGGTTCTCCGGAACGCGCAGATTATCACGGATACACCGACGAGTCAAGCACAACCTGGCGACGCGATCAGCCCAGACGACTGGGAACGGAAGTTCAATCAAAGGTACCCAAGTCTATCAGGGCTGGAAATGGTGGAGACGGACATAGAGTCGTCTAAAGCACCCGTAGCCAAGGTCAGAGAGGTGTAGACTATATAGATGCATCACCATCGATGACTTGTCATTTCATTGCTCTTGGCGCACCGTGAGGACAAAGGGAAAGGGCCAGCTGCAGTCAGGCAGGAACCGCAGCAGCAGCGGCAACGGCAAGGCAGGCGCGACTACCGTAGCAACAGACTGCGACCTGCGACCTGCGACCTGCAAACTGTAGCAAGCACTTGTTCCATCTCAACTGCCATATTCTTCTCCGTGCACTGCATCCATCAAGCCTGCTCAGTGTGTCGTTTGTCATTCATTGATCTCGTATCTTTGATCTTCTGGGCGCGGCGTGCCCGGCATGCCACCTAAAAAGAAGTTGAAGGGTAGCGCAGCCCCACCCCGAGCACCCCGGCGTCCCCGAGCCTCCCAGGCGATTCGCCCGCACTTCAACACCCATACCACGACCAATGGCAGCCAGTTCACTGTCCACTATTACCTCCCGGCGGACCCCGCAGTGCCCATTGTACGAGCGGACCCGGAGCGCACGTACAATATTGTCGGAGACGGCGAGACGAGCAGGACAACCATCTTCGTTACCCTTCGTGTCCCTCCCGACAAATATCGGCATCTCCATCGCAGTTGGTCGAGGCCCATTGAGACCGCACTCCCTCTCACACCGGCGACCTCATTCCTGACTCTTACCTACCGCAAACCAACTGCAGCTAGAGAGCCCCCACAGATCAACGACGCAGCTAAGGGAACGACCAACGCAGACCTCGACGATTCGGCCATCGACGTAGGGACACCAGTCGCAGGCTTCCTTGACTCCCCTGGACGATCTGCGGAACCCGGTACAGGTGTGGTGGTACCACCCGAACCGGGAGGTCATTTCCAGCCAAGCGTTGGTACTTCTTCTATCGAGTCACCTGCAGCTTCTGCACAACAGCGCAACGCTGTTTCTGATTCACTTCGGCCCCTTACTCTTCGTGATCAGTCCGGTGTTACTGCAAAGTCTCCATTTGGACGAAGCACGCCGACCGCCGCGATTAATCCTCTACAGGCTCGTGCTGCTGAAGCGCGTAAGCACAGCGCCGTTGACTCGTCAGAAGGCTCTGGCCATAGCTCAACATCACCGGTCGGCCTGAGGCCATCGGGGCGCGTTGGTCAGTGGAGTGGTCTCCAGTTTCAGCAGCAGACTCAGCCGCTCGGCAGAAAGGTACCAACAAATCCAGTACTTTTCGAACGTCAGTCGGCCCTTGTAGCGAAACCCGCTCATTCGCCTTTGATACAGGCTCAAGGCTTAACTAATGTCGACGCGGACCACCAGGTGACTACTTTAGATCTGCTGGATTCTTTGCCCTCTCGAACTAGTCATCACGACACAGGAACTCATATTGCTAGTGGCAGTGAAGAAGCCGACGTAGGCAAAACCAACGTTCCAGACGGACGTGCTGGTGAAGCAAACCAGAGAGGTTGTCCTTTATTAGCTTCTGAGCATCCGCCACGCCCACGACCCCTGTCAGCATTCACGCCAGTGTCCGGACTCCCACGAAGACTTGTCGTCAAGCTGAAGCTTCCCATTGGTTACACATTAAACGAGAATATGGCACCAACACGAGATCCGAGCGATGTGTCGGGCGTTATCAAGGACATTGTTGACGACTTGTACGATGTGCAAAGCAAAACTCACGGTTTTATCCCCGAAACCCAGAACCTCCTGATTGACAAGATCGGAGACATGGCTGAGAAGCTCGCGACACTTAAGGATCTCACAGACCCTCAGATAAATCCCAACAATCCCATTCACGATGTCCGAATCGCGCCGGAAATCGTCGACTACGTGGATGATGGACGAAACCCGGATATCTTCACACGTGAATTTGTTGAGAACGTCCAGAGAGGCAATTCGGTCATCAATGGAAAGAAGCAGGCGTTCCGAGACTTCAGCGTCATATTCGCGAAGGCGTTGAAGCAGGGTATTGGTGGCGTTGACAAGCATGTCGACCAGATCATGGAAAACGCCGGGCTGGAGCAGGAGTTAGATGAGGCCATGAAAAAGGACAAATCCAAGGGGACGGAGAACGGTGCAGAGTGAGTTGAAGTGCAGGACTGTCGCCACGTCAGCAAAGGACCTCCGCCATGCAAGTGGTCTTCATTGCACCCAGTACGTGGCTTCCTCCGGACGCATGTGTGATTGGGGCGATGGACATGTGGCAGCCTCTGGAGAGCGCGGACAGCACCAAGACAGAAGTGATTTCTTTGGTGGCGGTACAGGTTCCGCTCGTGGTTCTGGCTACAAGCTTTGCCAGCAGACGAGATGTGACGAATTGTAGCACAGGATGGCTAGCTGCTACGAGAAGACCAACACAACGCTTGAGTGGTTGTAAGCCCGTACCTTGATCGGCTACGTCTTTTCCTTTGCCAGTGACTTCGCCGCCGCACCTACAGCAAAGCATTACCAGTCTGTGGCAGGAGCGAGGCTGGGCAGGCAGTGGTGCAGCAGGTACCCATGATGTAGCCGAAGAAGTTCCGAAGGCAACCCCACCCCCACCTTGCTGCCACCTCACTGAGAGCTTCGATATCGCTGTGAAAGAAGCAATCAAGCGCGACCCAAGAGCTATCTATCTGTTGCCTCCAGCCTCTTCCACTTCTCATATATTCAAGGCAACTGTATCGGGGCCAGGACACCAGTAGCACTACCATAATCACTTCAAGCCACCTGCAAGCCGTCAATATCTCCGCCCCCAACAAAATGGCATCGCCAATTACATGTCATGTTCTGAATACACTCTCTGGCACGCCAGCAGCCAATCTCAAAGCCACGTTGTCACTTCTGGCACCCACGAAGCCGGCTGAGTCACAGGGTGGCGCTCCTCAGCCTGCTCTCAGCTTCCATGCCCACACAAATGAGGACGGTCGTGTGAAAGAATGGCAGGCTTCGGCAGGTCACACCGTCCAATCGGTGCTCGAGCCTTTCTCGCCCGGCGATAGGGTCCCTTTCAGCATCAAGTTCGACATCGGGCCCTGGTACGAAGAGCAAGGCATTGAGAGCTTCTGGCCCGAAATCGAGGTCAAATTCTACATTAAGAAAGGCGAGCGCCACTACCACGTACCCGTACTGGTCGGTCCCTGGACCTACACAACATATCGCGGTTCATAAGGATATACAGAGGTCGCTAACAGTACGGCACCTTCATGAATGCTCGGGGTGCGGACGGACAGAACCCAGTGTTTCATAGCCATCAACGCCAGACGCCGCGCTCAAGAAACGCCATTTTATTCCCAATCCCCAGTCGTGCTTTGCCGTCGCTTGCCGTCCTCGTCCTCATCCTCGTCGATCGTACCATATCAGGCTAACAGCCGAGCTCGGCCTACAGTGGCAATCTATCTGCTTCAGATGACCAGGAGCCACAAGTCACTGGTTGCTGCTGGTGACTTGTGCCGTCAATATGTCCGTCTCACAGGCTGTATCTCGGTCTCCCATTCTCAGCTTGGTGTCTCATTAGTCTCGGGTACTATGAGAATCAACCGCGCTCGACGCGACTTCTTGTCAGTAAGGCCGATAGGAGTAGCCTGGGCTACGCCTGCCAACGATGACTATCTCGTTAATGTCATCGTCGTCTTCGGTAGCGGCAGCCCGATCATCGGCATCTCGGCGGCTATTGCCATCGCGGCGGCGATTCATCCTCATGGACTGCTCTCGCTCATACTCGCGAGACTGTCGACGGAGGTCCGCAACCTGTTCCTACGGACGTTACGCCAGGCCTAGCTGAGGTCCGGGTGTCATAACTTACCTTCGTCAATGGAGCGCCGTTGATGAGATAGCCCTCTCGACCCTTGTCGATGTCAGTGACTATACAATGATAGCTGTCTCGAAGCCCACTTGGTATGTGTAAGGTCTGACACTTGTGGATGGACCAAGAAAGTAATGCAATTGGCCAAGGACGATGTGTCTGGACAGACCGTATCCAGGAAGCCAATATTGCTGCACGCCGGAGCCCATTGTTTGTTGGCTGAGGAAAGTCTTTGCTGTTGGTACAATGTAATCGGACCTGAGCGAAGACCACAGTATTCAAGTCCGAGTTCAACTGCTAAGCCATGACATAGGGGGGTGAACGCCTCCGGGTGGGACATAACGTCGATTATTATGAGCAAGACTGCCCCCAGCAAGTATACGATTGCACAGACCTAGCGTCAACTGCAAGCCGACGTTGAAACCGGCGCCATCGCGCAGGACTCGGGCCGGACTACCCTGATCCTGTTGCGAATCAAGGAGCCGCGCTGCATTCGTTGCCTCGTTGTCAGTGGCCAGGCGGGCACGGCCGGTCTGCCTTAGCCAATCGTCTGCACCAGATTCAAAGTGAGGCAAATAGGCGTAAATGCCCCCTTCATGCGACCCGCTACCCTGACAGGCCACCTGGGTGCTTTCGAGTGCAATTTCAGTCGGGCGCGACACTGCCCCTGGCTATTCTGCATGTCTGAGCCTGCCATTGCTGATTGTGCTGCAAGTACGTCGGATATTGTGCCTCGAGTGTCATACGTGGCCGGAGGCAGTTGCTCCCCTCCCGACTCCATTCATGCTGTTCGCCAGTCAGTTACCCAATCTCTCTGTCGACAGCATGCATTGCAGCTGGACGATAGCCGTGACCTCCACCGTTGAGAGGTTTCGATCAATAGAGTTGTTGAATGAACACCGGTTCGAGCTCTCCGGCAGCGCGCCCAGGCTGCAGCGCCCGTGCTTGCGGAGTAGGGTATCGATAGCGGAGCAAGAGCTGCTCACCGCCAATCTCCCACGCAGCGAAACGACACGAGTCTCGCATTCAACGTTGGCGTTGTTGTGAAGGACCTTCTCAAGCCGTCCTAGCCAGTTCCCGGCATTACTACCTTGAGAGGCTCCCAGCAGCAAGTCTACCGCGTGGGTCAGACTACACTATCTCGATCGGCTGCGCGATATCGATAGTAAGCCTGCCTCATCTTGGAGACTTCGTCAGGTGATATCTGGCATGACGCCACAAGCTGCTCATGTCCCTGCCGAGTCAATGCCAATACCACGACTGGGTGCCTTTCGGTGTTCAACTGGTGGTTCAGGGTGTCGAGATCAACGCGGGGAAGATCGTCGGCTAACTGCACAGAATTCGATATTCACCGATTTCGAGACTGGTTTTAACCCACCCTGAAGCCTTCAGGCTCAAGATTCAGTGCATGACTCGCATGGTCTGCCCTGTTACCAGCACCAATGGCAAGACACAAGGCTCCCATGCTCGGGCCCTGATTCGGGCTACCAATTGGTGAGGCGCTTAGTAGCTTGGAAAAGCGCCGAAACGGCTGCCCCTTGCGCCCACAGCCTTGCACGCTTGCGTTGGGTTGCTGCTTGCGTGATCGCCATACATGCCCAACATCTATGCTTTACTTATGCGCCGCGACAATCTCATTCCCTATAAAGACAAGCCCGCGTCGGGTCTTGAACTCTTGCTTCGGACGATCATCTCATCTAGACCCTGCGACTACATGGTTGACCCTCCGACTTTGCCGATCCCATTCGCCCTACCATTGCCTCGGTACGGATACCTGATTCCCTTGTAGGCACGTCTTGGCCGATCCAGTGTCTGTCAAAGCCTCACGTCCTCTTCGCCTTCGGCAGTCTGTTTTCCCGGTGTGGTTCCTATTTGGGGCGCTTTAGTCTCTCTTAGTCAAGATCGTCGGTGGCGAATTGCTACCTTACTCCTGCCCGAGCATAACGGCTCACTGTGTACTTTCCAGTGCATGCATTACAGGGATCGACACTCCTTGGTCGTCTTTGGCCAGAGACTCACACATTGCGCGACGACGAGGTGGCAAGCTTGCCTCACGACGACACTATTTTGCCTCATCGTCACTTCACCCACACTTGGATCTTATCGCTTACGACCTGTCCCAAGCGCAATACACCGACCCTCCTCTTGGCACAGGCTGCACGTGCTCTAGTTTGGGTACCAGCGTCGTGGTTACAACTTAGCAATTAGTAGATGGAGACCGTGGACGACAAGTCCACCACGCTTGCGGCCAAGCATGTGGTCTAGTGTGCCTACCCGCTGCGCGTGTTCTAGAGAAGTCCTCCATAAGCGCTGACGGATTGACTTGCACCTTGCGGCCGCCACTGCCGCACGTTTTGATACTGCCTTGGCCATGCGACTGGAGTCGTCAAGACGTCGGAAGTTGCGACCGGGCTCAACTGTTTCCGCTTACTCCAGGCTAGAGCCCGACGACCCCCCACGATGTCTATGTCAACCCGGCCAATCTGGTCCCAAAAGTAGCTCCACGTCCCAAGCTTTCGCTTAAGTGGTGGTACTTGACAAGTAAAGCCTCACTTCTCGCCTGCCCTCTCCACAAAGGCAGCCAGCGCTGGAGCCCAAACCCACCAATAGTTCAGCAAACAATGCTCTTCACACGGAACAGCCACGGAAGTCCATCGCTAGTGACCGAGATATCTTACCGATGGTACTAAATTCTTGCCGAGTACCAAGTACGGCAGCGTGCATCTGAAACCAAGGGAACGCTTCAGTGTTCAATGAAGCCGTGGTATACAGCCTTTGGTCGTTGGTGTCACGCTCCACCGCGGTTCCCTGGCTCTCGGCAGAGCCGCGAGTTGTACTGTGGCGTACTTGACCCACTTCCTTACCTCCAGAAGCCTCAGAAGCCTTTACTTTCGCACCGTGACAAGACTCGAGGCGGACTCGTCGTCATCCGGAAGGCCCCGTCGCGTACCTGGGTGCCCGACTTGTCGTTGGCGGTCGGAGCTTGAGACCCCATCTCCCTGCGAAGTCATGTGGCAGCCTGACCCTTGTGATAACTACCGTCCGCCACAGACGGCATTGTGCAGCACTGGCGCGGTAACGGACTTCTCATTGCCAATGCTTCGCTGGGGGACAGGTAGGGTTCGCCACTCACACTCAAGCCCGGCGGGTTCCCTAGTTACCCGGTCAGTGTCCAGCTACGACAGTCATCCCTAATGGCCAGTTATACGGCGGCTAGTTTATGCTGTGATCGGCGGCTGAGGTCGTATCAATGCCATTCCAGGCACATCTTCGGTGCTACAAGTCTCGACACCTCTGACCCTGATCCGGCTGTTGACACATTCAGTGACGATTAGCGGTTCTAGAGAGAGATCTTCAAACATGTGGCTCGGCGAAGTGGGCAACGATGGGCACAAATCATGCTACGTGGATGCTTCACACGCCCACTGATCTCTTGAATAACGGCGTCTGACTGTGTGGTTCGTCCTCGGGGGCTCCATCAGGGTATACGTTACCCATACCTCGATCCATTTCTTGCCCTCCTCGATAGTGGCCCGAACATACTTCTAAACGGACCCCTGAACGCCTTGTGGTCTGCCATCGCCTCACTTCCATCCCACTCTTGCTGCTTGCCAACAGCTCTGGGCAGTACAAGAGCTGATCGTTATCATCGGCCCTCTACGAGTCAGTGATTGGGCAGACTGGAGCATTTCGCCACCTGCCGATCCCACCTCACACCAGCACGCAGACTACTTCCGGAGTTTCAACCTCTAGCAACTGCTTTGAAGCGTTAACTTCATATGCTATGTCCTGATCCATAAGCTCAAACACCCAGCTTCATCCCTTCTTAGCTTCATTCGAAAGAGAAGCACTCGAACACGCCACCAATACGAGAGCATTCACATCAGCTACCGTCCTAGCCATCTCCCACCTGATCAGTCATCTGTTCTCTATCGACAGCTATTGCCGCCAAACCACAATCCGTCACTATGCCTCAAAACCGCAGACCTTTGCCACCCCACTTCACAGCCGACAGCCGCTCAGATTCTCCGAGCCAGCGGGCCATACGCGTCTACAGTCGTCCATGCTCCTTTGCGGGCTACACCGATAACGTTGAATACCCCAACAGCACCGGAAACAACAGTCCTCTGGCCTATACCATCCGCCGACGACCCACCGACAAAGAGGACAGACGCTGGCAGGAGAGTCGTTCCGCAAGTCCAAGCATACAAGCTGTTCACCAACGCCACGAGTCAGAAAAAGCTCGTCATTCCCGACCCCAGCAACGACCCGCCCTCGCAGTATTGACACGACCACCGCCATCCAACTCGGCCGCAAGCGCGCCCATCTCGGTAGCGGGCCCAACATCCGCCGGCTCAACAGGTGGCGCATCGAGGTCGGGCTCTACATCATCGAGATGTAGCAGCCTCGCATCAGACTACCTCTACGGTCACGACTTCGTCTACGGCGCGGAACCCGTGCGGCCACTGCCGCATCGGAGCGTGACGATTGATCCCACCGCGGTGACCGTTAAGGGCCTATCTGGGAACCGGCATGGGAGGAGAGTCCGCTTTGATGCGCATTACGTTTAGGCTTGCACTTGCCCAAGCTAGAGAGAGAGAGAGAGAGAGATTGACAAAGACTTCACAGGTCTTGAATTTGTGTTGGCGTGGCACAGTCAGGGGAGTTAGGTCACTTTCATTGTTTTCATTGTAGGGCGTTTCATGGTTCAGGGCGTCCAGACTATCGCCGTCGATTGGGCCTTGGCCTTACCGTCATTTCTCCTGGGTGATTGTGTGAGATGATGGATCTGTAGCATGATAAGCAAGTGTGCCGGCTCGCAAGCACCGGGTTGAGCACTTCATGGCCCAACAAGGGTCTCGGTGAGATTGACGACAGAGAGTGGGATTCCATGGTTGTACACACTTTTATACTGTACCTTCACCTACTGTGCAGCTATGCAGCTAGCTGTGTATACCACATTCACGATAATAATGATATTCCACATGATATAATAATCTCTTGCAATGATACCTCAACGGAAAAGTCAAAGTCAGGGTCAGCCATCGAAAAGTGTTCTGTCTTTCTAACCCCCCCTTCGGAAACAACTGGAGCCAGCCAGCCAGACAGCCAGCGAGCCAGCGCACGAGCTGTTGGAGTGTCCGTCCAGGTACAGTACGGAGTACACAAACACTCAACTCATCCGGCGGAGCCGCACCCGGTCAGTCAGCAAGTGTACGTGGCGGCTCGCTTTCTAGCCATCAGCAAGAAATTGTGAGAAACGGGAAGGGCCGCGAAAACACCTGGACGTCGATTAGGCAGTCGTGTGGGCAGCCATGCGTCCTTCGGCGTGTTGATCCTTTTTTGGGCAGCAGCAGCAGGCGGGAGCGGCCCGGACAATGTGTGGAGCGTAGGTCTCTTTGCGGCGGAAATGGAATGCTGGTGTGGGATATAGATAGGTTTGAAACCGAAGAATAATGCGGGTTTGACTCTTGCTATGCTATCGAAACGTGATTCTAGAGTGCGTGCCAATGAGTTGGGTAGGAGCAGGTAAGGAAAGGGGGAGAAGGCAACGGAACGCAGGCAAAAGGAACCGCCATGTGCAATACTCGGGTTGAAGGAGGAGAAGAGAATAAGGAAATGGGGTTCCGAAGCAAGGCACACTACGTGGGAAGCAGGTATCTGAGATGCCATTTGCATAGAGGTCTTATCTGCCATGTCCTTGTCGCTGCCAGCCTTCCAGCCAGCCCTGATTTCAACTTCTTAGTTTCCATCCAGTGTACAAGTACAGTACGTACGATGCCGTTGTCCTTGTCGACGACAGTGGGTGTGTGCTCGTGCTCTCCTCGCTAGTCAAGGAAGGCAGAGCCGACAGATCATTTTGAGCCTCCCGTATTCCATCAATGCTTTATTGGTTCAGGTTTGCGAAAAGAGTGAGGGTCGAACATGGGTGTGCAACATCCCAGGCACTGCCTTGCGTATGTGGGTTGACCCTTGAGAAGGTCGAAGCCGCAACGCCTTGCCCGTGAATGTTCATAACATGTCCAAAGAATGAAAAAAATCAACGCCGAGAAAGTCATCTTGTCTCCGTACAACACCTCATGTCAGGTCGTTCATGCTTTGCCGATTCCCGTTCCTATCGTTCGTGCCCAAGTGAGCGTCGCGCGTGTCATTATTGATTCCAACACGCATTCCGATGGCTGATCCTTTCGTGTCCTTTCCTGAGCGCCATCATTGACAGTAGTTGTCCGTGGTGTACAATACATTAAGCGAATGTAATCCGTTCCAGGTTCCTAATTCGTGTTATCGATTAGTACGGGCCCTGATATAGTCCCCACCATCACTGCATGGAGAAGAAGCTGTCGTCAGCCATCATTTCGGTGCCGTCATAGAAGTTGTCCGTCAGGAAGGCGTCGAAGTCGTTGGGCTGCTCAAGCTTGCGTGCCGCATTAATGTTCAGAGCATCGCTGGCGGTGGTGACTGGCATCTCGACAAAATCAAAAGAGACTAATTCGGCTGGAGGTGGGCTTGAGCTAGTGTGCGACAAGGCCGGCAGCGAGTGGGCTTGACTTTGCTGAGAGCGGCCGGTCTGCATACCGTGGCCAAGAGTTATGTTTGTGGCTTGATTGGGCATCAGCGCGCGTTCGTCTAGACGAGGCAAGCTAGGGGCCTGAGATTGGGTCATCTGAGGGTAGTCACCGAGGTCTGTAGGAGCAGGCGAATAGTGAGCAGGGCTAGCCTTGTTGCCAGTGCTCCACTGAGGGCTCGTGGGAGGCGTGAAGCCAAACATCTCGGGAGGGAAGGAGGCAGTGTCGGTGTTGAGACTCATCGATGCACCATTGGGCATGCCAAACAGAGCAACATCGCTGAAAGGAGAATCATCGCGGACACTCAGGGCATCCATGGTGTCTGTAGGAGGAGACTCCCAGCTAGATGGCGAGCCCGATGACGATGAAGTGGCATAATGAGCCAACTCGTGAGCGTGACGGCTGCGACTGGCCTTGTCGAGACGATCATCCATCTCCGGGCGATGCTTGCGAGGCCTGCCACGTTTGATGGGCTTCTTGACGATACCTTCGAAGGCACCAATACACATGCCTCGCTGGCGGTGTCGGGTGAGAGCATCATGCCTGGCGAAGGAGTTGCCGCAGAGACAAGGGTATGGCTTGGTGCCGGTATGGATCTTGGCATGTCTCTTCAGGTCGTGACCTCGAACGAAGCACTTGTTGCAGTGGTCGCATTTGAACTGACGATCACCAAGATGAGTCTGGACGTGGGACTTGATGTTCTCCTTGCGGCCGAAACGCTTATTGCAGTTTTCGTATTTGCAAACCCACTTGTTGTCTGAAGCCTCTGGGCCGTCAATGAATTGGGCGATATCGTCAATGGAGATATTGGTTTCTTCAATGGAAGCATGGATACCGGGCTCGAGATTGAGATCAGAAATGGACATGCGGCGAGGTGACAGAGCGGGGCGTGATGGAGACTGAGAGCCAGACTTCGGCTGCGATGAAATAAGAATTGGAGCGGGACGAGACTTGAGGTCGGCTGCAGGGCTTGATGTATCCTCACCACCGGTCTCATCGAAGAAAGGTAGAGCTTCATTCTTCGAGGGCTCATTTTGAGGACTTGGGCTGGAAGCGCCGGTGTGTCTGGGAACGGGCATGTCGGCAACCTCGAAAGACCGATCTTTGGCCGGGGTTGGAAGCATTGACTGAGGCCGTTGGCGAATGGGATTAGGTTGTAGCTTCGACTCGTCGTGCTCAACAATGCCTTGAAGGGAGCGCCCGCGCTGCATCGATACAGGGTGAGGAGAGAAGATGGGTGGAGTGGCTTGCTGATGCCTCAAGTTCTGCATCTGTTGCTGATGGTGGACATGCTGTGTCCCCGGAGGTGTTAGAGGATATTGCGCTGCAGTAGTTAGCCATGTACCAGACTTTGGTAGAAGGTTGCCAGCATACCATTCTGGATCTGCTCCGAAGGAGTATGCGGTCTCACCGACTGAATTCGCAGTTCTGGTTGAGACATTCTCCGATCGAAGATCATGTTGGGATCTTGATCAGAGTGTACGTTCTGAAAGTAGTGCTGGGCGTTCTCATCGACACGAGGAACATTGGGGAACTGGTTCTGTATTGGGCTGACAGCCGGGCTCATGTCGTATGGGAAATAGGGTGAATTAGAGTACTGCATGGCCTGTTTCGACATGGCAGTGTTGATTGACATATGGTCGTATGGTGTAGAGGGTTGAGAGTTTGGGTAGATTGCACATTGGGGAGGGTTTGGTAGGTCCGTGGTGATATGCTGCTGGCCCGGTCGGGCGGCGCGAAGCTGTTGCGCTTCTCGCAAAATTTGCTGTCCGTGGTATTGGTTAGTGATACTTACCATGTTGCCTGGTTGACGCCGAATTGGGCTTCGTTGGTGCTGTTGGTGCTGGTCAAATGAAAGACCGCGTCGGTGCACGCCCTGTCGTTGTGTTGGAGGCAAGTTGGTAACCTTCATGGCTTCGAAAGCAACCACCGGTGTCGAGTTTTGCCTGCGGTGGAATTGCTTCGTTGGTTGGCTCTGAAGAGACGAAGGTTGGTTGGACATCATCTTAGGCGAGACGAGTTCGAAAAGTCGTTGTCGAAGGGTTGTCGAAAGTTGGGAATTTCCTTCTTGTTCGAGACTGAGGGCTGGGGTCAGTGACTGTCAACACAGAGTGAATGGGCGAGCCAGCATACCTCACGCAGCACTATGGCTGCTGACCGGGCAGCGGTCTTGTTACTTGTGGACTACCAGTCGCAGGTGGGTGTGCAAACCACCGTTGAACGGAATAAGAATGGCCCTCTCAGGGCAAGAGGAGGTATTCGGTCTTGTGTACTGAGAGGCTTCTTGGGCTTGTAGAGGTTCTTCTTTTTCTCTGTTTGTAGTTGGTTTGCAATTTGCAATAGCTTGGGAGAGTGGAGGTGTAGAGGAGGAGAGGAGTAGCGTAGACTGCGGTCGGTCTGGATCAAGGTCGTTTTCGAGTCCCAGAAGGTGCGTCAGCGGAGCTGGGCTTGTTGTCGCGGTAGTCGCTACGACAACCGGCGAAACTATTCCCAATCGGGCTCATGGGCTTGGGCGGATGACGGAAGACTCGTTTTGCCGCCGCCGCCGCCAAGTCGGAGTTTGCCCCCACCCACACCACATTTTGTCCCGAGCACTTTGGCGGATTTACGATCTTTCTCTTTCTTCAATCCGCTCATCTGTGTTTTGCAATTGAGGAAGACAGTCTTGTCGAGGTTTGTGTGCTTTCGCATCGCATTGTCTTCCGTCGCTAATCCGCACAGATTGCACCATGCAGATCTTCGTCAAGACCCTCACGGGTAAGACTATCACCCTCGAGGTGGAGTCGTCCGATACCATCGACAATGTCAAGTCCAAGATCCAGGGTACGTCGCGTGTCGCCGAGGACGTGGTGACTGTCAACTGACATGTCTCAGACAAGGAGGGTATCCCTCCCGATCAGCAACGCCTGATCTTCGCCGGCAAGCAGCTCGAGGACGGCCGCACTCTCTCCGACTACAACATCCAGAAGGAGTCGACTTTGCACCTTGTGCTGCGCCTGCGTGGTGGTGGCAAGAAGCGCAAGAAGAAGGTCTACACCACCCCCAAGAAGATCAAGCACAAGAGGAAGAAGACCAAGTTGGCCGTCCTCAAGTACTACAAGGTGGACGGTGATGGCAAGATCGAGCGCCTCCGTCGTGAGTGCCCCACTGCCGAGTGCGGTGCCGGTGTCTTCATGGCCGCCATGCACAACCGCCAGTACTGCGGCAAGTGCCATCTCACCTATGTCTTCGATGAGTCAAAGTAGACGAGTCCTCAGCAGAAGAGGGAAACGATGAAGGGATGACCAGATGATGTGGCAAGGATGGGTCGATAAAGTCAAAAGCGGCCTCGATCACGACAGAGCTACACAGACAATTCAGATCATCCCTCAGTCAGCCGTAACTCAGTAGTTCCATCTTTGCACATCGTCAAGATAATACTTTTGTGAGGTCGCCGTGGTTGACTACGGGAGGCCAAGCGATGACCTCTGCTGTACTCCACAGCCAAGGAGGATATGGTGCTTGAGTAAGCCCGACGACACCGGTCCCCCAATTTCTTATCACAACCCCTTACCCTTCGCTCGCGACTCACCACGTCAGACCAGAAGGTGACCACTGTCTGAATTGACAACGCTTCCACTCATGTTGCGATCCTTCATCGCCGCCAGATACGCCTCGACTACATCTTCCACACTGCCAACCTTCCCAGTCGTAGTCTGCAGCGCATTAACAAAGAGATTCACCCAACATTTGAACACCTTACCTTCGCGGCCATACTTTCGAGCATTTCTTGTTTCTTCTCCTGCCCGTGTGCATCCCACATCTCGGTCTCAACCGGACCAGGGCTGACAAGGTTGACCCTGACAGGCTTCAAATCGAGCGCCAGATTTCTGACCTGTCTTGATGTGAGCATCTCCAAGTGCCTTCGATATCGCCGCACGTACCATTCCGTGCAACCCCGCCGCATAAGAAGCAACCACCGTCCAGCCTGGAATTGGTTTGTCGCTCACGCTCCCCGTTGTCAAGGTAATACTGCTTCTCGAATCCCAGACTAACGCCTTCCTGGCGTATTTCGCCACCATCAGCGGTGCGAAGAACCTAACACTGCCAGCCTAGCCTTGGTCAGCCGACTGCGTTCGCCTCTTTTCAGCGTATCACCTACCTTCTGCACAAACGGCATATCCCACTCCTCAATCTCCTTCATCGCCAGGCCGTCTCCAGCCGTGAAAACCACATGATTCAGCTTGCGCCCGCTCAGGAGCTTCTCGACCCCAGTAAACAGCTGCCTCACTTCCCCCTCCAATTTGTCTGGTTCTCCGAGATTGCACGCCACGCCGACAAGCTTCGCTCCACGACCGACCGCATCTGGGTACGTCTTCTCTAGCCGGCGGATGGCGTCATCGACACGAGACTGCTGCGAGGAAGAGATGATGACATGTGAGGCGCCATGCTCGAGCAGCGCGCAGGCCACGCCAAAGCCGAGACCGGAGGAGCCGCCAATGACAAGGACGGCTGTTGAGGCGAGCTTGGAAGTGTATGTCGTAGGGTCTGGCATGATGATAGTGGACTGGATGAATACGAAGTGGGAGACCTTACGCGATTGGAAGCAATCGGTGGAAAGGTGACGATTGCAGGTGAGTCTCACTATCAAGAAATGTTGAAATCCCTCTCAGCAGTCGTCAGAAATCAACCATGCGTAGCAACAATTTATCCATTGCGGCAGAATGCGGCTCTCCCGCGAATGAGATCATTGTCGATGAGTGCATCACCGGCAATAAGGTCACGGTGCCGTCCGAACTCCTTTAGGTTTTCCAATCGCGTCATGAGTCGTGGAGTTACTCAAAGTCGACAGATGCCAATCGGGGCGCCTGTAGCTCGACGCCTTATGCCAAGCACCAATCACGACATGGACGATGCATTTGCCGTTTTGGGAGTTTCCCTCTAAGTCTACAGGTGGGCTCCCACAGTTCACGGACAATGATATCAGCATACGATTGGCTTTCAGCTTTAGCCACATATGCTACAAGTGTCTGCACTATGTTCAATCGCGCTCACTCGATCTGCACATCTACTGTGTAGGAACGTAGGCCTAGGGACAGAAGGAAGCTGAACGTTTCAAGACAGACTCACCGAAAAAGGAAACTTCGGTATGTAAGGCACTATCATTGACGATTGCTTTACAACAGCAATAACTTCATCAAGTGGAAGTTACCTTGGTCTGACCAGCCCATGCACCCTGTGCACGGGCATGAGCCGAATAGAAGAATTGCATCCACTGCTGTACGCCCACAACTGGACGGACAGGCGCCAACACCACAGACTTTGGCCTGACAAGGTCAGGACACGGCTTCATCTGGAACAGTCCAGCCTCCTCACCTTTGAGAGCCTCTCGTTCCCTCTTCAGGCGCTCGCCGCGACGCATGCGCCAGCGTCCAGTCACGGTGATGATGATGGTCAGCAGAATTGTGAAGGCGGCTATAATGCCGACCAGGGCGACAATGTTGGCGTGGCCGGGGGCGTTCATGTCGAGGCCTCCAACGGCTGACCGTGCGAATTGCTGGGTCATGTCTTTGCAAAGATAGAATTCTTGGTGCGTAGTCTGAGACTGGGGAGCTGCGGAATCTCTCGCACGTTCGTCGTGCAGCATCGATCTTTATTACCCAACAGGGGCATGGCTGGTGGCTCATCGTAAATCCCTTGTTCAGCAACGGCTTTGTGCTACAACTGTACAAACCACCCCAGCTTTGTCGGATGAAAGACTTATTTGCACAAAGGCTTTTTTGGCGCGAGCCTAGGTGCTCTTTTATGCAACGCGCATACCGTTACGCAGTATGAACGTAATGACACAGCCATTGACAGAGCTAATGCCATCGGTGTCGAAGGGTTGGGTAGGCTTCTCCCTTTGCTGCGATGGGAGCTAGATAGACAGAAGTCAGAATACGCTCCTATGCCATCAAATTTCTAAAGAGCCCCTGTAGAGTCTGAGAGTCTTGTCGCTTAAGTCAACCAAAGGGTTGATCGAGACCTTGACCGCGTTGTTGTACTCGGTTCTGATCGCTGCTAGTGGACCTTTCCCCTGCCAAATTCCAGCGAGTACCGTAGAGCTTGATACGGAAGGCTGAAGTGGTCAGCGACCAACTCTAAGGGTAAAAATGCAAGAATCGAGGAGTTACGAGCTGCAGCTATATTCAGCAACGGCTTAGAAGCGGTCTAGAACACATTGTCGCGATCGTCTCAGGAAGGGAGTGGTATCGCACCGAGGCGTTGAGCACGTTTTATATGTCGAGGTACACGAAACCTGTCCATTCTATCAAGTCACGCGTCAAGAGCGCGAACGAACTTTGCTCAGGCAACAGCAGATAAGCGGAAGTGCGCACCACTGAGAATAATATCGAATCGAACTGACCCCTCCCCAAAAAGATTTCGACTATTGAGATTGTCTCTCAGTAGTCGAGAGCCCGAATGGTTCTATCATATTCACACCGCAGTCCCTTAAGTATTTGAGAGTAACTGACCACTCTTGAATCGCAGGAATTTAGGATAGGAGGAGGATTCGGACCTGCTAGATATATGGTGAGAAATCATGACCCGAGGCTCCCGAAACAGAGCCAGCAGGCGTGTTTCCGGGGCTGCCGTTGACTAGAACTCGAACATAATCATATTAATACATCAAAATGAGATATTACTATGGTAGGGGCAAACCTGAGCTGAGGTGGGGTGGCCGCCAGGCTTGGCGTTTTGCCTTACAAGGCGGACGGGTTTTCTGTCCCGGCGTTTCCACTTTCAGCATACTCTACGGCATTGGACCCGGCGAAAGTAAGCGCTTCCACAATTTCCCTGCAGTCTCCCACTAGCCATGTGCTAAAAGCTGGTCGTGTCTTGGAAGGTGAGCACAACCGATCCATCAGCTATTGCCAATACGAGGCCGTGGAAGCCTCGGCGCCCATGGAGTAGAAATACAAACCCCGTGCCCCTCGCTCGGGACATTGCGACCTCGTTCCGTTCCAAAGATAAAATCTCGACGTACCCAGATGTTTTCTGATATGCATTAGACACATTACTGTCAGATCAAAACCTCTGTGAGGGTCTTGGCTCTTTCTTTGATACTACATGGTCCTTTCCCTTTTGTTCGAGTGGGGTGCGGTGGAAGCTAGAATAGCTCGAACGAATGAGAGTTCTGGGTCTTTGTACGAACTCAAAGCTGCATTGTCGTATGCTGGCATTGTGCGAAGGTGGCGCTCGAGCAGTACATAAGTTCCCGATGAAATGTTTTCGCGCAGGCTCTATTCTACCGCAAAAAGAACATGACGCTACACAAACTCATATGGTGCTTTACGCTACTTGCCTCGCTGACACAAGCGCGGCCAGACATTTCATCTTATTCTCTTGCGAAGCGCGGCGAAGTAATTTACACCCCAACCGATTGGAAACTGCCAGAGGATGCTAAGCTCAACCCAGCTAACGGGAAGCCGCAGGATAAAGAGGGGAAGGCGCTCGGGTTTTGCATACGTTCAGGCGGCGAGATCAAGGACGGTCAATGGAAAAATTTCGATAGCAAGTGTTGGCAACACGGGGATGTGCTGGCCGGCAAACCCTCGGGGACAGGTCCATGCTTTAACCTCGATTACCCCCATGCCAACGGCAACGCGAGATCCGGTTACTGGCCTGGTAAGGACGTCAATTGTATACTGTTCAAAAGGGCGGATTGCCAGTACCCCAGGTTGGACGAGAAACGCGCCGAAACCGGTTCTGTAGTTCTACAACCACCAGGTATGGCTGCGCTGGAAGTGGGATGGTGGGTGGAACACGGATTCAAGGACAGCTCAGGCCGCATCATGGGCCCAAAATCCTATCAATGCTACACCAGAGGGAAAGGCAACGTGGGACTCGGAAATGATGTTGCGAGCATGGGATATGTCGGGCTTGGAGCAGAGTACTGATCGGGAGTCTGTGACCATCAATTTGATTTTGCTCCTTAGTTGAGCGCAAGCAAATGACTTAGTAAGAACTTGTCTGCATTAAGCCTGAGTTCCAATGCCTGTTAGGAAGTCTTATCATACACCATCGCGCTACACTCTGCGCTGTGCGTAGCAGGCCAAAGCTGTGCTGGTCGTCCATGTTGATTCTGCAATAGAATAATGCACTGGTGTGTCCTGATAGTGGCATTTCGATTTTCTGAATGGTACAAGGAGTGCAATCTCCACGCCAAGCCTTTTACTGCCTGTCCGGGTAGATTGCGAGAATCTTCCTACACGAAGTCGACCACATTCTTCCCCAGTAATCCTGCGGTCTTTGTACGACGTGAGCTTGACTATCTACTGATATTTCCGCCACGCAAGGCTTCTACACTCTCTATGCTCAAGTCAAACAAGCGATGCTTAGCTGACCCTGATCTTCCGATGCGTCAACTAGCAGCAACTGATCAAAAGCGTACTATCGATTCGATTATGCTGTGTGAATCTGTGGGCAGAACACACTAATATATGTGTAGGGGGTCGTCCACGTGAAAGGACATGTACACCATCTGAAGCCGGATACCCACAAGTGGTCTAGGGCCAACTATAGCTTTCGGGCTTTCACGAGACACGATATGTCACACAGAGTGCTTCATACTGACGAAAGACTTGAGCATGCTAATGATCAGATTCCAGTTGACATCTCTAGTGATGTTGAAACAGCGTTGGCATTTGAACAAGCATATAAGATTGTAGACGGGAAGGTGTGTATAAATAGCTAAAAACATGGGCATGTCAGCATCTGCTCTTGACGACGCAGTTGAAATCTGATCTTGTCATTAACCGCATAAGTCGTGTACGTAGGTGCTCATATTGATATCGAAGAATCCTTTCCGGGTGTACAGAAGCGCTCTCGCTCGGAAACAAACAATTAATAAGGGACGAATCGCTTAGTAGTTGTCTCGCTGAACCTGCCAGGCAAGCACAATCATCCAGAAGAACAGCACCGCAAGCACGATGGACCAAGCAAAGGAAGCTTTCCAACACGCGCAGATATTGCTCTGGGTCAACCAAGCCAGTGTCTCGACAGATACGCCTGTGTACGGCCGGCCAGTAACATAGGTGTTGCAGTTCGAGTTAACGTTACCCGAAGGACCGAATAATTGTATAGCTGTCTCGATCAGGACCGTCAGCCATAGTACAAATAGGATGAAAGCGCCCAGCAGAATGCCGCCCGGAATGAGCATCCGCCTAGAGGCAAGGACCAAGATGATGAGTAGAAACAATATCGTAAGCGAAGCAGTGACGATGGCGAACGTGAAGAGCCTGTCTGGAAGTCAGTATGTCGTCAGATAGCCAGATTCATGGAAAGCCCACCATGGTATGCCTATGTCCATCTGTTGTTGGACCACGATAAACCAGGCATTGATGCCTAGTACCGTGGCGGCACCAGCCAGGACAACGAAGATCCATAGGTTAAGTTGGAGTTCGGGCCAGTGGTACCGCCGGTGGGACTCGCGGACCACAATCTCTGTCCCGGACATGTTTTGTAGTGTATACTGTATTGATAGCGCGGCTGCGCGAGGTGTCGCGACGAGTGTCGGGGGTTGGAGGAGGGGTTCTCGTTGCGCAATATAGCGGGCTGGTGCCGGCGGGCCGCAAGGATGTCTGGGTATGCTATACAGGTGGCGGCAGAAGCATGGTCCGTCCCAGATACTTTATGTATACCAGCAAAAGCTCTGCCGGCAAGGTATACCCAACAGCGCAGGGCAGCGAGTCGCAGATGGTCGAGCGGTCAGATCCAGGTGGAGTAGCTTGGCGGTAGCTTGCGTGGTCTCGAATAGGCGGTAGCCAGCGTGGCAGCTGGTGGACGGTATTCAGTCGATGTAGATTGGGTTAAGTGAAGCGCAAGTAAATGAGAGTATCTTCATAAGATACAGGCAATCTTGATGTTGTCTTGTTGATGAATATGCTGAATCAAGGCCTTATTTCTGCTCCACCTTGCTGATGGCCTTGCCAAAAGTGACGGACTGCCGGTTGCCCCTCGCAACCATGGCTCCCGCACACCGCGTGCTGGACATCCCTGCCAGATCGATTCAGCCCGCCCGTCCTCGCAAGCACTGCGTTCACCGCGACTGGACAGAGCTTCGAAGTTGTTGAAGATAGCTGTTAATACCCGTCGCATGATATCGCAACCATGAGTGTACGAGTGGTGGCCCGGATCCGCCCACTGCTCAAGACCGAGCGTACTGTCGATGAAGTCCTTTCTGCACATGGCGGCGCCGACGACAAAACCTCGATCGTCAAGATTCCCAATCCGAAGAACTTCGCCGAAGAATACAGCTTTCAATTCAACAGTGTCTACGGCCAGGACTCAACCCAGCAGCAGATCTTCGAAGCTGAAGGTATATCATCGGGCGCAATGCTGTTCGTCTTATGCTAATGCGAACAGTCTCACCCGCCATCAAACATCTGTTCCAAGGTCTCGATGTGACGATATTCGCGTATGGCTCCACAGGCACGGGCAAAACGCATACCATGCGTGGGGGGAAGTCATTAACCGATCGAGGCCTGATACCACGGCTTCTCAGCAACATATACCGAAAGAGTAAGGCTATCGAGAAGAACAACGACGGAGCTACCACTGTGGAGGTCTCCATGAGCTACTATGAAATCTATAATGACCGGGTCTTCGATCTTTTCCAGAGTCCTGAGTCACGCACGGCGACTGGCCTGCCGATTCGCGAAGCGGAAGGTGGGAAGACGGTTGTTGTTGGCCTTAGTGAAGAGCCCTGCAGCTGTCTGAAGGACTTCGAACTCCTCTACGACAAGGCAAATGCCAATCGAAGTACTGGCGCGACCAAGCTTAATGCCCACTCTTCGAGGAGCCACGCCATTCTTTGCGTCAAAGTCACCATCAAAAGCCCGACCGAAACGAGAGTGAGCACGGCGTCCTGTATCGACCTTGCAGGCTCCGAAGACAATCGCCGAACTGGTAATGGTAAGGAACGTATGGTCGAGTCCGCTTCCATCAACAAGTCGCTCTTCGTCCTGGCTCAATGCGTTGAGGCCATCTCCAAACACCACCCACGGATTCCTTTCCGCGAGTCAAAGATGACAAGAATATTGTCGCTCGGGCAGAACAACGGGATCACAATCATGATTTTGAACTTGGCCTCAACCAAGTCGTTCCATCTGGACACGCTTAGCTCCCTCAATTTCGCCAATCGCACCAAGAAGATCGAGGTTAAGGAAGTCGAGAACGAGCCTATATTCAAAGGTCCACCTGTTAAAGCCGCTGGTGTCGCCGTTGCCGGCCCCAACATCCAGCGACAGCCCCTTCGTTCGCTCACTCACGTGGTGAATGTGAATCTCAATGCACCACGCGATCCCGCCAAGGACAAGCCTCTCAAAGCCTTCTCCGTGTACTCGGACCGCTCTAAAGCCAACAACGCACGCCATTCCAGCGGTACTGGTCACAAAACCTCACCATTGAAACGCACGGCGGATACCTCTATGCTTTGTACACGGCCCGCGAAGAGCAGCCGCCCCAACCCTGGCACGACACATATGCGCCCCCGTAATCCTACGAACCCGTCCGGCCCATCCGTTACAGAAGCCTCTATTGAATCCATTGTCGAACGAAAAGTCTCCGAGATGCTCGCCAACCGCGCTCTGGGAACCAATGCTGCACCGCAGCAGACTATTTCTGCCGAGGTACAGAAGCGTCTGGACGAGATTGAGAAGCGGCTCGAAGGACAGGAGGGCGAGCGAGCCGAGGGCCTTAGTTACCTCTTCATGGCTAAACAGCACCAGGCCAGGGGCGAGGATGTGAGCGCACTAAGAATGTATAACTTGGCCAAGCCTTATTTCGAGGGCAATGAGAAGCTGGACCGCAAGATTGAGCGTCTGAAAGAGAAGATTGAGGCGAAGCGGGATCTCGAGCAGGAGCAGCCGACCAACAGAGGCAGGGACGTGGATGCAGACGAAAGCTACGTCGATGAGAACGGCAGCAACGATGCTTATGCATCTGATGCCTCGGACGCCTCTGGCCCCCGAGCGAGGCCGAGGGGACGTAAACATGCCCCTCCCGCGCGCCGCCCGCCTCGACAGCACACCTCGTCCCCCGACCCTCTAGCGTCCGATGCACCCCCAATCACAGCGCATGCCGCGCGTAGCGATGTTGTACTCACGCCTCGTACGAAGCATATCCTCTCCATCATCAACAGCCGCGACGTCGCACAGATCAAAAAGCTGCACGGGGTCGGGCCGCGGAAGGCCGAGGGCATCGTCGACTACCTGGCCGAGCTGGACGAGGAGATTAAGGACGGCGGCGGGTGGTACGAGGTGCGCGACTGGGAGTCCTTGAAGGGCCTCAGGGGCCTGGGTGCTCGGGGGCTGGGCGTCATGCGCGAGGGCGTCGCGCTGTGATGTGCTGGCTGGATGACGGCTGCGAGCCATTGGGTGCATTGATATCGGATGGACATGGTTAGCATTGAGCGGCATTGCATAGCACGGCGTTCGTCGTGCCTGGACTGGGCTGGAGAACTTGAAGCTGGAACCAGGCCATGCTGGGGCTGTAAATGTAGTGTATGATTACGAGGGCATGGCACCTGAATGAACATACCATTTCTATCTTCTAATGCCTTCGCTGCGATACTGTTGTCGTCGAAATTTGCCTTCAAGTATGTTGATGCAAAGCGAACGTGACAAGCTACCGTCAGCGTATCCGCCGAATGGAGAGGGTATCTCAACTCAAACCAAGTCCACGCGCAATATCGCCAACGCTGAAAGCAACGGTTCGAGCATCTACCCCAGCGTCGCAGTCCTATTTTCGTTCTGTGATCCAAGAAGTCCCTCTCTTTACTCCTCGGTCCCGCTATCTATCATCGTCCTCTGATTCGGTTCCCACCCCTAGAGTAATGCCCTGGACTTCGCTCTCCTCCAGCACCACGATGCCGTACGGATCACGGTCCCGTTCGGAGACAACCACCTCTACGCTCTCGTCCTCAAGGATCTCTTCGATCCCGTCCTCCCAACTGCCCCCTTCTTTCTTCCACTGTTTTCTTGTCTGCTCCCATTCGCCGTTCAGATGCTGCTCTAGCCGGTCCCGGAACACTCCCCACAGGTAGCCCCTCTCGCTATTGCTGTGGAATAGACTGACGACGCATCCGCCTCTCTCCGTGACCGCCAGCGCCTCGTGATGTGACATCTCTCCAGTGAAGATCAGATCTGGCGGTGAGGAGGCACGTGAGATGACCGAGGCGCCGCTACCGGGGCAGATGCCGACCGTGCGCACGAGGATGTCTTCGACCAGCGACGACTGAGGGATTGCGACAGGGAAGCCCTTGGGAAGACCAATGGCGTGGGCTATGCGCGTGATGAGTATCGTAAGGGGTTGCGGCGTGTCGAAGGTGAGAATGCGTCCAGACCCAGTATTCTCTGACGTGTAGGTGTCGCTATCAGTCAGGGCATTAGCGGCACTTAGGGCGGCTGAGGGAGACGGTGTGATAACGCTGCGCTTGTGCGACAGAACATTGCTATGGAAAGCAGCGGTTGGCCGTGGATATGTCGGCTTACTGTAGGCGCGGTGTGGGTTAGTAGGGCGTTTGGTCTTCGGTTTAGGCGTTGAAGGGTCTGCGGGCTGGTCGTTGCTAGCGTTGGATGCATTGACGGGTGGTGAAGACTCTGAGGCTGAGGTTGAGCGATCAGTAATAGAAGAGGGCGAGCTACCCGCGGTGTAGTTCTCTGCAGTACGTGGGTCGATCTTGCCAGTTACAACGTCGCAGAGCCAGTCTCCCATGCCACCAGGAACGATATCCACTGCCGTGTGTGGAGAGTAGACAGAGATGCCGTGGGCGGCAAGACGGAGGAGCGTGTGTTGTTGGGTATCGCCAAGGGTTATAGACTTGAGACCACGGAATATTATGGGATGGTAGGCAACCACGACTGAGTGCTTGTTTTGTATTGCTTCTTCTGCTACAGCCTTGGTAAGGTCGATGGTGAGTAGGACGGAGTTGCGATTTCGACGTTCGCGAAGGAATGGGGCTTCAAGGAGCAGCCCCGTATTGTCAAAGGATTTGTCTGCTAGGCACTCCGGATAGAGTGTCCGCATTGACGAGACTACGGCTTTTGTGAACGGCGAGGCCATGGTGTGCAGGCTGGATCTGCCGAAAACGCGTGTACAGGAGGGTGCTGTCGTCAATACGCGACGCAACATGAAGGCACTGGACGAGGTTCGCCAGCTTCGGGCTGAGCTTATAAGCGCGTAGGCGTATGCTACGACCATCCACAAAACGCGGCTTGATGCGCGTGAAGCTGTTTAGAATCTGTAGCCCAACGACCAATGACGTAGCTCGAGATTTCTCGAGATCGTCTCCATTTCCGCAGAGCCGCTGCGATTTCTAAACATTTTACTGCACTTCGCCAACAACCGTGAACGGGACCTAGCTCTACTGTGAAGTCAGTACCTCGCTCTTCATGCCCTTCCGGATACCGTGCCAGCTTGCGCGCCTTGCCAGACCTACAATTTTCCGCGCCTCAGTCCCCGCGGCGTCAAGATTTACAGCTCGGTCAACGACTGCGGTTCGCCGACCACTCTCCCACACTGCGCGCCTAAAGTCAAGCCCCATGGCTGCCGAAACAGACACACAAGCTGCTGCCACTGCAGTGGATTCAGGCGTCACACCTGACTCTCTGACGGAAGCACTCAAGTCCAAGATGAATATTCAGCACATTTCGATTGAGGACATGTCCGGCGGATGTGGCCAGGCATTCAATGCTATCATTGTTTCACCAGACTTCGAGAAGAAGAGCTTGCTTCAGAGACATCGTATGGTCAACGCCGCATTGAAGGCCGAGATTGCGGCCATACACGCTTGGACGCCGAAATGCCTTACACCGGAGCAGTGGGAGAAGGAGCAATCAAGGTGAATGTCGGCTGGAGGATGTTGTTGCGAGCCATTGCTCGGAATGCGCGCTGGACCCGACGCATGGACTGCCAACTTGCATTAAGCACGCGAGCAGTGCAGACTCAAAGCCGAGCAGAGACACGGTAAGCTGGGGGCACAGTACGATTCCGTCCAGCGATTTCGCGTCGGCCCCGGGCTGATGAAGCCGCGAAGCGTTCCGGTTGCGGACTTTGAACTAGGTCCAAGAGGCTGCGATGATACCAAGTACTGTTAGTTACATTCCGTACAAGAGCTACCCGCGATAACATTGTCCGATTTTCTTTTTATCGTTGGTCCAATGAAAGAATAGCATATAAATGCATCTCGCGAGATTGACCGGGAGGTGCGCCCCGAGATACGACTACCTGACTTTCCGAGCGGAACGCCAGGGGTGCACTCGCACGCAAACAAGATGCCCCGGAATGCGCCGCTGGTTGACAGCACTGCAGAGTGGGCCCCCGAGGAATGCAGCTGTTCCCCGTATGCTGGGTCAGGGATCCCGCTGTCATGAAGCCGCGGGTTTGACGTTCGTTCAGTAGGACAGACAGGTCTAGGAGACGCCAGTCAGGGTCTGCTTGCGCCGTGCTCGGCCTTCTCCCGCATGGCAAGGAAGACTCCACGCAACAGCACAACAGAGGTAGAGAAAGTTTCACGAGGTGGCCGCTAGTTTCGAGGCCTCAATGGATCCGGGATTAGAGGCGTCCAGACCGCAGACAGAAAGAGAGCTGGGGGCGCATGTCATGGCAGCTGTGGCTTGACGCTGTCGCCCAAAAGGTGCACCGAAAGGGAAACCTTTGCCCCGTTCCAGCAGCCACCAGAGCTCAGTTAGGCCTGCCCTGTGGCCCCAAACAGATCTGAGGTGACCCCTGCAAACTACTTTTCTCGGGTCCTGCATCGTACAGTACGTCGCCGAAATCGCGCAAGATCTGTGCTATCCGAGCTACGGAGGGGTGCTCAGGGGTTTTCAGCGATTTGGACCACCGACAAACGGGTAATAGCAGTCCAGAGGCGATCGTTGCTCAACCAATCTCGACTCAGCTTGCCACAATCCCTGGGTGAAAAGAAGAGGAGATGCTGGTGTTGCACATCTGTACTGTTCAGGGCAAGGTCTAGCAGCAGATCCGCTGGAGACAATCCGCCAAAAGGCCGCCGCCTACATCATCTCCACCACCAGAGGTGGATTGGCTGGGAAGAGCAATGCGGCTATTCGTACGGTGCAAGGTGAACCGGAACCTCACCAACTGACCTCTGGTAAAAAGCTTGAGACTGGGGGGGCGCTCGCCGATTCGCAGGCTGACCCTGGTAGCCCACACGCCCGCTTAGGCTTGAGTGTGCCAAAGCCTGTTCGCCCACGCTGCTTGTCACCTCCAATTATTCGTGGTGACCAGGCCAGCATTGGCATTGGCATTGGCACTGGTGTTGGTGCTGGTGCTGGCACTGGTACTGGCCATTTTGATACCGGTCCTAAGAGTCGCTCTTTCATTTCCTCATCCCCTCTAAGCTTCCTCACCGTCCCTCGTGCTTCAAACGCTTCACACGACGCCCAAGCCCAGGCGCAGTACTCTTTTTATCACTGTCCCGATCGCCATCGCCCACTGCGCCTTTGTATCTCAGTCGCTACGCCTGCCGGTTTTGCGCGCTTGCACCATCGGCACGTCACTCACCTCCACAGCTCAGCCTCCAAGTCCCATCACTCGTCCAGGGTCGCTACCGACCTTGACAATCGCGCATCGCATCGTAAGCTTCGACATATACACTACTTCTTATTTTTTGCAACCCGCCACTTCCGGTCGCAATCCCAGGCTCATTCCTTGTCAAAGCTCAACCCCGAATTCCGCATACGTTCAACCGCTCGATTGGCTTAGCCGAAACCATGCCCTCTTGAATCGGCTACCTGCCTGACCACCACCCCGCCTTAGTCGCACGACGCCGCTTCGGCAGCCAGCATTCGGACATTCCAGGTCTCAGAAACACTATTGCGTCAATCTATACCTATACCTACGCGAACTACAAGCAGCCATCACTAAGCAGCTATCGCCATGGACTCGGGTTCGGTGAGCGGCGCTTCTGCCGCTAATAACTCGAGCGATTTTGTTCGCAAGCTCTACAAGTAAGTCTGGCTCTAAGTGCCCTTCTCCAAGCCCACGCTGATTGCGATCTAGAATGCTTGAAGACCCTTCTTACTCCTCCGTGGTACGATGGGGAGACGAGGGCGATAGCTTTGTCGTCCTGGAAAACGAAAAATTCACCAAATCTATCCTACCCAAACACTTCAAGCACTCCAACTTCGCATCTTTCGTCCGACAGCTAAACAAGTATGACTTTCACAAAGTTCGACAGAACAACGAGGAGGGCGGCACATCGCAATATGGCCCCAACGCGTGGGAGTTCAAGCATCCAGAATTCAAGGCCAACAACAAAGATAGCCTGGACAACATCCGGAGAAAGGCCCCTGCCCCGAGGAAATCAACCAACCTCAATGAAGAACAGATACCCATCCAGCAGATCGACCTGATGAACCAGCAGATTGCGGCGCAGGCTCAACAGATTGAGTCGCTCGCTCACAGCAACCAGCAGCTGCAGGTGAATAACCAGATGTTCATCCAAGAGCTTCTCCGATTGCAGAAGACTGTCGTGAACCATGACCGTGTGATGCAAGACGTCATGACCTTCCTCCACTCCGTCGATAAACAGCGTCGGGACAGTAAATCGCTCTTCGCTCCAGCGGTTTCTGATGGACAACCAACAAACCTGACCCCTACCAGCCAGAATCTCCCCGTCGCCGAAGATGAGCCAGCCAGCCCTCTTCAGCATGCCTCAAAATTACTCAGTGATCTCAACAACGAGGTCCCTTTCAATGTTTCTGGACTCGAGCAGCTGAACACTGCTGTGGCTCCCGCCCCAGTTCCTGCACCCGGCAACCAGTATAGGCAAGGACCTAATTCTGCGACTTCTAGCGGTAGCATGGGTTATTCCAAGATGAACTCGGCCGAGCTGGAGCAGATGGTTTATCCGATGGGTGCTAACAACGGTATTGATCCCATGTACGGCGATCACGTCAACAACATTCCCTACTCCCTGCCCAACAAAGAGCACAGCAGCGCGGACCCACGCCAGCATTTCGCCGATAGTAGGAAGAAAAGCAACTACACAGATCCGGGCTGGATTCGTCAGCCTCGTGTTTTACTTGTTGAGGACGACCCGACCTGTCGGCAAATTGGAGGCAAATTTCTCTACTCCTTTGCCGCACAAGTGGACACTGCACTTGACGGCCTGGAAGCTGTCAGTAAGATGCAGGAGGGCATGAAATACGACATGATTCTGATGGATATCATCATGCCAAATCTGGATGGTGTATCCGCTTGCCATATCATTCGGCAATTCGACAGAACGCCGATAATTGCTATGACGTCGAACATTCGATCCGACGACATCCAGATGTATTTCCAACACGGCATGGACGATGTATTGCCGAAGCCGTTTACGCGGAAATCCCTCCTCGAGATGCTCGAGAAGCATCTCATGCATCTCAAGAAGCTGCCAGACGGTATGGCACCTCCTCCGAGCGCAGGTGTGATGCCATCAGGGGCTCAGTCATCTGCGACTCAATCGGTCCGCGACGACGCTTCCGCGGCCGCCTCTCCGGCTGGCTCATCCGTAGGAACATGGAATTCGCCAAGCCAATACTCGGGCGTTTCGCCTGTAAACCCTCAGATGGGAAATGCATACATGCCACAACAGCAGTATTTGGACGCAAATGCTGCGGCTTATGCTCAGAACGGACCGCAAACGCCAGTCGGCATGAGGGCAATGGCCCAAGCGCCACAGGGAGCTCATCGACGAGGAGTGTCCGAGATGAGTGGTGGTCAGCACGACATGAGTGGCAACAAGAGACAGAGGGTCAATTGGCAGGGCCAGCCAGGCCACCAAGGCCAGCCGCAGCAGATGTCGGCCCCTATGAGACAATGATTGCACAGCGAGGAGCGAACTAGAAGGTGTTTGTTTTGCGCTGTGCCGATTTATTTCAGAAGCCGTCTGGGATTTTCGAGATGCTTTGGCAATGTTGAGGCGCGACACAAGCGACGATTCCGTGCTAAGAGCTCCTCGGCTAGGCGCCACGCCGATGTGGGCCATGTTGCCTTACGACCTTGGATATGAGCATTGAAAAAGGGCCGATCGCCCTTGGGCGAACGGGCATGTACAGTTTTTCTTTTCCACAAGATTTTACGACAATGCGAGAAGCAAGGGCCTGGGAAGCAGCGCCGGATGACAGCACCCCGACGAAAGGAGTGCTGATGAGACAGATACAGCGAAAAGTACCTGGTTACGACAAGGAATGCGGACGATCAGCGTCGCCCAACAAAGGTGACTTGACTGTGTGACGACTTTTGCCGGGCTTTGCTGGCGCAATATCAAAGTCACGATTTTGTGTGGATTACCTTTTTTATCTATCTTAGCCTTGAGATATTAAGAAAGCACCCACCGACCAGCTGGCTGCAAGTGGCTCTCACGGGATTCTATAATGAACGAAAGTACTTTTTATCATCGTCGTCAGTCAATCAGTCAATTCGTCGATCCGTCAATTATGGCAGCCAAAGTCGTCCTGTCTGGCTCTATCCTTGTCGTGGCGTACCTCTCCCCCTCGCTATAATCCGAAAACTTGAAGGGTAGAACGCAGTTTTAAGTCTCACGTCGCTGATGATGGCGGCGGTGTGGCGGACGGCAACGCGATTCTAGGTGCCATGTGGTCTCTTATACGGATAATTTGGCGGCAGGGCGCATTCAATTGTGACTTTCACATTTGGGGGGGTCCAGCGAGAGACGGGATAATGGGGTTTAAGAAGGGCTCGGGAATGGGGGCCACTGGGAGAGTTCCTGTAGGGTTTGGCCGTTCCGCGCTGCTGGAAGGTGATATCACACGGGTTTGTCCAGGGGGTTTGTAGCATGATTGCGAGGAAGAGTAGGTTTGCGATCGTGGGTGCCGCGCGATTTCCTGCGGTCAGACTAGACGATGAATCATTAGCTAATGCATGCTGCCCGAGGTTGACTTGTGCACATTCTTCGATCCTCCGGGGTTGTGATGACGAACAGGGGTATAGTTCGGAATATGACTGAGGATGGTAAATTGCATTAGGTCTTTTCTTCATTGACACGCCCTGACCTACAGTCGAAGTTGCACTGCCGACAATCTGGTCTGATACTATGTATGGATGTTGACTTCTATGGCAGAGGTGATTTCAGCATCTCGCTCATTCTATCATCGCTTTTTGGGTAACAACAGAAAGTCTCATCCCGCCGCCATCAACAGAGCATAGGAGGCTGCGTGTGTTGCACGTCTTGACGCGCAGTGTCTGTCAGACACTTTCAATGCATACATCTCGCTCGAGGAGCCGACCTAGGCAAGGAACTTCTCGACCGAGGAGACGGTGATACCAGTGTTGTCGGGCTCAATCGCAACCTTGGTGACCTTGCCATCCTCAACGAGGATCGCAGAGCGCTTGGCACGATGGTTACCGAGGAGAGGGCTGGCATCGAACTGGATGTCAAGGGCTTTGGTGAAGGAGCCGTCGGCATCACCAAGGAAGGAAGCAATTGGCTCGCCAGACTTCTGAGTCAGCTTCACATTGAGGTCGTTCTCGAAGGTTTTGGCCCAGGCGTTCATGCTGCGAGGTAGGTGATGTTAGCCACGTCCATGTGGTATTCTGCTGGGTGTGGTTCTTACACGAAAGCATCGTTGACAGAAACGATGTAGACGCGACCGCTGTACTCCTTGAGCTTCTCGGGTTGACCAAGGTAGCCAGGAATATGGGTCTCTGAGCAGCCGGGAGAGTAGGCGGCGGGGACACCAATGATGAGTGACTTGCCAGACTTGGTAGCGTCGGCAATGTTGACCTTGTCACCAGGGTTCGCGCGGAAGAGCTCGATGCTCGGGATGGAGTCGCCGACCTTGACCTACGGAGCACAGTGTCAGAGTGTGAGGCCCTGGCTGCAGGCGAATACGCAGGAACTTACCATGTTGGCGGGAGTAGAATGGAAGTATTTGGATCGAGAAGGCAATTGACGGAGCTGGGTGCGGGAGGATTGAACAAGGGAGGCAGCTGTTCGTGATGAGAGAGATGTGAACATGGCGAAAGGCAAAAACCGCAGACTGCTGCGGCGTGTCTTTTATGCGCACTCTGTTCCTTCACTTTGAGATGATTTGGAATCTTGCGCCTTCCACGCGCTCGCGCCTTCACTTTTTGGCGGGGTGTTTGCTAACAGCTCAGCACTAGTACACCACCCCTCTGACGTCACCCGTGGGTTGCCGGTATCGGTCAAGTCGATGTCGCTATTCAAGGCGAATATCACGGGAAGTTTATCAAATCCCAAGAAGGCACACACGCGTCGGATCGACGTTTCTTGAGGGAGAAGAGCCAGTTTATGTAGGCAGGTCCTGGTCTCCTGTTGTGCAACAGCTCCGAAGGGAGCTTGGACCACCTCGTACCTTCGCTTAGAAGTTTCGGATCCCCTGGCAACCCAATCCCAACTGGGCACACAATGCTTTCCTCGCTTTGCGTTCAACCGGTTTCTCGCAACCATCGACAGGTGGATTGAAACATTGACATTGCGGCAGCAGGCCGATGCCATTGATTGCAAGACCTCAGGGTGCCAATGCCAGGCTGGGGTCAGCCATATCTACTGTGGGTCACCGGAAACTTCTCGCAGGTCACGGTGAGTCTGCAAACCTGTCCCCGAGAGACTTGCTTGAAGATGATGAATCTCGACGAGTAAAGTGAGCAGTCACTGCTGTTTTTATTGCAGGATACATGCTGCCTGCAGAGCTGCCAGATCTAGTAAGCCAGACAACTAAAGCAATGATACTGACAGACCCCTCTTTCGCCCATGCATGCATACCGCAAGCCGCAGCTGCACCCATGGAAGCGATGCGAAGCGGCACTCCGGGGCAAGCCACCTTGAGACACCGTCTGTGACCCGCCTACCAACATTAAATCTGGCCAGCAATTGACGAGCAACATGCCATCTCGGAAACCCCAGCCAAATCGTAAGCATGGGTGCAATACATGCAAAAAACGAAAAGGTACGCTGTGATCTCGGTCGACCAGTGTGTTATAATTGCACTCGGCCAGGGCGAGAATGTGTTTACCACCAGGGTTGATATCACAGAACATTGCGACAGACCATCACCTGTCGTCCGTGCTTAATTTGCAGCTGATGCATCACTACACATCATCTACCTGCTTCCACGTGTCGGACAATCCTCTCCACCTCACCACCTGGCAGCACAGCGTTCCGCGAATCGCCTTTCAATATCCTTTCGTCCTCCATGGCCTTCTGGCCGTCTTTCCCCTCCACCTCCAACACTTGTCAGCGCCCTTCCGACACAGCGAGCATTCATATGTTGCACACTAATTCTGCAGAAGCTGATAATTCTATCAGAAGCATTGAAGACGGACCAGCCGCAACAACGTAGAGTCAGTCCCCGCCCCTTTTCCTCGACATCACCACCGACGACTGGGCACCGCCGCCTTCTTCCTCGTTCCCACCTCCTCCCACTTCACGCCCGACGCCACAACCGCCGAGCCCACGCCCCCGAAGCCCACTCGCACCCACCACTCGCGGCCCACGCACTCCTGCACCAGCTCGCCCTTCGCGAAACTCTGAAATCGCATCGCGAAGATGCACATGCCGACGCCGCCGCCGCCACGAGCAGCGGTGCCCACCGGCTTGTTGCACAGCGAGCCGCGCGCCGTGTACGACTGGATGCCCACGTCGTAGGGCTTGAAGACGATCTTCTTCTTGTCGTTGTTGCTGTTGCCGTTGCCGTTGCGGCGGAAGATGTTGCGGACGAGCGAGAGAGGAGGCTGCATTGTTGCTGATGCTGCTGGAGGAAAGGGGGTCTTGTTTGTGGTTCTTTTTCTCCGGTGAAGGGTTAGCATAGTGACTGCTGGTGTTAAAGTGACAAGGAGTACTCACTTGTGCGAGGAGTGAAAGGTTTTGTCTTTGTCGTCAGAGCTGTACAAGTCTGCGCTGTTCCTATGGCAGTAGTACTCGATGGTTTGAGAAGATGAAGAACGTCAAGACAGAAGATGTCAAGGATGAGACGCGCAGCGAGGAAAATAGGCATCAATTGAATTGTCCATTCACTACGTGTGAATGAATGTCTGAATAAGAGCAGTCACTACCGCCCCAGCCACCGGCACTCTGGGAGTGCTATGAAGGGCGAGGCAGGCGATTATCGAAATCGTCTTCGAATCGACCGGTGCCATCCGGATAGCGACCTGTCCAAAAGTTTTGGGACAACATACGCTTGCTATCGGCCGTGATCTTCTCCTCTTTGGTCATATGAGGCTTGTCGTCCTGTTCACGCATCGCCTGTTCCTGCTTCCAGGTTAGATCGCGCTCTTGCCAGCGAGCAGAATCTTCCTCGAAGTAGCGCAGGGCGTTTTGGCCGTACTTGATCTGATACTCGTTGACTGTGGCCTGGATCATACCATTTCGCATCTTCTTGAGGGCTTTTGACTGCAGATCAAGGAGTTGCTGTTGCTCTTTGCGCACCTTCTCCTCTTGCCGAGCCTCATAGTCTTGCAGAATTTCGGCAGCTTTCTCAGGATTGGCCTTTATGCGTCCGTCCGGGTCTCGTTCCTCGCCAAAAGTGCCGTGTTTGAGGCGCTTGTAATCTCCCCCGTTGATCACAGCGCCCTTGTCTAGCGACTCCTGAATGACACGCTTGCGGTCTTTGATCGCCTGCTCACGCTCGGCTTGAGCCTCAAGATATTCTTTGCTGTGCGCAAGTGGCTTGTCCTCCTCCCCCTTAGATCTGCCGGTGACCATGTGGCGGGTATCAAGCGGTGGCCGGGTGAAGAACAAGACTCGGCCCTCGTCATCCTGAGGGAAGCGATCGCGAATATCTTTGGGAATAGTAGCATTGGCGGCATCAGAAAGTACGTAGGCCTCAGGGTGGCGTTCATGAGGAGTAGCTACAGGATACTGAGGATAGGTTGGCTGTGGTTGGGGGATTTGGGGTTGTGGGTGCTGCTGTTGGTGTTGTTGCTGCTGAGCCGCTTGCTGGGCCTGGACTTGCTGAATAGTCTGTCGGGGCGGATAGGTAACAGCTGGAGCTGCATTGGCGAAGCCAGGTGTTTGATTTGAGCCTTGATATTGCGCAGTAGGCTGTGACTGCTGGGTAGCTGCATATGGCGAGGCCTGGCGTGGAGGAGCCGGTGTGCCTTGGCTCTGATATCCTGAGCTGTGCTGCTGGTACAGGCCCGGACGAGCATACGAGTTGGCAGGAGAAGCTGACGAGTTCTGGTAAGTGGGAAGTTGCGGCGTGATGGATGGTGTCGGTCGCGTCATTTGCGGTTGCAGGTTCGGCTGATTCGGATTGACCGACGAATTCTGCTGTGGGTATTGGTTCGGTAGCATGTTGTTAGATGGCGCGCGTATGGGCGCCGGCGGCGGAGTCGGTGGCGGTGGAGGAGTGGGTTCTGGAGGTGGTGATTGCTAGTTATCGATTAGCAGATGTAAATCATCACGGCAGACAGGTTGTAGGTAGGCGCAGCCTGAAGGGTTCTGCCTGCCTGCGCTAGAGCCGCGTGTCGCAGTGGGCAACTTACGTTCTCATCTCTGGCACCCTTGTGCACACCACCAACAATGGGCGGCGCATTCTTGTTTCCCCACTGTGGTGTAGGGATCTCATCATCCTTTGCATTTTCTTTCAACAAATGCTTGATGGGGCTCGCAACCTTCTTGATCTTCCGTGGTACATCAAAGAGGTCCATCTCATAGTCCTTGTCGCGGACTTCGTCGGGTAAGCAGCTTGCCCAGGTCTTGATCTTGTTGAACTTGTGCTTCTCCTCGTTATAACGGGCTTCGCAGACGTACACCTCCATCTTAGGAGTGAGAGATCGGGGTCGGCCGCGACTATACCGGGTGAAGAACATGACGAAGCATCGATCGATGACCTCTTGGATGTGATGATCTCGATACTGACCGGTCTTCACAACTTCACTAGGATAAAAGTGCTTCTCATATTGGTGGACGGTCTGCTCAGGACGATAGTACCAGCAAGCATTGATCCACTCCTGGCCTTCGCTATCCCGCCAGGTCCGGTAGATCTGAGCGACAATGGGTTTAGTCACATCGTTCGGATTCTGGATGTGGATCCAGTCACCGATCTTCCAGGTCTCGCCTTTGTACTCGATACCATTCGGCAGAGGTACCCGGCCATCGTCAAGGAGATACTCTTCGTCAGGCTTCGCTTTCTCGACATCCGCCAACTGACGAGCTTCGTCTTGGAGGGCCTTGGCGTCTTCATAGATCTCGCTACCATCAACATTGTACGTCATGGCATTCTTGAACATGAGTTCGACGTCCTTCATGAAGTGGTCAAGCGAGTTGTACTTCTTCCGCTTGGCCTTCTTCTTGATAGTGTCCATGGCGATGGGATCCTTGATCTCTTGATAGTAGTGTGGATACTCTGCTCGGTCGGGTAGCCGCTCAAAGTGTCGGAGACGGAACATGCCTTGTTCGTCCTTGGGCTTTCTCAGGGATTTGATCACGGATTTTATTCTGGCTTCCATGGGGGTGTCCACTTTTGGAGGCCGGCCGCGGCGTTTACGATTGTCGTCCTTGTCGTCGTCATCTGGGCCCTTTCGAGCACCACTGGGACGGCCGCGTCGACGCTTTTTACGTCCGGCATCGTCAGAGTCGTCCGCATCTTCATCCTCGTCATCCTCATCGCCCTCCTCTTCGGCATCTTCCTCTTCCTCCTCGGAGACAGGATCAGGTTCGGGAGTGGCGGCAGGGATCTCGCCAAGGTCTGGAAACTTGGTATCTTCCTCTTTCACGAGACCCTGCTCGACGAGCTTTTGCAATTCGGCTTTGAAGACGGCGTCAAGTTGTAGGACATCCCGGACTGGCTGCGAGTTGGGCCGATTATAAACCTGGGCATTGTGCACGATGAGGGCAAAGTCTCGGACGAATTCGGGCACGCCGGTATATGACTTTCGTTGGATTTTGCCCTTTAGTGTACTGATGGCGCTCGGTTCTTTGATGATCTGGTAATAGTCTGGAAGGTTGCGCTTGTTGGGCACTCGCTTGAAGAGGAGAGAAGGGTAGTAGTCCCTGCGGCACGTTAACATCTGGTCTCAGGAAGCAGCGAAGTACTCACTCGCCACTTTTCTTGATCTTGAATTCAGACAAGGTCTCGGCGATAGCTTTTAGTGCCTTATATAGGTCGTTGGAAACCGGCCTGCCAGCCGAGTCTGCTTGCATGTCGTCTTCCTCTCCTTCGGCATCCGACGCTTCCTGCGCATCTTCATCTTTTCCTCCGGTCTCGACCTCTATCGAGTCAACGACACCAGAAGTGGCGGGACGATCGCCGCTCACGACGATCTCATCGTCGGCAGTCTCCCCCGTCGCAGGCTCTTCGGCGGCGGGCGCTTGGGTGGTGGGCGCATTTGCGGGACTTGTTTCTGTCGGCGCATCCGTCATGGGTTTGCCATTATCCGCCATCTTCAACTGGTTCGTGCGTCAACGATGACTTACATTGACGGGCCACTGGGAGCACTACAGCAACAGCGAAGGGGTGGAGAAGTGTCGAATCAAGGGTATGGCATCCCTCCGCAGATCGCGCTATAGGAATTGACGACAGGAAGGTGGTCGCAGAGGCGTTGCGCGCGGTTTCGGTGTACGGAATAGCAGGATAAGATATGATGTAGATTCGCGACTAGTCTAGCCCGCAGCGCATTAAGAGTGACAACGATGCAGTGAATGGTCCGTCTCCGAATGCCAGATGCACGTAAAGTGAATGGAGAACGAGGTTTGGACGCGGCGAGCCGGGCTCCACTTTTTCACGCGCGATGAGCGAGTCTTGGCATCAGCAGCCCAGATCTACCAGATCTACCAGGGCTACGAGATCCGCAACGGCTTGGTCTCATAGGACGCAGACGATCTAAATGAGCTGCTGTGAGACAGGCACAGCTAGCTGCCTCGTCCATTGTTACCGTCTCCTCCTTGTGCATCGCTCATTGCTGTAGAGCATTCTTGTTGTCCTGCTCCAATTGCTCGCTCTTCGACAAAGCAAAGCTGGACAATGGAGTTCGTGTTCAGATCTATCGATGATGGGAGGTCAACTTCGGTGGACATATAGATCGTGCGACGCTAGGTGGCAATCGTTGTTTATATTTGTCAAAGACTCCCCGAGCTACTGGGTAAGTGCTGTCAAGGAGGGTCTATACTTGACTATACCTCACCTCTCCCTCACTTCCACCACTCAACTCACCAAGCCCACGACCTGAATTTTCCCATGGCGAATGAAAAGCTTTCCGACATCGACGAGCTTCTGCACTTCACCGGACCCTTAGTCCTACCACTTCTTATAGTCCTGGTCGTCATAGCCCTAATCTTGGTGAGCTGGGGCCCCTGTCTCTTTGGTACATCAACTTCGTCGGCCAGTGGTGGTTTGGTGGTCCTTCAGGTCCACCAGCCTCAGCTCAGTATCCATTGAATACCATATGCACTGCGCAAGTCCGAACAATATTAAGACTCGGTGAACCCCTGCCCAGACACTGTCAAGGACCCTTGGACCGCTCACCGACTCGACAGGCTGACTATTACTGGTCAAGGGCACGAGTTGAAGGAAATCACTAAAAAGCTAGTGTCATCGATTTCAGTCTGAGTCGGGCACCATCTAAACAAGGCAACTATTATCTCATGTCCGGCCCTCCTGAGATTAGATGCAAACCTCTCCCTAGCCGCAACCCTGATAAGCATCAACTTGTCAGGCCGTACATACGAAGGTCCAGCAGTGTCGGCCCACTCTGATCTAGAGGCAGCAACATCTGCCCGGCTATCTCTCTCGGTGACGTCGGTCCAAGGCAAAGACGAATGAACCTATTTCCCATCAGGAGCGGCGCCTATCCCGCATATAGCCTTCCTGAGCACCGTCGCTCTAACTAATGACACTGTTCCTCAAGGCTGTGGTACGGTGGAAGCTTCCCCTGCCTAGCGTCGACACATGGCCCTGTTCCCTTCCTCGTATCTGCGAAGTCCGAGCTCTGGCGCTGTTGGCATCCCATCTCAATGTCGAAGCCACAGCGGCTCACCCTATGATCACTCCCCTGCTCACAGGCCTCACTTATCGACGACGTAGCAGCGTCATTTCTTTCGCTCTCAAGTTCCACATAACACCCACCACTTCCCACCGGCACGAACATACGGACCAACTTCTTTTTCTTTCCTTCTTCCAAGACGGCATAAAGTTCCTGCCCTTCTTCCAAAAATTTCATGTGAGAAGGCACGTCCTCAAGGCCGATGCTACGGGCGTACTCTCTGCGCTTGCGGCGCCGGATGATGAATGACACGGTCGAACTAATGATGAGGATCAGCCAAAGGGAAAAGTACAAGCCTGTCACCATAGCCCAATACAGCCACCACTTGTCACTGGGACTAAGTGCTTCTGACATCGCGTAAATGCTTTGTGTCGGAGTAGATCCGGCGTCGGAAGCGATCGTTCTGGCCGAGGCACTTTCGGATGATGAGGTTGGAAGGTAGTAGTGGGAGCTGTCGGAGGTGTAATACAACGTTCGTCTATGTGTGAAATGGTGAAACTGATAAGCATGTGAGGGGGGGTGGGGGATCGCCCTGGGAACAGCAGGCACGGGACCATCTTTTCAAACGAGCTTTCGGAGAGGCTTTCTCCATGTAGGTGCGCTGGAATGCGGTTTATCGCGGTGGCCGGCACCAATGTTGATGAGGTAGGGGCCTCTCTGTGATCCCGGCACGAGCAGGACTGGCACAAGGCGAATCCAATCTTCAAGGTCTCCTTCCCTTCATGGTCAGTGCTAGTGAGAGACCAACAGCTGCCAAGATAATTGAAAGGCTTGCAGAAATGTTAGTATACGGTAAGGTAGGTTTCTTGGGCTGACGTGGTTACCAAATGTCCAGGACAGGCCCTGATGTAGGCTCCCGCAAACACCATCGCGGATGATCACGCAATTCGACGGAACACAGACTAGACTTGCCTCACAATGACTTCACGTCTGGACTGTCTGGTGCTTGCTGCAATTCACGAATAGATATTCAACAGGCTTGCACCCTGGAAATATACGAAATACGTACTACCGAGCTTGCAATTCTATCGTCCGTGTGTATGCTTCCCAACGTCTAACCTCAACCCAACTCAGTGGTTAATAAGGTTGACTGGCGTTCTCCTCGAGCTCATAGTAGATCCCACCTAAAGGGCTTGTGTGGCCTTGGGACCTCGCTCATTAGTCTTGCTGGGCCCGGAATCCCAATCTGGCAGTGCGGTAGGTTGCCTCCCTCAATATCTCCCTCAAGCCACCCTGTAGCCTATTTAACAGACCTCAATGCTTCCCTCACCACATCTAGGCGCCGCTTCGGCGTAACTCACGACCCAAACCTGAAGTCCAACCTCTTATTGCCCTTGTCCTCAGTGGTCGCGAGATAATGCACTCTCTCCTCCCTAGTCATAGCGTTCCATTTCTCATCCCTCTTCTTGTTCTTCGTGACATAGTACGCTTTCGTGGCCACAAACGCGACGATGTTCCACGCCAAAATCCCCAGCAGCACTTTATTGCCCCTGTAGTAGTAAGGCTTGTCGTCTTGCCTGTAGATCTGGCTGCTGAAGATATTGCTAGCCTGTACAGCCATGTTGTATAGCGAACTCCCCACTGTCCGTGTCCGCACGGAGCCACTGTTGCGCGAGGTGAGTGCCACAATGATGGCGTGGGCATAAGGATACCCGATGAGCAGCGTGCTGAGCACCCACTTGACCCAATTTGCATTCGCAAAGTGCATTGGCAATGTCACCAGCGCGATCAGTAACGGCAGCCCCCAGACTTGTGCGATCAGTCCCACCACCAGGCGCTGGTTGAGCTTCTCGGACGCCCAGGTCCAGAAGAGGAGCTGCAGGATGAACAACGTGTACGCAGGGATAGTCAGAAGGTTGGTTTCGAACGTGTCGAAGCCGAGAGCTTTACAGGTGAGCGTGATGTACGCCTGAGGCGGCGTGAAGGGGATTGTCCAGCTGAGGCCTAGGATGTAAATGGGCCACATGTCGTAATCGGTCAAGGCATCCCACAAAAGGCCAAAAGACAAACCCTGCCGATTATGCATAGTTGCCTTGCCCGGATCGTCGCGCAGAATGCGTGTGACCATGATGACCTCCTCGCGCTCCGTGAACCAGCCTTCCTTTGGACGTAGCAGTCCCTTAACGCCGTGGCGGGCAGTTTGCGTCGGCGACGCAGGTAGGTACAGCCATGTGAAGATGCCAATGAGCCCGGTGAAGGAGCCTTCTATGGCAAACAAATACCGCCATCCTTGGCCTTGCAATCCGCTAGAGCCACGGAGGTGGAGGATGCCGTAGGCTAGGAAAGCTCCAACGATTTGAGTGGACTGGTAGGATGTCCAGAACCAGGAGAGTCGACGTGGCAGCTCCAGATGCTTGTAGAAGTATGACAAATACAGTATAGTGTCAGGAATACTGTGTTCTGGTTAGACTTGTATTGGAACAAGTGGAGTATCGCGTAGAGGATCCAAAACAACTAGATTTGGTTTTGTGTATCGGGGTCTGAGACATGAATTCCAGATAGCACAAAGACCTCCTCAAGTTATCTTGGTACGATGTTATGCAGAGACTTACAAGCCGCCTTCGATCAAACCAAGCAAGCTGCGGCAGATGAAGAAAGAGGTACGCCCTGAAAGGGCGGCTTGAGACGCCGCGACTATGCTCCAACATGTCATCTGAATTGGGATCCAGATATCCGGACCGAGCTTCTTGCTGACGAGCTGTGACGGAAGCTCAGCAAAGAGAAAGGAGCAATAGAATATTGTCATGCCGTTGTTATAATCGTTTGTTGTGAGACCAAGGTCGACTACTGTTGTCAGTGAAGCCCGCCGGGGAACCACTGAAGCACTCACTCAGCATATTGTCCGAGAGAGCCTGCGTGATGTTGCCGCGATCAAGCTGGAGGGCAAAAAACATGATACAAGCTGGCAATGCGATACGCCAGTCGAGCTGCAGGATATCAGTGTCGGTCCGGACCTCGAGCTGTGGAGAAATATACCCGGCGGACCAGTTTCTTCTCTTCTTCCGGCGACCATGAAGCATTCGGATCGAATCGATGGGCGCCTTCAAAGCCTTCAATGGGCTTGTACAGCTCGATAGCTTCCGGCGCAACATAGACATTGTCGACGTTCTTCACCAGATCCTCAGTAGAAGACGACTCTGAACGTGACTCGTAGCCTGCATCAACGGAGACGTAAGAAACGTCCTTTCCTCCAAGCTGCCACCATTTCTGTGACACCACTTCTCTCCTGCTCTCGACCTTAGGGTCAGCATTGATTGGAATGGCTTCTATCCCCATCGCCAAAGGGGCTATCTACCAGAAGTAGTCTGGAGCTGTGCAGGACAGCTTTGAGAATGAGAAGCAGGAACATCTTATATGTTGTAAGACGCATGCTCTGAGTCGGTCTACCGACGCCTCACTATGATGAGATTTCTGGTCTCGTTCCGGCTCGAGCCCTGCTGGTTTGGAGAACATGCAGCCGAGTCTCTAGAGTCCTTATCGCGGACCAACCATTTCGCCCAATTCCATTCCAGTCGGGAAGCTATGCTGGTCTTGTTTCGATAGCATGCTCGTTCAACCCACATGGAACTCAAACTTGGAAGCGAAAGCTCGCGGTCGAGGCGATTGCGTGACTGACGGGCTTTCGCCATCCTCGTAGCTTTCGCAGGCAAGCAGCACAGTGGGAGACGGAGCAGGCCAATGCTGTGATCACCTCATGGCTGAACGTGGGCCGAATGAACAAGGGGCACCGTTGCATCGACGTAGGGGTGAATGGCACCTTCGGTGAGCTCGGTCTAGCCGTTCGTGGCTGCTTGAATGGCTCAAGACTTGTGCAAAGCATCCGCTATGCAAGCTTGGTCGTCCCTTGTAGAGCTTGATTACGGTGTGCACGCTAACCATTAATAGTACTGGTAACGTTTAGATCATTGCCAGGAATAATTGCGTGCTCTCGGGTTGCTGGTCTTCTTGCTTACCGAGCTGGCCGGGCGCACCGCCGTACGGTCTCCACGATAATATGTTAGTATTGATAGAAGACTTCAAAGAGATGGTTCTGAGGAGGGCACCATGACTGAAACAGAAACCATGACGCAGCTCAACCGCCGCGTGAATTCTGGGTTAACCCGAGATGAGCGCCACTGTCAACCGTGCAGATTCGATTCATCGAGACTCCAAGCTAAAGACGAATGCGGGCCTCCAGAAGTACACGATTAGTCTGACTCGTTGGGGCTCATCCTCCAGATACCTTATCATCGAATCGAGAATTACGACTTTTGGCAAACAAGCACGCAATCCAGGCATAGAAATTGGCGAGGATAGTCAGTGCACGGGAGCATGACCTCACCATCTTTCGCAAGCTACCATAGAAATTAGATTGGCTGTAAAGATCCCTCTTACCAAGGTCGATAAGCCTGCCAAAACGCTTGAAGGCAAAAAGGATGCCTTAATAGCACGAGTAGGGCAACCTGTGAATTGGGAAGACTCTCACCATCGAGTATCAGGCTGCGCTATGCTGAGCTTGACGCTACAAGGCTGGCCTATCAAACTCTATCGCAGCCAAGAATTTCACTGCCTGTTCATGGTATCACGAACAATGAACGCGACAAACTATCGGCGGAAATAATTTGTGCCTTTCTTCAAGAAGGCTCTCGACGAGTATGTACGAGTACAAGCACTTCGTTTCTTCAGTGGTGGACATGAGTTAGTATTCAATCAAGGTAGTATACTGTATACTGATCGATCTACCCACGCCATTTGTTTACGAACCCACCCCAATCAGCTACCACTCCATCACACTCAGGCCGCACACACGACCAACAATTTTAATGTCGACCTCTTCGGAAATGGCGTCTATCATGTCCAGAGAAGCCAAAGCCAAAGAAGTCACGTCAGGCATTACATATCTCGTCATCGGACTTTCAATTTTCGTGGCAGGAGGGGCGCTGTATCTTCTACGTGCTCGTTCCAAGGAGAAGGCGGTACAGAAATCTCATAGACAGGATGCTTTGGCACGTTTGACCGGTCGCGTGTAAGCTGAAGTCTGGTGTCAACGCCGGCACGAAACAGGTTAATTCTGATCTTACTCATCATCTCTGGTATTACTAGCAGGCTCAAAACGACCATTAGATAGTGAGTCGACTAGGGGCTCGAGGAAAGTGACGTGCAGGCTTGTTGAACCCATAGGAGACCAGACCTAAGTGCTCTGCACAGAGCAAGGGGAGCCTACGTGGCAATTTGTCGGACCCCAGTGGCGCAGACCACTACTTCAAATGAGCGGCTAGAAGAGTGGTCTCATCCTGCAGTATCCGGTGGCTTTCCTGCAGGATACAAGACGGGCAACATCCTTCTGCTAACTCTCATCAAGCAAAATCTAAGATCCGTCTGCCGCCTCTTTGATTTTCCTATACGCTTCCTGCACCTCCTTCCTTCCCTTCATCCCTTCCAACCACTTCTTCACTCGCGGGTACTCTTCCAAACTCAAGCCAGCAAACTCGTGTTGTCGCAGCCACGGCTCAAAATGCCAGTCCACGGCACATACACCGCCCTTTAGTATGCTCTCCCCACCACTCTTGTCCAATTGGCCCTCCAGCACCGTGTAGCATCGCGATGTCTGTGCCTCGTACCGATGCAACGCATCCTCATTAGCCTGCGCGTTGTAGTGTCTGTACCTGTGAACAGTCAGTAAAGGTGCATCGGTATGAAAAGGTTGCAAACCAGTTTGTCTGGCCTGTCATTGGGCCCAGCGTGGTCAGGAGAAAGTACTCCCACTTCTCGAAGTCCACGACGTCCTGCTCGCTGGGGCCTCTCGGTCCAAATCTGCCAGCCTTGTCGTAGGTGCGTCGCAGGTAGTTGATGATTGCCCCGCTCTCCCAGGAGACTACACCGGTGTTGGGATCTTCCAGCGCTGGAACGCGGCCGTTCTCATTGATCTTGAGAAATGTGCTGCCTTTGACACCATGAGCGGCATCGTCGCTGAAGTCCCACATCTTTATTGTGTAGGGGAGCTGAAGACTTTCGAGCGCGATTCCGATCTTGAATGGATTTGGCCCTGTAGCGTGGGCGTGGAGCGTGAGGGTTTTAGTCTCATTTGTGGACGACATGTTTGCTTGTATTACAAATGTGAAGACACGCAATCGGCAGTCTCAATATATAGGCAGCGTGGCATGGTACGACACGAGACTGATGGAGTTCTATCAACATTACACCTATATACACTAGCCGTGGAACGTCATGTCGACGTCAAATCGTTGACGCCAAGACCATCGTATCTCGTGTCCCCGAGGAGGCAGTAAAAGGCTTGGCGTAGGATCAGGCATACAAACGACCGCCGTGTTCAGACATTTGCGCTTGCTGCGCAGTCAACAGAAGCCTTGTACATGATTATGAGTTAGTTTTGAAGCTATGAGTCTTCAATAAGCATGCGGAAGCAGTTAGTAGAGGCTCCTATGTACCCCTTCGGCACCCGCGCCAGGCTTTCCATGCATAGTCCTCGATCTCAACAAGACAGGGAGGTATAATCTACTCGTAATTCCCATTCTGCCCTTTGTTGCATTGCTAGTGACTACTGTCACGCATTGTTTTCTTGCTGCGTTACAAACACCAACGTAATGCCTTGCTTGTCAAAGAGGGCAACAACGGTCTTAAGGCAAGAGCACCAGACCTATAATATCCTGCCCAAGCCACTTGCCTCTACAGCCTGTTCATACCCCTCAAAGCCTTCTGTATATACATATCACTCTTCCAAAAGGCCACCACCTGCCTCGTCAGGAGTGACTGTGCCTGCTTTGCCTCAAGGGTTCATTCACCGTTGCTGGGCAGAGGCAAGGCGGTGTGCCTACACATTTCACCTTCTTTATTTTGCCAGGCAGGCTATAGACGGTGACACCAAAGGCTTCACCAATCATTTCCGGTGACGCCAGCCATACTGTATTAAAAAGGTCCTTCCTTCTGAGCAACTTGACCTTCTATTCTGCATCTTACATCCACACTCCACAGCACTCCTCAAGATTCCTACAACGATACTTGCCTCACCACATTTGTCTCTACATACCTCGACGAGACTCTATCTCCATTTCAAAGCACCTCTCCACGCTATCATGGACCAACAAACTAGTGGTCGTAAGAATGGCAAGAACGCCAAGCCTGTCCACTGGACGGCCGCTGGTGTTCTCGCTGTTCTCACCTTCATCGACAACAATAAGGGCGAGAATTCACCATTTCTCGGAAAGCAGCAAGACGTGCTGCAGCGAATCCGAGACAGCCTATCCAATGCCTTCACCAATGACGATTTCGGACGCCTGAGGAAAGAGTCCGTGCGTGACAAGATCACGCATATCTGGAAGAGTTGCAAGAAAAACGAATACGATGGGATCAAGAACTTGTGGACTTACGGGACCACTGCTCTTGATGCCATCAAATTCAATGCCGAGTACTCTGACGTTAACTTCGTTGTCGGTGGTGACTCTTCCGACATGCCCAATATCGACAATGCCAAGAAGTCGACCTCCCCTGATGGTGTCAAGCGCAAGCGCAGCCATGAGGACAATGATAGAGCGCAGCAGCGAGCCCCGAAGAAGCAGCGGATCACCCGCAGAGACTCTGGTCTAGCGATGGACAACAACACCAAGTCCAGCCGCAGCACCACCGCGCGTCCATCCAGTGCCACCATCGATGTTGACGAGGAGATTGCAGCCGATCTTTTGCGCGAGCGTGACGAGAACGGCAACGAGATTGTCCCTGATAGTGAGGACGACTCGCAGAGCAATGATGCCCAGCAGAGTGACGATGACGACTTTGAAGACTCACCTCTTCACATGTTCCCTGTTCGACCCAAACCAGTCACCACTGTCTGCACGCAAGAGGAGCTGAAGATGCGCAGCTCAGAAATGGTGGAGATGATCGACAAGGCTGTCGACGTGTACATGGCTTCTCTCGGCTTTCCACGGTCGCAGCCGATCTGTCTTGACCTTGAGGCCACGTTCCCACCAGATATGCAGCCACTATTTGCACGCATGGTCGGTACCACCGGTGCAGCTGTGAAGGATTGGGTGCTGACCAAAGGCGCCCTGGAGAAGCTCATGTCCAGCGACAATTACGATAGGATCGACCTCAAGATCTTCCTACGTGGTCTCATCGGCGCCGCCCTCCAAGTGTGGTGCTTCGAGCCGTTCCGTGGCTCACGATACTGGGACGACGGCATTGCTATCAGCCAAATGGCTCGAGATATCCTCCGCGCTAGCACGGACCCAAGGGACTTCGAGACCTACCGGCAGAAGGTCAACGGGAAGTTCATCATGTCTGTCTTCCTGCCCGAGACCGGGGGCATCGCTCAGAAACAAGCCAAGCGTTTCGATCAAATGCTTGCTTTCGTCCTTCCCACCCGCAAGCCCGCTGTTGCCAATTACGAGGACCACATCTTCGGTTCGGAAGCCTCCAAGAGATCCCAAGGCCCAGAGGTCTTGATCCAGGGCCAGCTCAGTCAAGAGGTGCCAACTAACCGTTTCGAAAACACCAACTCCACTCAAGTCGACGAGTCGCGACAGCCCATCCTCAGTACTGAGGCTCAAGAAGAGTGGGTTGAAGCCCTAGCCGAGATCTTCCAGAAGGGTCTCGTGATGCGTGCCCTGATGGACATGCCGTACGACAGCAAGAATCTCTCCGAGAAGAAATACACCTTCTCATTCCCTGTCTACCACCAGGCTGTCGATGCGCAAGACATGTGGGGACGTGTCATCGTCGGCTTCTTTCCCACCATTGAGTCAACCGAAATGCACAAGACCTTCAATGAAGGTGGCTATAGCATCGAGGAAGGCGAGACGGTGGAGCTGGTGAAGGGGATGGCCCGAACCGCGAACATCGGTGTTTCCAGTGCTCCCAAGAGCACTGACCTAGGGAAACGCACGGTCGCGTCTTGCTGAAACCGCCAGCGAGCGGCGACGCACAGGCTTTTGAGGCAAAGCTCAGAGATGGTTGATAGGGTTCGGGATGGGTTTTGAGGTTGAACTGGGTTTGTCTTCAAGTTGTATTGGATTATTCTTCAGAGGTGACTGGGTTAATGTTCAGCGTCAACTGGCTTGTTCTTCAAATTGGCTCGGATTGTATTTGACATCGACTTGGGTCGCCCTTCAGATTGGAGAGGGTCATGCTTGGGATCGGATTGGGCTGTTCTTAGAATTAGATTGCCACGACTTGACAAGATCCAAACGAAAAATCCGAGCGGATTCATAACATCAGATCGAGTCATTGAGACCGTACGTTCCCTCCTCCTCCAACGACGTTTCTCCTGAGTTAGTGTAGGTAGCAGCAGCTTATGCCCAGAGTGTCAGTCTGCTCCCGCTAGCTGAACCATCAGAAGTGCATGGTAGCCGAAAATCGAGGTAATGGAAAGGCTTTGCGCAGACCTCTGAATAAGGATGATAACAGATAGGAAATTTCTAAGGATACCCACTGCATGCTCTACCATGAACACATCCACGTCAGTCTCGATATGTCGCACAGTCCGACCCATCTTCACCATAAACGCACACTCGCACATCTTGTTTCTCGCCTCCCCCCGCCCCCGGCTATCGACGAGTTCACACTTCTCTTCTGACCAAGCGCTCGTTGATGCCCTCAAATGTCACGCGGCCAGAGAGCTCTGGCCCTGCTGTAACCTGGTACTGCCTACGCGGCTAGGAAGGATAGACTTCCCTTTTCTCGACGCAAGAAAGCTCATAAGTTCGTCTCGGAGGATCACTTTGGCCGGCAAGACAGTCGTGCTGGAATTGCGATCGTGATATCGCGGACCAGCACTTTCCCAAGCGCTTTTCGATTCCGGAGGCTTCCGCGAAGGACTAAATGGGGTAGTGGCCGCTAATGGCAACGTCTCGCTACCGAGCTCTGGGAGGGTAGGTGGTAGGGTAACTCTGAATTCACGACCGACAGTTGGCGAAGGCGGTTCCGTCATTCGTACCATGCGAGGCTGTAGGGTCCAGGTAGCTCCTGTCGGCGCCTCGGCTGTACTAGATAAAGCGTTGAGCTCAGGCGTAGGACTTTCGATGCCATGGCTCAGCCTCGGAGTCTCGATCTTGACTTTGCGACATGGCTTGCCTGAAGATCTCCACCGGTGGCATAAGATCCGACTCCCATGAAGGTCAGCGACAGTAAGGGGTTTACGTGCCAATCTCTGAAGGGCCATAGCCAAGTCAGCAGCCTGTGCAGCACTGCTTCTCCAGATCTCAGGAGGCGTCGAAAACGGGGTCGAGTAGCGCGTGTGTTCGATGTAAGGAAATGATGACCTGTGTTCGAAAATAGAGTGGCGCGGTGGCTGAACGTCAGGGTTCACACTGGATGGAAGGAGTTGCATCCAACGGGGAGTCGACCGTGGGACATCTCTTGAGGCGTCAGAGAGGTGATCGCGTTGCGAATGAACCATGTCTGAGCGAAGAGCGGCATGAGGGACAGCACCGAGATCTTGGGACAGCATGGTGTCATGGGCGCTTTGCTGGTGTGAACTCTCACTAGCAGCTCCCGCACTGCATCGATGGCACAATGGAGGTCGGGTAAGGCGCATACCACCTTTATGTGGCTCACCATTTCGGTCGTAGTATTGAGATGGTGGTGATAAAGGAGACCAGACATTGTTAGTGTCAAGCATAGCCCGCGGGAGACTTACTCACAGCGCACATCAAACAACTAAAGCAGCTCCAGTGCCACTAGCACCATCCGAAACTTATAGCTTCCGTCTTCCTGTACACCATCTCACCACAGCGCCAGCACACACTCATATCGTGACGCCATCTGAAACAAGCAGGACACACAACGCGTCTCTCAATGCCAACTCTGCACCACGGGCTAGCGAACTTCCTTCTGCAAAAGGTGCAGTGGTAATGCTGAGCTGTCAGGTTTCTTTCGTCAGGACCGCCCCCAGACTGGTCGTTGGAGATAGGAACTGGCTCAGTGAGCGGACGTTGTTGTGCAACGAGTGGTGAGGTGCCTTTCCTTGTTCTAGTCGGAGTGAAGGGCACCGCTTTGTAAGCCATGTCTGGGAGCTAACGAATGCAGTGTTGAGACGAGCGGCATTGTAAGCATAGCGTATATTTCGAAAGAATATCGGACAAGTCCAGCTTCGCCTGCAGTCAAATCGGAAGAAGGGAGTGAGAAAGTGAGATGAGTAAAACATTGGTAGTCGCGCCCCGCGTATGCAGAAGGCACGCTCGCTGGACTTCACCCTCTCCTTTACATGCGCCTCACCCATCACTTAGAAGCCCCAGTACCCCTTGACTAGCCAAGCTGCATATCTAGACGTCGTCAGTAACTGCGACCACGACTTCGGAAAAAAAAGGACAGCGCTAAGACGCGGCTCTTAGGATGCGAGGCAGCATCACGCCACACATCCGAGCAGATCCAGGGAAGTACTCACCCGCCCATGCCAGTAATGAAACCTAGAGTCATGAAATGGCCCGGCGCCCGCCCAGGACCCATGCCTCCTTTTCCCCTTATGCCCAGCTCAACGTGCAGCATCCTCGCCAGCAGCAGGGCCGCAAACCCACCCGTAAGCACCCGCCTATTGCCGCCGTTCATCTCGACGATGGCTCCGAGGAGCAACGCCAGCGGCACATTTTCAGTATAGTTGCCGTGGCAGCGGGTGGCAAGCTCGAGAGGGTCGCTGCCGTCGGAGGGGCCGGTGCTTGCCTTGGAGGTGGAGCCGATGAATGCCTTGCTATCGAGGCGGGCCATCGAGACGCGAACAGCTAGAACCGCATGGTATAGGGCGAAGGCTACGGCGAACTTGTTAGACCGTGCACTGCGTCGTGGGCTTAGGCTATGAGGTTGTACCGGGCGCAAAGGTGCCTGTGATGGGCAAGAGCTTGGGAACGGTGATTCCCACTGTGACAGCTGCGTCAGTACTGCTTTGGAACTCTTTTTGTTGGTGCGGGACGAAATACCTGGTACCGACATCTTGTTCGATGGCTAGAATATACTCAAGCTGACAACGTTGCTGGAATAATTGCAACTGCAAGAACGTGAAATCGTACAGACAGCTCGGTCATTTGGCACAGGCATCCCACGCGGTTTGATGCGCGTCACCAACAGCCGAAGTGCAACTACGTCAATGCCCCAAGGCCCCCGCCCCCAAGCCACCCCTGAAGTGTTCAGCCGAGCGGGGCGGGGCCAGATCCAAGCCTTGATTCTTTCGGCCAAGCGGAGCACAGGTCAGGCCGGGGCGATAGGTTATTATTGCTCTGTTCCCTTGACCACTGCCGGTGGCGCTCAAGATCGATTACAGATCTTGTATACATTTTGCTCTCTGATCCAGCACTCCGAGATCAAAAACAGAGAGAAGTGATGGTATCAAGGAGCGACAGTTGTTTGGAAGGTCGAAAGAATTTATATTTATAAAACGGTGGGTAACTAGTCTAAACGCTCAGATCATGAAAATGCACGCTTCCTCCCCTGTTCACTCTCCCCTTCCTTGGGGGATCTCACTCTGTCTCCACTCAGTGCGCAATGTTGCAGCGGACCAGGCACTCCTTCACACCCTTAGCCAGTGGGGCGGGAATCGCGTTCTGGAACTGTGCAAAGTTGGAAGCGTTGATCTCAGCAGGGAAGCCAAGGGCAGCATCAACGACGTCGCCGTTGGTGAAGCGCAGGAAGTTCTGGGCGATGCTGCTGGCACCGGGGTCGGCGGAGTTGAGGCCGGCGACACCAACGGCCGGCGTGCAGTCCTCGTTCTGCTGCCAGTGGATGGAACCCTGAGGGAAGACGGTACCCTGCCAGATGCCGAGCTCGGCGGTGAACTCGTCCGTCTCGCCGTTCTCGAGAACGAAGCCGGTCTTCATCTTATTCTTGGTGGCCAAAGTGAAGTATTCGGTAGCACGAGGGTGGATGTGCGGGGTGTTGAGGCCACAGGGTTGGAAGAAGATCGTCGCACTGTACACCGTTAATAATCGAGCCACAGCCATGTCAATAATGAGGGACTAACGAGGAAATGCCGAGCCCGGTCAAGACAGGGAAGTTAGCCTGGTTTGCAAGGTCAACCTGGCCACCGGCGCCGGCTGTGACATTGGGGTTGGCAGCAGGGTTGTGGTCGAACACCAGGCTGATCTCGCCGGCAGCAATGTCCTCCTTGATAGCCTTGAAGCGGGTGACAGTGCTGTCCTCAGTCAGGAGCTCACCAACGAGCCCCTTGGGTGTGACAGGGTTGGGAGTGGCGCTGGGATTACCAAGCAGGCCGGTAGCAACAGGAGCGCCAGTTCCCATGCCGGCGCTCGAGGCGGAGGCATTGGGATTCATGCCATTGGGAGCGGGGGCATAGGTGGCAGTGGGCCTGCGGGCCATTAGGGGAGACGCCGAGGCGGCCGAAGCGGCCAGGAGGGCGATGAAGCTGGAGGCGTGCATATTGATGATTGGTGCTTGAGCGGTATTAGATGAATAGGTGAGACTAGTTAGATGAATGAGAGTGTATAGTTGTGTAGGCAACGAGTGTGCTGTAACGTAAGGAAATAAAGGAAATAAATTGGTACACCGGTTGATTGTGTGTGCAGAGATTGAATGGAGAGACGGCTGTTGAGTTAGGACGTCACTTCTATCTTATAATGCACGATTTGAGGCTTGCAGCATCGCAATGATGACTGACGGCCACAAGCCGTAGTAGTTGGCATCGGGGCTGGGAGCGTAAGCGGACACATTGTCTACGCCGCACACGGCACGAAACGACATGGCATGAGAGGCCCGACGAGGGAACTGGCAAGCAGTAAGCAGAAGGTGGACCCACGAGACCGAGTCCCAAAAGCGAACATGCTAGCGGTGTAAATCCGATATAGAGATAGCGTGCTTATTTGGGAAGACTGGGCCTGGAGTTGTCAAGTGCCGAGAGCAGTGCAAAGCCTCTGACACCCCAATTTGGGGGTCTGACAAACGTGGGTGTCAATTTTTAGAATCACGCCCACTTACGAAGCAGCAGCTAACAGAGTCTAAGTCACACTAATGCAACTTTAGATCTCATCTCACAAATCAACATGGCCCATGCCTCCATCTAGGCTCCATAGAGGCTCTTCCCTTTTGGTGGAGCACTGGACGGGCGCAAAAGGGCCACAGCCTCGTTTACCCTAAGCCGATGGCCGAATGTATAGTATCTATACATTCTACTGAACTGCCACTGGAGGACGGAAAGGTCAGATGTCATTGGTGGCGTCTCCATTAGCAACCACGAGGATGGGGCAGATAATTGTCCTTTCGTTCTCCGACGGGAGAGCTCTTCCAATGCTTTTTCCAGAACCAAGAGTCCAGCTCAGCGCCGTGGCTTAACATTAGTATACAGCTGACAGCCTAAAGCTCCCTCATCATCGCTATGGAGGCAGATGAAAATGTGTGGTGACGTCCCCGTGAGCATCTCACAGACCCTTGAAGATGAGGACTTGAGAAGGTTGCACAACATGAACTTCAACTCCGGGAGCTCGTAGGTAAAAGCCAGCCTCGTATGCCTTCTAGCCTTGCTACGAGTCATTCTCCTCCACGACTCCTAGGCCATAAAAGCCAACTCGTCGCTGACTATTTCCCAATGTGGCCAATTTCGGCACCTTGGTCCCCCGGCCGAAATGCGACGGAGCCTCAATCCTCAGACACAGCCCGCCCTACACAGTATGGCCCAAGTACGCTTTCATCCATGTATCTCGGCCTCTCCCCACAACAACCATAAACCCGGGTCAGCCTCCCAATCAAGGTGTACCTATGCCGTTGAATGTAGCCCCAAGAAACGACTGCTAAATTTACGCAGCTGGTCAATCAGAATGAACGATGAGCTTGACCATTGTAGATTCAAGATGCCATGAGTCCGGCTGGCTGGATGCTTGACGCGGTCTATGGAGTACACTCTGCAGCCAAGGTACTAAATATCGATCGGCGTACGAGAATGAGGCGCAAAGCGAGCCAGGTCTGCGATTCTGATATTTCCAGCCACGCTTACCGAGTACCTTGCAGCACAGTTCGGGACAAAGAGCCAGCATGTCTCCGCATACCGGGTACGTCTTCCTTGCCTTATCATTTTCACGAGGCACACAAACTTAAGTCTGAATCCGTATCTGCTTCTGAAAACTCGCGTGAAGTCCCTCTAAGATTTGCACTCCTTTCCGCATGACTTTTAGCGAGGGTAAACTAATCTACGCCGGGGAAATCGGTGCTGGACTGAATGGTGTAGAAGGCGGAGTGCTCGGATTTCATATCTACGGTACCGGCACTTGGTCAGTGCAGTTGCGAGGGCCCTGGAAAGGGATCTTTTTGACACTTGCGTCGAGCCCGACGACAACTCTCTCTGAACAGCTTCTTCCCTTCAAGCTGCAAGTAGTGCCGCGAGGCCATCTATGTAAGCCAACAATATGCTCCTCGTCCTATTTCTGTAGATTCTGAACAAAAGAATCCAGGTTAAACTCCTCTTCGTATTGCCGGTCGTCCCAGAGCTCTCCAACATCATTGAGCCAGCCCTGTTTCTCTCCTTTCTTCTTGATCTCGCCTGTCTGAAGATCCACCAAATCCTCATCACGCGTCGTGTCAGCACCAGCAACGGGTGCTGCTTCAGACGCTTCGAGATTGAAGAGGTCCAAAATCTGATCCGTCTCCATGGTGCCCAAGCCCGCATTTTGCTGGTTGACCACGGTCGACGCCACGTCAATCTTAAAGCGTTGCAGATTCAAAATCTTCTCTTCCAAGGTGCCCCGCGTGATGAGGCGGTACACATTTACGACCTTTTTCTGTCCGATTCGGTGAGCACGGTCCATGGCTTGAATATCTTTTTGCGGATTCCAATCATGTTCCACAAAGATGACGGTATCGGCGCCTGTCAGATTTAGACCTAGGCCTCCGACACTCGTAGTCAGCAACAGACAATCATAGCTTGGGTCGTTGTTAAATTTGTTCACAATGCTCTGCCGCTTTGTGGCTTCAACGCTGCCATCGAGCCTTAGATGTTGGACATTGGGCAAAAGCTTCCCCAGGACATCGGTCTCGACCATGTCAAGCATTTCCTTCATTTGGCAGAAAATGAGGGCACGGTGTGGCGACACAAATGTGGATGCTGACTCTTCAGGCCCCTTAGTCTCAACACCAATGCCACAATCGACCAGCAGATCTCGGAGTGCTCCCAATTTTGGCGCGTGAACCACGTCGCGGAGAGTGGATTTCGTGGCTGCAAGTTGCTTCTGCACCGCATCGTATTGAGCATTGCCCTCTTTGACCACAAGCGCAGGCGCATTACATAGCTTGCGCATATACTGCAAGGCCTGGAAGATGTGCTGCTTGGCTTCCTTGTCCTTTGAGCCGACACTTGCCTCCACGGTCTTCTTTTCCTTCTTGAAGAAGTCATCAAAGAGTCGCTTTTGAAGATCACTCAGATCGCAGTAGTAGTTCTGCAGAATTTTCGGGGGCAAGTCATTGAGCACTTCTTCCTTAAGTCGACGAAGCAAGAACGGCAGGACTTGCTTGTGCAGTGCTTCGATGGCAAGAGCACCGGCTTCCTGCTCCTTGGATGATGATTTTGCATTGCGACTGGCTGCAATTGGCTTCGCGAACCGATCTTGGAAGACTCGCTCCGCACCGAGGAAGCCCGGCATCAAGAAGTCGAATAAAGACCACAACTCAAGAACGTTGTTCTGGATCGGCGTGCCTGACAGAATGAGGCGGTGATTGCTGTCGAGCTTCTTCACCGCTTGTGTGATCTTCGCCTTGGGATTCTTGATCAGATGCCCCTCATCCAGAACACAATAATTCCAAGTGAGCGCAGAGAGGACTTCATTGTCATTGCGACAGACGTCGTAAGACGTGATGACGATATCAGAATTGGCTAGCTGACTCCGTCGGCTGCTTCTCTCCGCCGGTCCACCGACATATGCCACGCAGGTGAGGAACGGTGCGAATTGAGTGATCTCTTGCTGCCAGTGACCTGATAAACTGGGTGGGCACACGATGAGCGAAGGCAGACGTCGTTTGTCGGGAGCTTGAGTGCGAGCATATTCCTCCGCGCGCATATGATGATCACTGGCAACCATACATAGGGTCTGAAGGGTTTTTCCAAGCCCCATATCATCGCAGAGAATGCCATGTAGATTGTACTTGTTGAGAAAAGCCAGCCAATTGACTCCGTCTTGTTGATAGGGCCGCAGTTCTGCTTTGATCGCCACGGGGATCTGAAATTGCTCCACTTTCTTAGGATCCAGCATTTGAGCCATGAATTTCCGCTCACGTTCCCGACCTTCAAGAAGGCTCTCGGGCATGCCCGGGGGGTCTGGGATGCCGGCCTCCAGCGGCACGAGCTTAACCAGGGTGGCGAAGGATGTTGTTGCAAGAAGACGAACATCGTCATTCGAGTCACTCATGCGCCCAAGAACAGGCACGATGAGGAAAATGACATACGGAAGGATCTGATCGCCCATGACTTGAATGAGGTGGTAGATGCACTCTGTGATGCCTTGCCGATCGTTGAGGTCCAGAGGATTACCGATGTTAGGAACAACATCTTTGACAAGGATTGTCATGGCCTGGACCGAGAGCACGCTGCAGATTGTCGCAAAACACTTGGCCGCAACGTAACGGATAACAGAGAGGTGGCTTCGCAATGCCTTCGTCACGGAAGTGGTGAGTGAGAGTATCCAAGGATGTAAGTCCACGTCCAGCATCGGAGTGAGCGTTCTCAGGACAGACAGTGCATCCACGAGCTCCTGACCTTGGGTGTTGTTAAATTTCTCGTCGATAGACTTCGCCTGCCAAGACTGCAACGGGTCTTCGATCAGACCTTTCAGGATGGGCAGCTGATTCAATAAGGAGGCGCCGTATTTCTGCGCAAGCTGTTTCAGAGCTTGCTTGGCTCCGCGTCTCATGATTCGCGCTTCTTTGGCTTCGCGTTCGAATCGAGCTGCGTCAGGATGATCTTTGCGATCTTCTTCTTTTCTCAGCGAGAGCATGATGTCTGTAAATTCGGCATTGGGTTCGTATTCCGGAGTCTCCGAGGTGTCGACACATGAAAACTTCGTCAAGTTGGAGACCAGCTTATCGACAGGCCCTTTTTTGGGACTCTTCGTGTAAAAATCGATCAGAGAAGCAACTGCTGATGCAGATCGACCCTGGACCTCTTCGTATTCTTCGGCTTTGATGCTGTCCATAATGCATTTGATCAACTGGCCAGGTTTCTTGGGGACTTCCTGTAGGGCCACCAATATCGAAGCACCAGCCGCACGAACAGCAATATCTCGGTTCTCCTTAAGACGCCTGGCGTCATCTACGATAGCCTTGGCATTATCGCGTGCGTCGTTGAGGTATTGGACTCCTGCCACACGTTGAGCCGGAGTCAGGCCGCTGATCAGCCGCTCAAAATCGCTAGTTACGATTGCTTCGGCGTTCTGGATAGAAAATGCATTGGGTCCGGCCGCGGGGTCACCTTGACACACAGCAGCAATTGTGGGCAGCTTGCTGCGAGGCACGTTTGCGTTATTGGCAAAGGCGGTGATCAGAGTGTTGCATTGACCACGGGCAGCCACAATGGAGTGCAGAAGGTCTGCGTACCACCCTTCTCCAACGCTGTCGAGCATCCGCTGTATCTGCGGGGCGATGGTTGCAATAGTTGATGGTTTTCCAGACTGTGACCTGGCCAGTTCTTCCATAATCATTGACGCAAACAGACGTGGACTAGAATAGAGCGATTCAAGTGAAGTAATTAGGTCTGCCCAGACCAGGTCAACTGTGGCCTGGGGCTGGAGTGGAACAAGCAGCCCCAGAGCTCGAGCGCAAGTGATTCTGGTCCGAAGCAAAACTTCAAAACCTACCAATTCAACGTCGCCGTTGATCACATGAGCATCGGTGTTGTGCGAGTCTCGTTTCGAACTTGGTTCCTCTTTATCCATCTTTCGGCGCTTCTTTGCGGGTTGATCTCCGTCCCGGCTGTCTTGACGGGCTGGAGCGAGTGTCATTGGCGCACCCGACGGCTTGATTAGAAGAGATGTATCCATGGCGAGAGGGCTTCTGACTTGTCCTATAGGCTGAGTGGTAGACTTGATCATTGGCATGATATGAGACTCGATCTCATCGTGGTATCCAAGTGGTGCCTGTCTCTGAAGCAGAGACACAAGCGACTGCCAGAGATCAAAGGAGCTTCTTAGCACACCTTCATTGCGTTCCAATAGCATATTCTGGAAGAGAAGGCGTGTCAAACGCCAATCAATCCATTTGGTGCCACTGACTTCGGAAGTATTCAGGAATGTCGTCAGAGCTTTTAGGACCGACAAGCGGACACTTGTGATGGTGTGTCTGAAGAATGGATACAGACGCGGTACCAACATGTCGAAAGCTTGTTCGGCGTCATTCTGCGCGTTCTGAGCCATAGCATTGAGGACGGCAGGATATGAGCAAAGGTTGGCCAAGAGATCCATCACAGCGCCAGTGCTAGCACTTAGATCGTCCTGCATATCGAGCAAGCAGTCCCAGATGACATTTATGAGCGGGCCGATCGCTGCAGGTCGGACGGTGGTCAGCTCCGAGGTCATCGGGACCAGAGTTGCGGCGCTCACGGATTTCACATCGTCATCTTGGTGAGCAAGACCTTGGGTAACGGAAGCAATTACTCCATCGATGATTTCGGCGTTCTCCATCAGTAAGTCCTTGCGAACAGCCACGAAGTACCGCAACCCGATCATGCCACCATGGCAGACCTGCCAGATTGGGACTTTCAAGCCAGTATCGTTCTGATTGATCATCCGTTGAAGTAGTGTATAGATAGCGAAAGCAGTTGTATCTGACACCTGAGTAAGCAGCACGCCCAGCGTCTGACCTATTGATTCCCGTATTGGTGCAACAACGGTATCGGATACGTAATCACCAAAGCGATCGAGCATGAGGACAGCGAGGAGACGACCGGCCATGTCTTCGAGCCAGCGATTGTTTGCGATTTCGTTTTCGAGGCGGGATCTGCCATATTGTCGCCCAGCGCCTCTGCCGTGAACACGCAGAACTTCTCGCAGACCTAGAGCAGCGCCATGTCTGATTTCCCAGTATGGGGAGAAGAGGTCGTACGCAAGGAAATCACACATGACCTCGAATGGCCACTCGTTTGATTCGGTCTCGTCGGGTTGAATGATTGGTTTCTCTTCGCCATCTTCGCCTTTGAACTCCTTGATCAACTGGGTATCATCGTCACCGCCCTCTTGCTTGATGGAGAAATAGTCTGGCTTGGATTCCTCTTCGCTATCACCATTATTCTTCTCATTCAGTTTGACACCGTGCGGTGTTGGCAGTGGCGCGGGTGAGTGCTCTGACGAACGACGGACCGAGAGGTCGACGACACGCATCTTGCTTATGCCTGACTTGGCAGACATTTTCTGCTTTCGTTTCAATTGGTTCAGTTGACGTTTGCTCAAGCTCGCCTCTGAAGCGTCTGGCGGGGGTGACGCTACAGCAGGAGAGTTAGACTTCGAGCTATGGTGCCCGTTTGTGACATCCTTCTTGGTGGATCCACGATGAGGTGAGTGTGAGGCAAGCTCCATGTCGATGTCAAGATCATCTTCATAGACTTCGCCTTTCAGACCCAACCGGGCAGACAACGACTTTTTCTGCCGAGCCAGGCGTTCAGAGGACGAGATGCCCGCAAGAGCATACTCGTATTCCTTTCCGGCACTAGACAACAAGGTCTTGCCGAACTGAAGAATGAGGCCAACATTGAGATTGGCGAGTTGCAGGACGTGATCAGGGAGATCTACGGAGTCTTCTGCCTTAATGTCGTCCGACTTGACTTCAGCTTCGTCTGCATTGGGATCAAAGGGCTCAGCATTAGCAACGATGCCACCGATGGCCTTGGCAGCGGCTGTTCTCGTATCCCAGGATTTGCTTTGAAGGTAGGGAAGGATGCGGGAGAGCAGGGCGAAAAGGCTGTCGGGAGACTGTTTTTGGATATCCGCGAGCTGATTGGCAGCGGTGTTCCGGATGAGTTGAGTGCTGCCCTTGTCCAGTAATCTAAAAGGATCAGTAGTGTCCTGACAGCGTATGTGTGGTTGGTAAGGACTCACGTGACGAGTCTGTCTAGCCTGTGACGGGGTTAGCGCAATCTGTTGGCAAGAATAGAATAGGTTCAATTACCTAGACGCGACCATTTTGAGGGCTGTTCTAGTTTTAAATCGATGCCATGAGATGAGAATTGACGCACGCAACACCCACAAGTTACAACGGGATAGAAAATGCAAGCCGATGCCCAGCCGTCAACGCCAGCGACCTGCCCGTGAAGAAGGGAAAGACCAACGAACGAGGCTGACAACCAGCCTGGTAGCCAAGGGTGAGAATTTTGTGGATTGGGTGTGAGCGGCGGTCCTGCTTAAGTGGGAGGCTTTATTTATGCTGCTGCAACTGCGATTGCCCCCTGGCCACCCACACAAGCTTTGCTTTTAGTGCCTTGGCGTCCACCCACCTTGCCTGCCTGTTCATCCAACCACAGCTGACCATTTGATCTGTCCACTTGTCTCAATCATTTTGATATGTGCAAGAAATCCTGCCTGGCATTGGTAAAATCTGCGCATCGAGTGAGCATGTGAAAGCACTAGCGAAGTACAGAGGCAGCGCAAACCCACAACCAGAGTGGCATTGGGGTTGAGGCCGTTCAGCTTGCCGAGCTGACATGGATCTGGCGCGGGAGGTTCGGGCAAATCTACAGGCTTGACTGTGCATGGAACTAGGCATCAGTGACATCTGCAGCACCCTCTCGAGTCTCCTCGAACCGTCAACAGAAACGTGAACCGTAGACGCGCCGCAAGTACCCTTCAGGGGAGCAGTAGATCCGATGCTAGCATTGACCACGGTGGGCCGGAGAGTCCATCAACATAGCATGAACCGACATTGTCATCTCGAAAGCAGCGGATCCTGAGGTGGCACTTGTGGATCACCGGCGCAATGCATATACACCACACCACGACTTTTGGTCAAGGTTGATCGGATAGTGAACGCCCTGTTCGGACTTCTTTCAATGTTGGTTTGGTCGCACTCAAAGCCCCTAGAGCATGGTATGTACATCTTGTAACGCCGTCATGTATGCCCTTGCTCTCGTCATTGGCTCAGTACCTGCTTCGTACCCTCTTCGTTCCCAATCAACCCGAGACTTCGTATTTGCCCTGCTTTTGGGGCGTTTTCTCTGGGGTGGGCGGCTTCGGCTTTCCGTAGGGCGTCTTGAATGGCTTGAGCTCGGGCGTGCTGGGTCAGGCATGAGCGTGTGTCAGAATTAAAGATGAACGTGGGGCTCTTTACCTCCTTCTTATGGTGGAGGCACTCGTAATAGTCTTCCAGCCGCGGCGCGCATACACCCTGCTTCCGAGCCTCTTGGTCATTCTGATTCACGACATAGCATGCCATGTATTCCTGCCAGAATGGAAAACAGCGGCCAACACCTGCATTTGGCTGTCAGAGCTTAACCTGACGTTTTGAGCTTGCAGCAGATGCTCAAGCAATATAAGAGACTTACCTCCGTAGGTACCGTAGCCGGAAGCCATCTTTGCAGCTTCAGCAAGTGTTCAGGTTCAAGATCGCGCAGTATCGCAGGAGTAGAGAAGGGACTGCGGCCAGGACGAAGGTCGGAGGCTGAAGCGCGCCAAGTCCGGGGATGGACTTGGAGATCGGCGCGCTCGACTCGAAATGACGACCCGTTGCAAGAAACGTGTACTGTACCCAACTAATGCGTCTTCCAGGCCATGCGCGCTGTGTCGTTTCAATGGCAGCTATTCAGCAACTATCAAACGTACAAGTCTTCCTGCTCGCCGCCCAGTTCATCAGTGATGTCAATGTCGAGAGTCTGCAGGTCCTGGCCGCGGAACGCAAAGATGTTCTGACCAAGGACATCATCTACCGTTTGCTCCTCACGCTCTATCCCACCGACGAAGCTGCACGATCTGCTCTCCTTGCATTGTTGGAGTCTATCCGATCCGATTTTGATAATGTCAGCACTCTTGATGCCCCTATCGACACCTCCCCCGTCTCGAGGCTCTCCCTTGATGCGGTCTCTCAAGAAGCCCAGCGAGTGTATCTGGAAGCCTTCGACAGCGGCGTGGCTTCTAGAGCGAACAGTGACTTTGCAAAATTCCTCATTTCTTGGGCACACCATATTGAATCGAGTGCAGGCACATTAAAGGACGTTCTACCGTTAATACAAGCCTTTGCGGCGCAGGATGAGGAATTGAGGCGATGGGCAGAGACCTATCTTGGCCCGATCATTCGCCTGCAATATGATTATTACCCAGAGGATCTCGGTGGCTTCAACCTTCGCTCTCTTGAGGCGGCCTCGGGTCCAGACGGTATCAAGGGACTCCTGCAACACGCAGCTGCTCGATCTGAACATGCGGAAATTGCTCGAGATCTAGATGAAGTCGTTGCGCCATGGATCATCGGCAATCACGACACCGCATCTTGGAGAGACGTCTTCGAGTGGATATTCCAGAAGGGCGTAGAAGACTTCAAGCTTGCGTCGAAAGCATTGCTCGACTGGGATGGTCCGAAGCAGGAAGATCCAGAAGCAGTACAGGAATTTCTTCAAACCGGCTTCGCCATCATTTACTCGAGCACTGATATCTCGGATCAGAATTTGACCGCATTCAGAGCTATCTATGAGCGCTCAACATCCAGGGCGCAAATCCAGCCTATTGATATCACTGAGTCAGAGCCAGACATTCGGCCAACTATGTTGTCAAGCAATGTCACTGACGCTAGCTTTCTGTTCAACTCGCTCCTTTCGAGAAAGAACTACCTGACACATGTGACAGAGGACTCTTCTAGCTTTCTCGCAGGGATTTTGAAGACTACCGAGATTTTGACGTCTTACAAACTGGGCATGCCTCTTCCGAGCGTGGCAAGAATCTGTCTATCTGGAGCGAGAGACCGTCAGAAGCAGGAGATGATTAGGATCTTGCAGCAAATCCCGCGTTTGACAACGTCTGAACCGGACTGGCCACACGTGCGCAGGCAGCTACATTGGTTGCGTTGCTGGGCGTCCTCGGCATCAGAAGGTGCAAAATCAAATGAACCCATCTATTCCGAAAGATCGCAACCATCCACATTCCTTGGACGGCTACCTGCGGACCTCGTTGAGACTGAGTTGCTAGATGCAATGCTAGCCGATGGGCAATATCGAGCAGCAAGAGACATGTTCGATCTTTCGAAATCCCAGACCTTGGAGGCTTCTGTTGTCAAAGATCATGTTGTTGCCGCGATCTACTCTGCATTCGACAACGCATCCAATGGAAATAGGAATCGGGGAGGCATAAAACGTGCATCGGATATACTGGCCATCTTCAAGCCTGCCTTTCCCTCCTCGACCAGACTCCAAGCCGTCGATCACCTCCTCAAGGCAACCCATAGTTTGTCGTTCTATCACTTGACGCTTCAGCATGGTGTGCCTTTCCGGCCGGTCAACATTAGGGCCCAGAAAGACCCTTTGTCATTGATCGAAAAGGTGCTCGACCAAGACCAAAAGGCGTATGCGAAGCTTGATGACCTTGTTGAGGTTGGGCGAAATCTTGTTCTTTCGAGGAGCGATACGCCCGACACAGTACAAGATGATGCAGAGGAAGTCAAGGCAAAGGTAATTGAAGCTGAGCAGCGTGTGACATATGCAGCGATTTTGTCGGCTCTGTCACATCATGATTTCGATACTGCTTATTCATATATCACGTCTCGGCTCCTGACGACTGGTTCAACACAAGTACCCAGTGGATTTGTTGATGATACTTCTTGGCGGGCGGTGTATGCCGCAGGGAAGTATCGCCCATCCTCAACGCCCAACGCCCTGCATTCTAGAATTTCTGCCCTCTCGAAGCGGATGGAGCTATTGTCCCTTGCACTCACCCTTGCTCCAGGCGCTGAGCCATTGTCAGAGATCTTGGGAACTTGGCGCCGGTGCGAAGAGGAGATGGAAAGTTTGAAAAGCACTGCACTTGAGGAAGAGAGAGCATTCGAATATGGGAGCAACGAAGGTGTCCCTGGTGGTTTTGATATGGACGATAGAGAGCTTGATGTTGCTGAAACACGGAAGGCAATGGCAAAGCGGACCTTGGCCGGGGGAAGCTATGAGGATGAAGCGCCCATGGGGCTTTTTGACATGGCCAGAGGTGCAGCAAGTGCTCTACGGAAAAATGCGTTTCCGCTTCATGCTGCATCAGGTGGCAACTTAGAGATCCAGGATACAGGGAATCGACGGTCTGGCGAGTTTGCGCAGCCGTCCTCGCCCCAGGAAGGGGACAGGGTCAGAAAGCGGGACCTGGTCAGTAACATGGTCACTAGCGGTCTTGTTAGTGGTATGGGCTGGGTGCTAGGTGCTCAACCGACGGAGAGGCCTGGTCAAACGCAGTAGCTGGCACCATCTGGATACAGCAACAGGATGTCTTTGCTCAACGCCGTCTATTGCCATCTCTCGCAAATCACTTAACTGCGAATGCGACCAACGATCTGATGGCCTTGATCCGTCTTTATGGAACAGTTACAAATACCGGCTGACGATAATGGCAGACAGCAAGCGCTCGGATCGAGCTGACATCGAGGGTTCGCATGGCAGTCTGTCTGGGTTCTTTCTCCAGCACATGGTTGTGGTTGCCTGGTCAGTATGGGAAGTGAAGTGCGCCTTCCTCACAACACCCTTTTATGTCTGCGGACAACTTCTGAAATTCCATCACCTCTTGTCTAGCAAGCTCAAAACACCCATGACCATCGATATTCTGGCATCTGCTGCTGACAGCACTCTCATTGTCTGTTCGTTCATTCTCTGTGCAACACCTTCCATCTCAGCACAAGCCGTAATCACGCCGCCGTGGGAACCACATCCTTTGACTGCGCGATCACTGCGGTGATAACACTAAAGAACCACGAACAGCTCGGAATCACGCGAGTACCAAGATGGTCAACACCTTCACCAGGGTCTTCCCTATCGTTTTCGTTGTCTTGTTTTTTGGGGCCTTCAGCTGCCTGGTCCTAGTCCCCAAACTTCGCCAGTGCAAGGCATGCCGCCGCATCCGCAAACGCAACTTCGATCTCGATACGTCTGATAATACTGAACTCACAACTCTCCCAGTCAACGCCAACATCAACCGCATCTCTGCTAGAGATTTCCCAACCAAGCCGATCCCCTTTCGCGATCACCATCGTCGTCCGGCGGCTGCTCGGCTGGCTAGACGTTCAGAGCGCTTCTCGTCAGACGTCCAGAATCCCTTTGCTGACCCCCCTCGCTACCGACCTTACTACGGCGATCCACCTCCGACGCCCTACAGTCGTTCGATTCGAAGTCTCTCTACACCCACTCGCGCTGGCCGACACTCATCACCCTCTCAGAACAATGCCTCAATGACTAGAGGCCCCTCTCTCGTCATCACCGATCACAGCGATCCCTTTGACTCCGCATCTAGCCAAAACGATATGCGACCATCTCAGTCCCTGACTTTTTCAGACCATGGCGACCGACCCTTCTCAGTCGTCTCATTGCCGGATCCTACCTATCAACCCACCAAACTCTCGATCCCTGACCTTGCCAAATGCGAGCCGAGATCTGCCGGACAAGCGCCACCCTTGGGCAGGAAGCTGGAACAGTTCCCCATGCCGAAATCGGGCAGCGCGCACCTTCACCCTAACGCAGTCTTCACGCAGATGGGTGCCGCTACTCCTCCTACTCCACCTGCCACAGTCACTAGACCAAACTATGCCAACACCGGTGCCAAGATCAAAGTCAGTGAAATCCGGCAGTTATTCGACCCTAATAAGGCTTCACTTGACGTCGTCAAGCCTGACATCCGAGCGAGCAGCATCTACAGCCGTGATGAGGAAGGTCGGCCCCTGCTTGCTAGCGATAGCATGGAAGAGATGCAAACAGGAGAAAAGAGCAAGCTACCGCGGTCATACTCGCGGCCTCTGCCTAAAGGCAAGGCACCCGGTGGGGCTGAATGGCTCTGAGACGAGTAGGCTGTGACAACCTACATGTGATGTAATTGAAGAGCTTGGAGCTTTGGCGTTCTTCTTGCATGTATTGGTTGATCATGAGGGAGAGTGGACTTTCCGATGCAATACCCACGACCTAGCTAAACAGGTCTAATGAAAGAGATAGACAAGAAGAATTTCAATTTGTGCAAGGTCTTCCGCGGTTATATATCTGACAGTCGGATCACCAAGAACCAGCACCTCCTACTTATGGCAGCAATTCCAACGCGGTCTTAACCTTAGACCAAAGAGGGACTGTCCCCACGACCGCATACTTGACCCCCAGATTCTCCATTCGTCCACATCTAGCCCCCCCCCCCC